GCTTACTTTGCTGCGGTGAGTCTTAGTGCGTGAGGATTTGTTGTGTCACATGTAAAAGCACTGGGAAGTTGATGTCCTGGAAACACCACCGAGCGCACCGCCTTGTGTACTCGGTTACATAATAATGGCACACCGAAAGGCAAGATGGCTATCCAGAGGACCCAACAGATCTACACTGCAGTGTTGGGTTTGCTGGGGAGCCATCTTGCCTTCTAACGGTGGGACCTTGTGCGCACTATGTCCCATGCTTGTTGCCCTGCACCAACCTTCAAATATCATGCTCCACTGATCGCCTTTAACCTGCGCTTTGCCTTCTCTTCCCTCCTCCTCTCTCCTTTCTTCGCCTGCCCCCCCCCCAGATCGTGCACGACTACGGGCACCCGGGGCTGACCAACGACTTCCTGGTGTCCACCTCGGACCCCCTGGCGGTGCGCTACAACGACAGGTCGCCGCTGGAAAACCACCACGCGGCGGCGGCCTTCAGCTCCATGCGACGAACCGGGCTGGACCTCCTCTCACCGCTGACGGCCGAGCAGAAAGCCAGCTTCAGGAAGCAGGTACGGCTCAGAAGTTATCTTGAGCAACATCCCCTAAAGCATGCCATGGCGAAAGTGGGCATCTTGGTGTATGTTTCGAGTGGGGTGCATGTTGGGCATAAACGCATGTCGTCATTTTATCCTCCTTTTCTGCCTTGCAACGGTCATCAACTGCATTGCCCGTCACCCCATGCTCCCACTCTGCAGGTGATTGAGATGGTGCTTGCAACAGACATGAAGCAGCACTTTTCGCTGCTCAGCCACTTCAACACCGTTCACCGGATCACCAACTTCTCAAACAAGACCCTGGCGGCCACACCGGGCGGCGGCACGCCTGTCAGTCGACAATGCAGGTAGGGACACGCACACGCGCCTTGACCGTCCGCGCAGCATCTACTACCTCTGTATGAGCCTCCGTCCCCTAGGCAATCGCAGTCATCGCCCCCACCATCCTTCTTCCTTCACCGCCGTATCGAAGTTACAGCTCCTTCCCAGGCGAACTCCTGTCAACCACCCACACCGTACACCACCGTATTCCCATGCTAACCTTGCCAGACCCGTTGTTCTATACCTACCTATCCCTTGGCCGTGTACTGCCGTAACCCCTGTGCCCCGTAACCCCCGTAACCCCTGTGCGGTGCTCACCGTAATGCACACCCCACCACCACCACCGCCCTCACCCCGCAGCAACCTGGGGGAGCTGCAGCAGGTTACCGTGGGCGTGCCCTCCATCGAGCACCATCCGGCTCCGAAACCGCTGGACGACACGGAGCGGCTGCTGGGCCTGCAGATCGCCATCAAGGTGGCGGATCTGGGTCACCTGGGCGAGGAGCTCGACGTGCACAAGAAGTGAGTGCAGCAGGCACAGGGGCGGGGCGGTTGCCGTTTGCAGTGTAGGGTGCGATGACGATGCGGGCGGTGGCTGGCATTCGGGCTTTCCAAACTTGTTGTGCTGCTGTGCTGCTGCTGGTGTTGTCCCCTGCCTTGTTCCCTTGCAAGTGCCGCATGCAAGTGAGCAGCAGTACGACGCACGTCTGTTTGTGTTCCCCCTTAATCGCTGCCGCATGTCCAGGTGGCTTGACAGCTTGGAGGAGGAGTTCTTCCGGCAGGGCGACAAGGAGCGGCAGCTGGGCATTCCCGTGAGCCCGCTGTTCGACCGCTCCAAGCAGGGCGTCAGCAAGAGCCAGGTAGGCTGGACGGGGGTGAGGGGAGGTACACCAGTGCGGCATGTGTTGTGGGTGAGCGGGATGGGTTATTGTCGAGTCAGGCATGGGTGTAAGGGTTCTGAGTTGGGAGGAGGGCGGGCGGGCCTGGCGCGTGGGGTGTGTTTGTTAACGCATGGCTACGGGCTTGCATGGCTACCGGTAGCCGGTACGATGACCCACATCGGCCCTGCTGCCAGCTCCACTCGCCCGCACCTCCCACCGTGCAACAGCGCGCACCGCACCGCACCTCACCCCGTACCCGTCCCTCACCCCACCTCCCTTCAGGTTGGCTTCTACGACTTTGTCGGGCTGCCGCTTGTGCACGCCCTGGGCGCGGCCTTCCCCGGCGCCATGCCGCTGATGCGCTGCTTCCTGGGCAACTACAATTACTACCGCAGCCAGGACGCACAGGCCTCCGTCACGGATCACAGAGGTGGGGGAAAGGCGCCGTCCGCTCCCCAGACCCGCACCACCGCGCCGCAGGTGAACACGCCGGCAGGTAACTGACCACCCACAGGCCTTGCGAGCGGCACATCGTGCCGGTGTGCACGAGGGGAACAGCGTCATCGCTGTGCATGAGGAGGAGGAAGGGCGGATGTGGTTTCTGGCGGGGACGGTTAGTAGAAGGGTGTGGGCTTTAGGGCGGTGATGGTGGTGGTTGATGTTTGGGGATGTGGGAAATGCGATGCGCCGGACAGAGCGACCGATGAGGTGCGCTGTGAAGCGCTGTGATTGTGCTTTCCTATGTTACCTATGTTGTGCTATTAGGTTTTTGGGTTGTCGTAGCAAGGGTCTATGTCATTGTTAGCGCCACGCATGCCGCATACTTACCCGGTAATGGTTGAGGTCAACCGCACCTACAGTGTGGTTTGGGCTCCTGGGGAGGAAGGGAAGCGTGAATGGGTACTAGCGCGGCTCCGTTGGGCACTGGGACGGGCAGTGCAGCAGAACCAACCGTTTTTTACTGGGCACTTCCCCCTTTGTATAATTCGTAAAAGAGAGAGGAAGGCTCCCACGCGGCGCGCGGGCGTGTCTTGACTGGCAATGTTGGATACACTCGTATATGTGCTGATACGTGTGATACATATATCTTATAGTTGTTGCCGACGTGGAGGAGAGATCACTTGCTTGAGGCCTACCTGTCATTGTGAAGAGGCTTTGAATTCACCTCTGGATCACTACGTATCGCTCATCGTCATGATTTTCATGGCTATCATTTCAGCTACCACACGCTACCTTCGCGATAGACCGTCCTTTGCGTGACTGTTGCGGTGCCACCCTGAGGCACTATTCGAGATCTCGCCAGTCGGTTTTCTAGAGCGGCGAGGGGGTTTGATGGTCGGGCATATTAGTGCCCTCGTGCACGCCGCAATGATTGTGACTGTTGGGACGCAGGATGGTTTGGCATGTGCGACATGAAGCATCATTGTGTGCGAAGCGCAAGACTGCACTGTTGGCGGCTGTGGGTCCCCCGCGCCTTGCTCTGGGGCGTGTTGGTGAATGCCGGGAGTGGGGCTGAGGGAGGGGTTCGAATAGCACCGGTGCATTCACTTACCGTACTATACGCATGCCGAAGTTTTTAGTACAAACCCTATGTGGGGTGTGTTTGGTGCGCTGAACTCCTGATGGAGTCGGCTTTGAACCACCTGCTGATTGCCACTCCTGCGGTTTCCATATATTATTGCGCCGGCTTGGCGTCGGGTACGTCTTTCGTTCGCTTATCGTCGTGAACACCCTTAAGTAACTTACCCTTATTTAGTAATAACACGCGGCGTGTTACTGTTGCGTCCCAACCGTTGGTGCTTGCTGCGCCATGTCATAGGCGTATCCTAGCAAGTTGTCGGCGGGACTTCTCCGTACATTGAGATTGGTTTTGGGATGCATGAACGTATGACCAAGGATGCATCACGCGTGACCGAAGGTGCCTGCATGTTGCTTTTGCGGTTCCTGGGAGCAACCTTGACTGTTTATAATAATCGCAGATGAACAGGCAAGTGTGGATTGTCGGCTCGCTCTGTAAGACCGGTGTCAGGAGATCCTTAGGAGGCTTCGAGCGGTATGCGATGTTGAACACTTGCTGAAGAGAGGGTGTTAAGCCGCTAAGCAGGACAACGTTCCAGGGGCACAACCGCCAACCGAGCGCCAACGGTGGGGCCGAAAAGCGCCGCAAGGACACGCAGGAAGGACGAAATTGTTTGATTAAGTAGATGTCATTTAGGGTGCGCGTATTGTGCACAAACGCAATCGATTGCTGTTTGAACGAAAAGAACAGGCCACCAGCGGCACAGGTAACGAGTAAGCTATACCATAGGCGTGCAGACGGGCTATGGGCTGTAAAAAGGAGGATGTCAGGAGCATAGGAAGCATTTGGGATTATGTGTACGGCAAGTGCACGAGAATAAATGGGGAGTGAAAGGGCAACTGTGACTTGAACCAGCCCCTTCCCCCACAGGCCACAAGATGCATTTGGAGCCTCACATATACTGTGTCCCTCTTCTAACGAATGGAGCAGCGCAGAGTCACAGTGCAATCTACCTTATGTGACGCATGTTGCACGTTCGCTTCAAAGTGGGGATGGGGGTATGGGGAAAAATTATATAAGAAATGCAAACAACTAAAGTCCCAATCCCATATCCCGACTCATGCAGTAAGTGCATTCGGAGACACTATTCTATGGGGAAGGGGCACCAGCTCCTTCCCCCACACGCCAGAAGATGCATTCAGAGCCGAACAAAACGACCGATGTAGAGTCCCTTCTTTAACGTTAGGGAGTGGCACGGAGTCTTCCGGATAATAGGGCGGGGCTTGAGTCAAGGTGCAGGTGTCCCATACCGAGGAATAAGTAGGGTTGTTGATGTTGAGGGCAGACTTCCGCACACCATGTTTAAAGTCATACGTTGCGATAACGCTCTGGATGCGATGTCTAAGATCAGTTGCACGCGGTTCCAACGGACTTCCACGTGGGCCCACGTATGTGACTCGGAGGGTTATTGGTTTAAAACAACAGAGTGATTGCAACTCTATGACATCTTGCATTGCCCCTTGCTTGCGGCCTTGCATCCTTTTTGCAACTTACCAAGCAAGTTCCGTTGGAGGCCGAAACATTGAGCTTGTGGCGCACCTAAGATGTAGCCTTTTCAAGCAGCTTATATGTAACATGGGTAGAAGAGGCGTGTAGGTAGGCCCAGATAGTGTCCGTGTGTCCCGAGCTCCACATAGGTTGTACGGCACTCCCGGGCTTCATGTCTTGCGGTTTCAGCTTTGGAAAAACACCGATCTAACTGTATTAACCGGATATATTGGACAGTGAATGGAGTTATGTATTTCTATTACAACGCATATTTGCTGCGCACCAACTTCGCATATCGACTGCCAAACGTGCTGTTCGACTGTATAATGAAGCCCATTAGATAGCGAACTTGCGTATGTCATGAGTATCCCTGAGGCTAGTAGGCAAGGCAAAACCAGCGAAGCGCTAAGGAGTCCAGTGTACTGGATTCATAGACGCTCCAGACATACCAGGGGCGCTTCTTTGCGACTAAGAGTGTCTGTGTGGCCGCGCCGTCTGAGGCCTCCTGTCGCACTTTCGCATTGTCGGGCTTAAAAGTTCGATGGATAAAACTTGCCGTCTAATGGAACGGCTATATAAAGATGTTATAGTTCAGCTTTCGGTGCTAATCACGCGGTTGAGAGCGAAAGGAGAGGTAACGATTCCCGTCCATTCGCTGTTGCCAGTCGGTATGCCTGACATGTGCTGAACTTGAGAGACAGAGCGTATCCACTGGTTCGCAGGGGATCTACCGTATCGTACGTGCCGACGCGTCAACTTACCTATGGCCGTTGGCGGTATTAGCATTGGTGCTTGGCGTGGGCGTATGGGGAGTCGCCCGTGTTGGGGAGGTGGAAGAGAAGGGGGCGAAGGTAAGCCCGCAGATACCGTAGTCCTTCCACTGTGGTTTCAGCGCGGCGGCAACGGCGATGGGAGTTGCTATACCTTATCCCGACTCTCCTTTGGCGGCTGCAACCGACCCAACCCCCACATCAGTCCATGCACAACAGACGACCGCATCTGAGGCAGCCCATAGTAGTCAAATCCACGGAGTAAACGACAACCCTCCCTCACCGCAAAACGCTCTTTGCCTGTTGCTTGCGCCCCAAAGCACCCCTAGTCCCACCAGCTTTCCAGCACCTACAAGTAGCCCCAACCACCCTCCATCCCGGACTAACCCAACGCTGCCCCCTGTCCCCCTGCCCGCGGCAGGACCGCGCCGCCAGCGTGGCCCTGGACACCGCCATCTGGTACCGGCAGCAGCTGACCGTCTGCGCCTCTCCGGTGCTGCTGATGGCTGCGATGGTGGGGTACGACCCGCAGTACAGCGCAGTTAGCAGCCTCTTCAAGGTGCTCGCCCCGGCGCTGCTGTCTCAGGTGCGGTTTCGCGTTGACCCCATCGCGCATGTGTAGATGGTGTCACGTGTTTGTGTCTTGTGAGGTGTTGTGACCGCATGGGGGTTCCATGGGGGTGCGTGGGGATCTCACGTCGCGAAAGTTTGCAACTGGAGCGCGCTGGTGTCATGCTTGGACTGCTGGGCGAACGAGGGCGCGGGCAGTGGTCCGCAGAGAGTGTATGTGTCTGTGCCGAGAGTGTTGTCGTGCCCACAAGTGTTGAACCATGGCCATTGGTCTGGCAATCTCTGGATGGATGCTCTGCGCAGACGGCACCCAACATTACAAAACAGCTCGAGTACGTCCCTTTCGGCGTGGTGCAAGATGTGTATCCGATGACGGGCAACAACGGTGCGGCCGTGGGCTTCGACTTGTTCGCGAGTAAGTCCACGCGAGCAAACCGGATATGTCCTGACACAAGGCCACCCACGTGTCCGTTGTCCTTGTAGCTTGTGTGCGGGGTTGTGAGCAAGCTCGGTAGCGGCAGGGCTGAGTGCTGCCACGTAGCTGCACTCCCGCCGCCTAAATGCTGCAGCGAAAGCAGCTTCAGCTCAAGTCAAGACAGTAATCGACATGCCCGCCTGTTGTGCAGGCTCGGACGCCGACGGAGCGGTCAAGACCATTGAGGACAACACCCTTACGCTGGCCGGGCCGTTGGCTTTCTTCGAAGGAGGCTACGGCGTCATTGTACGGCAGCCGATTTTCATACCTGGGGTGCAGGCCAACGAGACGTTTGGAATTCCCAACCCGCTTAACCCTTATTGTGGCGCTCCTTGCGAGTATAACGAGACCACACGGACCAAGTTTTGGGGCTTCGTGAGTGCCACGGGCGGTTCTCCCAGCCAAAGAAAATAACAATAATGGGATTAGCTTGATACCAGAGACCACAGCGGCTTGTGAGCCATATGGGTCACCAGGTGGCTGTCCCAGCTGCCTCGATCAGCTTCCAGTTATATATCCAGGCCCAGACGCAGCCCATGTGCCCATCGTACGTTGTTTTGCACATGGCACTTAGGGCACGTGCAACCTGGCAGCTACGGTGAGCAACTGGTGTAATCGTCCCACGGGTCGGTCCTTGGCTGCAGGCGGCGGCCCTGATCGACTTGGACGCGCTGGCGCAGGCGGAGGATTCCAAGCTCCGCACTCTGGAGGCCATGGGGTACCGCTATGAGGTGCTCGCTTTGGGCATAGCGGCGGCCGACATGAGACAAGTCGCGGCAAGGTGGGGCACCTGGGCCTCGATGAGCGGCACTTGCGCAGCAGCTCAACCCAGGCATGCTGCTGACCACCACCACCGCCCAGTAACCATCATCCTCCGTGGGGCGTTTGGCTGGGGGGTCACAAAGGCTGGGTGACGCCGGGCAATGCGTTTAAGTTTTGGTTTGTATATCTTGCTGGGTCTGTGTGCCTCGCTGCTGCTTCTGTGTGTATAAGCCGACCATCTAAACGGCTGATGTCTCATGTTGTGGTTTGTTGCTGTCCGACACAGCTCGGTGCCGCCGTCGGACCCCGTGGAGGCTCAGATCCACCTACCCAACAATGAGGTACGAACGGGCGCAAGAAGGCTTTGAACTAGGGGCCGGCAGTGCAGGCACCTAGCTGTGCTGTGCTGCAAGTACTGTCCATTAGGACCTAGCGCCTAGTTCCATGCACGGCCCGGTTCGTTAGAGCAAGAGGCGCCCATTGTCAGAAAACCGCAACAAGCACTGCAACTGTACACTAGCATCGAACGCTCGTACCCCGTTTCGCTTTACAAGTCCTTCCTGGCACCGATTCGTGAAACCTTTACACGTGGTCGCGGACGCTTTGGTCGCTGTGGCCCAGCCTTTTCTGTGCATCCCTGCCTACCCCACAGCCTGCAAAGCATCCCCACCTTTGCTGACCCATCCACACACCCGCATACCTCCTCTCGTCCACAGTGGGTGGTGCGCGTGTCCCCCGCCTCCGGGTGGCGCTCCTCCGCCTACCGCGGTCTGCTTTCCGGGGTCATTGTGATGGCGGTGGCGCTGGCACTGCTGCTGTTCTTGGCGCTGGTGTCCAGGTGGGCACGGCTGGCTTGCGGGGGAGGGGGTAAAATTAAGGAAAACTGACGAACTGGATGACGAGGCTTCGGGGGTGGGCTGTGGCTGGGGTGTTGTAGCTGGGGGGTCGCAGGTGCGTCGCGTGGGGCTGCTGGTTGGGTAAAGTGTGGTAAACACTGAAGAACCTAACCGGGTGTTCGGGATGGGACGAGGCGGTAACCGTGTGCATGTCGCTGGGTGCGTGGGCGTTAGAGCACCAGCATCAGAAACGCTCTTACCAGCGCGGACGGAAGGGCGTCAACTTGAGGTTCTCTTACAAGAGCCGGATCTGCCAACCGCTCCGCAGGCGGCAGCACGAGATGCTGCTGAAGGCGCTGCTGCCGAAGCAAGTGATCAAGGACCTAGGCAAGGATGCGGCGCTGCTGGGTCCCCGCATCCTGCAAGCCGGTGAGCCCAGCAGCGATTGAGACAAGCCACAAGCCACGTCTGCCGCCACCGCTGCTGCATTGCGCTCTCCATGTGCCTATGGAGCAAAGCACGGCTGCTGTATCCTGAACCGAACCCTACATTTTGCCTTTTTGAGCATACCGGTACTGGCATTGGGTTCGTGGCCCTGGCCTTCCTAGATCGTTGCCTCTTCCCGCTGCGGCGTGCAGAGACGACGGCCGACCTCATGCTCACGCTGTTGGGGTGCCTGATGGAGGGCACCATGCCCGCCCTGGCTGACGTCGTCTTCATCCAGCAGGCGCTCATGCGGGGGGTGGACTTGTACCAACCCATGAACCTGAATCAGCACATCAACGACGCCAATCTGGATGTGAGCTACGGGGGCGCTCGTCAGAGGGCTTTTAAGAGGCTGTCTCGAGTCCCTTCCTAGTTACCAGTGACGCGCTGCAGTCGATGCCGTGTACTGCCGTGTACCTAAGCTGCTTCTGTACAGTTCCCTTGCTGGAGTCTTCCCTCCCATTCTCCCATATACCTGTGGTTATTTTACCACTTTTGCCAACGTCCCCCGTTCCGCCTCCGCCGTGCAGAAAGATGTGGCTCGCGCGCTGATGCAGCAGCTGGGCCACAACGCCGGAGCGGGCTTGCTGATGTCACCCTCGCCCACCGAGGATCCCTCCAAGACGGGTCAACGACCCACCGGCAGCTTCACCATGAAGCACGTGCCGGCGTACTACCAGCAGTACGACTACTCCACACTTGCAGGGGCCCTATCCGTCATCCTGAGCGGGGGGCAGCAGCCGCTGGGTTGGCGCGAGGCGACCCTTGCCAGTGCTGCTGCTGGGGGAGGAGGAGGAGGAGACGCGGGAGAAGGCGACAACACGGGACCGCTGCCGCGTGCCACCGCTGACATTGGCAGCTACCGGTCATCCAGTTTAGGCGCCGCGTTGCCGTTCCGGGGGTCTGTTGTGCCTGCGACTCGCGAGGGCACCACAACGGGTGCGGGCATCGGCGTGTCGGTTCCCTGCGGGGGGGGCTTTGGGTTCTTGCAGCGGAATACAAGCATGGAGTTTTCACAGGTGCAGCACCAGCCGCCGCCGCCGCTACAGCAGCAGCAGCAGCAACCGGACCCGCGGTCTCCCTTTACTGCAGTGGCGGATCGGCGGTCAGATGCGAGCGAGCACGTGCCCATGAGGCTCGTGATGGGGTTAGTCAACGCCGAGATAGCGTCAGCAGGAGTCAGTTCGGCCATGAGGGAGCAGGGAGATGAGGCCGTGGGAGAGGGCGGTCCTGCTTCCGGACAGTCCAGTGACACGCTGGATGACAGCGCGCTGGTGGCGTCGGAGCCGCCACGGCGGCGGCCGCCGCGCAAGGTCGCCTCGGCGGTGGGAGCGAACGGTCTTGCGGACTCTCTGCGGCGTCGCAGCCTGCTACAATCATCCGGCGTCTCGGTCGCTGACCAGCCGGGCGGTAATAGGCCGCCAGATGCTGCTTCTATTGCTGCTGCCGGCAGCGGGCGTGCATCTTGTGATTGGAACTCCGCTGCTGGTGCTGCTGCTCAGGCTGGCACCGGCACGGGAACTGGGAGCGGGCCGGTGCAGGAGGTCGGGACGGGTGGGGGGCTTGCGCAGGTGGGGACTCGCGTGCTGCATGCGCTGACGGGGGGCAGCCGGGCGAGTTTGGCGCCGCAGCCCAGCGTGCGGCTGTCAGTGCTGGGCAAGACGCAGTACTTGGCGCCGCCGCCGCCGCCTGTGATTGAGGAGGTGAGTGATGTTGGTTGTTGGTGCGGCGGAGGCTGGCAGCCGGCTGACGGGTTGCGGAGCTTGGAAATCATCATGCTAGGGGTGTTGCGTGAACGATAGTATGGAACCCTATGGGTGATGATATGTCCGTAGGGATGGTGCAGTAGGCTTTGCTACGTACCAGCAGATTGCTAGGGTGTTGCTGTGCGCTACGGCGTGTGCACTGATACCCGTCTCCCTGCCCCTGCATTAATGTACCCCTCCTGCTTCTTGGCAATGCTTTCGGGGCCGTAGTTACACCTTCATGCACTGCTTCGTCCCCCCCCTGCCCCCTGGCCCCCCCAGGTTGAGCGCGTGCTTGCTGACGCGGACTCGTGGCAGTTCGACATGTGGCGCCTGCGCGACGCCACCAACGGCCACCCGCTGTCGGCGCTGGGCTACTACCTCATCCACCGGGCGGGCCTCATAACGCACCTCAAACTCAAGCCGCCAGTGCTGGCCAGGCTGCTCCGGCACATCGAGGCCGGCTACAACGACAACCCCTACCACAACGCCGTACACGCAGCCGACGTACTGCAAACCCTACACGTCATCATTCATGGCGCGCAGATGCATGTGAATTACCTTGACCACCTCGGCTTACTGGCAGCATACTTTGCCGCGGTAGGTAGCATGCGCTTTCAGCAGTGGGGCTGTCTTCGAATTAATAGGAATTATCTAGGTGATAACTGCAGTTTGCAAACACTGACTACAGCCAAGCAAGCATAGCCCATCTACCCTCAACCCACTCTCCCTGCCGCCTTCCCGCCTTTTTTCCTCCTCCTTCCTCCTCTCTTCGCCTGCCCCCAAACCCCCCCCAGATCGTGCACGACTACGGGCACCCGGGGCTGACCAACGACTTCCTGGTGTCCACCTCGGACCCGCTGGCGGTGCGCTACAACGACAGGTCGCCGCTGGAAAACCACCACGCGGCGGCGGCCTTCAGCCTCGTGCAGAAGCCGGGACTCGACCTGCTGGCACCCCTAAGCAAGGCCGATCGGGCGAACTTCCGAAAGCAGGTGTGTACGACACCGGTACTGGGGCGCGGTTAGGAAGGGGCTGCGCAACCCGTCGTGAGTCCCGTTTCAAGGCTTTCGCCTTTCCTTACCGAGTTATGCGGGAATGAACGGGGAGTCATGTAGCCGTCATGTTGGATAACAGTTAACGTTCATGTTATGCGCATTGTGGTGGGGCCCGTGCAGGTGATTGAGATGGTGTTGGGCACGGACATGAAGCAGCACTTTGCGCTGCTGAGCCAGTTCAACACCGTGCACCGGCTGGCGGGCTTCGCGCACGGACCCGCGGTTGACAACCCCTGCAAGAGCGCTTCGAGCGTGCGGGCCTCGGGGTGAGAGGCGCGGAGGCAACCTCATCGTCGTTGTTGTTGTTGCTGGTGTTGCTGTTATGTCCTTGCATGTGTAGGGTTATGCCTGTGTATGTGGTGCTGTCGAGTTCTTGGGTGGTTTTGCTTTTGGACACTCATGGCGCTCCAACGTATATGACGCGCCCCCCTCTGTGTCCCCTCGCTCCTGGACCCAGGGCCCAGCAGTTCCTGGAGCTGCGGGAGATAGTGGTGAACGTTAGCGGGCAGGAGGTGCAGGCGCCGAAACCGCTGGATGAGACGGAGAGGCTGCTCAGCTTGCAGATTGCGATCAAAGCAGCGGATCTGGGCCACTTGGGCGAGGAGTTCGAGGTGCACCAGAGGTGGGCGGGGCCGCGAGCAGAGGTGTAAGGTAGCCTGGGCCGCTACCTACATGAGCAACAACACTCGGCATGAAGGCCGCTACCTGCATGTGTTTTCAGTGCACTGCACTACTGGTCATACTAATGTGCACGGCATGCGAGCCAGTCGTTGAATGGCAAACAGCGTAATGCAAAACGCGTCTGTCATTGAGGGCTTCAGTCGCCCCCGCCACGCACCATGTACCGCAGATGGCTGTCGGCCCTGGAGGAGGAGTTCTTCCGACAAGGCGATATGGAGCGGCAGCTGGGTCTGCCCATCAGCCCCCTGTTCGATCGTTCCAAGCAGGGCGTCAGCAAGAGCCAGGTAGGCAGGGTTTGTGCGTTGACTTGGCTACACGTCCATACCTGCTTTTTTGCGCGCAATGTGGCACATTGCGGTCTGTGCGTCTCCTCACCTTACCAACAGGTCGTGTGATTCTTCCTCATACCTGAAATACGGCGCTCCTTTCCCGTTCCCTTTCCCGTCGTCCTCTCACCCCGGCCACTGGTGCACTGCTCTCAGGTGGGCTTCTTCGACTTTGTGGCGCTTCCGCTGGTGTTCGCGCTGAGCAAGGCCTTCCCGGGGGCGCAGTCGCTGATGCGCTGCTTCTGGAGCAACTACAACCACTGGCGCACCGTGGACGGAATGCCGCGGGTGGAGGTCCCGCCGCTGGGGCCGCCGACAGGGGCCACCACGGGTTAGGTGCGTGCACCGCTTGCCGTCGCTTGCCGCGGAGGTAAGGTAGACGGCGGCAGCGGCTGGCAACTGAGAGCAAGGCTTGTCTCGACGCATTCCCCCATTGCGAGTTACGTGCATGAGAGGTCGCTGCTGCGTTAAGCTCGTAGGGTCTGCCGGGAGTCATCAACCTCATCCGTGTATCTGCCCGTTTATCAGCTCCAGCAACTCGCCCGGACCAGGGCTTCACTCCTCACGGCGGCTGAAGTGTGTGGGGGTAGTATCTCTGCGATCAGTTCCCATGGGTGTGGGGCTGTATGTAGCGCTTGTATGCACCAGCCCATTATCGGTGTTGACCCTGAGTTATGGAGGTCATCTCTCCTGGATTCGCATTTTTGGGCCGACGCTTTTGGCGGCAGGACGGTACAGGGGTTGTTGCTGTCATGAGATGTTTGGGATGTGCTCCTAATGCTCCTTACCTAAACGGGCACCGTACCTACCACCTGACGTTTCGTCTTGTCGTCACATGCGGACGCGTGACCATACCTTTATTAGTAGTCGTTAAGATGTCTGTACGGCCGTTTCAAATGCAACACATCTAGAATTGCACAGCGATGTCCTGGAAGGCAGGTGGTGTCGTAGTCAAGTAATAATTATGGAGCAGGCTGGGTGCGGAGCGTAGGATAGAACTGCGATGGTCCTGTCTGACGAAATTCAAACCTTGGATTTATCTTGGATTTGTGTTGACTGTTTGGTTCTGACGGCAGTGCCGCATCGTGACCTATAGAAATATTCTCGGCCTCGCTGACAGACGGCTATGCGGTCCCCGGGCTTTCGGCTACAATTCTGCGGACTTCCGGTGTGCGCTTTGAAAGCCAGAACTTGTTTTGATGATGTACATGCATGCTGGGAGGCCCGGGAGCGGCTAGACAGGAGCAGTTGATATTCAACTGCAAGAGGGCTGTTAGTTGCCATCTCCGGATAAGGTCCGTGTGCGTAACCCCCTTCCCTTTGAGGGATTGTTGCCTAGTATATTGTTAATGCTGGTTGTGTCGCGTAGTTTTTCGTCTGACGGGCCATTGGAGAAGGGCATCGCTAACACGCACGTGGTTAGTGCTTTGTCCCATCATGCGAATTCGACGCCGTTACCTGCGGCCAACTTTGGTTTGCTTCTCTCAAGGCGTTCTGTGCCTGTAGTAAGACGACACTTGTGCGGTCACTGTATGCCGTTCTCACATGCCCTGTCGAGCGAGTAACTGAAGTTGATTAGGCGCCGGTCGCCTTAAGGTGTCTTGTGCGTTATAAAACTTACGATGCGGTTTTTCCCTTTACACTATAATGTATGTATGCCTCGCTTAAGTAATATGTGTGTGTCGTACATCTCCGTATGTTATACCCTGTCGTGTGGAAACAAATATTTTGCCAATTACGCCAGCAGGCGGGTGTTACATGTTGCATGTGATCTGCACACAGAACACACGACCAGGCCAGACAACTGACCTTCAAAACCGGAAGTCCAGTAAGCTGGGAAGGTCACCATCGGAAAGATGGGACAGGAGTTTACCCGTACTGCTTTGCAGGACACCTCACCCCCGGGAAGCATTGCACTTCCTATAAAGCCCTGCATAAGGTGTGTATCTACAATCCGCAACCCACGCAGCTATAAGGACAAGCAAGGGCAGGTATAGGTTTATTAGTAAAGAAATGGCTGCCACGGAATAGTAAGCTGATCGCGAGGATCCGTTCAGCCTGTTGACCGCTGCGCGCTCGCGATGGCCCCAACATTGCTCACAGTAACGCATCACCAGTGTTCACAACGCCTCCTCGAAAAATGAGGAATAGACCTGATCGAGTCAACCGCGCCGCCAAAAAATCACGGCAACCGGGCTGCGGCGCAAGTATGCTATGTCAGCTGCGGGCATGTTTGCAGCCTAGCTTAGGCACCGGTCCAAAACCAGCGTGCTGCTTAGAAGCTGTAGACGTTCTCGAACACGGCCGAGACGGTGGGCTTGGACACGGACAGGTTCTTGGTGACCGTGGAGGACACGGTGACCTTGAGCGGCTTGCGGTTCCACTCCAGGGAGGCGCCCTCGCTCTTCAGGTCGTAAGACCTGTGGCGTGTTGCATTTAGTAGGGAAGCAGGCCGTCAGAACTCAAGATTACTGGGAAGAAACTGCACGAGTGCAGTAATTGCGTGCAGCATATTTAGGAACACCCGGTAGCCAATAAGGCCAAGTGTGACAACTGACAAGGGAAACAGCAGCCGCATCCCCACTTACAGCTTGAAGTTGTCCTTGCCCTGCTTCTTGGAGATGGCGACGGCGGGCGCCTGCTTGTCAAAGTTGTACGACGGCTCGTAGGTGAAGTCACCGTTGGCGAGGGTGTACTTGGCGGTCAGCACCTGCGCGGAGGCGGAGGCAGCAGCGATCAGGGATTGGTTGGGAGGTCTCAGGTCTTGTCTAGAAGTCTATAGGTCTTGTGCTGATTATCCATTGCGGATAGAAGCACATGCATGGAGAACAATACACTTCAGCGAATTTGACCCCACATCAAGGCGTTGCGAACCTCTTCTTCTTCCTCCGAACACCATTCCCTCATGAGTTACATGCTCGTGCGCCGTTGTGCGCCCTGCCCTTAGCCCCATGCATTACGGCCCCTGGGTGCCCACGCACGCACCTTCTGCTGGTTGAAGGTCACGTTGGCCTTCTGGTTCTTGACTAGGGAGACGGTGGCCTCACCGGCGACCTTGTTGTCCTTGTTGCCGTACCACAGCTTGACGGTGGTGGCCTTCTTGGCGAGGCTGCCCTCCCAGGTGGCACCAACCTGAACGGAACAAAATAGACATTGTTTGCACACAACCGTTAGCGATAGTCGCGAGTTGTAAAAGTAACGCGAGCAACCCAGAGAGCCACGCCACATGGAGTGCCGAAGCCTGGATTTGGTTGGTGCTTCGAGTACCCCAAAAGCCGTACACCAGTACCGGTGTATTCACTACCGCACCTGGTACTTCTTGGTGCCCAGGTCGTACTTGGTGTTGAGGGTGGTGCCCTTGACCTGCTTGACCTTGTAGTCAGCGGTGGCAACGACGTCCTTCAGGGTCTGCGGGTGCACATGGATAGGGACAAGCGGACAGGGGGCGGGTGGGCTCAGGGCAGCTTGGCATGGGAGGCCTGCTTTATGGTGTACGCAACTGTGCAGCAGCATTCCATGATTTTACAGGCCAATAGTACCAAACAAAGTAATTTGCTTATCATTGTTACGCTGGCCTGCAACCCAGCGGAAACCCCGTAGCCCATATTTGTTTTCAAGCTATGAAATCGTTGTGCAATACAACATGGTATTTGATGTAAGGGCAAATGACACGTCAGGTCGGCGGCCAAAAGGCCAATGGCTATAGAACACTATACAATCCCGGAACACCCCGTATGCTAAGCTGTGAATCATAGGTGACACGTCATGATAAACAAGAAGTGTCGGGCTGAAAACGACGCACAGCCAATGTCGACTCGGAAACCAATCTCGCCTTAATGCTCTTGACCGAGGCATCCGACAATGCGAGCGAAGCGTTCAGGCCACCGCACTTGTACTTCAGCGTAGCCAGGCCAGTAGCAGCCACGTTGCCCTTGCCGAAGCCGGCGCTGGCATCCTTGATGGTCAGGGTACCCTTGGGGGTCAGGGAAGCGTCCTTGCACATGTTGCCTAGGTTTTGGGGGACAGCGAAAGCAAGGTAATGTTCCACTTTGACAGTCGCAACCACCTCAATAGCATGGACCGTTACATCCAGCATGGGCCTTCTCCCTCGGATCCATTTCACAGCACTTACCTGTCGTGCAACTCATGCCGTCTTCCAGTCCCGTCCTCTTTATGTTATGCATGCAAATGGACGAGCATAGGAAGTGAGCCACCGTGTTGCATATCTATGTGCTCGGTGCATTTCCGACATTGAGCAACAACAGTTCACAGCCATACAGTTCACAGCCAGAACTACCTGTTGGGTGCAGCCAAAATGGTTCGCACTGCCCGGAAATGCGCGGCCTCACTTTGGAACCTCTCTAAAGGTGCGCAAGCCGGGTTGGGGACGGGTGTTCAGCTCCTGCGAAGCCGCAAGCCTAAACACGCGCAGGGAAACACTTATTTAGTAATCCGGAACAGACAATGCCAACGCCCTGATCCTCCTCCCCGTGAATCCCGCGCCAGCGCCTTCCCGCCGCGTGGGTAACAAGCAAATCCTGCCCATCGACCCCCCCAACGCCGTCTTTTACCGTTATCCCCGAACCCTTTGCCCCAACCAACCGCAGGCGCCGAAGCTGCCAGCACTAGCGCCTCCAGCACATGTGCTCGCGGAGCCCTCAACGGGGCTCCTTCATCATCGGCTCCAACAGCAGTGTCACACGTCGCCGCCTCTGCACCCTCCCCACCCACCGCTTCTCGCGGCCTCCAAGGCCAGGCGCCTCCGGCTTTCCAGCCAGCTTCCTGCATGGCCGCAAGCTTGGGCCTAGGCCAACCCAGTCATGTCACCGCAGGGCAGTTCCTGCCGCGCACCTTGCAGCCATGCTTTTCCCTACGGGGATTGAGTACCGGTGCAGGAGCGGCGGCCGAGCAGCCAGCGAAAAGCGGCTCGGTTAGCTCTGAAGCGGCGTCGACTCCTGCGGCTCAGCCGGCAGAGCAGCAGCAGCAGGAGCTTACTCAGAAACAGCGACTAGGGCAGCAGAAAGAACAGGATCAGCAGCAACAGCAGCAGAGCGGTTGGGAGGATGATGTGGAGCCCCCGCCTGTGCCCTTGGACGCCAATGTAACGCCGCCCGGGGTCTTCTTCGTCACGACGGGCGCAGCAGTTAGCGGTAAGGCTGATGCAAACAGAAACAGGAAGCGATGGGGATTTGCGTCATCTCCTATCGGCATGTGTCTAGTTGAGATGCAACCTGCACTGCTTGCTTTAGGAGCTGTCGCGACGGCACCCGCTACCCTGCGGCGTTCTGTGGGACTTCATCTTCCGACAATCACAGTACGTTTCTACTCGCGGCCAGTTTTCTTAACACTCTATCCCCTCCCCCTTCCCTTCTTCGTTCAGTTCCTGTCCCCCCTCATTGTCCTCCTGTTGGTCACATTTCTTAATGTTACCCCCCTGCCCCGCTGCCCCCCTGGCCCCCTGCCTGCTGCAGCTCTGCTGGCGGTGGGTGTTGCCGCGCTGGGCGTTGTGGGCACCTTCTACGCGGGCTACGCCATCAGCCAGGTGGCGCGCGAGCTGAGGGGCAGCAGCGTTCCGCCTGCAGCAGCAGCAGCAGCAGCCGGTGGTGGTGGCGGTGGTGGTGGTGCGGAGCAGCCTGCAGCAGCCACCGGCACTGCAGCTGCAGCGGTGGAGGTGAAGGGCACGGAAGCTGAGAAGAACAAGACGAAGGCGGCGGCGGCGGCTGCTCCTACAACGCCACAGCAGCAGGCGCAGGCGAAGCAGTCGGGCGGCTCCGGTAGCTCTGAGGGAGCCGTCGCTCCACCTGCTGGGGGTGCTGCGGGCGCTGCTGGGGGGGAGCTCCCAGTTGCTGGGGCAGGGGGTGGGCGCAGCTCTCGGAGGGGCTGGTGGGGCTGGCTGGGCAGCTGGTTCGGGCGCAGGCGGCAGCCGCCCCAGCCAGCAGCAGCTGCTCAGCAGCCCGCACCTGACACCGCGGCCCCAGCGTGATACCTGTTTTGGGTGGTTTGAGGGTGTTTTGGGATGCCAGGCCGGGGTCCCGGTATCGCTATTGGGACGCGGTGCTGTGCCTTTCTGCTCGGGGCGGGTGCGGGTGCCGAGAGGGATGTGGTGCGCTGCGGAACGGCAGCACTGGAGTGCGAGTGCGCGTGCGGGTGCTGCTTGTGGAAGTAGCTGGAGGAGGGTTCCCAGCGGGGGCCGGTGCAGGTGGTGGCGTCAGAGAACCTCCAACCAGAGCACCGGAGTGCTCACGCTGTTGGCAGCGTCGATGGTCTTTTGGTGAAGGCCTTCGTTTGTCAAGAAAGAGCAGCTTCCAGTAGTACGCCTGCGAAGGCAGTGGATTGCTGGTTCTTGTTACAATTTTAATTGTAAGAGCCCCCGTTCCCGACAATCGTCTTCGCCAACTGCCGTGATGCCAGTTAAGAAATTGCTATCGAAGAAGAGGAAGCGAAGTTTACCAGACGGAGCTCAGCACGGCTCAGCACAGCATGTACGTGAAAGCTGGGTTGCGATCCTCGACAGTTGGGGCTGAACCCGGAGAGGAAATTATGGTGATAGATGGATGTTCAAGGCTGAATTGTTGAGACATCATATATGTGCTTATTTCCAGTGCGTTGTGTGCTGCTGGCTTCGCCTGTAACTGATCTATCGGTACCAGCTTTACCGACTACCTACTTTCCCATAAAAGAGCTCTTTATACTTGCAAAGATCGGGACGTGATCTATGAGACGATGATCGATGTTCTGTGACGTCGATGTGATGCTGAGCTAGTGACAGGCATCGGGAGCCTGTAATCACAAACGCGTCGCTAAAAGGTGGGCAAAGGAGATAAATCAATGTTGCTTGGAGGCAAACGCTAGGAACGTTTCGTCGGTCCGAGGACGATGTCACATCCTCCTAGCTCTCTAGTCTGAGTACTTAGCCATCCTCTCTCCTTATATTAATTAGCAGAATGATTCAGCCCTTGCCGGATCCACGCCTGGTATCCTAAGCGGGACTCCCAACCACCCGCCCAACCGCCGACGTGCACCACCAGCCCTCCTTCACGCTTTCAACCTCCTCCGTTCCAGCTACCCGAGCGCATATTCCAATTCTGTCATCCCCGACAACTAGAAACCCCGCTGCTACCGGCCATCATCTCACTCCACCAGCCCAGCCTAGCCTACCAGTACGCACGGGACCACCGCTCCTGCATCCCACCGACGGCAGCCTAGTCCACCACCACTCCCACCCCTTTCCCAGCCCTTCTTCCAGCGCCCCGACCTCCTCCTCTATCCCTCCTCCTCCGTTCCTCTCCCCCCCTCCCCCCCCAAAGCTGCCCGGGGCCCCACCATGGTTCCCCTCACGTTCGAGGAGGCTGTCGGCTACTTCGGGGTGTACCTGTTCGGACTGGCGGCGTGCGGGGCGCTGGCGGTGGCGCTGTACCACCTGGTAGGGGGGGCGGGGGGGTAAAGAGGAAACAACTAACTGACTAAGGGATACGGCGTCAACATGGGGGCGGGGGGCAGGGGGGGAGGAGGAAATTGACGAAGTGCATGACGGGGCTTCACCATGGGGGCGGAGCGGAAGGGAGGCAGGGATGCAGGAAGGAAAGAAACCAGGGGACATCGTAAGGGCGAGGCGGCGGGGGAGACAGGGGGTTAAGGAGGAGGACCCGTGGCTGCTTTCCTAGAAGAGTTCCTATTCCCGAGCACCGCAGGGGATCTGGCCCTTGGTCTACTGGGGCCGCCAGCCGCCCTCCTGCCCCTCCCCACACTCGACACCTGGTGCCCCTCCCGCTGCCCCCTCTTTACCCCCCGCAGGCCGAGCTGGTGGAGCAGCACCTGCGCACCACCAAGAAGGTAACCTGCCGTACCCCGGCGTGTCGGTGTGAGGTGTGGTGTGCCAGCAGCACCACACCGCGGTACCCGCAGTCGGCAGCATGCATGCATGGGACACGTGAGGCCAGCTCGCAATCGGGGAGCGCAGTGGCCATGGGGAGGACATGACACGGAGGGAGCCTGCTGCTGCCTGCACGGCGGCACTGCCCGGATGCCGGTTGCCTCCATCGGCGCATACCTTGCTGCTGAACGCTGGTCTTGATGCTGCTGACTGCCGCTGCCCGCCCTCCTGTCCCTCACGTACCTCACGCATGCCTCCTGCCCCTCCTGCATGAGTCGGGATTCGGGATTGGGACTCCGTTGATGCATTTATCTATATTTTTCGCCCCTCCTACCTCCCCCATCCTCCCATGTCCTCCTGCCCCTCCTACCTCCCCCATCCTCCCATGTCCTCCTCCCATGTCCTGCTGTCAGGTCATCATCCACACCATCCAGGCCCTCCTCGCCCTCCTCGCGCTGCTCTGGGTGCTCGAGGGCGTGGACGCCCCCACCATGCTGCCAACCCTGCTCGCTCCGCTGGGCTACTGGCGCGTCGTGCAGCGCCGCTTCCCCTTCCTCAGCCCCCGCGACCCGCTGCTGGCGCTGTCCGCGGGCTGCACGCTGGTGTCACATGGCATGTGGATGCGGCACCACGCAGGCAGCTTCCACCACCTGAGTGTGGTGCTGGGGTTCTTCCTGGTGGTGGTTTGGCTGGTGCCGCTGCTGCTGCTGGTGTCGCTGGCGGCGAACGAGAACTGCCTGCCCGGGGCGGCGTCCGGGATGCCCTCGGGGTTCTACGGAGGGGGAGGAGGAGGGGGAGGGGGAGGAGGAGGAAATGGGGGTGCGGGCAGGGGTCAGCGGGGAGGTAGAGCAGGGAGGACGTTGCTGGGGAGCTTGCTTGGACGGCTGAGTGTGGCTAGCAAGGACAGTAAGAGGGAATTGTAGGTGGGGGTGGGGTAGGTGGGTTGGGGCGGGCGGAAGGGTTGGAAGCGGGTGCAGTGGCAGCAGTGTGATGCGTGGGTTGAGTGCTGGGCGGGGGTGAGTAGCGCTAGACATCTGACCGGAGCTCGTCCGGTTCGGAAAACAGATTGTTGCTACAAGGGGATCATGGTTGAATGAATGACCGCTACAGTGGTTCCCAAGAAAAGAACATGGATAGCTTCTTTGCTGAGCTCTGTCTTTGCTGAGGCAGGTTGCAATCCTCTTGACGGTCAGTCTGGGGAGGTGCCCCTGAGAGAGACAAACCAACGTGACTGTGCGGTTGCCTTTCCTGTTTCCTGAAGGCTCTTACATGCGGCCGGCCTGCTACACGGGCACCTGGGTCGCCGTCACACTTGTTTTCTTACTGCGAGCGGGTGGAGCCATGGCGACTGCTCCACTCGCTTGTGCCACGCTGTCGCACACATGCCGTGCCGGCTGATATGTGGGGCTTGCGAGGGCGGGGAGCCCTCCCAACGATGCGCGAGAGGCTAAGGGCAGCAAAAAAGGAAAAAATCTCAAATACCGGTACTAAGAGCCGCTTCAATTGCAGTTACGGTACGCATCTTTACCCCATCCATCGTCTGTAAGCCAAAAGCAGGTCGAGCAACAGCAACAAGCGGAGGAGACAAAAACGTGTCAGGACGGTGAATGTCCTGATCAAAAGATGCGGTCCGTTAGAGGCAACAAGACGTGTAACGGCGACCCCCCCCCTCTTTCCCTGCCAGACGAGAAGGGAGCGGATCTCAACCCGGCCCAGGGGCCCTCAGTCTAGGACGCACCATTCCGCCCGCCACACCCGCAGCAAAATAAACCGATTGCCTCAGTTGGTTAATGTGCCTACTTAATTGTTTTGTAACAGACGCTACTTAGTTTTGTAGGGACGCACATGTCGCAAGCTTTGTAGGTTCGTTGCGGCAGCTATTGCCCCTCCGCCGGAGGGTCCTCCCTCACTGGCAAGTCGGGCCGCGACAGCAGCACAGAAACCGCAACCCCACGGCCACCCCACCCCCAACTGCAGTCGCCTGGAACTAGTCAATTCCAAATGATGAAAAGGTTAGTGGTAGGGGTCATCAATCCGGTGTCACCAATCTAAGCAAGCGGACGCAGCCAATCATGTTCACGTCATGTGCCCTTGTCAACACAGTTAAACGGCCCCTAAACCATCACAACACCAAGAGCACACAGCTAGCGGCTGCAGGATAGGTCAGCCTGAACCGATAAGACAGCCATGTCGGGTTACCGTAATCCCATGTCAGTGCCTCGTCATACACATACACATGAAATAGATTGCCAAAGCGCCCCAAGCCATCCTGCGCGCAGCGCCCTTACCCGCCTCCCAGCAGCCCGGGCTGGGCCCTTCCACACGTGAACCAGCAGCAGCAAGGTAGGATGTGAGAGGATGTGAGGGAGCCCATGTTAGTTCCGCCTCCGTTCCACCTTTGCACTCCCCCGGTTTCGTCCTCACCACAAAAGCTACCATGGCCACCCGATTCAGCCGCTTTCACATCCCACAGCATGTGAAAGCAAAACCCCTCGTGGTGATTGCCCAGAACACCCCAAAGCAAACCCCTCACCAGCAAAAACCAACAAAACCCAACCAAGACAATGCCCAACAGCAACCCCCAACGCGAAACACGCCTTGCAGCTACTGTTGTTGCACCGGACTGCCCGGTTGCTGCTCGGCGTCACCCGCCGCCCCTGTCGCCACCGCACCACCACCGCCCACTCGCCCAAAGCCACCACCACCAGAAACGCGCGACACCCCTCCTCCTCCTTCCACAGCCGCATGCGCAGCTCCGGCCGCCATTGGATCCGCCCGTCTCGACAACAACTGCTGTTGCTGCTGCTTCTGGACCGCAGCAGCTGCTGCCGGGTACTTGGGCGGCAGCAGCTGCTGCACGAGTGCGAGCTGCACCTGCTGCGCCGCGGTGGCCGGCAGCTGACACACCAGCTGGGACATCACACCCGACGGCATCGCTGTCGCCGCCGCCGCTGACGACCCCAGCAGCCCGTTGCCCGCACCCGTGGCCACAGGCGAAGCATCACCGGACACCGCAGCCTCCGCCTCCGCCCCTGCCGCCCCGGCTGCAGCCTTGAGACTGGAGGAGGTGCCGTTTCCGCTGCTGCTGCCGCCGCCGCCGCCGCCCAGTGCACGCGCAGCAGCCATGGTCTGCAGCAGCGTCACGAGCTGTTGCTGCTGCTGCAGCTGCAGGTAACTCTGCTTCACGCGAATCTGCTCCAACAGGTACTGAAACGTGTGGAAGCTGTCCGGCAGCTGGCCCAGCAGCTCGGAGGCGCCGTCAGCGCCCGCCTCCGCCGCCGCAGCTGCCGCGACGCCAGCCACCGCGGCCGCCGCGGACCCGGATTCGGACGTCCGGCGGCGGCTGGACACCAGCCCCACGATGGTCCACGCGCGCAGCAGCGCCCGTTCCGCCATGCTGAGGCTCCAGCTGGTGCCCTTGTGCTCCAACACCCGAGCGAGGAGGACGTAGGCGCGACCCGTCTCGGGGTGCAGCGGACCCATGCGGGACTGCACTTCTAGGACCTGTTGGTTGGTTGCGAGTTGGTTGGTTGGGAGTTGGTTGGTTGGTTGGTTGGGAGTTGGTTGGTTGGTTTGACGACGGGAAGGAAAGGAAAGAGAGCAGGATGGAGTGAAGCGGGTCAGGGTCTCAGCGGCCACAGGGTCTTTACAGAATCCCCCAGGCATGCATGTCAAGGCACACACGCGGTAGAAATGAGGAGCAAACGGCACCGGGGCTGCAGTACGTGTATAAGTACCCGCCCGCTGCCACCCTGCTCGCCGCTCGTACCTGCTGGCGGATGCGGTTGATCGCCTCTGGGTCGGGTACGTCCCCGGGTCGTGCCGCCTCCACCGCCGGCAGCAGCGCCAGGTGCTGCTGCTGCAGCTGCTCCACCACCGACATGGCCACCAGCGGGGCCGGCTGGGAGGCCGGGTGGGCAGCCGGGTGGGAGGCCGGGTGGGAGGCCGGGTAGGAGGCCTGTGGGGGCTGGGACTGGTGCTGGGCGGGGTGTTGTGCGGGCTGGAGGGGCTGTGGTGGCAGGGAGGCGGGGGGCGGCCTGGAGTCCACGTCCTGCCCGAAAGGCCGGCCATGGGACCCCCAGGGACCCAGCCCTGACGGCCTCCGCAGCCGCCCCTCGGCAGACGCCGACTGGGGGTCGCGTGGGACGCCGCTGGGACCGGTACCGATGCCTGTGCATGATGCTGGGGGCGACTGGGAGAGTGCAGCACCCGAGCCAAGACGTGCTGCTGCATTGCACTGGTCCAAAAAGCCCGGGTGCTGTTGCTGCTGCTGTTGCGGTGGTTGCTGCAGCGGCTTATTGCAGTTCTGTGCGGCATCTTCGGCCTCGGGCGTGGTTCGGTCCCCGCCGTCCGGTTGGGAATCCGGGCTGTTCATTCCGTCGTGGATGGCGACAGAGGTGGAGGCGGCGGGGGCGTGCTGCGGCACGTTGTGTCGCACTGCCGCAGCGTCTCCGTGCTTGGGCTGCTGCTGCATGGTCGTGGTGGCCTGGTTGCCGGCATGCGGGGAATGCGAGGCCGGCCCGGCACCTGAGGACAGACCGCCAGCCGGGGTGGTGAGAGTGGACCGCGGCAAGGGAAGGGGGTGCCGCTCCTCGCCCCCACCCTCCGCCCTAGTGCGGAAGCCGCCGCCGCTGGTACCATGCGAGCTCGCCTCCTGCGCTGCAGGTGCTGCGCCTGCGTTGAGTTCAAAAGCGGCGGCCTCCGCACCGGCGACAGCTGCACCCTGTTTGCAATCCTGGGGCCCGCTGCCGCCGCCGCCGACCCCAGCTGCTGCTGCATGCTGCGGGCTGCCGTGATTGTCGTACGGCAGTGGCACTTCCTCAGCTCCGGCGGACGAGGGGTCCGGAGAGCCACGTGTCTTGACTGCCGCACCCACCTCACCGCGGCCGTCGCTATACTGCTCGAGAGCAGGGCCGGGATGGGTTGCCGTGCCTGCCATTGACGCGGACCGCGGCACCCCCGCTGCCTTCGGCCTTGAACCCGGTGCGGCGTCACTCGCTGCAGCCAGGCCGCTCAGCAGCAAACCCACGTCCACGCCACCCAGGCCTGCCAGCACACCCCCAAGCCCCTCAGGCAGCTGCCCCAGTGCCGCACCAAAGCCAGCCAGCGCGCCATTGCTGGCCAGAACCGCCCTCAACTGCTCCACCACCTCCTCCGTCGTCGGCAGCTGCGGTTGCTGCTGCTGCTCCTTACCACTTCCAGATGCAGGAGAGGTACCGGTACCGCCGCCCCGCGCGCCTCCGCCGCCGTCCTTCACGACCCCTGCGGAGCTGCTAATGGAAGCGCCGCGAGGGGGCAGCCCGCAGCCACCGCGGCTCCGGCTTGGATTGCTGCTGCCTGCCACGGCGCCCCCTCCCCTGTGTGCTGCCGCCACCGCCGCCGCCGGCTCACCCTCGCCTCCAGCAAACGAAGCGACAGCGGAAGGGAACTGAGGCACCGGTCGCAACGTACCAGTGAGGGATCCCTCGCGTGGCGGCAGCGGCCTCAGGCTGTCCTGATGTACGGCACCGCGCCGAGGGGCACCTCCTGCAGACATCGCCGCGGGCAACGGCGTCGCATCAGCTAGCCCGCCGTCGCTCCCCGCCGTCGTCATCGCCGGCATCCTCGAGCGGTGCTGCCAGCGCTGCTGCTGCTGCCGGGCCAGCGCAGCCGTCGTGTCGATTTCGTCCTCTCCGCTGTCTCCCTCGCCGTGGTAGGTGTAGGCGGGGCCGCCGCCAGCCCCGGTGGTGGTGACCTCCGCCATGTCGAGACCGCTGTCAACACGCCGGAGCTGCTGAGGCGGCGGCGGCAGCGGAGGGGGCAGCGGCTCCCGGGCACGACCGCTACGCCTGCTGACAGCCGCCAATGCGTCAGCCTGCTGAGCTACTGCTGCCGCCGCCGCCGCAGCAACAGTAGCACTGCGCGCTACTACACGGTCAGCAGGCCGTTGTACTCGACCGTTGTACGGCAGAGGCGGTTGCCGAGTTAGGTAAAAGTATTCTTCATCGTCGTCATTCTGGGCCTCCAACAAGTCCCCTCCGGATCCTGGGCCCCAGCGGCGACTGTACGGTAGTTGAGCCGGCGCCGGCGCTTCGAGATCTTCGTTGCCGTACATCTCATCCTCCTCGCCGTCGCTGTACACATCACGTTCGGCGGCGGACAACGTCGCTCCTCGCGCGTGCAGCCGGGATTGCAGCTGCGGGCGCTGTTGCTGCTGCTGCTGCCAGTGCCGCTGCTGCTGATGATACTGCTGCGGGTGCCGCTGCTGCTGTTTCTGATGCAGCTGTTTCTGATGCAGCGGGTACATGTGCGGCTGGTAGGTGCGCGGGAGGCGGAGGCGCGGGTGCTGCTGCTGCTGCCTGGAGAGCGCGGGGGGCTCCAGGGCACCAGGGGCGTCATCCTGCTCCGCGTCCTCCTCTTCGCCTTCGCCACCGCCGCCGCCGTCCTCCTCTGTGTCATTATCGTGGCCGTGCAGGCTCCCGCGCGCACTCAGGGTCTGCAGGGAGGGTTCCCGGCTCAGTTGAGCTCGCGGGGGGTGCGACTGCGACTGCGGCGGCGGGTGGCGGCGGAAGGAGGACTGCCGCTCCGCAGCATCGCCACCCACATCAGCACTGCCGCGACCCGGCGGCATGGAGCGTAGGACGGCGGGAGGCTCATCGTCGGGGCCCCTGAGGTCAGGCAGCAACGGCCGTAAGGTGTTAGGGAGGTGGTAACAAGGCAGGATTGAAAGCCACAACCAGGCGACTTGACGCAAACATCAAGGAGAGAAGAAAGTGATGAGTCTACCGCTTATAAACACTCCGCCCCTCACTCTTCGCTCACCCCTCAATCTCATCTGCCGCATCCAAAAGCAGGTGCAGGCTGCTGACCGTGTCACTCGCGCCACCGCTGCCCGGAGCCATCGCGGCCGCTCCACCGCGTCCCCCGCCCGCTGCCGGCACTGCGCCGTACACGTGCCGCTGCCCGCTGCCGCCATTCACCGAGGTCCTGTAACCCCCGCCGCCACCGCCACCGCCTGAAGCCACGCCAGCCGCAACGCCAAGCTCATCGTACGACACCGTACGACGATGCGCTCCACCGCCGCCGCCGCCGCTCAGCTGCTGCTGCTGCTGGAGGGCAAACCCGTACTCCGCACCACCGGCCACCAGACTTGCAGCATTGCGTTGGGCAGCAGCCGAGGGCGCCAGGCCGTTGGAGGAGGAGCGGTGTGCTGCGGCGGCCGCAGCGGTGTAGTACCCCGTGCCGCTGGCAGCTCTGGAGGCCGCGCCGTTGTAGCTCGTGCGCAGGCGCTTGGATGCGGGCTCAGCCACCACGCCGCCACCGGGGTCCAACAGGTCAGCTGGCTCTATTCCCTCCTGGGCCAGCCAGCTGAGCAGCCAGGGCTCGACCAGCCAGGCCTTGAGGCCGAAGAGTCCTTCCTTGGGCCTGCGGGGATTAGGGTGCATGTGAGGAGGAGAGGGATGAAGGTTTTTGGTAAAGCGTGTGCGAGGTTGGGGGCTGCAGTTGGGGGTGCAGTTGTGGGAGAGAAACGGCGGTTGCGGCGACAAAACTGCGGTTAAGTCTTTGAAACTCTCGAAGCCAGACCGCCAGTTTCGCAGAGATTATTGAGGCATTGAGGGTAACAAAGCAATGGCTTCTTTGCTAGCCTCGTCTGCTTTAGCATACACGCTACACGGCTCTTGCTTACTTGATAAACACGGTGGTGTGGGCTTTTTTCCGCACTTCTGTGTAGAGAGCCGATGCCATTGTGTTTTCTGGCGTTTTCCCAGTGCACTTAAGTAGCTTGCGCTCCATGGCCAGCTTGGTGATCTCGCCTGCAGGGGGCGGACGAGGATAGGTAATTACAAATTGCATCATGCCAAACGGCAATAAACAGCACCATACCTGAAGTCATGAGCCGTTCCTCTTGCTTCAGAATTTCAAAGGCAGCGCTCTTAAAAACGCCACCGGTCATTGGCGCCTGCCCCACTGCATTGCTCGGGTCGACGGAGTCAAAGTCACCGTTGTAATTCGCTCTCCTGCAGTCAGACAATGGCGGAAGGGAAAGAAACGCAAAGTGCATAAGTAGATGCAAACTTACTGGAGGCGGCATAGTCCTCGAGGACGGAATGTCAAGATTCGTTTTGCTAGACGCGAGCTTCCGAGCAGCATATGCACCAGTCTGGAGAAGCACACTATGCCATACAGCCACGGGAGCTCAAAGCAATCAACCACGACAAAGGTTATGAGCACCAGAGGCGTTGATTCTTGCATGTGCATGGCCGATGCCACCTTCACGTAAACGCGTTTATAGCCATGACTTTCTGTAGCCGAGGCATGTACGCATGACCTTTCCTGACTCTATTATAACCTAGGTGGATGCGCCGAATAAGCGTCACACGCTGGGACGCGCTTCTAGGGGCGGCAGGCTATGACGGACGCACCTGGGGCGGCCTGCGCCAGTGTGTGCCCTCCTAGGCCCACCGACAAGCCCGTTCATCTGCAACAGGGCAAGGAAGGAGTTAGGGCGTGACCTAGCGTTTACTGCAGCGCCGATGCGTCCACATGCGGACTACTTCCTTACCTTAGCAGTGAATTCCCTTTATGCCACGAAAACAGCAGTCTTTAGTTATCCCACAGCTAATACTGTCACTAAGGTTGGCACTATATGTCCACTAGAGGCCGAAAAACAGCTTTAACCATGTCAAACGCAGACAGATTGCTACTGTCTTTTGTGTTTACACATCTTGACCAGGTTTGCGAAGACAAGCAATGACCAGCTTAGTGGTGTATGCTGCAAGGCGAAAGGCAGCTATGGATTGTGTAGGCTTCCCCCGTAACAGTCGTAAAAAATCCATCATAAAGGTCATTGAAAAGCAATCTCCCAATAGCCATTTCACGCTACGCGTTTGTGTAGTATTGCTTGATTACAAGGCACTAGACCTACATGATAGCAAGTAAACGTGTAGCTCGGAACTGGCAACTTCTGCATACAAGTCTAAGTCTGGTTATCACGGCGCTTTTCAGTCATATATCAGATGACAAAGCTGTACTCTAGTTCGTTTATAGGAAACAAAGTGTAGAACGCAAAAACGGTGTCTCAATAGTATCTCTGCGCTTGCTTGTCATGGCTTTCCCACCTGAGGAGCCGTCCGCAGACGACAGGACGATATATGCTGTAAGTGACACCTACATGGATGCAAAAGTTGATGAAAGAGCTTCAACAGGATCTTGCAACAAGTGTCCTTCCTTCTTGGCAGAAACCTTTCCCCAAAACAGCAACGGAGGACTATGTCAGGCAACTGTTTGGATCATATGGCAGGTATGGGCCCCCAGAAGCGCTTTTGCAGGAGGTGGAGGATCACTAGCTAGCAAAGAACGGAATAGACGTGGGCGGCAAGTCAACTCGTCCCTTAACTGACGCCACATCCCTGTACTCCCCACCCCCGCCTGCTCCCGCTCCCACTCCCCTCCTACCACCTCCATCCCTTCCCTGCTCCCAATCCTACCTTACCGCCTAAACCCCTACCACCCAACACAATGCCCGTCCCGGCGCCCCCCGCTCACACCTGCCACCCTCTCCCCTGCCCGGCCCCTCCCCGTCAGCATCCTGCGCGTCAAGATGCGCCGCGAGGCAGCCACCAACAGCTTCCGCGGCAGTGTATATGTGGAGTTCGCGGACCCCGCCTCCGCGCTTGCCGCCGTCGCCAGCCCCCCCACGCAGCCCCCACCACCGCCCTCGCAGCACGCAGCGAGCAGCTCCACGCCGCCCTCCTCGCGCCTCCACGTCATGATGAAAGCCGAGTACGAACGCAAGCGCGACCATGCAAGCAGCTCAGCCGGCGGCACGCGGGAGGCTTCTGCTGGTGCTGGTGGTGGCGGCGGTTCGTCTTCCTCCCACAAGCGTGCCAGACACCGCCTGAGTGAGGGCCCCTCCTCCTCATTACACCACCACCACCACCCGACACAACAACAATCAGCACAACAGACCCCGCCGCCACCACCACCGCCCCCGCAGCTGCCACCCCACTACTCCAGCCACCCTCTACCCCGCCACAGCCCGGGCGCCCCGCCCGGCTCGCACCCCGACCTGCCGCCAGGCAGCACGGCCCCCTCCGGGACAGCAGCACCACCAGCAGCAGCCTCCTACCCGCAACAACAGCAGCAGGGCCCCGCCAGCGAGCAGCAATACCCCTCCAGCCAGCCGCCCCCGCATGACTCGCAGCACTGGCGGCGGGTGGCTGAGGAGCGTGAGGCTGTCGTCCGGGGGCTGGAGGAGGCGCTGCAGCGGGAGCGGGAGGACAACAGCCGGCTGCACCAGCGGCTGGAGGAGGTGGGGAGGGGAGGAGGGGGAGGGTTGGGGGGGGTCAGGGAGAGAGAGGAGTGCAGAGAGGAAGAAACCAACTGTGTGCGACATGTGGGCTCCACCCGGGTGGTGGTTGCATCATGGCTTCGTGGATGGTGGGCGCGGCGGGGTCCGCGAGAGGGAAGCAAAACGGCCGGTCCCGAGGAAAGCTCGGGTTAGGGCAGTAGGTGGGGAGTGCCATCAGGGTGGGTGGGGAGTGCCATCAGGGTGGGTGGGGAGTGCCGCCCTACCCACCCCGTGTCAGTCAACATGTGTTGCCCTGTGCGCCCCCGCTGCTGATGCCTCACCTAACCCTCCCCCCCACACACACACCCCTGCCAGTTTTCTAAACACACACCTACCCTTCTTAACACGCCCTTTCCCTGCAGGCCCAGCAGCGAGCGCAGGATGCCGCCTCACGCGAGGCCGCAGCCAGTCAGAAGGTGCTGGCGCGGGAGGTGGAGATCGGGTCGCTGAAGGGCGAGATTGCCATGCTGCGGACGCAGGTAGGTGCGAGGCGGCGGGTGGGGGTGCTGCTAGGGAGGTGCGAGCCGGGCATGCGGGTCTGGGGTTCGGTAACAGCAGAGGGGAGGAAGAGGCTGCTGACAGGATGCTGTTGTTGGGCCGGCTTGCTGTCGCGGCTAGGGCTGCGGCATGTCTGACCTGCTGCCTGATCCACTCCGCCATCGCTGCGGCCCTTCACGGTAAAAAAACTGGCCCTACATGAAGGATGAAGGATCAGAAACGGTTTGAGCGGTGGTTACGTGGTTTACCCATGGATAAACAACCGCCAACACCCCGCCTCCGCAGGGCGCGGCTGCCCTAGAGCGGCAGAGTGCGGCGCACAAGACCCGCATTTCGGAGCTGGAGGCGTCCCTGCAGCGGCTCAAGGACACGCTGCTGGAGAAGGAGCGAGGCGAGCGGGAGGCGAGCAGGAAGGCTGCAGCAGCGGCAGCGGCGTCCGCAGCAGCAGCAGCAGGAGCCTCAGCAGCAGCGGCAGCGCAGAGGGAGAACGGGGCAGGGGGGCGGCGGGTAGGGGCTGGAGGCGCGAGTAATGGGGCGGGAGGCGGAGGGGAAACATTGTCCTCGGATGATTTGTGAGGGAGGGAGGAGGTGTGGGGGTGAGAAGGTGGGGTTGGTCGTAATGGTGGCAGCAGCGGCAGCTGGGTGTGTAATAAGTTGAGCGAAGCGGTGAGGGCACATGGTGTGCGGGGGGGGAGGGTGAGGAGGAAGCTGGAGGTTGTGCTGATGAAGGCGGCATAACAGCGGACAATGATGGGTGTGCAGGTGAGGTGGGCAACGTGCATGCGTCGTGCATGAGCGGTAGGGGTTAGGAAGCGGTCAGCGTGAGGCGCGTGTGCTAGGTACGACGCCGCTAGGGGGGTGCTGGGGTGGGGTGATGAGGTGGGGTTGCGGAGAGAGGGGGGGTCCCGCATGCAGGTGCCGGCATGTAGGGCGGCAAGGTCTGGTGGGGTGTGGGCTGGGGGCGAGTGCAATGTTGCAGGGGGGGAGCAACGAGGGCGGCAAGCGTGCGAATGCTACTTGCAAGGTCGGCAGCAGTCTGGAGCAATAAAGAGCGCATGTGCTTGCGCGGCGGCTTACAATGTCTTAAATCTTTACCTTGCCGTTGGCGCGGTTGTGAGCAGCATATGCAGATGTGTTCCTACAACGGCAATCAGGACACGTGCGTATCAATTTTTTCGTACGCCTTATCTCTTTCTCTTTTTGGCTAAAGCGCGTGAGCATCACGCACGACCTGCTCCCACGCACCAACACCTACATGCGGCGTCAACTGGAAAAACCCACGCCGTCGCTGTTTGAACCCCTGCACGCGCACCCCGCCGGCACACACCCCTGGCAGCCCTCCAAGGCGAGCAACGACATGGGCCATGTTAACCTTAGAAAAACACCGCACGCACGCGCTGGAGTCCTCACCACCGCATGTACCCCTCCCGCATGTGCTCGCTCCCACAGACCCCCGCAGGCGCCCGCACACGCATGCAGCGTTGCCAGCACACCCGAACGCCACGGCCACGGTCAGCCGAGAGGTCAGCCGACCCGCCTCTCAACTGACCAGCCGCGCCCCAGGGCACCACCCACCGCTACACGACCATGTGCTACCGTTCCAGGAAGGCAGGCGGCATTTATGCTGCCTGATCCCTGCCTCTCCAAACCCGCAGCCCGTCAGTTCCTTCCTCCTGCTTATCCGCAGCTCGCAGTTTACTTAACACAACTCTCCCACCCCCCATCAGCATCCCGCGGCATGCACACCACTACTGCTGCTCCTTCCAAAGGCCGCTCGGCGCATACCAGCCGCCCGGTTGCCGCGTGATGAGGCGTGCGGGCGAAATGAACAAGTCCTGTGGGCCGGAGAGAAGGTGAGTAGGTGAAGCACCCGAGAAGGGGGGGACATGAGGGCGGCGGGGAAGCCTCTCATGACCCCTGCGGGAACCCCAAGCCGGGCCGAGGGGCTGTCACAGGCATTCGCCCCTCCTTGCTCTGTACCCTGCCCACCCACCCACCCACCCTCTCGTACAGCGTCCCCTGTTCCCTTTTCCCTCAGGGCCTGTCAGCTAGTTTCCCACTATCACACCACACATTGGAATTTCTTCTTTCCCCCGCCCTCCCCCCAACCTTGTACCTTGTACTGCTCCTCCCGCCGCAGGAAGTCCGGCACCGTGTCCGCTCCGAAGCACACGATGGTGGAGCCACTGCCCGTCATGAACACGCTGCGGAAGCACCCCGCAGCCTGCAGCCGCTGCTTCAGTGCCGCCAGCTCGGGCAGGCTGGCGGGTGGGAGGGGGCGGGAAGGTAAGGGGGGTGAGAGGGGTGCAAGGGAAAGCACAGTGCGAGCCGCGGACCACAGAACTGCGGGCCGGTCCCACGGCTCCTCCCACGCCCCTCACATATGGCGTGTGAAAAACACAGAGCCAGTCGGTGCTGCTGCTTGCATGCTTGCATGCATGCACAGCCAAGTGGGTATCTCGCAAGAGGGTACGGTACTGCCCAGCAACACTCCGCGAGCCACCCCCCCACGTCCTCTCACTTGTCGAACGCGGGCTGCTCCAGGTCATTCACCGCCGAGCCCTGGTCCACCCCTCGCGCCGCCGCAATGTCCGCCAGAAGGACCCGTGGGTCGGCCGTCGAGCGGCGACCAAGATCCAGCGATTTGAAAATGCGCGGCGTGCTGAGACCCACAGGCGGCTTCACGAGCAGCATAGGCATGTCCAGCGGCACTGGAGGGGCCACATCCTCCACCACCTCGCCTCGTCCCGTGCAGTAGGCGGCGCCGTTGGAGAAGAAGACGGAGATGTCGGAGCCGATCTCGCCCGACCACTCCAGCAGCTCCTCATTGCTCGCGGGGCTGCCGAGCAGCATGTTGGCGGCGAAGAGGGTGGTGGCGGCGTTGCCGCTGCCGCCGCCCAGACCCGCGCCTGAAGGGGCAGAGGCAGAGGAAGAAGAGGAGGAAAGTGGGTACACGCGGTAATGTCGATGACGATAGTGGCTACCCGGAGAGAGGGACAGCAGCGGAGGGGAGGGGGTAAAGAAGGCAACCCGAACCATGTGACACGGCTCCACCGACCCGCCAGAGGCGAGGCAGAGGGGCGCGGTTGCAGGGAAGGTGCTGTAACGGGCAACGGTAGCAATCCAAGGCTTCTTGACAGCGTTCAAGCTGGGGTCCTTTAGCAGGGGGGTTCAGCAGGCGTATTGAGGCCACATGGGAGCCTTCCAAGGGAGGGCCTGGAAGCAAGGGCGGGATGCGGGCCTGCGTCACTCACCGTGTGGCACCCGCTTGTTGAGCCGCACGTTGAAGTACATGCTCTGCAGCGTCTTGCGCCGGTAGAGGTTCAGCGCCTGAGGTTTGCAAGGGAATTAAACAGCATGCAAGTCAAGCGCCTGCATAAGCATGTGTTTGTTTTCCTTCATCATCATCATCATCCAGAGGAGGTAACCCAGGGTCCAGGTCCGAATACAGCGAGGTGGCTGCTGCTGTCCTACCGGCCCCGCAGCCCCATGGCTCCCACCTTGATGACCAGGTTGCTGCCGTCGGAGGGAATGGAGGGGTCGGAGCAGGTGAGGGTGTCGCTGGTGGCGTGGGGGCTGGTGGAGAACTCCATTTCGTCGCCCAGGTCGATCACCTGCAGGGGGCAACCGCCAATAACAACAGGCCGTCACTCCATGCCGTACAGAGCGGAATTGCGGTTGATAACCTGCGGGCCACCAACCCACGAACCCGCTCAATCCACCACAGGATGCCACAGGACGCCACACGCCGTCAAGTCGTACAGAGCAGAGTTAGGGAATGCCGTACAGGATAAGGTTGGGTGCGACAAGGGGCAGCGCAGCAGTCACAGCTGTTTGAGGACTTCAACGCCCGCTGTGGCTTTGGCTTTGGTCTGTGGGGATTGGGCTTTTGGCCTAGCGGCTGGGAGGGATAGAGCACGCCAGGCGGCGTTGCGGAGGGAGACTAGGGGGTACATTGGTGGTACCAGTTTTTGCCACACAGGGTCGCACTTCAATGGGTAGAAAGTCAAACCACGTCCCAAGCTTGCATTACGAGCCCTGTGTCCAATATAGATACTTGGTAAGAGAGCATCTGTCAGACAAGTCACGTACGTGGAACAAGGATGCCAAGTCGTGGTATCCATCCTCACGGCGACGAACAACCCGCAGGAAGAGATTGATCTGCAACCAGCAGAGGTATGCAGGGGGCTTGCATTGGTGTTTGGGCGACTTGCCCTGAGGTAACCATTGCACGGCGAAACACCGCAGGATGAGACATCCTTGCATGCCACATTCGCACCTTGGACGGCGAAAACAGCTTAACGCTGTTCGTGGTGCTGAAGCCGTGAGCGGCAACGTTTGTACGTAGACGTGAAGCCCTATTGCAAGGAGGTGATCGCTGGTAGGGGCGACGCGCTTGCCCCCTCATCGCGGGGTGCGGCATAGTCTGGTGCAGCATGGCGATCAACTAGACGCGTATATGGGTGGTAACTGTGCGTCCACTTTGCGGCAGTGGCAATAGTCAAAGAAGCAAGCGACGTCAGCAAGCAGAAAAATGCTGAAGACGATTAAGCAGCCACAGATGCATCCAATTCAACCTTATAGCTGCATTTGATGTTTGTCACTCCAAATTGACTAACTACCCATTCTACAGATGCTTTGCAAGGTAAGGGCTGTACGGAAGTTCGGTGGACGAGACTTGACAGATTGACTGAGCGGCGCAATCGGACACGCGTAGACGGTAAAAGCTTGTACCTTAGTGACAAAAACAGGTGTCATCGATTCTACCCGGTCTTTGCATGTTCTGGTCGAGCACCGAAACTGCTCCGCGCGTTACCAGCCATACCGAATTCGTACTAATCCCTTATACACAAAAATGAATAGCAATTTATTACTACATCCTTCCCGGAGTATGCGGCCGTTTGCTGCGGCGACCCCGTCGTCCCCGTCGACATACGCGGCGTCGCGTTGCATGCTTCGACGCATAATTCAGCACCGTGGTAAGCCTAGGCCTCCATTATCTACACTATTCTCCCAATTGGCGGCACTGTTTGCAAGCACCATGGTTGGTACACTGTTAATGGTTGCTCCATTGGTGGCCAGGAAGGTTTATTGGGTTGCAATGTCTGCTGTGCGCCATCTTGTTGGGTTATATGTTTCCAAAGGTCAAGCTGATTCTTCCCCGGCTGCAGGAGGGCTAGCTGCAAAGCAAACATGTGAGGGCCGGGGACGTCTGCAAGTCGTGTGTATGGTAAGCGTGCACCTCGGCCCCGCTGGGTTTGTGTTCTACCTGCTCTCCCCGCACCATCCCGCATATGTACACCATGCACTTAAACAACAGTTGTCAGCTGGCCAGGTAGCTTTCAGCTGGCCAGGTGGCTTTCAGCCGGCCCCCGGGTTTTCCCTTGTCCATGCGGCCATGCCCTTCCCACACGGCCATGCCCCCGTTGCTCAGCAGGCCTGTACAAGCAAGCCTGAACGTGCTCAGGTCATGCATGTCCCCCCTACCACCCTCTGCACCCATCATGCCTGCTGGCAGCCACCCCCTGCTCACTCCTCACCACCTGCCCCCCCACACCTGGTTCCATGAGCCGTGTCACACGGTATATGTGCCAAGTGTTCATCTGCCCCCCACCACCCACCCAAACCCACCACCACCTTGGGATTCTTTTCCCGGCCAGCACATTGATTCTTCTCCTCTCAGCTCCTCTTACCCCCGTCCTCGTCCCACCTCCAACCCCACCCCCACCCTCCCCTATCAGGCGCACCCCCGGCGAGTGGCCCGTGTGTCCAGCCAGATCCAGCGCGAGATCGCCGACTTGTTCGTATCCGACCCGGTGAGCCGCCCGGCCTCCGGGGTGCCTCCCAGCGCTTCCTGCCCGGGGTGCTTTCCTCCGCAAGCCTTTCAACGCCCTCCCCTGCGGCGTGCCATCTGTCTCTGACCCACACCTCCCCTCCCTCTCCCCACCTCCTCCCAGGTGTTCCAGTCTGCCATCTGTCCCGAGCGGCGGCTGGGCGACGACACGCTGTCCGCGGTGGCTAGCATCACCAACACATACGTCTCAAACGACCTGCAGGTGGGGGCTGCGAGGGGCGGGGAGGGCCTTGACGTGAAGACGTGTGAGAAGACGTGTTTGGTTACGGCTGAGTGGGAGCTGGAGTAACGGGGAATGGCTCTGCACAAAACCCCACAGCTGGGCAGCACCACCATGATGCCGCTGCGAAAGCCGCTGCACACACCTGTATGGGTGGCGCATCCCTGCCCTACCTGCCCTACTGCGCTTCCGAGTGTGTCGTGCTTGCTTACCTGCTGTGTTCCCGCTGTTCGCGGCTCTCGCCACCGCGACTGCTCCCTCCTCCCGGTCCCTCGGTTCCCTCTCGTGTCCCTCTCGGTTCCTTTCAGGTTGTCAAGGTGTATGTGTCGGTCTACAGCGACGACTACGGCCGGGCGGTGGCCATGAAGAACCTGCAGCGCCTGCAACCGTGAGTGAGGCGCCCGGGGGGCTGGGTGGTGGCTGGGGGGCTGGGTGAGCACACATGCGGTGGCACATCTTGCGGTGCATGGGGCCTGCATCATGCGTGAGTGCGAGGTGCACGGCGGTGACGGTCGCACCCCAGGCGAAGCAATCCACACCACACACATGCTCCGTTGCTCTAACTGCATGGCATGGATGCTCACGCACTGTTGTTGTAGTCATGTGTCCTCCCGCCTGCCAAAAGGAAGGCTTCCACGCACCGCTACCGGTAGGTTGAATCCCCAGTCCACTCATAAACACACCCCAGACCCCAACCCAGACCCCACCCACCGCACACCGTGCACCGCTCCCCCTCCCCGCCAGCTACGTGCGGCGGCTGATCGGGCAGCGGGTGCAGCTGCGGCTGACGCCAGAGATCCGGTTTGTGTACGATGACAGTGAGGAGGAGGCGGACCTGGTGGCGCGGGTGATCGGGCGGGAGGAGGTGGCGCGGTACCGAGCGGAGCTGGAGGTGGGAAATTGAGGGGGGCATCCGGGGGTTCATAGACCATACCGAACCATAGGAAGCCACAGGTTGGGGCAAGACAATGGGGATAGGAATGGTAGGAAGGGAGGAAGAGGCTACCGGCAGCCCTTGTTGACTCCATCCTGTACGGCAACTGAGTGGTGGAATGGGGGAGAGATCAGGGGGATTAGATAAACTGAGCCGCGGAAACAGGGGGATTAGGTAAACTGAGCCGTGGAAACACTGAACCTGACGAAAACAGGGGGAGTAACCATGCTTGCATTTCAGGGAAGTAACCATGCATGCACTGCTTGAGGTAGTGGAGCTCCAACCTGCTCTGCTCCGGTGTGCCTTACGTTACGTGTGCAGGCGGGTGCGGCGCCCGGGTCCGGGCGGCAGGGCGGAAGCGGGGGGGAGCCAGAAGACGGTGGGAGGCTGGGTGGGGGTGGGAGCAGCGGCCAGGGCGAGTTAGGGGTGAAGATGTAGGGTGGTGGCGGTGGTAGTGGTGGTGGTGGTGGGGGGAACCAAGTGTAATGGCCAGGGGGGCGGCGTGGGCGGTGTCATTATGGGGTTGACGGCTGCTGGGGGGAGTGCAGGAGCGTGGATCGAACGCAGTAAGGGCGAATAGCGGGTTGCAAGGGGTTTGCAACCCGTCGGAGCAACATGGCTTTTTCGGAGCGCCTGAGCATATGTTGTTCTCTGATTGTGCCCTCCATGCAGGCAAGGAGGAGGAGGACGGGGAGGGCGCAGAGGAAGGTGACGAGTACGAGGAGGAGCAGGAGTACGACGACGAAGATTTTGAGGACCCCGATGAGCGGCCGCAAGTCATCCCAGACCCGTTTGGGGACCTCTTCACGGGAAATGGCGAGGAGCTGCTACAGCAACGAAGCGCCCGGCGGTCCCGGCGGTAGCAGGGATCACGCCGGAGGACTCAGGGATTAAAGAGGAGGGGCGCGGGCGGCAGCTTTGGTAGCGGCCATGGCACTGGAGGGACAGGCATGTGGGCTAGAAGTTGGTGATGTTGCTATATGCCGAGTGGTCATCAGGGATGATGGCTATGCGAGGCACTGGCATGGTATAAGATGAGAATGGATGCCGCGTAATGCTGCGTGCCTTAGCGGATGGGCGACGTACGTGTCGGGGAGCCTTTGGCCATTGTAGGGAAACCGAGAGTTGAGTCAAACCGATGAGCTGTCTTTTGTTCGTACTAATACTGTCGAGGCTGTTCACTGCACGGCTTATGCCGCTACGTCGTGCCCCTCGTGCGCATCTACCGGTACGGCAATTTTGTGTCCCAGTCCCCAGGATGTGTAATGTGCAACGGAATGTAAGTTTGGCTTCACATATGCATTTCAATATTGAATTGTATGTGATCCCTAGCATTACGGAAGAGGTGCTTGGTAAACCTTGTCGCCAACTTTCTACACGTCTTCACGGAGATTATTCAGCCCAACATGTCTAAATACGCAACGCTCGCCATACTAATGGAAAACACGTTAAAGCGTAGCACAGGTCAATTATCTAGTTAACTATGTTCGCTTAATTGGCAGTGGTTGGAGCTGGGCTTGTCAACGGCGGCTTCGCATGCCTCCTTGCTTTGGAGGGCGAATAGGAGCCTATAAGCTTGCAGCATGGCGGTGAGCAACGCGCTGCCCTACCGCAACCATAATGCTTTACTTTGTTCTGCTACTTCGTATGCACGGGGCGCCACCAGCCATACAGTTTATGACTATGTGTACGCAATTATGCGTAAATGGGCACCATGGGGTGTCACGTTGCTTTGACGAGTGTCCGAGCCTATACCCACGTGCTATCTAATATGCCGGTTTACCTTTACCTGAGTTCATGTGGACGTACGTTGTCTACATGAAAGCAATATTACAGAGTTGTACCTAACATTGCCTTCCAGACCTCACAGTCCGGATGGCTAGGCGGCACTAAACCTAGCTTATTGCCTTGCGCTTACTTATACAGCCCACCCACTGCCTTTTCACACGATACCAGCATGAACTCAACGTCTCGAACCACTTTCCTTGCCCAACCAAACTTAAACAAGCAATTCCCATCCAACCCTTCGTCCGCAATGCCCCTCCCCTCGCTCCCTGCACACAGAATCGGGACCTAGTCAACCGCTCTTTTGAACTGAAGCCCGTTCCCGAGTATGACAAGCTGTCCAACTCGGCCTTGCCGGCCCAGCTTGGAAAGAGCCAGCCATCCCGAACTGCTGGTTCGGTAACATTAGCTCGCGATGGCGGAGATGGAAACGGAGGCGGACAGGGCGCCGGCGCGTCTCGCTTAGGCCGACAGGGGCTTCCCATCGGGCGAGCCAGCATCGTGTTAAAGCAGACGGGGCGTCAGCTCATTGATTTGGGTCGGCTGCAAGCCAACTGGCTGAAAGACACGCTGGGGAAGAAGTCGGATGCGCAGGACTACGTGAGTGAAGGTACGACATGGGTGCGATATTGGGAGGGACGGAGGTAGGGCGGCAGGGGTCCGTAGGGACGAATCAGGTGGTGACGGACACGCTAGATGGCTTCGGGTTGGGTCGGTTAGGGGCTGTGGGAATGGCTGGAAACGGATGTGCGGTATACCCTGCGCATGCCACCGCTTTGCAGGGCATCGGCACTTGCAGGGGTTGCAAGGCATTGTGTTAAGGACTTGCGGGCCACAGAACGCGACCGTATGGTAGTGAGGTGTTCGGGGATAAGGGGTGTCCGGTGTGGCGGGTTGAGATGTGAACCATGGGTCGCTTGGATCCATCGGAGGGACCGATCTACCGTATGAAGTGCGGATAAAAGGCGCCCTAAACGAGCCCATTGCGAGCAACGCACTACACTGGAACGTTGTCCGTAGTAATAAAAATGTCTAGCATATGTCAAGTGCACTTTCATGCGGGGGCGAAATTCGGGTCCGCGCCTAGCTTAATGCCAGCACCGCGAGGCTGAAGAAGCGAGCAGTTGTTCCCCTCTGCTTTCCCTCCTCCTCTACCGCTTTTCCTTCCATTGATTGTAGCCACAAAGACCCGGCTCCGCTCTACGACCCTCTACAACCCTCTATCCTCTCCGCCACCACCAGCATGCGTCGCCCCACCCCGCCCCCGCACCTCTCACCCCCTCCCCTCCCATATTCCTCCACCCTCCCCACCTTTACGCCCCCTCCCCTTCTTCACGCGCCCCACCACCCCGGCCCACTTCACGCGCTCCTCTCCCACCCGGTCCGCCCCGCCTGGCTGGCTGCCCGCCTCGCCTCCCTGGCCTCCTCCTCCGCCTCCGCCTGGCTGGCCGCTGCAGAGGACCAGGGCATTGTGGCGCTGCTGGCTCGTCACGTGGACGTGTCGCACAACGCCTGGCAGCAGCTGATGAGTGCACTAGGCACCTGGGACGGACAGTTCTTCCAGTGAGTGGGGGCTGGCGGGTGTTGGCGGGTGCCGTACACCTGCGTGCGGGTTACGGCGTGTCGGAGGAGGGAGGATGGGAGGGAGGGAGGGAGGGGAAACTGGGCTGGGCTTGGGCTGTGCCCCTGGCAGGAGCAGGAGCAGGCTGCTGTGCAGTACGCTGGCAGCTGATGCGGCACCTCGCCCCCCCAGCTGATGTGTACACTCGTTTTCCTGCGGCACTGCGGTCCTGTGTTGAGAAAGCTGGCAGCGAGTAGGCCCTATGTTCACGTTGCGTCCTCCCACCACCCCGCATGCGTGCCCCCGCATGCGTGCCCCAAGAAACACGCATACGGCATGTTACCACTGCTCCCCCATGCTGTACGGAATACCCATGTCCTCTAACCCCGCCTGTCGCACCCCTCCCCTCCCCCCCTGTCGTACCCCCCGCTGCCAGGAGCGGCTACGGCCCAGCTCCGGAGCCCCACCGCGGCGCCGTGCAGCACGGGGAGCAGCCGGACGCGGCGGAGGCGGGGCAGGCGGCGCAGCATTCGGGACCCCCCGTGTGAGTGCATGCGGGTGGGGGGTGGGGGGCAGCATGGGGATGGGGGGCAGCATGGGGATGGGGGTGCAGCATGCAGCGCTTTCAGGCCTTCGAGGCAGGGAGGATGGAGGCAAAGGGTGAGGGAGGAGAGGGGGGTGGAGAGGCGGGACTACGGCCGGCCTCAGCGTGCGCTGAACTGCTGCTGCTTGGGTCGTCCGGACACCTGCTGCTGCTGCCACCCCCTCCCACCTCCACCCCGCCTCCCTGCCATGCTCCCGCCTCCCCGCTGCCCCCCTCAGGCGCAAGTCGGTGTTCGGGCTCAAAGTGATCCACCCGTACAACCTCTTTGCGGTACTGTGGACTGTGCTGATCCTGCTGCTGGACCTCTTCTACACCGCCTTCTGGGTGCCCATCAACGTGAGACCGGCAGGGCAGCAGACCGGACACATGGCCCCGCATGGCCCCACAGTACCCCGCATGAACCAACATGACCCCACATGAACCAACATGAGCTCCTGGCATCGCAACGAAACCCCACCTACCGCAGCCACCAGGGGCACCAGGGGAGCAAACAACTGCTGGGCTAGCGCCACACGGAGAGCAAACATACACACGTGCCGTACACTCCAGCCCCTTGTGTCGTACACCTTCTCCAACCGCTTGTGTCGTACACCCCTCCGTCCTCCAGGTCGCCTTCTGTACGGCGGAGTACGGCCAGCTGTCCTCGGGCTGTACGAGCAGCGAGTTCGTGGGCGGGATGTTGTACTTCATTAACGCGCTGGTTGGCTTCCAGGTGAGGGAAGTGAGACAGGGACAGCTGCGGGTATACCGTTTTCGAATTTAAACCTTTGAATCTGAGTTTGGGTTCCTGTACCTTGGCTCATCATCCTTCCGCTCCCCCCCTCCTCTAAACCCCCATTGCCCTCCCCTCCCTCTAAACCCCCGTTCCTCCCCTCCCTCCTCCTCTAGATTGGCGTGGTCGCTACTCACGGCTTCCGCAAACGTACCGTAGTGGACGGTCGTTTGGTCGCCTGGCTGTATGCTTGGTACGGCAGGTTCTGGCTGGACTTCGTGGGTTCCGTACCGTTTATCGTACTTGTGATCTTGATCGCCGCTCGCGGTCACATCCACGTCGGCAAGAGCTGGGTGAACTGTTTGTCGCTGCTGCGGCTGCTGCGGCTGGTTCGGCTGGTCAGCATCTCACGGGTGAGGGGGGCGGGGAGGGGGAAGAGGGAAGGAGGGTAGGTAACGAGAAAACCAAATGTGACGGCTGCTTTGGTGGCCTCGAGGTCAGGCGGGGAACTGCAGCTCCACTGGGGGAACAGCGTGCCTGGGCCTTCTCCTCCTCCTCCTCCTTCTCAACCCATCCAAATCTATAGACCTATAAAATCCAGCCAAATGCGGACTGCATATCCCTATTACCGATAATCTCCCCCCTCCCCCCCTACCCCCCTTGCTTTGCCCTAACTTGTGGTCTCCTAAGGTTTGGTATGGTCTGTGACCCCCCTCCGCCCCCCCCCCCCCAGGTGGTGTACATGGACGCTCTGTCGGGTTCCTTCCAGGACAGTGCGGTGGGGCGCTACCTGTCCGTCACCGTCATCCATTCCGTCTTCCTGGCCTACCAGCTGGCGGTGGTGATCAACCTGCTGGCGTGCGGCATGGTGCTGTGCGCGTACTTCGAGGTGGGGGGGGAGGTGTGGGGGGGGGAGGTGGGGGTTGGTGGTGGTGGGAGAACAGAGATAGAAATACTATGATAATATAAATACTATGGAAGCATGCGTAATGGCGTGGGATGTGGGGGTGATCCGTGCACTCCATCCCCGCAACGGGAGCCGTGTGACTTTTCCCTTTCCTCCCCGCCACTCTCCATCCTCCTCCGCTCCACACACACCCTCCTCCACTCCCCTCCTCCCCCTCCTCCCCCACCTCACCCCCCCCCAGGGTTACGACAAGAGCTGGATGGCGGCGGTGGACTGGGCGGGTGTGCCTACCGCGCACCCGCTCTACCAGTGGTACTGCGCGGTGTACTGGATGATAGTCACGGTGGGGGGGTGGGGGGAAGGGAGGGGGAGGGGGTGGAATTAAATAAGTGAAACAACGAGTCCCAATCCCATATCCCGACTCATGCTGTGAGCGCATTCTGAGGGGGGGGGGATAATACCCAATGAGGAGGGGGGATGCAGGCGGGTGCAGCTGCAGCCGCATGTGTGGCTTTGCTGCTCAGTTGCTGCCCGGTGGGTGGGGGGGTGGCAGGGTGGGTGACGTACCATGCCACCTCTCCCTCCTTCCCTCCAGTGCGGTGACCCCTCCCTCCCGCACCCGCTGCTGTGACCCATGGCTCCGTGTCCGCCCCCCTGCCCCCCTGGCTCAGTTTACTTAAGTCCCCCCTCCTGCCCCTCCTGCCTGCCCGCCCCCAGGCCACCACCACCGGCTTCGGCGACTTCCAGCCGCGTAGCATCGCTGAGCAGGTGGTGGCCAACGTGGGTATGGTGGGCGGCATGATCCTGTTCGGAGTGCTGGTGGCGTCCATCGGTAATGCGCTGTCCAGGGCGACAGCGGAGGCGCACCAGGTGGGGGGGGGAGGTTTGGGGGGGGGGGGGCTGGGGGTAAACATGAGGAAACGGACGAGGCAACTAAGGAGCTGTGTAACGTGTAGGCTTCACCCATGGGGGGGTGCAACCATGGGTGGGGTGGAGTGGGGGGGAGGGGTGAAAGACCACATACCACAGGTTCGGACAAGGTGCAATGGTGGGATGGGGATGGGTATATGGGGTACAGAGGAAACCACCAACTGACCGTGTGGGTTGCTTTGTGCGCCCGGGTTGGCGATGCTGCGAGGCTTTGCTGCTGGGGGCTTGGCTTGACCGCCCGTCTTGCTCATCAACCCAACAACCCACTGCATGCGGTACTTGGTTTAGCCCCTTTCTTCTTGTCATGCGCCCTCCCACCCCCCGACCCTCCCACACCCCCACTAACCCATTTCACGTTTCGTAACAAATGGCCTCCCCCTCTCCCCATTGCTTTGCCCTAACCTGTGGTTCTGGTATGTCTTTGAGCCCCGCACCCAGTTTCCTTATTTTTACCCCGCCCGCCCACCCCCACCCCCCCAGGCCTACACCGCGCGGCGCAGGATCATGCACGTGTTGGAGTGGGCGGAGGGACGCAACCTGGCGCCGGACATTCGGAAACAGGTGCTGGTAAGTCGCAGGAAGGAAGGGAGGGGGTGAGGGAGGGGGTGGGGGTGGGGGAGGGGGAGGGGGGAGGGGGAATAATTGAAAAGTGAAGCAACGCTGGGGGGAGGGCAGCTCACAGCACCGCCGCCGTTCCCTAACGCCCAAACCCCAACCCCACGCACCCGTTAGCTGATACCCCTCCCCGCAGCAATAGCCCCCCAAAGGTCGACACCCCGGCACCAACCGCACTGCTTCCCCCACGCCCCCCACCACACCGCCCCATCCCCCCCCCACCCTGGTTTCCTATGGTTCGGTATGGTCTTTGACCCCCACCACACCGCCCCATCGCTCCCCGCCCCGCCCTCTCCTCCTTTACCCCACAACCCCTCTCCCACTACTCTAGTCCGGCCAGTCCACTGAATTCCACCCGCTTTGCACAACACCCCGCTCGGTGCAGACCCGACCCGCCTTACCCCTCTCTCGTGCCCATCCCCTCCCCCCCCCCCGCCCCGCCCCGCCTCTCCCCGTCCCTTCCCAGAACTTCTACTCCGACAAGTACGGCCGCAAGGAGGAGGAGGTGCTGGACGAGCAGGTGATGTCGCACCTGCCCAGCCGCCTGCGCGCCAAGGTGGCTCGGGCCATGTGTCTGCCGCTCATTGCGGATGTGCACATACTGCTGGAGCTGCCGCAGGACCTGCAGGTGGGGTGGGCGGGGGGCAAAGACCATCCCATAGATCACAGGTTAGGGCAAAGCAATGGGGGTAGGAGGCGGCAGGTTGCCACAAGACAAAGTGTTGGTTAGTGTTGGTGGGCGGGGGGGGAGTAATTGAGGCTGGAGGGGGAACGGGGAGAAACGTAATTGAAGAGAAGTGAAGCTACTAGGGGGAAGGGGGTATATGGGGGGGCTGGGAGACCTGCAGGAGCGTGGAGCCTGGGGGTAAAAGGAGGAAACTGAGGGGAGCTGCGTATGACGGGGGAGGGGAGGGGGGGAGAGGAAACTGAGGGGAGCTGTGTGTGACGAGGGGGCTTCACCATGGGTGGGTTGCTACATTGAACCCGGCCCATCCTGCCACAAACCTTAGCGGGGGGGCTGACTGGGTTACCGACCACTGGGCCTAGATGCGAGTGGGGGGGTTGACTGCGGTACACGGAGCCACCTGGCCGCACTCACCCTAGCTGTCGACCAGGGAGAGGCGCCACCACGGCGGCTGTTTTAGCTGTATTCCACGTCGTGTGATCTTGTCGTTTCCCCTTGCTCCTCTCCCTCGTGCAGGCGTTGATCGCTGAGAACATGCGGCCGCAGCGGCTGCCGGCGGGTAGGGGTGGGGTGGGGTGGGGTGGGGTAGGGTGAGGTAGGGGTGAGGTAGGGGTGGGGTGAGGTAGGGGTGGGGTGTCCCCCGGCTGCTGTTGCTGGCTAGGGGAGGTGGGCGGACAGAGCCGCGTGGGAGCACCCTACCTCCCTAGCCTGTTGTTCAGTGTCAGGGGTCAGTACGGTGTCCCCCGCATGCTGTGATACCGCACCCGGCATGTCATGCTGTGATACCGCACCCGGCATGTCATGCTGTGATACCGCACCCGGCATGTCATGCTGTGATACCGCACCCGGCATGTCATGCTGTGATACCGCACCCGGCATGTCATGCTGTGATACCGCACCCGGCATGTCATGCTGTGATACCGCACCCGGCATGTCATGCTGTGATACCGCACCCGGCATGTCATGCTGTGATACCGCACCCGGCATGTCATGCTATGATACCGCACCCGGCATGTCATGCTGTGATACCGCACCCGGCATGTCATGCTGTGATACCGCACCCGGCATGTCATGCTGTGATACCGCACCCGGCATGTCATGCTGTGATACCGCACCCGGCATGTCATGCTGTGATACCGCACCCGGCATGTCATGCTGTGATACCGCACCCGGCATGTCATGCTGTGATACCGCACCCGGCATGTCATGCTGTGATACCGCACCCGGCATGTCATGCTATGATACCGCACCCGGCATGTCATGCTGTGATACCGCACCCGGCATGTCATGCTGTGATACCGCACCCGGCATGTCATGCTATGATACCGCACCCGGCATGTCATGCTGTGATACCGCACCTGGCATGTCATGCTGTGATACCGCACCCGGCATGTCATGCTGTGATACCGCACCCGGCATGTCATGCTGTGATACCGCACCCGGCATGTCATGCTGTGATACCGCACCCGGCATGTCATTGTGATACCGCACCCGGCATGTCATGCTGTGATACCGCACCCGGCATGTCATGCTATGATACCGCACCCGACATGTCATGCTATGATACCGCACCCGGCATGTCATGCTGTGATACCGCACCCGGCATGTCATGCTGTGATACCGCACCCGGCATGTCATGCTATGATACCGCACCCGGCATGTCATGCTGTGATACCGCACCCGGCATGTCATGCTATGATACCGCACCCGGCATGTCATGCTATGATACCGCACCCGGCATGTCATGCTGTGATACCGCACCCGGCATGTCATGCTATGATACCGCACCCGGCATGTCATTGTGATACCGCACCCGGCATGTCATGCTGTGATACCGCACCCGGCATGTCATGCTATGATACCGCACCCGACATGTCATCCTATGATACCGCACCCGGCATGTCATGCTATGATACCGCACCCGGCATGTCATTGTGATACCGCACCCGGCATGTCATGCTGTGATGCCGCACCCGGCATGTCATGCTGTGATACCGCACCCGGCATGTCATGCGCATGTAACCCCGCCCCCTCCCCGCCCTCGTCCGCTCCTCGGCGCAGGTGAGGACCTGTGTCAGCAGGGCGACGTGGCGGACTGCCTGTGGATCCTGCAGGAGGGAACCATCGAGGCCGTGAGATACAGGCAAGAGGTGCCGGCAGGGGCAGCAGTACACGGGGACAGCAGCACACACGCGTTCACCTGCGTTGCGTTGTTTGTTTGAAACACAATACAGAGCTCTGGTTGGCATGTTTTCTCAATACGCGTGGCTCTCGTTTGTCAGTACCAGTGCTGCGGCACGAGTTGCTTGGACGGAATGAGCATACGTTCGTTGCTGAAGAGCACGGGCCGCCAAGCCAATATGCTCTGGCATCACCTGGCATCACTGCTCCGCTCACCTTCCTTGCTGAGCCTGTTGTGTTGCACTCGACCACCTGACATACTACCCAACACTCCTCCGAGCAATGGGCAGCCATTCGTGTTCACAGTCGCTGCCACTTGCATGCCGGTACAGCCGCGTTGCCCTTGCTTGCTTGCTGCCCTCCTGCCTTCCTGCCTCACCCTCGACTTGCTCACTCACCCTCGTCCCTGTTCGGTCCGCGTTGCTGCCTGCCCCTCCGCCCCACTCCTCCATCCCCCCCCCCCCGCCCCACTCCTCCATCCCCCCCCCCCCCGCCCCACTCCTCCATCCCCCCCCCGCCCCACTCCTCCATCCCCCCCCCCGCCCCACTCCTCCATCCCCCCCCCCCCCCGCCCCACTCCTCCATCCCCCCCCCGCCCCACTCCTCCATCCCCCCCCCCGCCCCACTCCTCCATCCCCCCCCCCGCCCCACTCCTCCATCCCCCCCCCCGCCCCACTCCTCCATCCCCCCCCCCGCCCCACTCCTCCATCCCCCCCCCCGCCCCACTCCTCCATCCCCCCCCCGCCCCACTCCTCCATCCCCCCCCCGCCCGCCTGCTGCAGGGAGGGCTCCCAGGCGGTGGAGGCGGACGAGCGGCCCCGGCTGCTGGGCGAGAGTGTGCTTCTGGGGGATTCGGTGGAGGCCTGCAGGTGGGGGGAGGGACCATGCACCCGAACTATAGAAACCACAGGAGGTTGGGGACAAGGCAATGGGGGTAGGCAGTCGCAGGGCGGGGGAGGGATGGACCTCCCGGGGCCTGGGCTGAGTTGGGCCGGGCCCGCTTGACTGGTACCCTGAGCTGCATGGCCAGCAGAGCAGGTGCCTGCTTCCCCACGCTTCCTGTGGGCCACCCCGCACCTGCCTCCGCTCGCCAAGGCCGCACCATGTTCCCCACACACCTCTGTTACCTTTGTTTTGCCTGTGCTCGCGGTTCACATGCGAACCTCTCCCAATTGCTTGCTCTTGTCCTGCTCAACTACACCCCCCCCTACCGCCAGAGTGCGCCCCTGGACGCTGCGCACCGTGACCCCCTGCCGGCTGTGGGGCATCACGGTGGCCGACCTGTACCCCATCATGCGCCTCTACCCCACCCTGGGGCTCATGGCGGCAGAGTACGTCAAGATAAAGACGGTCTACAGCTACAATGGCTTTGCGTGAGTGCGGGGGGTTGCGGAGGGCTGGGGGCGGAGGGCTTGAAGAAAAGGGGGAGGGGGAGGAGACAGGCGGCGGCATGGCTGGGGGCACGAGCACGGCCGCCACATCCTGTGCGGCACCGGTTGGGTGGACGGTACCCGCGAGCTGTAACGTCTCACGTGCTACGATACCTGCGCCTGGTACTTCACTGTATCTCCTACTTAACGCTGCTGTTTTGCAAGTATGTTTTGCAAATGTCTTTTGCAAATGTGTGCCTAGGCAGGACAACCCTTAGGACCGCTCCCTTGTCGCGCTCATCGTCTTGTCGCCCCGTGTGTTCCCCCCTCCCCCCCAACGAAACACAGCACGGACGACGACTGGTGTGAGCTGGTGGCAATCATGGTGCGGCAGCTGCAGGTGCGGTTGGGTGGCTGCTGTCTGGGTGGGGAGTAGGAACAGGCACTGGTCGGGGAAAGGGATACGGCGATGTGAATCTGCGCATGGCTGCGACCGTTACCAGGCAACGGTTACCGTTGACGCCTGCGGGCTGTACCTCTTATCCCTTGGTCTTGCTGTATCGTACATTCCACTTCTAGGCCCCTTCTTTGCCTGTACGACATGCGATGCCGGGTGACGCCCGAATCCTCCATGTCCTCCAAGGGTCGCCTGCCTCCCGCCTGTCTCCGTATGCGCTCACTCCATGAATCGGGATCTGGGATTGGGAGCCCTGTTGCAGCTGGTTGCTCCACGTTTCATATGATTTCCCCCTTGCTGCCCCTTGCTGCCCTGCTGTCGCAATGCTGCAGGAGCGCATGTCGGTGGAGGAGGCGCAGGGCATCGTGCAGAACATGGTCAAGGTGGGCCGGGCAGCGGGCAGCGGGGGGGGGCGGCACATGCTGGCTGTGCACCCTCTTGCTCGCCTGCTGCCAGCTAGCCTGCTACCCCAGCTAGCCTGCTTGCCGAGCAGTCGTCCTAACTAGGCACTAGGCGGTTCCGGCGCACACCTTGCGCAGCCTGCTGTGTGCAGGCTCCCAATCACCGCCCTCTCTCGCGTGCGCACCCCCTGCCCCCCGGCCCCCCCCCCCAGGGACTGTGTTGTTTGGACTTATCTATAATTCTCCCCCACACCCCTACCCCCCCCACCACACCCCTGCCCCCCCACCAGGCCTCTGCGGAGGAGGGCAGTCTGCAGCCCCTGTTGGATCACCTGCTGGGCATTTGCACCACACGACGGGGAGGCGTGCAGGAGGAAGAAAGAGACGCCCTGGCGACGGCTCCATCGGGCCGCTCTGCCATGCTGAGTCCGCAAGGCTCGCTGCTAGCGCCCGGCGCATCAACGGCGTTTTCGACACTGCTGCCGGGGTCTGGGGGGAGGCTGGGAGCGGGTGCCCCGTTTCCGTTCGAATCAGCGGAATCCGCGCTGTCACCGTTCACTGCGACGGGTGCCGAAGGAGGCGGACCGCCGGCGGGCGCTGCCGTACCCTGGGTCGCCGCCCCCGCCGGTGCCGTACAGTGTTCGGGTTGCCAGCGTTGCGTGTGTCCGAGCTGCGGGCAGGGCATAGACGCCACACAGCCCGCAGGAGCGGGCCCGGTAGTGGGGGCTGCACCGTTTGGCCGAGATCGGGCGTCAGCGGTGGCCGCAGCGGCGTATGCGGCAGCGCTGGCGAAGCAGGGTGTGAACAGCCGGCCCACCGCGGGGCCTGCGATTCGGTCGTGGGTGAACCGCGCGGGCACCTTGCGGCGGCAGAGCATCGGCCCGCGTCCAGACCAGATGTGGGTGGGGGAGCGGAGGTCCCGAGACACGAGGCAGCTGGGAGCCATGTCCATTGTGCCCACGTATGATTAGCTGGAGCGAGGTTTTGGAACAGACAGACAGGCAGAGAGAGAGTCGCGAGTCGGAACGTACTGTGAGTGTCGGAAGAATGCGTGTGTGTGTGTAGTTGAAAGCGGGGGACAGTCCCGGAGGACGAGAACAGCGACAGTTTTGTGTCATTCGTAGACGTTGGATGACACAAATCGTCTGACCGGGACTTTTACTGGTAGCGAGTTGTCCTGCGGTTGCCTGGTGCGTGTGCCCTGGGGTCATGCGGCATGGCACACAGTGGCAATGGCGGTTGTGACAGTGATGGTGGCAGTAGTGGTGGCAGTAGTGGTGATGGTTAATAGGAAACAACTGACTGGTGGTGGTGGTGGCGGTGGTGGTGGTGGTGGAGCAGCAGGGGTCTCGTGCAGCAGCGTCGATGTTTCCCGACCCGTCGCGGACCTTCGTGATACCGATTGGAATATGCCAATGCCACGCAGTCAGGAGGGGTGTGCGGTACACGAGGGGGCTTGCATGCTGCATGGTTGGAGGGGGCATGTGGTGGGGTTCGGGTGTCACCACCTCATGTGTACTTCGGAGGAGGTGCGTGGTGATACGGTATGGTACAAGCGTTCTGTGTCCTTGAGGAGTCCTTTGAGAGGAAGTGCAAGTGTGCGCCGTGTTCAGCTACCACTTATTGCGCCGGGAGCGCGTGTGATCGGGTGTGTTTTGCCTATAATATTCACTACCATGACTGCCCGGCCGTTGTGACGCGGCTTTGGGCCGGTCTGGAAACCCCTCGGAAGCACCTTTTCGTGAGCATCGTGATAGAATTGAGGAGTTAGGGTTAGCCGTGATTGATGCTGCTGGGGGTGAGCTGCCAAGGTAGCGGCGATGATGTCCTCGCTGCATGGGGAAACATGTTGGGAGATGCAGTGGCAGGGACATGCTGTTGTTGCTGGCATGGGGGTTTCTCCAGGCCATGGCGGTCGAGAACGGCGCGCATGTGATGGGTCCGCAGTAGAGAGCGGACGTACTGTACGGCGGGAGTTGTTGGCGGAAGTACGGAAATGTTGGGATGTGCGGGGGGGGGGAAGTCTGGCATCCTTGTGTGGTGCCTTCCCGGATGCAAGGAGCCTTATCATCGCGCTTTGGGAATGCAGGGCTACTTGGTGGAGGCGTGAAGACCTGGTCACCCGGCGGCGGTGCGGGGGGAGGTCTGCGCGCGTGCAGCTGGGGGGCTGCGGGTGAGGGGATGATGAGGGGCAGGGGCACTGTTAACAAGCAGGCGTTTGCGGCCTGGCAATTGTGTGTCAGTCATTACATGCTCGCAAGTATCGGGTTTGGGGGGCGGTTCTATGATACGGGAGGTCAAGGTGGTTTGGGAGGGAGTCAGGTATGACACTGCCCCGGTGGGTGGTTACTTCCATACTTGTATTGGGCCAACTGCACGAAGCTATAACTGATTATGGGTACGGCAGATTGTGGGTATAGAGGCTATAATCAGCTGTGGGCGCGGGGAAGGAACGCGCTGCGGGGGACAGGCGCTGGGGAAGGATAGCGCTGCAAGCGGCGTGGGGAGGTTGTGCTATTGTTAAGACCCCTCCACATTGAGACCAGATGCAGCCAGGCGAGAGTGGTTTTGCAGCTGGCGAAGGCGACTCCCGGTACTTGAGGAGGTTACCATTTGTGGAATTAACTTATTGCTCGCAGTGTCTATCAGCGTTAGCCAGAGCCTTTTGGACTGCTCTTGGGTTGTACTGTGTTTTGTAGCCTCATCAACATTTTTCTGTGATGTGGAGGCCTTATGCTTAGCCGGAAAGTGGTACGGAAAAGTGTGTGTGTGAGGGGGGGGGGAGAATGTGGTCAACAGCCCCGTTCATATCCTCGGCGGCTGTTCCGACCCGCGGCCAGTTTTCTTAACACATGTTTGCCGGCGTGGTGGTCTGTGACCTGTATGCGTGCGTCGTGCGATCGGGGTGGGTTTGGGCACACTCGAAGTTACCAATAACACGGGCGTCGTTTGACGCCCTGCGTTGCCCCTATCACGTTGCTAATTCTTGCTACAGCATCGGTATGCCCCGCTTTTATATAAGCGGCGTGGAATTTGGACGTTTAGTTGCGCGCCGGCACCCCTAAGGTCGTGTGGCAAAGGGCAGCGGGCTGTGTGCTGGGCTTTCCTCACAGGCGTCACAGCGCCGTGACTGCGTGTCTGCGCGAGGTGACATGCTCGCTCCCTATACTCGGGACGGCAGGCATGTACGTATCCCGGCCGTGTAACAAGAGCTGATGTCGGCGAGGCGTGTTCAACGGAGCATGACCGGCGATCAGCTTTCAGGGCAGGGGAAGAGGCAGGTTACATCTGCCGCCAGGGCGTCTAGGAGGTTCCGGAGGTTCCAAGGGTTGGACAGAGCACTGCGGTGCTGTCATAGGGTGACCGCCACTGTTAGCCCACTGGCAAACAACACCGTGTGATGCCTAGGTGGCATGCATTCGTGCTACACACTCGAGGTGGTTTTGCAAAAGCTGCTGGATAGCATCCACCATTGGGGTTTTGGGGTAGAGGCGGAAAGTACGACAATGCTGGTCGACCTCAACAGATGGCGGAACAACTATGCAGCTACTTTGGATTAATAGGAAGGAACGTGTAGTACTATAAGCGCTCTGCTTAAGCGGTCTTTCACACTTTCGCGAGCCTGTAGACTGAAGCTTTTACATCCGCTTTCAATATAGCCCAACTGCTCGATCAAAAGTTATATAGCTCGCTATTACATGAACGTACGGTAACTGGCAGGATAAACATGTTAACGCAACCACCGTTGCCGTAGGATTGAACAGTTTATTTGACCATGGCGGACGGCGAGGAGCCACCAGCTAAGCGGCAATGCGTTGAGCAATCACACGTAGAAGTCACAGCTTCTCAGCCTGGTCAGAACGAGGGAGCGGTTGGGCAGCAGAACGCTGGAACATTGCAAGCGACTTTGCACGGAGGGCCCCTGCAAGCTCCTTTTGAACTCAGACCACCACAAAGTTCAATATGCGAGCAACCTGCACCGAGGTTGCCTGCGCGGGAGGCCGAGCGATTAGCGCCAGGCGCATATTCACAGCGCGAAGAAGCCCTAATAAAGCGAGAACAGGACGGAGACATCTCCTTCCGATACGTCCTGAACAACGACGACCCACAGAACCTTATACACTTGGTGGGCCTAAAAAACATCTTTTCCAAGCAGCTTCCAAACATGCCCAGGGTAAGTCTCTGGCGGAACGTGCCCCTGGGGGACCTCGGCACGTGGGGTTAGGGGCGCGTTGACCCGGGCTTGGATGGGTTGCTTCTCGGGGTCCCGGTGGGAAAGGGGTTGGGCACGTGTTGCCGCTGAGGAGGCGTCTCGTTATAGCCCGGGTAACCCGCACTGCCTCTGGCAGTCCCTCCCCTCACGGACCCCCCTGGCGTGCAGCCGTGGACGCTTTCACCACCACCCGCCCTTCCTTAAAGCCACATTACACACCTCCCCCTAAACCCCTGCTCCATCTCCTGGGCCCCATTAGCCCCACCATTTCTCCGCCTCTGCCAGAGCCCCTGCGAGTCCCTCGTGCGAGCTCGGAGTAGCCCCCCGACCTCGGAGGTGTGATCCCACCCGCCAGCAGAAACAGAGCCCTGCCCCCAGTCCCTCTTCCTTTCCGCCCATGTGCCCTTACGGTATCCAGCTCTGAAACCATTTGGGCTCCTTTCTCCTGCCTCCCTTGAACCACATCACCCTCCCGCTGCTCACACGCCAAGCCAACACCTACTCCTCTCACCCCTCACCCACCTAGAGGGGGTAGGATCACACCCCAACCCGGGTCTGTTCCCCTCCCACCCCAACCGGGTCTCTCTCGCTGGCCGCCGTCAGCCCCTCCAGCCAGCTTCCTGCGCCCCCCCCCGGCCCGTGTTTCGCTGCTTTCCAACTGCTCAAGTGAATCACCTGCCCCGTCCCCACCCACCCACCATGTACGCACCCCCCGTGTTGAAGCCTACATGTCATACCGCCCCTCAGTGTCCGCCTTTTTACCCACCACCCGCCCCTCAGTGTCCGCCTTTTAACCCCCCCCTCCTCCCCTCCTCACCCCCCCTCCCCTGGCTATTCATTCCCCCCTCCTCACCCCTCCTCCCCTCCTCCGCCCCCCTCCTCACCCCCCTGCAGGAGTACATTGTGCGGTTGGTAATGGACCGGCGGCACCGCTCCGTGGCGCTGCTGAAGCGCAACGGCACCGTCATCGGGGGCATCACCTACCGCGCCTTCCACGCGCAGGGCTTCGGGGAGATCGCCTTCTGTGCCGTCACCTCGCACGAGCAGGTGCGGGAGGCAGGGGAGGAGGGGGTGCGGGCGGGCGGCAGGCGGGGTTTCCGATGGTTTGGTCTATCCTTGACCCTGCCCCCACCCCCCACCGCCACCCACCCTCCCGCTCCCACCTCCACCCCGCTGCTCGCAGGTCAAGGGCTACGGCACGCGGCTCATGAACCAGAGCAAGGAGTTCGCGCGCAGCATCGACCGCCTCACGCACTTCCTCACCTACGCCGACAACAACGCGGTGGGGTACTTTGAGAAGCAGGGCTTCACGCGCGAGATCACCCTGGAGCGGGAGCGCTGGCAGGGTTACATCAAGGACTACGACGGCGGCACGCTCATGGAGTGTGTCATGCACCCGCGGGTGTGCTTCACCACACTGCCTGAGATGGTGCGCGTGCAGCGTCTGGCGCTGGATGCACGCATTCGGGAGCTCTCCAACTCGCACGTGGTCCGACCGGGGCTGGCGCACTTCGCGGAGCTGGGGAACTCGGGCGCGGCGCGGAGCGCGGTGGCGATTTGGGACATCCCCGGGGTGCGGGAGGCGGGGTGGACTGCGGAGATGGTGCAGCCGGGGCCGCGGTTTCGGTTGGTGTTGGAGGAGGAGGGTGGGGCGGCGCGGGAGGCGAGTGCGGAGGTGCTGCGGGCGTTTCTGCGGCAGCTGCTGGAGTACGTGAAGGGGCTGGAGGAGTCGTGGCCGTTCAGGGAGAGGGTGGCGGTGGAGGATGCGCCGGACTACTACGGTGGGTGCGGGTGGGGGTGGAAGGGGGGAGGAGGGATTGCCGTATGTGTGGTGAGGAGGAGAAGAGGAGGTGGGTGCTCTGCTGTTACCGTAATGTGTTATTGGCATGACGACTTCTGCGTCTTCGGGTACATCCGTGCTGTCGTACATTCGCCCAGGATTGCACACAGCTCTTCCGCCACCGAACCCCACTGCACGTCCCGTCCACACCCGTCCACTCCTATCTCCCTCGCTGTACCTGGTTTCTTGGTTCCTCTCTGACCCCCTGGCATCCCTTTCCTCATCACCTTCCCTCCTCCCTTTCTCCCTCCTCCTCCCCCTGCTGCCCCCAGACGTGATCAAGGACCCCATCTCTCTGGACGTCATGGAGGAGCGCCTCGCCTCCGCCAGCTTCTACATCACCCTAGACATCTTCACCGCCGACCTGCGCCGCCTCTTCGAGAACTGCCGCTTCTACAACGCGCCGGACACCATCTACTACAAGCTGGCAAACAAGCTGGAGTCGCAGGTGAACACCTACCTCTCCAGCCATGTGCTGTTTGAGGAGAAGGAGGGGGGAGCGGGCGCGGCACCGCACCAGCGGTAGCGGTGGCAAAGTAGCAGCAGTTCGTAGGAGGGTAGGGGGCGGGATTGGGATTGCGGTGTGTTGGCAGGGTAGCCGGGTATTGCGGTGCGTTGGCATGGCTGGGGATGTGGGGATTGGCTGGGTTGGCAGACGGGGTGAGGGTATCGAAGGGAGGTGGGAGGTGGGAAGGGATCCTGAGGCAGGGTAAGTTGGCTCTGGTGGGTTGGAGGCGCGTGGGGGCGGTATGCGGTGAGGAGGCCGGGTGGGGGGTTTGGAGGTCTTGGGGCGGGTGGGAGGGTTGGGCTCCTGGGTGGCGCGTTGAGGAGCCGGGCACTGCTGAGCATTACCGGTATGGGTGGCTGCTGTGGGTGTGCGCCCGCCATTGTAGATGAGGAGGTGAGGGGAGGTGGTTTCGGAGCGCGCCCTTGCCTTGTGCCGCGTTCGCAATGAGCCGAGGCTGAACACAACAAATGTGACGACGTGCATACGAGGGGTTGAACAATGGGGGGTAACATTGTTGGGCAAAAGAGGGGGCCAACCAATGAGGGGTGGCTTCCAGTGATTTGAGAGCACAACAGGGTGTGTGCTCGATTGCCGCCCCTGCTTCCGTGGAATGGGGTGGGCTTGAGCCATCTTGTGGCGGAGCCGCGGGAAGAGCACATGGTCTTACATGGAAGTGCCTTTGCTTCGGCGCTTGAAAGGTGTTTTTGGCTGTGCGGCAGGGGACAAGAGCGCCGTGCGGTGGAGCGGGCCCTTCCGCGTGTTGCAAAGATAACCGGGCACTGTTGTACTCCTAAGCGCACGCTGTGTGCTTGCGTAGCCCACATCGCCCGTCCGCAAGTCTCCTAGGGGGCATATTGGGCGGAGCGGTGGGAGGGGGCCTTGCATGGGTCGAGCGATCTGGTGCCAATGCGCATTTCTTGATGCCATGTATGTCCTGGTGCAACGCATTGTGGGTCGTGGCTGTGCAGCATCAAGTTTCCCATGTAACAAGCTTTGCAGCAACGTAACTGGAGTACAACCTAACCGGATTCGCTTATCGTGGCATGTGGGTGGATATGCAAGGATGGCTGTTTATTTGTAAGCAGGCAGGGTGGAATTGAGGTGCTGAGGTTGGTGTGATAGACGCTTGGCGGGGGCTGCCGGGGGTATGCCCCTTTGTAGTGACACACGACCGCATATTACCAACCCCGTACGCTCAAGATACCCATGTATCCAAAAGGGGAAGCGCTCAGCGTCTGAGCTGTGGGCAGACGCTGAGGAATTGGAGTGATTGGTCACGGCGTACGACGAAGAAGAAGGACAAGCACAGAGTAGCGTAACTTGTACCACGGCGCAAACACATGCTCACAGCAGTGTACAATGTTTTGGAAGGACTAGCGTTTTTGCTAGGCTCAGCGTGCATGCAGCTTGGAGCCTTGGACTCGCAAGATGCCCCGTTCTAGCCTTAGCACGTGGCCCTTGGCAAGCTTATAGCTGCCTATAATTAGCACACACGATGATACTTTAAGCAGGTGGCCGTTGTTGGCCTTTGGCCAGTGTTCATCGCTATGCCCCAGGAAGCCTTGATTCGTGCTTTACTGGAGGTAAGATTTGCTATATGTCGATAAGAGTGTTCGGTTATAGCGCTCACAGTGCTGAGTCCTTACACTTCCCTTCTATGCCCATAGGGCCAGGTCGATGCAAGGCTTCATAGGCCGCTTTGGCGCTCAAGTAACCCTCTGGAAAGCGCTTCAAGGTGGGCATTGTCCGAGTCCAAAGGCTGACCTTTTCGTATGGAGGTTCGGCCTGTGTGGCCGCTTTGCAAGCCTCTGCGTGTGACTCGACGTACGTCCAACCTTTCTCTGCACGCAGTGGTAGTGGGTTAGAAAACAGCTTCGAGAAACGGGCCGCAGCTGACAGTGAAGCCCTTTGCGACGCTGATGTGCGCTTATATGGCGATTTGCGCCGTCGGGCCCCGGTACCGAACGCGGGTTTGCATCGAGTGCACCACAGAGACCACAAGGCGCTTATCAACGCTCATGGGGGCAGCGAACATTTGGACGACGCCGCAAGCGGCCAAGCGGCGGGTGAACTTGACTTACACCAATCGCTTGGCACGGTAAGCAGCGGACCTTCGGCCAGAAATAGCGCCGTAGGTGACGCAGTGCGCAGCTTCAGCACCCCGGGATGCGACTGCAGCTGCTGCGCCAGTCCAGACATCGCTGAAAAGGTCCTGTGCAACGACATGCTGGGCGAACATGGCCAGTATACTTGCGCCGGCTGCTGCTGCATAAGACGTCCCCGCGTGCGCCGCAACGGCTTCCTCTCTATCCGCCGCCGCCGTAACGGCTTCCTGTCCATTCGCCGCCGTCGCAACGGCGTTCTGGCCTCTGACGCGGTCTCCTTTGACGGGTCAGGTCCGGTGGCCCCTCATGCCGCGGTGCCTCTAAGTGCTTTGCCGTACCTACAATCCTTCGAGCAAGGCAGCGGCAGCGGCAGCTTCTGCTGCGCCAACTGCTTTCGTAACGAGGGCTTGAGCGACGGTGACGCAGATTCCGAGGAAGCTGCTGATGGGGATGGTCTCGAGGAGCGGCCCAGCTTCCTGCGGCGTGCGGAGGCGGGCGCTACCAGCACAGACGGAGGAGCGGATGGGCATGAGGATCGAACCGGGGATGCAGGCGGTCATGCGCGGAGAGGGGCTTGCATGTGTCATCGGCCGGGTTGCTGCCAGCGTCACCATCACCATCACCTGCACCACCACCTGCAACACCACCACCATCCGCATCACCAGCACCAGCAGCAGCATCGTTATCAGGCGTTTGCCAGCCGGCCCTCCGATATGCATCACGGCGGTGCCGGCAGCGGCAGCGCTGCCGCCCACCAGCAGGGTTACAGCCGTGTCGGAGGCAGCTGGAGGCAGCCAGGATATGCGGATCAGGGGCTGCAGGAGGAGGAAGAGGAGGAGGAGGAGGAGGGGTCAAGAGAGGGCGCGGACATGGAATTCAAGTTGGAGGAGGGGTCGGAGGACGTACGAAGCTGCGACAACGCCTGGTACCCGCGGTGTAGAGGCAGGCCTTATGAGCATCTGGTGGGCCAACCGCACATGGGCAGTCGCAGCCTGTCGCTTCCCGTGCTGCCCAACACGGACCCTGGGCCCTATGCGTGCTTGGGACTCAGTCCCCGAGCTGCGCCCCCCCAGTCCTTGCAGTCTAGTGAGCCCCCTGCGGTGCCGCCTCGGAAACCCAGGTTGCTTCCGCCTTCACCCCAGCTGCAGCCGCTACTGCTGCCACCTCCACCCCCACTGCAACCACCCTCGCAACCACCTCTCCCGCCGCAACCAGCGCTGCAGCCGCATGTGGTTGGGGACGGGCATGACTCCGCGGGCCGCTCGCCCGCGCCCCCGTGCCTACCGGTAACCAAAGTGCTACCAAATGCAGCCGACGAGCGCAGCAGCAGCAGCAGCAGCCTAGCCATCGGGCAGCACTCGCTCGACGACTCCCAAGCGCCCGCACACCTGAGGGCTGTCGGCACCACATCGGGGGCACCGCGGGGCAGCCGCTTCGCCGTCGCGGCGAGCAGTGCGGCCCCACTGGACCTCCTCCCAGCCGGAGCGCTGCACCCGCCGGCAGCATGCATGCATGAGGCGCCAACAGCGGCGGTGGAGGCTACGGGTGCTCCGTCTCAGCCTCGTGCTGCCGATGCAAGCGCCCTCCTCGCTCCTCCGCGTGTTCGGAACCACACGGCGCCCCCAGCTGTCGCGCCCAACGGCTGTCGCCGGAAGCTCCTGCCACTGGCCAACCCGAGCTGGCGTTTGCAGTCCGGGGGGGAGCAGGGAGGCTTGGGGTCGGGACCGGACGCTGGCACCCCCATTAGCGCTGCCACCTCCACCGCTGCTGCTGCCGCCGCAGGGCCGCTGTCATACGGCGGGGCCAGCGGGTCCTACGCGACCCCCCATGCCAGCTCCTGCCCCACGGGAACGGCTCCCACCGGCGGTCATTCAATACCTCCTGAAAAGCGCGGGAAGGTGTTGCTGCTGCCACACGAGCCGCCTGTGGACGCCGCAGCATCAGGTAACAGACATAGCGACAATAAGCCGCTTGATGAGGGTGAGGATGATGAGGACGAAGAATCCCTCAGGCGGCCGCCGCGGCGATCCCGCAGTCTGGCCGCCCTTGTTCAGGGCCGCTGCCTGCCACGTTTGCCGCAGCACCCCAAGCAGCGCCCGCGCGGCCCCGCACGGGCACCCGACTCGCTACTGGACCCGAGCCTGCTTCCGCTGGCAGAGGCAGCGGGCAAGGCGCTCAGCCCCGCCGGCCGGCGCTCCTCCTCCGGCGGCCCGTCAGACGACAACTTGCTGCGCCGCAGCGTGAGTTGGGTGTCATCTGGGGTGTCCAAGGCGAGGATCCGGAGCCGGGAGTGCGGGTCACTGCAGGGCCTACCGCCGCCGCAATCGCGTGCAGCAGCAGGAGGAGCAGTAGCAGCAGGAGGAGGAGGAGGAGGAGGAGGAGGAGGAGGAGGGCCCAGAGGGCACAGTCCGTTTCACACGGCTACTGCCGTGGCAACTGCCGCTGCGAGGGCGGCGGCTACAGCGGCGGCTGTAGCGCTGCCTGCCTGGGTGGGGCGGGGCTGGACGGGAGTGCGAGGCGGGGGGGCAGCGGCCGCCCGTCCGCCCTCCGTCTGGTCCACAATGACGCTGGCGGCAGCGGGGGATGCGGACGGGCACAGCATGGAGGGAGTGGTGGAGGAGGAGGAGGAGGAGGAGGGGGAGGAGGAGGAAGGCGAGGAGGTATCCATGTCCGGTGAACAACGCAGATCTACCGGCGATGCAAGCGCGGAGGAGGAGGAGGAGGATGACGATGCAGACATCGCGGCCGTGGATGCAGATGCGGATGCCAGGCCGGGGTTAGCCGGCCGGGCAGTGACGGGGGGCGGCGACTCCTCATGGCTCACGAGCAGCGCCGACACGCCGTGCAGCGAGGGGGGCATGATGGTGCACGGAGGCGGCGGCAGCGGCGGCTCCGTGACGGGCACATTCACGCGGCAGTCCGGCTCGCTGCTGGATACGGCCCTGCCGTACATCAGGACGAACAGCGGCCTGGATGCCGTACAGCTGCTGCCGGCACCGCTGGGCTCCCCTCGCAGTCCCAAGGCCCCGCTAGGGGCGCCTTCCTCCTCCGGAGGCCCCGCTCCCTCCGCTGCGTCCCCCTCCTCATGCCTGGCGGCCCCGCCTCCGCCACCGCCCCTGGCGGCCGCTCCCCAGGAGGCGGCGATGCAGGGTGACACCCGGCCACCCTCCAACCTAGCGCACCGCAGCTGGCCCCTGCGCCGACCCAACGGCCAGAGCAGCACCGTCTTCTCACTCCCCGCGGTCCCGACCAGCGGTAGCGGTGCCGGCGGTGGTACGGCGGCCCCCGGCGCTGCAGCCCCTGTAGCGGCGGCTTCCCCCGGGTCGGCCGGCGGGGGGGCTGTCCCCAGTGCGGGGTCCATGGGGGGACCCACGCAGCAGCAGCAGCAGCAGCAGCCCTTGACGCCCCGAGGCGGCTTTGCTGCGCCCGTGCCGCCAGCAGAGCCCTATGGCGCAACACAGGCCGCCGGGATCGAATCGCCTCAGCAGCCCTTCCGGCGGCTCTCCATGCGACAGTACGGCATTGCAGGCGGCAGCAGCAGCGGAGGCGGCGGCAGTGGTGGCTGCCAGCAGGGGCAGCACTCCTCCTCGAACCGCGCGGAGCGGGAGCGGCCCGACAGCGGCAGCGGGGAGCCGCCCCCGTGGTCGCCGCACCACTGCTTGGGGCCGGGTGGTGGGGGTGGGGGTGGTGGTGGGGGTGCGGCAGGCGGGGCAGCAGCAGCAGCCGGAGATCAACCTCGGTCGGTGCAGAGGCCGGCGGTTCCCTTGCTGGGGCAGGGTGCACCGCTGCCGGCCCCGCACCGTCGCCATGCGGGCTCCTCCTGCGTCGCACTCAGCCTGCCGCCCATTGCGGATGCCAGCCGCGCGCCTGGCTGCGGTTAGGGGCGGCTTACCGGAGGGCCATTCCTCCCTTGGGGCCGCCAGCTGGGGGTGCTAGGGACACCGTGTGCTAGGGCTGCTGTCCTCCGCTCTGCGACCGGTCTGTGTGCGGCTGGGCTTGATTGGAGTTGCTGGGGTTGTGTTGGCAGTGACTGCGAGCGCGCATTGTCATCCCTATTGTCAAGCAATTGTCGCGTGCGTTTGATGCGATCGCGTGCTTATATTGCGACCAAGGGAGATTGAGTTAATCAGGAGGTATGGGTAATGTGCAAAGCGTTGCAGAGGGCGGAGGGCGACCGTGAATGGCGCGCGGCACTATCGGTGCATCACGAGCACACAAGGGTGCCGCTGCTGCGGTTGCTGTCGTTTGCCAGGCGGCCTCGAAGAAGAGTGTGTGTCTGTTTTGCATGGGTGTACTCTAGGCAACAACACACGGCTGGGGGGCTGCTTAAAAGGGTGCTCTGTGGTTACTTCGTACCCTGGTTGTACGGTTGATTTAAACGGCATGGGCGGCATGTTCCGCCCTCGGCCTTTCCTCCACGCAATTTACCCTCTTTCCCTCCCACACACACAGTTGTCGTACCGTGCGATATGCTATTCCAAGTGTTACCCGTTGCGGTCGTATACGTTGTGACGTCCCGGGTACGTATAATTTATCTGACCCGCCACCGGCTGGGTTGCGACACGGCGTGAACGACGAGTAGGTACCCATGCTGGGCTGAAGCATGCAGGCATCTGATCACTAGGTGTGATTGCAAAATAACTGGCCGCTGTTTGTATGTGTCTGTGTCGCTAGGTGTGTGCAGCAGCACTGTTCTGTAGCAGTGCCCGTGTGTCTCCGCAACCGAGAGAAGACACCGGGAGGCAGCAGGAGGGGACAGGCGGTCGCAGGGGGTGTGCATAGTCGCGCGTAATTAGGTTCCTGTAATTAATCTGCACCGGTGTTGGCATTCGTTGGCATGGCGTTGTGGGCTGTGGGTGGCGGCTTTGGCGGTTGTCGCTGTTGTCATGGCTGCTGGGGCTTGAATTGAGACGCGTGGCTTCCCATGCACCATGACACCAAGTGCTGTCATTTGAAAATACGTGTTCGGGGAGTGTGACAGGGCCCAAACTGCCATGTGTACCAATCACAGTCTTACCTAGCTGCTGGAGAACGGTTGGCTTGGTTTGGGTGGTGCTCCGAAAAACAAAAAAGGGCAGTTTGTGCTTAATTTCAACGGCTGTTGCTGCATTTTTGCTTCCTTATGAGGCGTGTTGAAGCCTGATAGGAATCCGCAGTGTGTGCGTGTTCGTATATCGTATGACAGGGCTGGGTGAGGATTACTTGAGCCCCTAGGGCAGCTTCCTTCTTGCAACTCGTGTGTGGTTACAACTGCAACTGGAACACGAATGCTCACCGTACCTACCGTACGAGCTGTAGTGGTTGAGTGCCGCGGCAGCACTGCTGTTTGGGGGCTGAGCGGCGAGGGCAGCGCCGCCCACCGCGAAGAAGTGCGCCCCAGGGTTGCCGGGCCTGCATGGGTGCTGCAACAGACCCGCTGGCACACGCGGGTGGGTGGGCGGGCGGGCGGGCGCCGTGTTGCTGCTTGGCGAGCATCCTCGCCTGTTGTCGCCTGCTCGCTGGCTCGCTGGGCAGCAGGCCGACGCCTTGTGGTGCTGCGGTTCGTTGCTTGGTGTTGCTTCCGGGGTGTCAGTGCGCCTTGCACTGTATGCTTCGCGTCCACGCAGGATTTGCACTGCATGACTGACGAATGGAGGCAGCAGGGTGTTGGGGAGGAGGAAGGGTCCCGGGGGGAGGAGGGGACGAGGCTGTGCTTTGGGCGGCTGTGTGGGAAAGATGTGTGTGCGGGGTTATTTGCGATGAGCTGTGAGAGCATGTCTACTAATGATCGGCTGCTGTTTGGATCCCTTTGTGGAAATTACAAGTGGTTGCAGTGCAGTGCGAGCGGTGTTGTTGTGGTTGTTGGGGAGCATTGCTGATTTGTTGAAGTTGCGCGTGTATGGGTTTAATAGTAGTAGTCGCACCCGGGTGGCTGTGATGTGCTACACAGCGACCTGAGGAGCGTTGTGCGTATTTGTGTCTGAACGAATGCGGCGAGTCTCTACTGAGGTTATTTGGTTTCCTGCAGGCATGAAAGTGGTAACGAGTCGGGGTTGGGGCGAAAACGCCGCCGGGGTCTCCTTGGAGCCTCCCCGGGGTTCTGCGGTTATGGGATTTTTGTTCTCGGCGTGCTCGTGTGCAGAGGGTTTGAAGCGTGATATTCGAGCGTCAACATATTGGTAATTGATGGCAATTTGATGTCAGACCCAATATTTGCATGTCGACTCTGGGCATTGCATTGCATCCTTGGGACGTTGACTCCTAGGATTGAGTGCATGTGTTTGACTACAGTATGCCGAGTTGAATTTGTACTTGTAAGCATGAACTGTAGAAACGTTCTGCTTCTGTTCTGCTATAACTTGCTTCTTGAGATGCCGCAGCAATCCCACTTCTACTCCAAACCTCAATGGCGCAAATTCATACAGCTTCGAGACCACAAACAGCGAGTATTCCTGGCTGCGGGACACGGTCGCAGTGGCACGGAAGTGGCACGGTTGCAGCTGTCCTAGCTATTTTACTGTCTTTATATCCAGAAAAAAAATCAAAAATAAAATCGGCATCATCTTTCGCACCACTCTGCCAATAGTCATCGCCTATCGCTTCACATTTACTAAATGCCGTTCGTGTAAGTTTTCAAAAGAAAAGATTCCGTCCTTTGCAAGGAGGCAGGCTCAGAGAGGAATGCGCTCCACCGAACTGCAGCACCGCAACTATGCACATCCACATCATCCAACATGGATTGCCCTGCGTCGTGGCGGCCTATTTGCACTTGTATTTGGTATATCGCTGCTCATCCTGAACTTCTGCATAAGCCCCTTCGGCCAAACGCATCACAAGAATTCAAACCAAGAAGAGGATTGGCTTGCTGGTAAGCTAAGCCTTCAGGTTATAACACTGCCCTTGAAGTACTGTCCAGCGTACTCGTACGGCAGGTCCACATCAGCCCAGCTACATTTTCTGAAAACAGCAATCCACTGCCACCCAAACCCACCAACTCACAACCTTTTCCCTTCGCCAATTCTTTCCTCCACACTATTACTTATCCCAACCGCGCTCCGCACCCCAACTCACTCCCCTCCCTCCCAACCACCCCTGCACCACACCACAGGCCTACCCCTGCCCCTCCACGACCCTCTTCTCGACGGCGCGGCCCGCTTCCGCCTGCTCTTCCCCTCCGCCTCCGCAGCAGCCCCCGCCCCAGCTGCCCGCCCCAGCCCCCGCCTGGTGGTGCTCCCCGACCTGCACGGGGACGCGGCCCAAGCCCTGGCGGCTCTGAGGCTGGCGGGGCTGGTGGAGGTGGACGCGGTGGGAGAGGAGGAGGAAGAGGGTGAAGGAAGGGAAGCGGAGGTGGCGAAGGAGGAGGAGGAGGAGGGGGGAGAGGGAGCCGCGACCTCCTCCAGCGTGCGTGGTAACCGCGCCGCAGCTGCTGCGGGGCGGAGGGGTGCAGTGGGACGGGCAGGGGCGGGCGGAGCGGGGGTGCAGTGGGGTGGAGTGCGGTGGGTTGGCGGGGGTGCCGTGTTGGTTCAGCTGGGGGACGTGGCGGACCGGGGGGCGAGCAGCCTGGAGCTGCTGGGGGCGCTGCGGGGGCTGCAGGTGGGGCGCAGAAAGGCGGGGGAGGGACGGAAGGTGGGAAACAAGATTGTACCGAATGTGTGGGAGGGAGGGCTGGCGGGCGAGAAGGGGTGCCGTGCTGCCTGACAGAATGGGGAAGGGGGATGCCTGCCCTCCCTCGCCTGTACCGCGGGGCCCACCCTCCCATGTCTTCACCCCTCCCGCCCCGCCTGCCCCGCCTGCCCCCCGAAGACCCAGGCCCGCGCTGCCGGCGGAGAGGTGCTGGCGCTGCTGGGCAACCACGAGCTCATGAACCTGCACCAGGACTTCAGGTGGGCGGGGATAAGAAGAGACCCGGGAGGGGGTGCGGGTGTTTGACGCGACCAAGCGCCATCATTGTCTTTCCCAGCTTGGTCTTATTATATCTTCCTTCCCAGCCGCTGCCGTGACCCAGCACCCCGGCGGGCACTACCCCGGCGCACGCATGCACGCATGCATGCATGCACGCAGGTACGTATCCCGCTCAGAGCTGCTAGCGCTGGGGGCGGCGGGAGAGCTGCCGGAGCCCTGGAGGGGTCTGCGGGGTTGGGAGCAGCAGCAGGAGGAGCGGGGGGAGCAGGGGGAGCGGGAGCAGGAGCGGAAGCTGGAGCGGGAGCGGGGAAAGGATGAGGAGGAGAAGTCCCTGCGGGGCGAGGAAGAGGCCGCTGCTGCTGCTGCCGCTGCTGCTGCTGCCGCTGCTGCTGCTGCGGGTCGGGAGCTGCTCCTTGAGGCCTACCGTGATGCCGGGTATGGCGGGGGCGGGGGCGGGGGCAAACGTAACAGCGGCGGCGGCAACAGCAGCAGCGGCAGCAGCAGCAAGAAGCGAATCAGGCTTAGCGAATCGGGCCATTCGGCTCCAAGGGAGGCGCAGAAGCAGAAGCGGAATCAGCAAGAGCAGCAAAGCAGGCAGCAGCAGCAGCAACATAATACACGACAGCAGCTTCTATCGGGTCTAGAGTTGTGGCGGACAGCGTTCTCAGAGGGGCATCCGTTGGGTTCGTTGGTACGGCGGCGACCATTAGCCGCGTTGGTTGATGCCGGCGGTTGCCGCATCCTCGCTATCCATGCGGGTGTGTTTCCCTGGATGTTGGAAGCGGTGGACAAGCTGATAACGTCAGCCGAAGCTGCTACCGGTAAGGACGACCCACGGGTCATCATCGCCGGCAACATTAGCAGCAGCAGCAGTGCAGCGGAGGCGCCAGTAGCGTCCGTGCCGCCGGTGCTGCTGCAGCCGGAGGAGTACGTGGCGGCGTGGAATAGCGCAGTGGCGGAGGCGCTGGGCGGGTGCGAGGGACCCGAGTGCCGAGGCGGCGGCGATGGTGGCGGTGAGGGTGGCGGCGGTGAGGGTGGGAGTCATGATGCCAACCGGCGGTACCGGTCCGCCCTCGCAGGTACGTTGCCGGGGAGTTGGCGAATGCGCGGGAGTTGTGTTGGCCCTCCGCAACTACGGTGTCAGCACACCGCAATGTGTGCTGCTGCTGGTGCGGCAGAAGAGCCCTGACAGCGGCTCCCGGTGCCGCTCCTGACAGCGCCAGCAGCGGGCTCACTGCTGCCGGGGGTCCCCTCCCTCCCACCCGCTGCTATTGCCGCCTCACCCGCACCCTGCTGCCACACCCGCCGTTGCCATCCCCCTTTTGATGCTGCTCCCACCGCCGCTCCCACCGCCGCCGCCCATCCCACCACCGCCCCACCCGGCTGCCTCCAGAGCTGCTGCTGGGCGGCGAGGGGGCGGTGTGGAGCCGCCGGTACGAGCGAGCCGCACCGCAGCAGGTGGGGGAGGGGAGCGGGACGCTGGTGGGGATGATGCTGGGCGGCCTTGCAGGTGGGGTTGATGGAGGGGGTAAAACATAAAGGTAAGTGCAGCAACGGAGTCCTAATCCCAAATCCCGACTCATGCAATGAGCGCATTCCGGGGGTAAAAAAGAAATTCCAATGTGTGGTGTGGTAATGGCACAAATTGCTGACAAGCCCTGTTGGATACAACCGTGAGTCGAGCCGAAAAGTGGTAAAAGCAATGCGAGCTAAACTTACCGAACTTACCAACTATGGAGTAGCCTTATAGCCTGGTCACACGACGTTAATTTCTACGTTACGTTTGCGGAAAATTAACGTGAACGTAAACGTAGACCGGTCACATGACAAACGTAGGGTTACGTTTTTGTTCTACGTTAACGTAGGCCAGAAACGTGAACGGAGGGGGTAGGGGGGGGGGTTCACGTTAAAACGTAGCGAACCGAGGTGGACCCCTAGTCGTAAAATTGGTACTACAGCCTCTTGGATGCGTATTTTAACGTCGTTTCTTCAGCATGACCTATTAAACTCTCTAAACCCTCTAATTGTTTTATTGGTGCCTGAGCGCGTCACCATTCGTGCCGATCTGAGTAGTAGGTTAGCCATAAACTCCTCCTAAAACGTTCCAAACTCAAGCAAGGTCTGCTGCCAGGGCACTCATGGACATTAACAACATTGCTGGTCCTGTTGCAAAGCCTACTAGGCAGGCCCACGGGTCAGGTGCGTCGCTCTAAGGACTTCACCGGGTATTGGGTTACGGGCAATGGCACGACGCAGCTCGGGGACAGGCCGAGCAAAGTGCAATCCATAATCCTGGTATAGTTTTCTGAACACTGCCTTGTCGAGGCAGATGTGGCCAACATACTCAGCGTCCTCACGGTCAGAGAAGCGCATGCCCATCTTAACCCAATCGACCATAACGCCTAAGTCACGAATGACCAGAGCCAACGTGGCATGGGGCCGTCGTGGTTGGGAACGAGCCAGGGCAACCAAACTGGTAGCCATTTGGCAATGAATAACATGAATCTCGGAAAAGTCCCTACTAACGTGGCGTTGAGTTTGGCGTACGAACGTAGCATGTGACCGAGACCTACGTTTGGGCCGCTACGTTCAACGTGGGTTCCATGTAACGTAACGTAGAAAGTAACGTCGTGTGACCAGGCTATTACCGTAGTCTTGGGCATGTTTGGAGGCGGTTGAGGGTGAGCTGGAGACCCACCGCGCCGTCGGGCATAGGCAATCGACAGGAACAGCACAACACGAGCACGCAAAAACATGGACTGACACACGAGAAGACACGTACCTGCGTGCACAGGATTCGTGCGTGCATTCCGGGGGTGGGGGTGAGGAGGAAGGAGCCAGCTGCTGTAGCTGGCATGGCGCTAGCCCCATGTGGTGCGGAGGCAGTCCCGGGGCTGCTTGCCTGCCTGCTTGGCTGCTTGGCTGCCCCGGGGTGCCGGTGTGCTGCGCCTGCCCACACACGGCCCCACCGGGAGGCCAGCAGCGCGCCACCCAGCTGCCTGCAGCCCACCCGTCCCCTACACCTCGGTGCCACCCGACATCCGCCGCTGCAGACGTGAAGAGCGGTTCCCCTTTTCTCAATCCGGAAAATGTCTTCTCTTTCCCACCTGCCCGCCCGCCTGCCCTCCAACCCCGCAGGTGTGTTCCGAGGTGGCAGAGGTGGCGGCGCGGCTGCGAGTGGCACGGGTGGTGGTGGGGCACTCGGTGCAGCGGGGGGGCAGGGTCAGCAGCAGGTGGGCGGGCGGGTGGGTGCGGGAAGGCGGGCAGGCGGTTGGTTGTGGTGGTTGGATAGCAGTGGGATGGGGCCGAGACTAGGTCGGAGTTGTGAGGTTCTAGGGCTTTGCGCTATCCTACCGTACTTCTTCTTATTTTTACGTAGTGCTAGCGAAACCTGACTGACTGTGTAACCGTGGAACAGGTGCGGCGGCCAGCTGGTGATGGCGGATGTGGGCATCAGTCGCGCGATTGCCGGGGAGATGGCGGTGCTGGAGTGTACGGCAGGACAGATGCGCGTGCTGTACGGTGACGGCCAATCGGAGCGGCTGTAAGGATGACACCCATGTGGCATGACAGAAGAGGGTGGTCTCGTAGTCTAGTCTGGGGTGTTAAATCAACTGATGGGCTGTATCCGCTTGCGGCCTGAAAATGCTCCACTGCACGGCATGGCTGAGCGTTGCATGGCAAAAGCCGCGAAAGGATCGGCATGCACAGTTCTAAAAAAGCGAAGTATGTATTAAGCATAGCCCACTGCATGTACCCGTAGAGCTTCTTTAGGTAATTCGTAGCGCCCTTCGCGTCAATGCAAGCATAGCGACAAGCACTTCGTAAGCAAGACGACTGAAGGTGTTCTGAATACGCTTATATTATAGAGACATCTTCAAGACAAAATTAGCTTGAATTGGGTAACAAATAATCTGTTCGGCTAGGGCGGTAGTCATGAAGCTCACACAGCTAGCAAGACGTCAGGCGTCTTTGCCATGTCCAAGGCGTGGTACGTCGCAATGTGTATTGGCGGTTACAGAGTCCTGCAATAAGTAGCGCTCTTCACGGCGGCAGGTGGAGAGGTCTTTCTACGAGCGCCTGCTCGCGTCATTATGCGCGCGAACGTAACTGAGAAAGATGCCGAACAGGTGCGTTTTATACGCCGGGCAACAACTAAGATCTTTGGCCAAGGCGAACAGCCATCCTCCGCCGAACGGTCGGACAACATCTCACAAGGCTTCTATACCCTAGATTAGCGGCAAGGGCTTAAGACATCATTTCAATGTTGTGAAGAATTCAATATTTTGAAGAAGTATTACGCCAACCCATTGCCAACCGCCATGGAGTCGGCATCGGGAGCAGTCCTACTCTCGCCACACGCCCATATACACACACGCGTGTCCCTGCGTGCCCTGCTACACAGGCCGCTGCTGATAGCGTGGAGACGGGGCTGGCCCAAATCACCAAACAAATCCTGCAGACCGATCCGGAGGCTCGAGAGAGCCTGAGGAGATACGAGGAAGCGGTGGTGAGTGCGCCAACCACCCGCCTCGCTACCCACCTCCTGCTGCTTGTGCCTGCATGTGCCTTCCAGAACCTACTATATTAAGGGAGGCGTGTGTGCATCATGTGCTCGGAAGCACACCTCTCGCCTCTTGACATGTTTGGCGCGTATGGGACGTCCTGACGTGTGACATTGACTCGCCAAATCCGCCCCTCCTCCTCTCCCTGTCGCTTGTTGGTTCCTCATTTGGAAAGGGCGTTGGAAGGGGCGCTGATATGTTCCTACCTGGCCCCTCATCCTCATTGACCTCATTGCTCTGCCGCAATCTGAGGGTTCTGTGATCTGGTGCCGCATGCGGTCTTTGACCCCCCCCCCGCATCTAAACACCCATACCCCCAGGTCCGTCTAGAGAAGGCCAAGGCGGCGAGTGAGGAGCTGGACCGCATGTTCGCGGAGGCCTCCCGGGGGGCGGCGGCCAGCGACCAGCAGGACGAGCAAACAGAGGTTGGTTGGTTGGTTGGCACCGGCAGTTGGTTTTCCAAGCCTTTCAAGTCCAGCCAAGTGTTGCGGATACCGTGTTCGCGTGTTGTGACCCCGCATGAATGGATGTACAGTGTACCGGTAACTGCCCCTGCAGCGCCCATGCGAACAACCCCGTGCATGCATGTATGTGTGTTACCCCTGTATGAACCCCCCTGCAGCGCCAGAAGGCCAACGAGAGACTGGCTGAGGCGGAGGTGGCGGCGGCTGAGCGGCTGGTGGCAGCGGCGGAACTCGAGTTCGAGACGGCTCGGCGGCAGCAGCAGCAGTGGGCGGCGGCTGCGGGCAAGGTAGGTGGGAGCAGGGGTGGGAGCATTGGGGAAGCGGAAGCGGGGCCTCAGGGACAGGGGCGATGGCTCGGGAATGGGGGCGGGTGTGCACGGCAAACGCCACCTACGCCACCTGTTCGGATGTTTCCTCACGCATGCGCAGTCCTGCGTGCACCATGCATCCTTGCGGCCCCGCTGCATCCACCCCTGCATGCATCAAGGGAAACCCCACGCACGCACGCACGCACGCACGCATGCATCCCTTCGTGCCCCTGTCACGGCATGTGTCACGCATGCACCCTCCCGTGCATGGCCATGTGTCTCTGCCCAAGGGAAGCCCCGCATGTCACACACGCCCCTGCCCCGCATGTCACACCCCGCTGCCGCGCGCAGGGTGCGGAGCGGCTTGAGTCTCTCAAGGCGGCTGCGGTGGCGGCGGGGGCGGGGCTGGCGGCGGAGCTGCCGCTGGCGCTGCTGGCTGGCGGCGGCGGGGGGGCCGGCGGTGACGTCGGGGGGGCCGACCTCGCAGCAGCGGCTGCCCTGTCGCCGGTGTTTGGCCTGGCGTCAGCGGTGGTGGGCTGCATCCTGTTCGGGGTGACATACCGGTGAGGGCAGGGTGGCAGGGAGGGGTGGCAGGGAGGGGGTACACTCGGGCGACACTGCCTTCCCGGCCTCCCCGCACTGCCTCGCAGCAGTGAGTGGCCAGCGGGGCAGCGGCACTGTCGTCGTTAACCGTTGGGTGCAAGGTTCACCGTTGGGTGCAAGGTTCACCGTTGGGTGCAAGGTTCACCGTTGGGTGCAAGGTTCACCGTTGGGTGCAAGGTTCACCGTTGGGTGCAAGGTTCACCGTTGGGTGCAAGGTTCACCGTTGGGTGCAACCGGAGTCGCTATGTCGCCATTGCGCAGTGGGCGGGTGCCCCTGACCTCAGCTGTGCCACAGCTGACCCCCCCCCCTCACACCTCACAGCCTCACCCAGTCTCTCATCCCGCCCCACCCCGTCCTCGTTTGATGGTTTCACCCCCACCCCACACCCCTCGCCTCCTCGCCTCCTCGCCTCCTCGCCTCCCCCCCGCGCTCCCCAGCTACGCGGTCCGCGGCGACTCCTCCAATAAGCACCTGCGAATGGGGGTGGTGGCCGCCTTCGGACTGGTGCGCGCATCCGGGGCAGCGGACATGTTGCAAGCGGCAGCCGCAGCGGCGGGGGGAAGTGGGTTTGCTGGTGGGGGCGAGGGAGGGGTGTTGGCGCTGGCAACGGCGGTGGTGGCGCCTGCGGGTCTGTACGCGTTGGAGAGCTTGTTGCTGTTCGGGTTCGCATCCGTGGCGTTGGAGGTAAGTGGGGCGTGGTGTGTGGGGGTGTGATTGGCGGGACGTGTGTAAGGGGTGCGTGTGAGGGGGCGTGAGAGTGTGGGAATGCCGGATGGGTTGGGAGGGGTTAGGATTGTGGGTGGAGGTGCCTTTGGTATGGTTTGGTTTGGTTTCGGTGCCAATGCGGACTCCCAGCACCGACTCTGCCCCTGAACGTATATGCCCCGCGCTCCCTGCTGGTTTGTTTCGCAGGCGGCGTTCGCTCAAGGGTTCGTAAAACGCTTTGATGGGCAGACGTGAGGGTTGTGTTGGCTGGGAGGGTTGGCAAGGGAGGGTTGGGAGGGAGGGTTGGGAGGGGAGGGTTGGGAGGGAGGGTTGGCAGGGGAGGGTTGGGAGGGAGGGTTGGCAGGGGAGGGTTGGCAGGGGAGGGTTGGCAGGGGAGGGTTGGCAGGGGAGGGTTGGCAGGGGAGGGAGGGGAGGGAGCAGCAGCTGTCCGCCTGTGTTAGGCCGGGGACATGACCCGCCCGCCGCCTGCAGCAATCAGGACACCGCGGCAATCAGATGCTGCGGTGCTGGAGGTAGCTGGGGTACCAAGGCGCGTTTCCTAGCGGCACACGGCAGCTGAGAGGTTTCGATGGCTGAGGTGTCTGGCGGTACTTGTGATCACTACTTAGCCGTCAAAAGGAGCCCTGGTCGATTATCACACTCCGCCACTGTGAAGTGCCGGCCCGAACCAGTGGCACTTTCTGAAGCGGGGAAGCGGGGAGACAGCGCTTACGAAGAGCTGGGTGCGCTAGGCCTTGGCGTGCGGCTGCTCCGTTCGGTGCCCCTCTCGCTACGCGGTAGGCAAGATGGGATTAGTTGCCCCCTGAGGTTACCAGGGGTTAATTGCCCCGCTGGTATTTGTCTTCCAGTTTTATCTTTGTAACATTCCATATTGAAATAAGAGGCGGGCTGGGCTGGGCTGGGGACAGTAAGGAACCCTACAGCGCGCAACCACACGCGGGACTAAAAACAGTGAAGGGCGACCGCACGCAGAACGCCTGATAGCCGCCATACGCATACACATATATTTGGGGTATATGGAGGCGCACCGATGCTTCGTGATTGAACTGGATGGCCCTATACGAAACAGCAGCAAAGGCAAACGGATGGCCGTTTCCTTCTGCGTAGTGCCCACTTGGCTCTTGGGCAACCCATGCGCCCTAGTCTATATTCTTGTATCCGAGTTTAGGAAGCTCGACGATACGAGCCCTGATGCCAAGTACAACCCTTAGGCCTTAGCACGCCGTCGGGTGCCAATGCGCAAGATGTTGCGAACAAATGGATGCAAACTGGAAGAGATTGTATACAGCCTTATGGAATGAATGCATACTAGGTTGAGTCAAAGGCACGTTGTAGAACCCATCACTACACGACAGCGTGATGTCGCCATGCGTGTACGGAAGAAGTCATAACGTCGAACTGCTTTACCGGCCTTAAACACGTGAGCGTCAGAAATTGCGCAACAAGCACGTGATACTTAGAAGTATTACCAAGCAGACGCATACAATATTTACGATACGCACTTTTGTGCCTTCTTACACTTCCTAACCTTGTGTATACTTTCGGGATTTACGGCTTGCTTTCACTGCCAAAACAAATATCCGTAGTGCTTGCATAGTTGCATTTGGTGACGCTTGATGTTGACTTGGCCGCATCGCCGCGTACAAGCTTTCCGTTCTGGTCGCTCTGCCGGGCCCGCCCGCTATGGGCCCGGCTTGAGACTGCTGCCACGCGTAAATGGAACAATTCCTAGGGAGGCGCCTTCTGTGTACGAGGTGGATACCCCGAGAAATGGTTCATCGGCGGTGACCCCAGAGCCCAATGGGAACGGCAAAAATGGCACGGGCATCTCATCGGGCTTGTCAAAGCAGGACTTTGGCAAGTTCGTGCAATTCTTTCGCCAGGCCTCTCCATATGTTGTGGGGCATCGGGGCAAGACATTTGTGATCGTCGTCCCTGGTAATGTGAGCTCCTTGCCAGCCCCGCACTCCCATGGTCGTATGGGGCCCACTCATCAATGCATTTTCAACGTTTGCAACAGGTTTCGGCGAACCGGCAGCTGCTACAAAGTGTAATGGCCGATATCGCCTTGTTGCACGGTAGGGTTTTGCAGGGAGCGAACTATACCTGATGACTTCGACCGTCTGTCGACCAATTTCTTAATTATCACTGATTCGCATATTAACAGGTCTTGGAGTACAAGTGATCGTGGTCGTCGGGGCACAGCAGTTGATTGATGACATGTTGAAGGAACGGGGCTTGACGCCCAAATATGTGGGAGGATACCGGCTTACGGACAGGGAGGCTATGCGCTGTGCAGTGGAGGCTGCAGGACAAATTCGGACAACCTGCGAGCAATTCCTGAGCAAGGTGCGAACCGCTTGCAACATGCAACTGTCAACCGCAACTGCTGCTTGCAAAGACAAGCTAACTCTTCTAGCTGATCTCAAACCCTCTTCCTGCCTCTTTGCCATGACGTTCTGCACGCGTCAGTTACCCTCATCGTGCCTCGTGTGCCTCATGTGTCATGACGATACCTCACGCCCTCAGTTACCCATCATCAGAGCACCACCCAAGGCCCCAAGGGCACCTTCCCACCTGCCACTTCCCTGCACAGCCCCAACAGCGCCCACCCCTCGGGCTTTCCTATGGTCTGGCATGTGTTTTGACCCCCCCCCCCGCTCGCCCCCACTCTCCCCCCCCGCTCCCCCTCCTCCATCCCCGCAGGGTCCCGCCATCCCCATGTTCCGGCGCCACACCAAGAGCGACTCCGAGGTTCACTTCGAGCCCGCACTGCGAGTCATCTCGGGGAACTACATCACTGCCAAGCGGCGGGGTGTGCTGGAGGGGGTGGACTTTGGGCTGACGGGGGAGGTGAGGGGGTGGTGAGGGGACGGGGGAGGGGGTGGTGAGGGGGAGGTGAGGGGACGGGGGAGGTGAGGAGGTGGAGACACCCCGAGGGGTTGGGGGAGGGCAAGGGAATGGAGCCCAATGCGCTGACCCCCTCCCCTCCGTTGCTGCACTTGTCATTTATGTTTCCCTCTCCTTCCCCCTCCCCTCCTCCTCCCCGCCTCCCTCCCCTGCAGGTCCGGTTCGTGCTCAAAGACGACATCCGACGCCAGCTGGACTGCGGCAACATAGTGCTGCTGTCCAACATAGGTGCGGGGGGGAGGGGAGGGGGGCGGAGGGGGAGGGGAGGGGGGGGACAGAGTCACGTTCCCCGACGCCGCTCACTCTTCCCCACTCTCCCCGAGTTTGGTACCCCGAGTCTTTGACAACCCTGGCTGGCTCCCGTCCCCCCGTCTGCCGCTCCTCCCCCCCTGCCTTCCACCACCAGGGATTGTCAGCAACTTATATCTTTAGCACACCACACTTTGGAATTTCTTTTTTTCCCCCCCTGCCTTCCCCCCCCGCAGGCTTCACTGCCGCTGGTGAGGTGCTGAACTGCAACACCTACGACGTGGGGTTGCATGCGGCGGCGGAGGTAGGGGGGGGTAAAGAGGAAACAACTAACTGGTAGGTAGGGGGGAGGGAAAAAGAAATTCCAAAGTGTGGTGTGATAATGATACAAGGGGGGAGGGTGGCGCTTGCTGGCAGCCCGCTGGCCTCCGCACGCAACGCATGCATGTGTTCCGTCATGTCCCTCCTCCTCCTTGCACCCCCTCCCCTCCCCCCTTCTATCGGCATCTACCTGGTCCTCTCATTCCCCCTCCCCCTCCATCACTCCCCTCTGTCCACCCCTCCCTCCTCCTCCCTCCCCACCCCTCCACCACTCCCCCTCCCCAGCTTGGCGCCGACAAGCTGTTCTTCCTGCACCTGGATGAGGTGGCGGCGCTGCACCTGCCGCCCTGGCTGCCGCTGTCGGAGGCGCAGAGCATGCTGGCGGAGAAGCTGCAGGTGGGGGGGGCGGACAGGGCAGGGGTCAACCCCGGGGCACCTCGGGTGTGTGTCGCCGCTGCCGTTCCCCCTCCATAACACCACCTTCCCCCCCACCTCCTTCCTTACCACTATCACATATCATACCACACATCCCCCCCCCCGCCCTCCCTCTCTCCCTCCCTCCCCCCTTCCCCCCAGAACTCCATCTCCGCCCAGCAGATGCAGGCGCTGCGCGCCTCCATGGACACCGCCCCGGCAGCAGCGGCAGCAGCAGCGGCAGCGGCCCCGCTCGGCCCCCTGCAGGGCGGCACCTCCGCCTCCGCCTCCCCCCACCTGCAGCAGCCCCCCGAGCCCGCGTCCGCACACGGCCCCGCCAGCAGCCTCAGTCCGCAGCAGCTGCTGCGGGCGGTGTCCGCGATGAAGCAGGTGGGGGCCGGGGGCGGGGGAGGGTGGGGGGGGGCGGGGGAGGGAAATCCGTCAAAGGCGCATGGAACCCTGTTTACCCCCCCCCTCCCCGGGGGTATTCTTCTTACCCTCCCCACCGCCCCGCGGGGTTCTCCGCCCGCGGGACATAGAAATAGACTTCATTAAGCTTTAGGGCTTCACATCTGTTATCTGTATCCCTGTTTCCCCCCCACTCACCTCCCCCCAACCCCCCACCCCCCATTCAGGAGGAGCTGGTGGTGGATCTGGACATCTGGTCGGCGCAGGGCTTTCCCACCGCGGTGTCCACCTGCGTGGTGGCCTGCTGCAAGGGTGAGGGCAGGGGTGTGTGTGGGGGGGGGGAGGGGGGGTGCGGCTGGTTATTTGCTCGCAAACCCGTGCCCCACTCGCGCCTTTCTTGTATATCCTCCGTCCAATCACATGCCCCCCATCTAACCCCATGCGCCCCCCACCCCCCACCCCCACTCCCCCCCGCCCAGGTGTCCGCCGCGCGCACCTGATTGACGCGCGCATCGACGGCGGGTTGCTGCTGGAGCTGTACTCGCGGGACGGAGTGGGCACCATGATATCAGCCGACTTTTATGAAGGTGGGGGCGGGAGGGGGGAGCGGGAGGGGGGAGGGGGTCCTCCAACCCCCTGTGTCGCTGTATGAGGTGGATGGGGCGGCATGCCTGCGTGTGCGGTGCAGGGGAGCGGGGTCAGCCGATGACATACATTGTCAGGTGTATGATAACCCCTTCGCAGATGTTATCCCCAGATGACACCCCCCCCTGCCCCCTCTGCCGCCCCTCTGCCCCCCACCCCAGGCATCCGCCCCGCCCTTCCCTCCGACCTTGACGGCCTGGCTGCGCTGCTGGAGCCGCTGGAGGCCGCCGGCAACCTGGTGCGGCGGAGCAGGGAGGAGCTGGCGGACCTGCTGCCCAGCTTCACGGTGGGGGGGGGAGAGGGGGGGGGATGTTGTATTGTGTCGGTATTTGTAATGCTCGTTGTGCAGACATGTCCCCCAAACCCCCTCGTGTGTTGTGAAACCACACCACCACACGGTTGGCTAGTGCTTTCCCCCGCACCCAAACCCCCTGCCCCCCCTGCCCTCCCCCCTGCCCCCCAGGTTATTGAGCGTGACAATCGCATCCTAGGCGCTGCGCTGCTGCTGAACCTGGGTCAGACGCCGGACGGGGTGGCGGTGGCGGAGGTGGGCGCCTTCTGCGTGGACCCGGTGTACAGGTGGGGGGGGCGGGGGGCGGGCGGTTGGGGAGGCTGGGGTAGGTCGTCTCCACCTTGCATGCAGCCACTTCTGGCCGCTTTCCCGCCCCTTAACCAACCGGGTCGGATCCAACGTGGCCTTCTCCCCTCCGCCCCACCACCCATCCATCACACAGCTCGTTCATTTCCTCTTTTTAATCCCCCCCTCCCCCACCCCCACCCCCATTCAGTTTGTCATTCAGTTTGTCAGTGTTTCTTTATTTTCACCCCCAACCCCACCCCCACCCCACCCTCCAGGGGCAGCGGTCGGGGCGACTCGCTGCTGGACTACGTGGAGCAGGACGCGCGGCGTCGCGGCATCCAGCGCCTGGTGCTGCTCACCACCCGCACCGCCGACTGGTTCGAGCAGCGCGACTTCCGCTGGCAGGGCGCCGCGTTCGCCTCGGAGCTGCTGCCGCTGGGGCGCCGCGCGCGCATCAACCCCGCCCGCAACAGCCAGCTGTACGCCAAGAGCCTGGAGGCGGCGGAGGGGGAGCTGAGTGCGCCGGGGAAGCGGATTGGGTTCTGAGGAGGAGGGTGGGGGGTGCGGGGCTCGGTCGGGTTGGGTGAGATTGGGTGGGTCCTGGGTTGTGCAGTATGTGTGCTATTCATGCGCGGGGTTGGGGTGTGTTAGTTTGTTTGCGGGTTTTGGGGGGTTGGGGTGAGATGAGATGGGTAGGGGGAAGGGGTTAGCGAGCAGGGGAGCGGGGTGGGAGAGGTTGGGGGTTTGGGTGTGAAGGATTGGGCAGGGCGTACCACCGAGTGGTGGTGGGGGCGATACCGGCACTACCCGTTACTGTACCGCACGTTGATGGGGTTGTCGTGGTGGTTGGCAGGGTTTGGGGGTACTGCTGCTGTTGCTGTGTGATCTGATCTTGCAAGGGCTGGTACCGTCCACACGGAGGGGGAGGAGGGGGAGGAGGGCCGCACATTGCGGTTTGCCGTTCCTGTACTGCTGCTGCGGCTGCGGCTGCGGCTGCGGCTGCGGACTCTCCGCATGACAGTGGCCCTTGTTGGCGTATGTTAAAATAACTGGCCGCGAGGCGAAACATACTGTGTTGGCGTGTGAGTGTGTGTTTTTAAAAAGCTGGCCGCGGGTGTGTTGTGGAAACCGGCCGCGTACTGTGTGTTTGTGTGTTGCGAGAGGAGAGAGTTTTGACAGGCTGCGAGCGGCGCGCGATTGGTTCCGCTGGGGGCACCAGAATGGCACGGACGTTGGAGGAGGAGAGGGGAATGGAGAGAGGAGAGGAGGGAGCGGAGAGGGGCACTGCAGCTGCTGCGGGCCCTGTGTTTGTGTTTGTTTGCTAGGAGAGTGTTTGGGGAGGGTGGTCAAGGTATGAATGGTACGATACCTCGCCTTGTTTGTGCAGAATGTATGCACATGAAGCTTTTGAGGGCGACGCAACATCGGTTGGAGGTGGCTTGCCGGCTGCTGTGCCTGCCTGTTTGCTGCCGCTGGTGGTCGTGTCGTGTTTGGGTTGTTGATAAGTACTGCTCACCACATGCTGATGGGGTTGCATGTATCGTGAGGTGCCGCTGCGTGAGGGCCGTTGCGCCGACTGTGCGCGACTGGGCGACTGCCGCTCTGTTCTTCCTGTGTTGGGTGGATGCCCACGAATGCAAGGAGGAAAGGAAAAGGAAGGGGGCGAGGTAGCGGGGGCGGGGGCGGAGGAGTGATGGGGCTTGCCTTGCTGCCTTGGTGGGGTCCTGCTGTTGCTGCTGCTGCTCTCCAGCCTCCCACACACCCCGGTAAACAAACGGCATGTTGGGGACAGGAGGGATGCAACAGCAGTTCCCCCCCAGACGAGAAGGGTGCTGCAGCCGTCGGAAGGAAGCAGAACAGGACATTGGCGGAGTTGAGTGGGCGACGCCCGTTTGAGTTTGACTGGTATTGTTTTTTAAAAATGTCTACGCGGTAATTGTATCTACGGTCGAAAGACTAGATGGCTTGTGTTGTGCATACGTGGCATGGAATGGCGTTTACGAACGGTCCGGGGACTCGGATTGCTGGGGGCGGGAGGGAGGGAATGAAGCGGCGAGGAGGCAGGGGAAGCCGCGGTGCTCGGGATTGATGTGAAGAGGCGAGTACGATTATGAGAAGAGGGGAGTATGTATGCTCTCGCTCTTGTTGAATACCTGTGAACATGGTAAGGTTACTCGGAACTTCTCATTCCCATGGTGTACTTGAATAGGACATGAATAAAAGCCGTACGAGGCTCTTTATGTAGTCAACGACTCTACGCTGTAAGCAGAGGTAGTAACTGAAGTGGAATGTTACCATGCATTAAATGAATGTTCGTTACAATAGCTCCTTGAAAGGGAACATGCACCGTCAAACCAGCTTCCCAGCCCCTGCCGCTTCGATGCAGCAGGCTTTCTTACAAATGTGGTAAGACTCATGCACTAATGCATGTGAATACCTCGGCCACAACCCATGTGGCTCTGGTTGGCCAGCCCAACCCAACCGCCACCCAAGAGAACTTGATACAGTCCGCGTCTTCATTCAGCCCATTCGATACATATAAAGAGGACAGAGCAGCCGGCATCTTGCGAAGGAAAGATTCATCAGCCGGTGGAACAGCCACACAGGTATGGGAAGGCAGGCAGCAAGCCCTGCAGATATGCCCAAAACAGGCATCTATCCACGCAGCATGCAATACCCGCAGTAATTTATTGCCGAAAGGCGTAGCCTCTGAATCGGCCGCCCCCCCCCGATCGCCTCGCAGGCTGCCAAAACCACACGTGTTTGCAGCTGCAGGGTTCTTAAGAGCCCTTTCCCGAATCACGAACACCGTGCAGATATTGCAGTCCACACGACAGGTGTCACAACCGATGCACAACCGACGTTCCGCCAGTAATTTTAGCACAACCGAACAGCAAGATCATTGACCGCTCGGGAACCGCACGTCGAGCAGCATATCACCATGCATTGATACTTGGAACGAAACTATAATAATGGCCTGAACAGGCACCCACAAACAAGTGCATAGTTAATGCCAGCCTACCCAACCTAGCGGGGTCCGATGTATGGCGGTGGAACCCCATCATTTTACGTCCACCGCATGGAACCCCATATACCCCATGCTTTCATCAGATCTACAAAACACTAAATGCTACACATCAAACCTGCGAATGCCCGACGAAACTAGCTACATCCGTCGCTAAATCTATATCCGCCGCATTTCCTTTCCCTTACGCGCTTACTTTCCTTTCAATAAAGATGCGTCGTAGGGCGATACCTGGACGGTGTTGTTCGCGAGGGGTAACGAGGGCGCAGAGTAGGCCTTGGTCTTGGGGTTGAATCCAGTCACGACAACCGAGTAATTCTTGTAGGTCGCAAGTGAGGTGTTCAGCTCCTCAATTAGGTGGTAGGGATCCACGTATCCGATTTTTTTTGTGTCGTACATAGACTTGAAAGTGGCGATCCTGTTGTTGACGGTTGCGTTGAGCTTGGCATCAAATGCCGCGAATGTGGTATTGAGGGCGTAGTTGGTCCTGCGGGAAGTCAGGAGCAGCGGGAAGGAGCAGCGAGAGCAGCACGGAGGGGGGAACAACGATTGAGTTTTGGTTTGATGGGGCTTGGCTGGCTAGCCGGGTTGCGTTGGCTCCCCGCTGTTTTCCTCTCAACCACTCATCCTGATCCGTCTTAATCCAACCAAAAGTGGCCTCCCCCCGATCCCCCGCCCGCACAGCGTCACGACTCACGTGTTGAGCTCCTTGTACAGCCCCTCCGACAGCGACCGAATGCCGCTCTCGTACACCGCAATGTCCTGCACACAAGCGAGCGATAGGATGTAAGCATCTAACTGAGCCGAGCCGAGCCGGGCCGAGTGATAAGCCGGCGGATGGGAGATGTAAAGCAACAGTTGGCTCCTCGCCTGCCGCTGGCATTGCTGCACGCATCCACCTGTAAAGGACGGTGGCCTGCCTACAATAATCCTACTACGGTCACTCCGCAGCGGAGGCAACCCGACACCACCCGGACTCTCTTCCCCAGCTGCCAGGCCGCCTCCCCCTTCCTCCATCCTTCCTCCATCCTTCCTTCCCCACACATGGCCACCGCAACGGGTACCCCTCTTTGCTCTTCCAACCCAACCGCAATCCCGCATCCACGCTTACCTTGGCCATCGTGAGTGAGGGCGAAAACACGCCGTACGAAAAGATGGCGGCACCCAGGAATCCAGACACGATGAGCGTGAAGATCCAGGCCGCGATCTGCTTGCCGAAGAGCTTGTAGTTGACGCCGCTCTTCAAGTTCTCCACCAGACCCACCCCAATCTCAGCGCCCGTGATGCACTGGGTGGTGGAGATGGGCAGGCCGTACACGGAGGCGAGGGCCACGGTGAAGGAGGTGGCGATCTCGGCGCTGTAGCCGCGAGAGGGGGTCATCTGCGGGGGGGTGGAGGGCGGGCGGGAAGGCACGGGAGCGTAAAGGGAGGAGCACGTACGGGGGTTCAGAACTCAGAAGCCAGGCCAAGGCGTGGGTAGCTGGCGCCAGGAGCCAGACAGGTTGTACGCGCCATGTGTTGCAGTGCATCGCAACCAAACTGTAGTGGTAGTTCCTGACAGCAGCACTAGCACGACTGCGTCGAGCACAACGTGCCCCACATCGATTGCCACCTCGCCGGCAAACGCACCTTGGCCAAGCCCACACCCAGCGTAGCCATGATGTTGTAGCCTGCAGCAGCAGCGGACAGCAGTTCAGCCAGCAGCAGCACGTCAGTCGGGTGACAGTCAGCTACCGTATAAGGCAGTTGCCGTACAACGATGCAGAGTACGGTAGTAGTAGCCTATCACAACAGGCTAGTTCAGAGCTAATCACCGATACATATCAACATATGGTACCGGTATATACACAGCGCCGGACAATTGCGCCAAACCTGCCATTCAAATCTGCCCTCCCTGCAACCCCTCCGCCACCAGCAGAACCCCACATGCCCCCCCATTGATGACCTACCGTAGGTCGCGAGGCCAACCACAATGCCGGCGCCGCCCATGGCGAGCACCCAGTAGGGCGTGTCACCGGAGGAGGAGACAGCCCAGTTGCGGTAGACGAACCAGATGCCGGAGAAGGGCCCCACCGCGTTCGCCACGTCGTTTGCCCCGTGCGAGAAGGACACCGCGCAGGCAGAGAAGACCTGCAGGTACTTGAACACCTGCTCCGTCTCGGGGTTGAACACCTCGGCGGCTGCGTGCAGATCAGCCACATCCTGGTCGGTCTCAACGTCCTGGCGGTGGCGGCGGGGAGGGGTAGGAAAGATCGGGGGCGGGGGGAAGGAAGATGGGCGAAAGGAAGGAATGAAAGAGACCAAGTTGTTACTTTGGCATGCTATCTATGGTAGCACTGCTGTCGCTCGTTCGCTAGTCAGCAAAGGTTGTGTTACCCAAGTGCGTGGACGATTGGACGCACAAGCGGCAGGGGCCACCTCTCAAGTGACCCACGGGTCATCTGCTCGCCCCACCCCACCTTGTGGATATCCTGGTTCAGACCGCGAGTGGCGGCGTGCTTGATCTTCTGGAAGATCTGCTGCATCTTGCCGGCGGGCTCAGCTGGTGCCTCCACATCATCGTCCTGAGCCTTGTTTGCCTTGGCCTCGGCAGCTGCAGCCTTCTGAGCGGCCCTGCGAAGAGAAAGAAACATAAGCAGTTAGTCCGGCACAGCGTCTAGATACTTCGCGCGCACACTCCAAGTCCGGCCTTTTCATGCAGCCTGAAATCCTTCCGACGCCCTCACATCCACCCACCCACCCGTTCACACCGAACCAGGCGGATAACGCATTATCAAACAGTTCGTCATACCCTCCATTCCTCCTCTTCACCCAGCTCACATCACAACCGACGCGCCCGTACCTCTCCATGTCCTTCTTGACCTGACGACGCAGCACCCAAATGCCCGGGAAGCAGGCGAGGGCGAAGCAGCCAGCCGCGACGCAAGCGGCCACCCAGGCGGCCTTGTTGCTTTCCCAGTGCGCCACGTTCTTGGCGCCCTTGAAAATCACAAAGAATACACTGACAGGAGGGGATGGGGAGATGGGGAGGGGATTGCGGAAGTAGGTCATACAGTGCGGGCGGGGACAGAGTGCAGGCGGAAAAGGTGTTGTCAAGAACCAATGCCATGCCCGAAAGGCGAAACGTGCCAAAACCGTGACTATATATTTTAGGCCCGTCGGGTAAACAGCAAGCCTAGGAGGTGCGCTGGCTAAGGGCAAGCGACAGAGGGAACCAGATGCGCGCAAGGTCCGCCCTGGGAAAGCAGGGGGAAACAAGCCCCATGGGTGAGAGGACTTACTTGATAAAGACGGTGATGAAGACGAGGAGGGGGTACATGTAGATGGCTGGGGAGGCGTGGGTGGGAAAAACCGGAAGGAGCAGGTGCGTGACTACAGGTGCGTGACAGGAGAGAGACATACACTCTGAACACCATGTCAATATTGCAACACAGCAACACAGCCTTGTCGTAGGTGTCGTGGAGGCTAGCTCTGCTGTCAAGCCGGATGCTGTCAAGCCGGTTGTTCGACCGTCAACCGTTGGTACCCTAGCTGAGCGGTAGCGGTCCTAGCAGCGTTTCGAGAAACGGCTTTCAGCTTACCCCAATTCGTGCTGTTCTCGCGGCGCAGAATGACGTAGCGCGTTACGAAGAAGATGAAACCCGCCACGATGCCCGACATGATGGGAGACACGAACCAGGAGCAAACCACGGGAACCAGACCCTGCAACGGAAAGCAACATGTGGATGAAACACCGCAACCAAAACAGCGGTTAGCAATGTGCCAAAGCCATAACAAAGCAGCGGTTAGCAACGCAAAGTGGCAATGAATACAGCGTTTCGGTTGGTTAGTTGGTCGTTATTCCGTTCTCTTGTCGTACCTTGGAGTACGGGAAGTCGGTCTGGTGGTCGTTCCACACCACAGAGTCCTTTCCGCCCCACACCAGCGCAAATCCCATGACAGCACCGACTGCGGTTGGGAAGCGAGCGGACAGGGCAGCGCAGGTAGGGCAGCTTGTGAAGGTTAGAAACCATAACGACAGGACCGGACTGGAGGCTTGGGAGGTTTGTTACATACAGGGAAACATCACGCCCTGACAGCTAAGTGGAGCAAACCCAGTACTATAACTGCACGGGCAGGACAGTTGGGTGCACGCGCAAGCACTCCCGCTAGCCGAGGACTGCATGTGGAGCAGAGCAACACCGCAATAGCGCTGTACACAATCCGTGACGCAGCAAACACCCTCGCCGCATGGAACGCTCCTCCCATGGGTTCTCCCACCCATTGTACGGCGGTCCTCCCTTGGGGTGCTCTTATCTGTACGGCGATTACACTTACTGACGGCATGCGTGGTGCTGACTGCAAGGCTCCAGTAGGTGGCGAGGAAAACCCAGAAGGAGGCGGCGATGAGGGCAACCATCATGCCGTAGCTGCGGGTGTGCGGGAGTGGGGGGCGGAGAGGGAATGTGGAGGTCTGGTCTGGGATCTGGGACATCGGGACAAAGGTACACGAGAATGGTACTCGGCTGGACCATGCAGTTGGATGTCAGCGGTAAGGAGCTGCAGCCGCACACAATTGCCAAACAAGGACAGCAGACACCATGGTCGTGCTCTTTTGCTCGCAGCGGGTGGTTGAGGTCATAACTTGTACGGAACAGGCATCGCCTAAAGCCATGCTGGCTGAGAACAGCGCTGTCGTGTGACACCCAACTGCCCATAGAGCTTACGCGAAGATTTCCGGTTCGTTTACGAAGGCGGATGGCCGAGCTATGGAGCCAGCAATTGTCTTCGTCACCTCTCCACCCAAGCCAATAGAGCCCGCGAATTCGAACACAGCGGCGATGAGACATGCCTGCTTCAACGTGATGGTCTTCGCACCGACGGAGGTTCCGAAGGCGTTGGCCACTGCAATTGGGCAATTGGACAAGACAGGACAGGACAGCGGCAAAGAGGCTTTAAAAATAGCGGGCAGCAGTTAGCATTGCTAAGCGCGAGTGCAGCGACAAGAAGTCGTGGGTGGTCGTGTCGCATGCAAGCCCATCATCTGAGCAAGCGTGGCTTACCATCGTTGGCGCCGATACCGGCAGCCATAATGAAGGATACGATGAAGCCCACAATGACAATCCACTGCAATCAGCAAGAGTTAGGATCATTAAGTGCGAGCAGGCATGCATGCCTGGAGTTAAGTGTCGTTCAGATGGCAGGCCAACAACAAACGAACGGAACGTACAGAGATACTGGTAGAACGCACGTGAAGGCAACCTAAGCATGGGAGGCGAGGAAATGCCTTGTTATACTGAATATACTCTGTCGCATGTCAGACGAAAACCAGGAAGATAACAGGTAGCAGATTTATTTTGCTTACCATATAATCATCCCAATGGTCCGGATACATCTGCATGAGGGCAAGGATGCATACAGAAACAGCGGTGTGCGACATGTTAAGCCGATGCATGCAAAGGGGTAGCAACAAGAAACTCTCTAGCCGCGCAAGCTCTTATACCACCGCCTCAGACACGCCTACCTTTGCAGAACCTTTTAAAAGATGGACCCGTCAGGGTACAGGAATGTCGAAAGAGCCCGGCGACACTTGTTAGGTAGAAGCACTGAGGAGCCTTTTCAAGCTATTCGGCTTTGCCAGTAGGATAGCCGCACTGAAGAGGAAAACACTTATGGATGCACAAGATTTATGGTCGTGATATGCCATTGGTACGCACGGACGAGCATCTTAGTCACACAGCAGGTAAGAATATGCTGGAGTATATGTTTTTAGGTCTGATACGCTAACTCCAACAGCTGGACTATATGCTGTATATTGATGATCAGCGCAATGTGTGGTGCCCTGACGACGTGACGAGAATTTCCAAGAGAACCAACGAACCGCCGGAGCAGTTAATTTGTCGCGACTAGGGAATCATCTGCCTTGTATCTCGCATGCATGTGAAACATTCAGTTGTTTACTATTTTTGCTATAGTTCATTGCACTATAGTAGAAAAGGCGAATTGTGCGTTGGTGGCAATGTAGGCGGATTGCAGTGCCGGTACAAGTAAACACCTTCCAAAGGATGCAAGCCTGCATGGCAGCGTGCTAACACTTAATGGATACAATCTTAAACAGAGTAGTCCCGGCCGCGCCGTCTTGTACATCATCCTTTCCGTCTTGGCCAATTAGCGGTTAGTTGCTTGCCTTCGTTTGATGAAACGTTATGTAGCTGAGCGACGCATCAGCGGGCGCAGTGTTAGATATTGCCTGAGAAACATACGCGTTATCAGGATTATTCACGAGCGAGTCGGCCAACTCAAGTAAGGCATGCGCTCCATTCGTGCGCCTAAATTCCCAACATGCGGGTTCGCTTGCTCGTCAGCACTTGCTCCCTGCATTCAGTGGGGCATGTGAGGTAAGCATAGGCTGAAACCTTACGGGTACGGGTAACAACTGCGCACTGATAAATCCGCCAACTGATTTCACCAGTAGTAGTGTGCGTCAGGAACACCACAGCTAGGGCCCCTAGCTGGCTCAAGCGGCATGGAGCGTCGATGCGACATGCCCCCCCCTCCCGCTACCGGTAATGGCACAAGTTGCCAGGGAAACCATTCCATCCGTCATGGGCGTTGTTTGACCCTGAAGTGTTGTTTCCCGCTTCCCGTTGCGAACCCAGGAAGTTCTTATCTTTCTCAAACAAGGCGCAGGGACCTTCGGGCAGAAAGAGGCACCGCTAAGAGGTGCGATCCTGGACTTGTTCAGCTGAGTCAGGGAGCCTGTGGGAGCTCGTGTGCAGCTGTCCTCTGTGCAGTTCTCGAGGGCTGGGCGCGCCCGTGTTGGTCCTGCGGGACACCACGTGGGTTGCACTCATGGCCGGTTGCATGGGAGGTGCATGCGACCCTGTAAGCCAGAGGATGGCGAAGCCATGACACGTCGGTATCATGCCAGACGTGAACTCCTGGGTAGCACAGCGGTGGCAGTGGTCGTGCATGTAGCTGCCAGTTGCTTCTTACGATGGGGATCAGAGAGAAGCCAAAGTATTACTTGGCAAAGAATGGATCTTCGTCAGCCTTGCATGCAAGAACCCCCTTTGCTTGTTGGTTGGTTAGCTTCTGTCTCTTTACCCTTTGACTGTACCGGGGCTGAACTCACTAAGACTGCCCGCCTCCAAGGCACAGTTCCTGGAACTGCTGGGGAACTGCTGCAACCTTGCAAGGCCTCTGCGGACATGGCAGCGATGACGTTATTGCTTGGTACCGCTGCATTGTTGGGAGCGAGGTCGCGGTGGGATGGATGATGCAACAGTATCCAAAGGTCTCCGGCAGGGACCTAGGAGGCTTTTACACGAAAGCGTGCGGCCGCGGATACCCCGACAGCGTGCGACATTGGTGTCAAGACACGGTCACGATGATGGCGCCGGCCGAATCCGAGACTTGAGGTGAGGTGGGATGGGGCGCAGAAGCGGAGGAGTTACCCATGCCCACGGCAAGTCAGGATGCGAAGGCATGCCATACGGTACTAGGCGAAAAGCAGCATATAATATTTAAGAGCCACCCAAGACGATTGCACAGTGGATGCGGTGCTTCCCTTGTAAGTTTGGTGCGGAAGATCGGTTTCAGCGTTTCACCACATGCACAGGTGCAGTACTGCACCGCATGGCGACCTCCTTATACCTTGATCTACTTTCTATTTTTCACAACATAACACTAAAGGGAGGCCAGGGCTCCGTAACATCCTTCATTGCTGGTTCTTCTGGCGTCCTGGGAAAGCAGCATAGCCGCAGACGGCCGCCCTCATTGTCGCGCTCGCACAGCCTTGTTTGGGACAAAGTATATCCAAGAATACGAAAAACCACGTTTATTTGAAGTCATAGTTTTCCTCAAAAGTTTCCTCGGGAACCTTTCAACTTGCGATTGCTGACCTCGCGCGGGGTCCTAGCTTTTGCTCTCAACCTATTCGAACTATAAACATGAAGCGGAAGGCTGATGGCGCGGAGTTTGGCCCCCCTGGCGGTGGTAGAGGCCGGGGCAGAGGGTAAGATTGTGCGTTTGCTATTGCAACCTTTTCAGGCGTTAACGCGAAAGCTTCTTAACCATGCATTACCAACCATACGATAATAAGTGCCTTGGCGCCTTATTAACAGGCCACCCCGTTATGGCCAAGGCCCCATGGGAGGGCGCGGCGGTCCCTATGAGCCGGACATCATGCATGGTGCGTTGCATTGAAGATATCATCTCCTTAGTCTTTGCGCTTTTACCGGTGTGCTCTACTGGGGACTATACTTGTAAGCTTCTGTGCGTTCCTTTGACCTGAGCTAAATATTATTGCTTTTGCGCAAAGACGTCGCAACCGGTGTGGCACTACACCGCAGCGTTCAATGCTTGTTGTCTTAAAATTCGGCCGCCTATCCCAACCTCTATGACCTCTCAGGTCCCCCGCCGCCTCGGGGTATGCCCATGATTCCCCCACCCGGCCCCGCTGGCGCCATGCCCGCCCCCGCGCTGGTCCCTCTCCCCGACGAGCCGATCATGCTGCAAGAGGTGCTACTCTCAAAGCGCCTGGCGGGCGTGCTCATCGGCACGGGCGGCAGCAATGTGTCAATTGTGAGTATCACCTGGACCTCCTGGATTTGCCAAACATGTGTTTTGGGGCAACCGCACAGCATGCACATGCACTTGGGGCATGCCCATGTCTTAACAACTCCGTAACTTGATGATGAATCTTCGCTTCCCGCAGGTGCGTCGTGAGTCCCGGTGCAAGGTACACGTCTCGGAGGCTCGCGGCCCCGAGCAGATGCAGGCGGTGGAGCTGACAGGCACCGAGAAGCAGGTGCGTGTGTGTGGTAGGGGCGTTTCCTGGGAGGAAAGAACCAGGAAAAACCAAACGGTTAGGATTCATGGTTTTACGCTATAACATGCACATGTTACGTTTGCTGACTAGCTCCCACCCATGCATGAAGTTCTGCCTCTTCTAGCCCGACACATACAACACCCTCAGTCGTCACCCCCATCCTCTTCTCGCGTGATGTTGCCCCCGTATCCGTCGTATCCAACGTATCCTGCGTCGTACTTTGTACTGCAGATCTCTGCGGCCGTTGCTGCCATCCGCCGCATCTTGGCGGAGTACGACCCCGAGCACAAGGTGGACATGAAGCCCAGCGTGGAGACGACGGTGGAGATTTTCCCCGAGATGGTCGGCTCGGTGCTCGGCAAGGCGGGTGCCACCATCAAGGTCATCCGCCAGAAGTCCGGCGCGCACGTCCGTGTGGAAGGTGAGTGGACCGGCTGCTTGCTGCCTTGACCCAGATGCCAGTTGGGTGTCCTGCTTGTGGACGCATGTTCACACATGCCCTTTAGCCTCTGTTGGAAGAGCCCGGAGCTTTCGGGTGGCACCTGACTATGCGTGCATGACAAGCATCTACTCATTTACCTTCCGGTAAGGAATGGAAAGGACCTAAAGAAGCCTCTTCCTGACTCTTGCTGGCTTTGTGTGTGTGTGTTTTCCCTCGTTGGCCCCCTCCTGCCCCGCACCCGTGCAGACCTGCAGCCCGGGGAGCGCATGCAGCTGGTGCTCATCAGCGGCTCCATCGAGCAGGTCAAGATCGCGTACATGGAGGTGAGGGGGGCGTGCACCGCTGACAGGACATGACACGCATGGGCAGGCCGCGCATGGGTGCCGAACCGATAGGGCGGACGTAAACGTCCGAGAAGGCATGAAGGTCGCAAACCCTTGTTGTCCTAACCCCCAACAAAGAGAGGGCGGGGCTGAGACCTGCTGCGTAATGGCTGCGTAATAACTCCGGGAATCCTCCTGTAACCCCTCTCCTCCCTGCTGCCTTTCCCCTCCTCTGCCACGCAGGTCAAGGGCATCATCGACCGCTTCGACCCGTCCAAGGTCAAGGGCGGAGTTGCGCCCATGATGCCTCCCGGCCCGCCCGGCCCGCGCGGCGCCATGCACCCGCACGGCCCCGGCGGCCGCTACGGCCCCCCTGGCCCTGACGACCGCTTCGGGCCCCACGACCCCCGCGCCAGGGCGCCCGGACCCGGACCCGAGTGGTACGAGGACGGTTACGACTACCCGCCGGGCCCAGAGGGGCCGCCGTTCGGACCCATGGGACGCATGGACGGCGCCGGACCCCGGCCTGGTGGCCGTCCCGGCGCTCCCGGGCCTTACGGGCCGATGCGTGGGAGCCCTCCTCCGGGTGCGGGTGGTCGCTACGGTCCCATGGGTCCTGACGGCGCGCCGGTGGGGGCTCCTCAGCGTGGGGAGATGGGTCCCGGAGGTTACGGCGGGGGACCGGGTCCGGAGAGCGGCTACCGGGGGGGGGCTGGCGGGTATGGTGGCGGCCCCGTGCAAGACCCACGCATGGCTCCTGGCGGCACCAACGGTGAGTCCGGCTGAGCTGTTCACACCTCCATCTTGTGCATTACATCAGTGCCTGATGCTTTGGCAAGAGGCTCCTCCTTCCCACGCGTTCTCCCAGGCATGCATGTTCGATTCCTATACCTTCCTAGTAACCACGGAACTTGCATGCACCCCCCGCCCACCCCCCGCCCCCACCCACCCGCCTCCGCAGGTGTCGCTGCCCAGCCTCAGCCAGCTGCGCAGCCCTACCCCGCGCAGCCCACTGTCGTGCAGCTGCCGGCGCAGCAGGTGCCCGCGCAGCCGGCCGCCGGGGTGGGCCAGGTGGGCCCTGTGGTGCTCATGCTGCAGCCCGACGGCACCTACAAGCCCGCGCAGGTGGTGCTGTACAACCCCGCGGCGCCGCAAGCCAACGTGGCGGCCCCCCAGGCGATGCAGCTGATGCAGCAGCCGCAGGTGCAGCAGGTGGGCATGGCGGCGGCTGCGGCGCCGGGAGCTCAGCAGCTGACCGCTGTGACCATGCCGTCCGGCCAGGTATGAGAGGGATGGGGAGGCGATGAAACTGTCGGGGAGTTTATGGGATTGCCGATGTAGAGAACTTTGTAATGCGGTGCGTAGGCTATGTGCTGCCGCCGTAGTACGGAGTACCGGTATTCTTGCGGGTTGGTCCCGCCGCTCTGAGCTCGCCTGCCTGGCTCCTGGGTGGCTCACGTCTTCTTCTCTTCCATGACGCCCCCCCTTGTCCTCGCGGCCTCCCCAGGTTGTGTACAGCACCGCCGGCGGCGCTATGTTCGACGCCAGCGCGCTGAGCCAGCTCTCCTCCTCCATCACCGCATTTGCGCAGCATGCGCAGCACGACACGCAGCACCACCAGCAGCAGCAGGCTGTGGCGTCCGCAGCGCCGGCCGCCGCTGCGGTGCCCGCGGCCCCCACCGCCGCGCCTGTGAACTACGGCATGTACGCCGCTCAGGCGCAGCAGCAGCAGCAGCCCAACCAAGCGCAACCTCAGCAGCCCCAACAAGCGCAGCAGCAGCAACAGGCCGCAACCGCCCCGCAACAGCAACAACAACAACCGCAGGCCCAGACGCAGCAGCAGCAGCAAACCGCGGCATCGGCTTACGGCGCCTACGGTCAGACGATGGCGACCGCGTCCATGTATCCGGGGATGGTGGGTGTGGCCGGGGGCTACAACATGACTGCAGAGCAAATGCAGGCTTACATGAGGGGGCAATATGGGGCGGCGCAGCAGCAGCAAGCCGTGCACCAGGCGTATAACCCGTATGCGGCTTACCCGCAGTACGCGCAAATGTACGCTCAGGCCCAGCAGCAAACACAGGCCGGACAGCAGAAACCTGGTCAGGGTGACTCAGCGCAAGCCGCGGCGGGTGGCGCGGCAGCGCAGCAGCCTCAGCAGGCCGGGCAGCAGGGTGGGATGGTGAAGCCGGAACAGCAAGGTCAAACGGCCCCCCAGGCAGCACAGACCCAATCAGCGGCTGCGCAGCAGGCCCAATACCCGTACCAGTATAACACTGCCGCGTAAATGCCCTTTCCTTTGGCTCCCTTGTTACCCTTGAAAGCAAACCGGTGTTCAGCCGGAGTAGGTAACTCTGGCGTGAAGGTTCAGGCATCCACCACGCATCCATCAACGCCTCAAAGGGCAAAGGAAGGACGGGAAACGATAGCGCCAACGCTTTGGGATTGCCTCTGCTTGGACAAGGTAACTCTAACTACCTCGAAGAACTGGAGGAAAGCACACAAGGATACGCGGCTGCTGGTTTGTTAAGTGTTCGGCTCTTGACGAAGGTTTGGGGGGGGGCATGTAGTAACGGGAGAACTTTCTGCGGTTACTGGGGCAAAACGTAAGTGGAAGGTTTTAAAAGGTACGGCTGAAAGCACGCCAGCGAGCTTACGGGTCAGTCGTTAGCATGGACGTATGCCTTGCGTGTGCCTAAATTATTTCTAGGCGCTTTAATCTTTTGGCGTGTGTTGGTTACTTCGCAGTATGGCCCAGTGCAGCGAATGCTTGGCACGTTGCTCCTTGTCTCGGAAGTGTGTGAAATGGGAATAACGTTTAACATTTGAAGCACCTAGAAAACCATGGCAGGGGTACCCAGCATCCGCAGGGCCTTCTGCAAATCATCTAGGGGTGTCATCGGTCACGAAAATAGTCAAGTCTGTCTCGTAAAGTCGGAAGTAAAGTCGGGATTAACCGCCCACCTTGGGGCACTACGTGTAGTTTGATGTTTGTGTTTGAAGGAAGCGTGCAGATGTCGTTTATAACCCGGGAAAGGCGTGGAAAGGGCTGCTTGAGAAAGCTGAAGACAGCTGTGAAGCGCCTGGAGAAACGGCAATAAATTGTAAATGGAGCAAATGTGAAGTATCAACAAGTTAACCCTCGGCGGGTTTTCTGCGATAATGCGTATCCGGGTACGACGTGCGACATACAGGGCCCTTCTTTTGAAACGGGAACGTGTTTGCTTCATGAACATTACGCAGGCTAGGGAATCCCCTTGTACTGAACGACAACTGTCAACCAGGTTAGCCTTGTTAAGATACACCGTGCCTTTTTAGGTTGTGTGCATGTTGTTTGCGCGTATGTCACATGGGTAAGGGTGGGTTTCCGAGGTTCGGGGTGCCACGTGCGATTGTCTCGTGTCAACTATGAAGTCTGTTGCATGCTTGTTGGTATCAGCGTGTTCACCACCTTCCTAGTGTGCCAGCCGCAGCTACATACCGCACCAGGAAATGTCAAACATGGGCAGCCTCGCCTACGTAAAACTCCCACTTGGGCACACAATACCGGTAAACCTTACGATTGTAACCCATGCGAAGTCCCAAAGGGCTCTCGATCATTAACTGCACTGGTAGTTCTGTCCACCCCTCTGCTGAACACTGCGTGCAGACCCCACGGTTTCGGCCCACCAGCAGCTCACGGTCAGCACAAAACCGGCGGTCACTTAATTTTGGTCACAGTTCAATGGATGTGGCTTAATGGGCCTGCCTTCGTGCCCCTAACAATGGCCTTTTGGGAGAGTGTCCGCCTGCCCGCAGGCGTGCCACACGCAGCCGCCGGAGGAGTGGAGGAGCGGCTCAGGGAGGGAGGGCAGTCCGCGGCACCTATCCGTGGCTGAGAACACAGCGGTATGGTCAGGGCTGGTGAGCCCTAGGCACTTGCATGCGCTCTACTGTAACCCGCTGCATGCTCCTCATTGCCGCAATACCTCTTCATGAAGGGCCTGACGCGGATGATGCATCTGCCACATATGCTGCTAGGGCTTGGTCGCGTTTTATTCTGTCTCTTTGCGCTGCTATCTCTTCATATATGCCTTGCTTATGTGTCGCTTGTGAGCACGTAGGATAGGGGTACTGCCGTAAACCCCTGCATGTCCTGTTGTTACCGTTCGGTGCATTTGATAGCATTTTTTACGCGTGGACTGTGACAAATGGGTTCTTGCTACATAAATTTGTAAGAACTCGAGGTCTCGGATCACACAATGATGAAGATGTAAGCACACGCATGAATTGAGACATCGTCTAATACCACACGGGAGTGTTGAAAGGACGACACAAGTACGGTAATCTTTCGCACACACCCTACGTACGCAGGGAGAACACACACCATTCCCCTTCGTGTTCAAACCCCATAAATAGTCAATCCAGCGCCTCTCGGCATGGTTTCGGCATGCCCGCAGCGCCTCACTTGACGCCTCAGCCTCTCCTCCGACACAAGCAGCAGACAAGCTGTGGAAAAGAACATAAGTGAACATCAATCACGCTATAAAGCAAACCCAGCAGTCGTTGTGATGTATTAATATGTTCATTATCCTGCTTGCTGGAAATGGAACGGCCGAATTCGTAACCCAGGTTAGGCAACCTGGTATCAGCGTATCACTCCTGACGACACCATAAGAGATAAAGACGGAATCGGCCGCGTCTCTTAAGTAGACTTATGCTATGATAAAGCCACCACCCCACCAGGATATCCTAATACCACAGCTCAGAATAGCCCGTATATAGCCACCTGCCGCCTCCTTGCATGCGTCATTCTCGTGCTTCTAACACAAGCCCACCCTGCACCATGAATACGGTAGCATCCGCCAGCCTGCGGCATACTTAGACAAAGACGGCATGTGACCTTCCCTATCCATTTGGCGCAAGTAAGCGCCTTGACGCCGCGGTATGTCACTTCCATAAATAAACAGCCGACGAACCCTCCTGAACACCTAGCGACAGCACACGCAGCCAGCCCCTACAAGCCCCTACTGGCCTCATTGCAGCCGCCCCCCACCCACATACAGTTCACCCTCCGCCCCCACCCCCATTTGGCGCTTTCCAGCGTGCACGGGCAGCTGGCTACTTGAGGTTGCGCCCGTCTGTGAGCGTCTTGCCCACTCCCTTCCGCGGGAGCGTGGGTGCGAGGCCGAATCCCCCCGTGGTGACGTCTGGGTGGTACGCGGGCTTGCCGCCGGGGCAGCCCTGCGGGATGAAGATGCCCATGCGGTCCGCGTGCGCCTGGTCGGAGGTGTAGGTCCCCAGCATCCGCATGGCCTGCGACCAAGACAGCAGCACACACGTAGTGCGCATTACACAAGACAAGAGGGTTGGGGGGAATTCTGTCAGGTTGGTGGTGCGGTATGGTAATCTGGGACCTGAATGAATGACACCATCCAAAGAGTGCGGGATGCTGTTCACACGCACATGCGCGAAATGGACTCCGTCCCATTTGCCCGTTGCCGAGTATCACTATTCTTCAGGTGCAACCGGTGTCCGTGCGTTTCTCTTGCAGTGTAGGCTTGGGTACATCACCCGAGTTCCCTTTCAGGGAAGCATTGGCACGGTCATTCACCCAAGTGGCAGCGGCTGTAACCAGGTAAGGGACAGGAGTGTGTAGCCAAGGACAGAAGAAAACTGCCCACAACCGGAGATCTCATACGGTAAACACGGTAAAGGGATTCCGGCCGACTTGCCTGGTTTGTGGTCTCTGTTTCCGGGCGGATTTGCGACATGAAGTCCAGCGGGTAGTGCTGCTTGAAGCGGCGGGCGGTGATCTTGTGCTGCTGCTCGATGGGCTGCCCGGGCTGCGGAAGCAGGCCGGACTTGAAGGTGGTGTGCGTGTACTCCGCGGGGCAGGTGTTGCTGTCAAACCTGCCGAGACGGGAAAGGGAGGGGCGAGCGGAGGGCGTGTGGGTGGGTGCGTGGAGGTAGGGGCAGGGAAGTAAGGGCGCCTGCTGCAGGTTGGGGACCTAGGCGCTGCCTGGAAGGACCTCGGCTACCTAGCGCTCTGTCCATGCGCCAAGGGGAAGCGCTGCGGAAGTTGCAAGCCCCCGTTGATGATGCAAGCGGCGGATTGCAACTGTTCGAAGAGCCACCTGACATGTGTACTGCTCTTGCTTGGCACAAATCCTACTGGCAGATCGACGGTAGACTAGGTGGAGACCACCCATCCAATTGACCTCCAAATGGGCGACCTTACCCGCTGTTCTTAGGACTGGCAGTCACCTGCGCCTTGCCCTCCTGGTGGTGCAGTGTTAAAAGGAAAGTTTGTATCGTTACGAAGGAGCAAGGAAGGAAAACGTCTTGTCGCTTGCATGCGCACCCATCATCGTGGTTGGGAGTGGCAGTCATGTTGCCAGGCGACGTCAGAAGTAGTCCTTTGTCAAGATATGCATTTAGCTTGCCAAAACGGCAATTCAAAAACCCTTCATCACTTCCGCCGGGCACCGTCCGTTCGTTCTGCCGCACACAGCCTTACCTGGTAAGGGCCAGCTTCGCGAGTAGTGCTCTGCCGAATTTCAGCGTCTGTAGTAAGGCGTGTCCATACATCAAACCCTTGCGTTGCAGTGTAAAGCCTGGACGCAGCAGCGCAACGGGTGAGCATAAACTGCATCACCATGGGCCCAGGTAAGCACAAAGCATCCGTATTTGCAACCTACTTGTTGTATGTAAACGCATCTTCCCCAGACATATCTATTCGTTCTCTGTATCTTAGGGTTGAGGGGTAGAGGGTCTTTTTACCCGCATCGGCCATCGTGGCTACCTTCGCCGATATCTAAGTAACTGCTGGGCAAGGACGTGGCGCAAAGACGCTTCTCAAGGCTATACTCTTTAATTTATACTAGCTTTAATAGGCCTCTGCATCGAGGGCGACTTCTAAGTTATGTGGTGTACGGCCGCAACGTCACATTGCGGCCTCTCTAACGTTCAGGATGCTATATGCGCCATCATATTTTAATAAGGGTATAACAAGATGTTGCTGGAGCTATGTGAGGCCTCGCTTTAGCTTTCTCAAGTCGGGCGAGGGCAGGTGCCGTGCGGAAGGTGACAAGTTCGCGTGTCAAAGGGTATCAAGGCCATTCGTTCATGAAGAGGTTGTTTCCTTCCCTCACGCCATCGAGGTGTTCTTTGTCCCCGCCCTCTGGCCCCGCCAGCTGGCCCATTATATCCCTTATGCTCAGCTAGTCAATAGTTACCCGGGTGCTTAATTGTTCCGTGCGCTGGACACACTCTGGCAGATGCCAGATGTGGTGATGCATCAGCTGCCGATAGTGCGTGACCACTACCGGTACCGTAGCGCAGACCTGTGGTTGGCGACTTGGGTGCTGGGGTTTGAACTCACAACCAATCATGAAGTATTCCGAATGGCTTGGTTTGGACAAAACACGCACTTCCCCCCCAAGCCCTGACCGGCATGGCCACGGGGAGAGGCGTGGGGTGCGTGGGGTTAGGCTTAAATCTTGATCGGGAATGATACTGCTGTCTGAGAATCTACCCTCAACCGGCAGAGAGGGGGTGGCCTTGGCGTGAGGCTGGTGTAAAGACTCTTCGGGTAAGGACCTTTGAACGCGGGGCTGTGCTTGCGGATGAGTGGCAAGCTCTCGGGCGGCAGCGTGAGGAGAGAGTGGGGCGGCTCCTCTTCCAAACAAACTACCATAGACTACATTAATCTACATGTATGGCTTGTCACAGGTTTAGGTTGAACAAGGCGGATGCATGTCGGGTTGTCGGCAACGCTGTACGGATGCAAGTTTGTAGGCTTCTATCAACGGAGGCCGCGCAAACCAATTGCTGGATAATGCACTGATAGCACTACTCCCTAAAAGAATCGTTACGTCACAACTGCTTTGTTTCATTTTTGGCCATGGCCTCCAGATGTGCCAAAGCAATATGCAATGCGTTATCGACCTCGTTTCGGGCCTCACATGTTAATTACCAGCTGTCGAATGCGGCGATTGTTGGAGCTTGGCTTGGGCGGAACACTAGCAGTGCTGCGCTTCCTGGTATGCTGAGCGGATGCTCCTCGTTAGTAGAGCAGGGCTACAATGCATCATTCCGATGCTTTGCCACTAGCAGCAGCGCTGCGGAGGCCAGCAGCAGCTCTTCTTCTCGGACCTCGATGACCGTCACGAACGGTTGCAGAGGGCCTGTGGTGCATTGCGGCTTTGCACACCAAGGGCACCTAGTAACTGAACTGGGGCGCGGCGTGTGGGCGCAACAGCACCACTCCTCCTTCTCGGGACAGCAGGCTGCATCAATGGCGACGATGGGGCAGCTCCTGTCAGGCGCTCGCAAGGGCCCCAAGCGGCGGAAATGCAAAATCCGCCAGCTAGACGGGAGCCCGTTCAAGAAGGGTATCTGCTTGCGCGTGTATACGACCACGCCAAAGAAGCCCAACTCCGCCAACCGTAAAGTCTGCAAGGTGCAGCTCAGCAACGGCTTCAAGGCTCTATGCTACATTCCAGGTCCGGCGGCTGGGGGGCATGGGGTCTCGAGCTTACAGTGGGCCCGCGTAGCTGGGTCCAACACGTGTTGTGTCTTGGCATCTACAACATGCCTATGTGTACCGTATGCGTGCATTGTACGCCCTGTGCCGCTATCCACTCCTTACACATGTCAGCCACCCTTTCAAGTGACACGAACGCTCCATAGCTTTGCATATATCCACAGGGCACATGTTCACATGTCACAATGCACCCTCTCGCTCTGTGTGGTGCACACCTCACTGCATTAAAAGTCCCGCACCTACTGCCCTACTACACCGTCTCCTCCTCCGTCCTCTTCCCCATCACCGCCTCACCAGCATACGTGAGGCTTTCCCAACAACCCACTCTCACATCTCCACCCCCACCGCTCCTCCGCTGCTGCCTCCAGGTGAGGGCCACAACCTGCAGGAGCACAGCATGGTCATGGTCCGCGGTGGCAGGGTGCGCGATCTGCCCAACGTGAAGCTCCGGGTGGTGCGCGGCCGCTACGACTGCGCCGGCGTGAAGGACCGCAAGAAGTCGCGGTCGCGGTACGGCACCAAGCGGCCGAAGGCCACGTAAGGCCCGCCTGCTATCGTGCGGTTACTGTAGTTTGGGGAGCCCGGTAGCAGCAAGCACGGCAGCAGTGGAGTCGTGTCGTACGTTCAATGGGCGTTGTAGCAGCTAGATGATGACTGCGTGTTGGTAGGGGGCTGTTGGCCGGGTGGGAAGGGCTGCTGCTGCGTGTTGGGGGTCAGCGGTCTGCTATCCACGTTGGCGATGATCCCAGAGAGCTGTGATGTTGTAGCACAGGCGCACGGGAGTAGAGATGCATGTGTCTGGAGGCGGCTTACAGTTTGGCTTGGTTAAGCTATGTTATTTCGTGCTATCATGGCAAGGAATGTCACGGCAAGCGTATCTCTCACCCGCACCGGAACGAGCACATAACGTTCCTGTCGGAGAGCCCGCAGGCCGCCATGCAACACAAGAAGTCAAGTAGTAAGGCGTCTTCGTATCCTTAGCGCCGCACTGATGTCGGACTGGTGATTGCATCATTCCGAAAAGAGCCGCGCGTATGTCAGCTGGGGGGACAAAGCAACGTGTTTTCCTCCGCTACAAGATTGCAAGCTTTGCCGCCTCGCCTGTAGCAGCAAAGCAGCACCACTGAGCTCCTTTCACAGCAACACCCCAGCCGCCTCCCCACCGCTGCTGCTTCTCCTGCATTCATAGCCGCTGCTGCTGCTGCCTGCTAGCCGCTTCCCTATGTAGCCCCACTGCGTGCCTGCTGCTGCTGCTACGCCTCCTCCCCTCGCGCCATGTTGGCCTGCTGCACCGCCAGCGCAGTGAGGTCCTCCGGGATGCCGGGCACGGTGGCCAGGATGCGCGCGAAGAGGCTGGTGAACAGCGCCCGCACGCCCGCGCCGCTGCTGGCGGATACCTGAGGGGGGCGAGGGGGGTTGTGGGCACTCGGCAGAGTGGAGGCATGCATGCATGCGCCCACCCGTCAACCCATGCATGGCGTTAGCAACAGGGAACAACCGTGTGACACTCTTCTTGGTTGGCACACCGCCGGTGGATTGCGTTTAAACGGGTTAGCAGAGGTGCCCTACGGTGTGGGTGGCTGGAGGTGGCATGTCATACCTCAAAGAAGGGGAAGCCCTTGGCCTGCGCCCACTCGCGGCCCTCCTTCTCGAACACCTTGCGCACCGGCTGGTCGGTCTTGGCGGCCGCCACAAACACGACCTTGCACGATAAGAGAGAGCGGCAGAGTGAGAGGAAGGGATGCGAGGATGCGAGGTGGTGGCTGAAGTAGTTGTGGCGATGCACCATGGAACATAGACGCGCCGTTAGGCTAGGAAGACCGTACTCCCCCCCCGGTGCTATTGGGTACGAGCGGGAGCCCGGAGGTACCTTCCGCTCATACAGGCCTCATCATGGCCTGCTGCGTGTCCCCTCCCACTGCCGTGGTTACCACCTCACCATGTTTTCTGCTCCGTACTTCCTGCTCTCCTCCAGCCATCCCTCCAGGGATTCAAAGCTGGCCCGGTTGGTCACGTCGTACACAAGCACGCAGCCCTGGGCCTCCTTGTAGAACTCGTTGCGGACCTCGGAGTAGTCCGGCCCACCAGCCAAGTCCCATAGGTTTACTCTAACCTACCGTTAGGAGGAAACCCGCGACATGGTGGAAGGGTTTGAGCTGTATGGATCGGCATAACAGAGGTTTATGATAGCGTGGCATGTTGATTAAGGGCTCTGCAAGTTAGCAAGGGTATTGGCGAAACACGAGGCTTCCCCAGCGTCCTTCCCTTCCAGGCATGGGTTGGGAGTCATGCCTACCTCGTAGTCGTTGTACTTATTTGGCTTTACGCCATAGTCCACGCCGATTGTTGGAATGTACTTGGAGACAAACTTCTCTTCACAGTATCTGTCGGCACAAGGTATTGATGACTATGGCCCCGTCAACTGTGCAACACATAATCCCCTGACGCGGCCCGCACCCTTGCCCTCTCACCGCTTTATTAGGCATGATTTGCCGCTTCCAGAGTCCCCCATGGATATAACCTTAATTCGAAAAACCTTTGCTCGCGCATTCTTTTTGCCGCTTGCAGCCTTAGCTGCACGCATCGTATATCTACTTCAAGAGAAATCGCGTAACCTACATTATGCTATAGATAAAGCAAAAAATAAATAGCTCACTCTAACTTTGGTATAGTCTTTCTGGTCAAGAGGCGAAGACGGAGTTCCCAGCACCTAAGGAGCAAGCCCAAGTAAGACATGCCATAAAAGCAGGGTACATAGCTAACGTACAAGTATGTATAATATGTACACAGTTCTGTTCATCCATCAACGCGCACAAGTTTGTGCGGGTCAAAGTTGTACGACGTCGAAACCCCAGAAGCCAGCCAGATGCCGATTGGGAACTTGAGACATCGTTACTCCCCTGCAAGCTCTGCATTCTGGGTACACCGCTACAATGACTTGGGACTGATAACCCCAGCGAGGTTAGGAGCTTCGTGCATGTTTGGGTACGGGATAGGGATCGGTTAGGCTGACTAGGAACCCCAGCTGCCATGCCGGACATCACTGCCAGGCAACAGCCTAACGCAGCCTAAGAAGCTGTCCCAGGACATTAGCTATTTGGATTGCACCCGTCCCTCCTCCTTCCTAGCCCCTTGCTTCGAAAGCGCTGGCAGATCCAGTTCCCTCAACCTCCAGGGCTTTCGTTGTCGGCTCCCTTACCCTCACCTCTTGATAGCGCCATAGAGGTGGGTTGCTGGTGCAGAGCGACCCCACTTTTCCCAGTAGCAGGGGCACGGGCGCACGGCGCATGGGGGCTCGGGACTTCGTAAATCCAGGAGTCGTCGGGATATACAGCAATCCTTGAGTCGATCAGCGGACCCATGAAAGCCGTGCTTTAGGAAGCGAGGATTACACTGGAGGACCAACATGCTTTAGTCGACAGACGCCTGACGGTGGTCAAACCAACATGCTAACGGCAGCGAACGTTTGTCGTACAACTCTTGGGAAGCCCTTTTAGTAAGGCATTGGCAGCGTATTTCTGGTAAATTAAGTATAATAGAGGTATTAACTTTTTTGACGACCGCAACAACTATTGACGACTTACACATCTCAGGGAATCTTCGACGAGATGGAACAAACATATTCACATTCCAAGCTGTGTCGGATCTGAACGCTAGACACTATGTCTGAGACAACTGTTTATGTTTTCACGGCGGTCATCGGACTGGTTCTAGTCCTGCTGCTCGGGCATTTGGTACGTTTGCTGCCATTAGGCGAATCCCTCCAGGACAATCGGAGAATTAGCGGCTCAGAACCACGATTGCAAACTGCAGGCTCAAGTACGCCGCCGTGGTGGATCTGGACAAGGCAGTGACCTCCCAGGTTAGCGCTCCTCCGCTAACCCCAATCCATTGTCCTAAAGGATGAACGAAGTGTCTCTTACAAGATTCCCCTTGCCTTACAAGAAGAATACCCTACCTTTGTACATTGTCTCCTAGTAACCCCATACACATCTCGGTTGCCTGCCTCGCCGTTCACCCCAACAGGTCCGCGTGGCCTGCCCTTGCTTGGCCATAGCCTAACACTCCGCGGCTGGGGCCTGGGGCTGGTCGCGTCCCTTAACCCCAGCCAACCCGCCACTGCCCGTGGCTCTCACAACCGTAGCAGCAACAGCGGCAGCGGTAGCGAGCGGTTGCTAGCAACGCTACGGCAATGGTCCGAGCAGTACGGCGGCGCTTTCCAGCTTCAAACCGCCGGCCTGCTCGGCAGGCTGCTACTGCTGCCCGTGTTGGGAGGCTTTGATGACCCACGGGTCATTGTCGTACTCTCGGATCCCGCCGCCGTACATGCGCTCCTGGCTTTGGATGATGACGTGGCGCCCAAGTCCCGGCGGTACTACGGGGCGCTCGCCCGGGTAAGTGGAAGAGGGAGCAGGGGGGAGCAGTATGAAGAAAAAGAAGGTTGCCAGAGTAAACATAAGGAAACTGACGAACTGTATGACGAGGCCCGCCAGGGTGCTGGGAGGAAGTGCGGGAGGTAAGTTGGCGTGCTGCATGGGGTGAGGTAACCCCATGCGCTCCTGGCTCTCAACAACCACCTCCTCCCCCCCTCCTCGACCCTCCTCCTGCCACTGCTCATTCCTCCTCTTCACCCGCCCCTCCCGGCCCCGCTCCCGCCCCCCCCTCCCCCCCCGCCCCCAGGTGCTCCACCCCGCGGGTGTGCTCAGCTGCGCCACCGCCCCCTCCGCGGGGCAGACCGGCTGGGTGCGCCGCTCGCTGCTGCACGCGTTCAGCGGCCCCGAGCTGGAAGTGGACTTTGAGGTGGGGGGTGGGGGGTTGTGTGGAGGGTCGAGGAGGGTGTGGAGGTGGGGGAGGCGGGTGGCGGATGGGTGTCGAGGTGGGAAAGGAGGAAACAACCAACCAACCGTGTGATAAGGCGTCATCATGGTTGAGGTGGGAGGTGGGTGGAGAGTACAGCCCCCGTACTTGTACGGCAGCAGGGGCGCCGGCGGGGCTGAATAAGACTCGCCCGCAACTACACCGCTCACTACCCCTCCCTGGCACCGCCGCCTTCCCCTCTCCTCGCTCTCCTCCTCTCCCCTCGTTGACCCCTCCTCCTCCCCCCTTTTCCCACCGCATGAGTCGGGATATGGGATTGGGACTCCAGTTGCTCCTGCTCCTCATTCATTCCCCCCCTCCCTGCCCCCCCCCCCTGTCCAGGTGGCCAAGGCCAAGTCGCTGTTGATGGCCCGGCTGCTGCTGCGGCGCGGGCCGGGTGCGGTGGTGGACGTGTGGGAGGCGGCGCTGCGACTGAGCCTGGATGTGATGGGGCTCAGCAAGCTGGGGTACGACTTCAAGGTACGGTATTGGGGGTGGGCGGTCAAAGACCATACCGAACCATAGGAAACCACGAATGGGCAAAAAGGGTAAATTAAAAGTGATACGTGAAACAACTGGAGGCACACGGGAGGGGGCTCACAAGGGAGGGGGGGCGGGGAACACAACGAGACCCAGCGGGGGGGTAAACGTGACCCTCGCTCAGTCCACTTGTGACGCTCCTTGTGCGGTACGTTGGGGTTGCGAGCAAGGTAGGGTAGGGGTTTGATCGGCACGGGACTCACAAACCCCTGGGGCACGGGACTCATCTTAGACTCACCCTCGTAAGTCCCGCCCGTGCAGCACCTGTTGTGTTAAGAAAACTGGCCGCGAGTAGGAACCCGCCTGGTGTGTGTGACCTGCACTGTGCGATGAGCCGAAACGACGCAATCACGCATGCAGGCAGTTGAATCGGGCGGGGAGGTGCTGCTGCTGCGGTTGCTGCGGGAGGTAGCGGCGGAGGGGGCCGCGCGGGTGCGGGGCCGGCGACCCATGGGTCGGCTGGCGCCCTGGCTGCTGGACAGTGCGGCGGAGGGGCAGAACAGCTGCCGCATACTGCAGGAGTTTGTGGAGAAGGTGTGTGTGGGGGGATTGATGGGGTGTGTATGGGGGTTAATAGGCATGAAGGGGGGTGGGGGGGGCCAGGGTGGTGGTGTAGTACCGGCAACAGCACATCAACGCTCTTTGCTAAATGCAAGGTAGATATCATGTTTCACCTTATTTGTTAGACCTCATGTGCTGGCTGAGGAAAGTGTGTTACTTGCAACAGTTGCAAGTGCATCATTCTCCCAGTACCCCCGTCCATTAGCCAGCTATCTCACCCTACCACAAAAGTGAGACCATCTGTGTGCATCTGAGCTCCCTCGCCGCTGATCACCCTTTCCCCTCCCAGGTGTTGTGGGCCGACATTGAGGCTCGCGGGCCGCCCCCTGCCGACGACGTAACGCTCGCAGCCCAGCTGGCACGACTGAGGTACGAACCGGCTTGCTTCCCCCTCACACACACCCCCTGCTCCTGTCGACTCGGCTGCTTCAATCCGTTAGGGACTTTCATCACGGATTGTTCCTCCTTATCATTACCAACCCTAGTTTTACTCCTGCCTCCCCTTCCCTCCCTCCTTCCCTCCCCCACCCGCTCCTCCTCCTCTCTCCCTTCCCTCGAAGCGCCCCTCCCTCCTCCTCCTCCTCCTCTGGCCCCCGTCTGTCCCCCACTCGCTGCCAGGCTGAGCTGTCCTCGCTGCTGCTGCTCGGGGTGGAGCCGGCGGGGGCGGCGGCGGCCTGGGCGCTGCACTGTCTGGCGGGGTGCAAGCAGGCGCAGGTGGGGGGAAGGGGGAAGAGGGGTGTTTGGAGGGGGGAGAGGGACACCTGGAAAGGAAGGGTGGAGCACCTTGCTGTGGAGGCATGCGATAGCAGCACCGGCCTCCGCCTGCCTGCCCCCTCTGACCCCTCTCCGCCCCGCGCAGGATATCCTGGTGGCCGAGCTGAAGCGCGAGGGTGGGGGACTGGGGGGGACCAGCAGGGGACTGGGGGGGCGTGTTCCTGGAAGTGCCCCACCACCCCATACCTCATATTATACCCTTCGTTGCTCATGCAAACGCAGACGTACCGGTATGCTCCCAACGCGCCACGCCAACCCACTTGACCGTTATTTTCCCATTCTCTTCCTCACATCCCCACCCCACGTGTATTCCTTCCCCCCACCACCAACACACACAAAAATACACGCAGGTGTGTACGAGCAGCCCCAGCAAACCCTCACGTACGACAAACTCTCCCGTCTGCCGTACCTCGATGCGGTTGTACGGGAGGCGCTACGGCTGTACCCCTCCCTGCCCTGCCCGGCAACTGCCCGTACGGTCACCAAGGTACGGCAAACAACCCCCGACCTGCCGTACTAGCTAGCACGCACTGCCGTACCGTACCCACCTTGTACCGTACCACAAGCCCCTTTATCATTTTGCTGGTCTTCATCCTTCCCCCCCTGTGTTGTCCCCGGTGTCGCACCACCCGCCCTACTCTCCGAAACCCTGTGATCGCTGGTTCCTCGTACCCGTACCCCTCCCCGCACCCCCCTCCCAAACCCCATCCGTGCCATTGCAGGACGTGTTCCTGGCTGGCCGGCTGGTCCGCTCGGGCAGTGAGGTGTGGGTGGACGCGCTCTCGCTGCACCGCTGCCCCGCCCGCTGGAGCCAGCCCGACTCCTTCCTGCCGGCCAGGTGGATGCGGCAGCAGCAGCAGGCGGCAGCAACGACGGGATCTTACAACAGCAGCGGCAGCACTGGTAACAGCAGCGGCAAGGAGAGCAGCAACGACAGCGAGGGGCAGCAGCAGCAGACGGCAGTAGCAGCAGCAGCGGTACCGCTATCAGCTACTATCGCTGGTGCGCCGGCGGGCTACGACGGAATGTGCACCGTGGAACCGGACTCCGGAGCGACCACCACATCACCGGAACCGGGCAGCGCAATCGGCGGCAGCGCCGCTGCTGCTACCGCTACTGCAACCGACGGCGGCTCAGCGGCAGCAGCAGCGGCCCCTAGCAGCGGCCCCGCTGACGGCCCTGCAGCTGCTGCTGCTGGTGGCACCCCGCCGCAGCCGCCGCTGTGCAGCCCGGGCGCCTTCATGCCGTTCGGGTCCGGCGCGCGGAGCTGCCTGGGTCAGCGGTTGGCGGTTGCTGAGGTGAAGGCGGTGGTGGCGGTGCTGGTGAGCTACCTGGTGCTGCAGCCGGCGGAGGGGGCGGGGGCGGGGGCGGGGGGGAGAGGGGGGGAGGAGGCGGGGGGCGGGAAGGGAGCGGGGGGAGGTGGGGTGGGGTTGAAGTGGGATGTGTTTCTGCGGCCTCCTGCGGGTGGGCTGCATGTGATGGTGGCGCCGAGGAGGAGGTAGGGGGGGTGGAGGGGATGGGGATGGGGAGGTTGGAGGAGGTAGTAGGTGTGGAGGTAGGTGGGAGTATTCATGTGGCTAGGAGGAGGCAGGAGTTGGTGGAGAAGGGGAGGTGGCGGACATGAGGCGCTAAGCGTGAAGGCGCGCGGTTATGGTGGGGAAGGAAGGGGATATGGCTTGTGAGATGCCAACGCATGTTGCCCTGGGCAGCGCGCGGCAATTTAGGAAAAACGATGACAGCGACACGATAATGTTGACTGCACGTCGAGCGCTAAAAGGATTACAACTCCGGTTTAACGCGTTCTGGCTTCCGGGATTACTTACCACTGGAAGTCATCCAGAGCGGTTGCGATATGGCCTCCTAGCCAGCATCAAGGGCAGCATGCGCAGTTAAGATGTAAAGGTTGCGATGATGATTAGCATGAAAGCAAAATACGCAGTGCGACGTCTAGGACTGGACAGGCTCCCGTACTGATCACTGTTGCACCTGGCCTCTCAGCTACTTGTACCGTATACGTTCTGACGCGCAGTTCGATCGGGCCCTTTTCGTTTCTTATAGACTAGCGTGTCCGTAATTTTATGTGGTAATACTCTTGGCACCATTCGGGGCTACAACCATGCTTGTATTGGTTATGTTGCACCAGTTGAGCAGATGTCATCTAATTTAATACGTACTGTTAACATAACATCATACGCATAGTAGGCGATGCAGGATGTCACGCACACATGTTTACCCAAGCCTTTTGCTGGTCTTCGCCTCGCTGATTGCCCTTACAACTTCAGTATCCAGTAGACGGTTGCTTGAAGCACAGGTTTCACAACAGCAGCAGCCTCAGTTTTATGCGGAAGGAAGCTTCTCCTTCAATGCCTCATGCGAACAGGCATACGCTCGCAATCCAAAGGCTCGCCTGTCAGGCAGCTGCAGCATCGGCTACACGAAGCCCTACGTGGGTCCATTAAACACGTGGGATGACATCCGTGCCATGCTTAAAGCACGGAGCCACAAGGGCGAGGTACGGTCCCAGCGTGCCCCAGTGGCAATCTAACCGCGCGCGGCCCCGTTCCCCATCCCCACGCCAACCCTCTGCCCCGCCTTGCCTCACGTCTTCAGATCATCCTGGCTCAGGAGAGCCGCCCCGAGGCGGCAGCGCAGTGGCAGTGGCGGCTGCTGCGGATGGGCTACGCGCACACGGTCGTGATCGCGCGAGGGGAGGCGGCGTGCGCGGCGCTCAGGTGGGTGGGTCGGGTGGCGCGGGGGCCAGCCTGCCATGCCCTTCCAGGCTGCCCAGCTGCCCGCTCCGCCAACCGCCCAGGAGGACTGGAGAGGTCCAGCTCCCAGCGCCCTACCTGCCCCTCAGCTGCCACCCCAGCCTATCGCTCCCGCTCCCACTCCCGCTCCTACTCCCATTCCCCCCCACTCCCACTCCCATAGTCCCATCCCCCCCCCTCCTCGGCCCCCACCCCCCCCCAGGCAGCTCTTCGGCCCCCATGCGGGCTGCGTCTGGTTCCCCCGCAGCATCTACTACCCGCCGCCCTCCTCCTCCTCCTCCTCCTCCTCCTCCTCCTCCTCCTCCCAGCCCGCCCCCCTCTCCGCGGGCCAGGTGGCGCTGTTCCTGGAGGAGGCGGCCTTCTGGCGGCTGCAGCTGGCGGCCATGGTGCTGAGGCTGGGGGGGCACAACGTCATGGTAGGGGGGGGCAGGGGGGGTTCGGGGAGGTTCGAGGGGGGGGGTGAGGTAGGGCGCGCTGCGGCTGCCGCCTTGTGGTCGGCTCCTGGGCTCCTGGCGGGGCTTGCAGGGGCTTGCGGCGAGGGGTTGGCGGTGCCTCCGCGCGGTGCTGAGGGGCGGTCCCTCCGACCTGACCGCCGCTGTGGTGGCCCCTGCCCGCCTCCGCTTCCCTGTGACTTGCCCTCACGTGTGGTTGTGTGTTTTCCTGCGCCCCCCCTCCCCCCCCTCCCGCAATGCCCCCTCCCCCTCCCGCCCCCTCCCCCCCGCAGGCTGTCGAGACGGACACGGTGGCGCTGGACGACTTCTACTGGTGGATGCAGCAGCCCGACTACAAAGGCGCGGAGGGGGGGAGGGGCGGGGAGAAAAAGTCCCGCGGATGGGGGGGAAAGAAGATTACCCAATGGGGGGGGGACGTGTTTGTGTCTGCGACTTGGGGACAGCTTTTTGAGCCTGGCTGCGCTCCTTGGCCCCTCCCCCTTCCCCCCCATGTGTCCTCACCTCTCACCCTCGCTCACCCTCTCCCCCCCACCCTCTCCACCCCACCCCTCACACAATGGATATCCATCCTTTCCCCCCGACAGACTACAACCTGCTCATCCAGCAAGACACCGCAGCCATGGCCACCTCCTCCTCCCCCGCCGGCCCCCCCCGCCCCTGGTCTCTCCCCCTGGGCGGGGGGCTGCTGTACGCCCGCTCCGCCGCCCCCTCCGGACCCACCGCATGGGCGCTGGCGGAGGCGGTAGCGCGCAACGTGCGTTGGCGGGAGCGGCCGCAGCTGCTGGAGGAGAGGAACAGCACGAGTGAGAGGGGAGGGGAGATGAGGGGTGGGGGTGGTGAGGGGAGAAAAGAGGAGGAGGAGGAGGGGGCTGAGATGCGGGTGGGATTAGGAGCAGAGAGTTCGCGTTCGGGGTGGGGACCGCACCTGTAGACATGTTGGGGCAATGCGTATTGAGCCGTTTTGATACGGGTACTTTCTCTCCCTTCCCTGCTTCCTTGTTCATCTTCCTTGTTCCTCTTCCCCCCCTCGCCCCTCCCCCCCTTCCCCCCCTCCCAGTGCACTCCTGCTGGCACCGCGCCGCGCTGTCCGACGCGCTGTCCTCCTGCCTGGCGGGTCGGCCGCTGTTCGGGCGCTGCCTGGAGACTCGGCAGCTGGACCGCAGCTGGGGCAGCAGGGAGGAGGGCGGGCAGAAGGTGGGGGGGGGGCGGGGAGGAGGGCGGGCAGAAGGTGGGGGGTACAAAAAAGGAAAACTGACGAACCGGATGACGAGGGGGGGGGGAGGGGGGGTAAAACATAAAGAGACACAGGTGGGGGGGGGGCAGGGATGCATGCGGCCACTAGTTGCGTGTATGCGGGGTGGGATGGCGGGAAGGGATGCGGGCCCCATTGCTTCCCAGCAGGCCAAAGCATGCCCCCCCTTCCGCCCCCCCCCCGACCCTCTCCCGCCTGCAGGCCTTCCAGGCGGCTCATGCCAGGTTGCTGGAGCCCGTGCTGCAGCTCAAGGTGGGGCGGGGGGGCTGTGAGGGCTGTGGAGCAGGGAGGGGGCGGGGCAGGCGAGGGAGGGGGCTGGGCAGGCGAGGGAGGGGGCGGGGCAGGCGAGGGAGGGGGCGGGGCAGGCGAGGGAGGGGACTGGAGGTGGTGGGTGTGAGGTTGTGAGGGCACAAGGGTGACGTGCACGTGTGCTGGGGAGATGCTGAGTTGAAAGAGGGCCCGTGCGAGGTAGGGGGGAGGTGCATGTGGGGCATCGCAGACTCCCCCCTCCTCCTCCCTGCCCCTTGTTGGGTTTCCCCTCCCCACCTTCCTCCCTGCCTCCCCTGCCGCAGACCTACAGCACCGACCGCCCAGGCCCCCGCTGCCACACCTCCACCACCTCCCCCTCCTCCACCACCTCTTCCTCCAGCCAGCTGTGGGGCTGGGAGGGCTCTCTTGCTGTCCCCCGCTCGGGCGGGCAGTGGCCGGAGGAGCTGGGCGGGCGGGCGCTGGGGGCGCGGGGGCCGCTGGGGGGGGCGTTCGTGCGCATGCTGGGGGAGGCGGGTGAGGGGGGGGGAGGCGGGTGAGGGGGGGGGAGGGACATGAGAGGGGTCGTCGGAGATAAATAGCAAAGCATAGGAAACCACAAATCAGTGCAAGGACATTGGGGGAAGGAGGCGGCAGCGAGGCCCGACCCCTCCTCTTCTCTCTTACTCCCTCCCTCCCCTCCCACTCCCTCCCTCGCCCCCCCAACCCCCCTGCACGCAGGCACCCCCATGTGGCCCGACCCCGAAGACCCCTCCCCCTCCTCCCCCTCCTCCTCCTCCCCCTCCCCCTCCTCCCCCTCCCCCTCCTCCTCCTCCCCCTCCCCCTCCTCCTCCTCCTCCTCCTCCTCCTCCTCCCCCTCCCCCTCCCCCTCCTCCTCCTCCTCCCCCTCCTCCTCCTCCCCCTCCTCCTCCTCCCCCTCCTCCCCCCCTGAGCGGCTGGCGCTGCTGTCGCCCCACGCGGTGTGCGACTGGAGCCGCTGCGGCCCGCCGGGACTGCTGGCGGCGGTGGCAGGGAGCAAGGCGGGAGGGGGTGCAGGGGGGGCAGCGGAGGAGGAGCCGTGTGTGGTGGTGGGTTGGGGGGTTGGGGGGAGGGAGGGGGAGGGAGGGGGTGTTGGCCATAAACCCACATTGGCACACAACTCCCGCGGCCGGTCTTGGGCTGCCCGCCTCGCTCGTCCAACGCAACACCCGCGTCCCGAACAGTGTGCCCTCCCCCTCACCAGCCGGGCCAACCCACCCCTCCCACCCCTCAATTGCCGCATCCCATCCCATCCCTCCTCCTTTTTCCTTTTACCCCTCTTACCCCCCCTCCCTTCCCCCTCCCTCCTTCAAATCACCCCCCACCCCCCAGGTTGGCCATTTCGACTCCGCCGCCGACTCCGCCCTGCCCCGCAAGCGCCTGCTGCTGCTGGCCGCGGGTGCGGTGTCGCCCGCCCTCTCCGCACAGCTGCTGGGGCCCGGGGGCGCATTCCTGGCCACGGGGGGGCTGGGGCTGGCGGGGGGGGCGCTGGCCATGACGGGGGGCGGGCCCTTTGCGGGAGTAGCAGGGGGAGCAGCAGGGGGGCTGGGGGGAGGCATCATGGGGCTCCATGCGCGCGGTGGTGGGGCGGCGGCTGCAGCTGCGAGCATGCTGGCGGCGAGGGCGGCGGCGGCGGGGGCACATGGGGCGGCACGGCTGGGCCCGTCCAAGGTAGGGGGAGGGGGCAGGGGGGAGGAATGGAGGAGCACAGGGTTTGTATGGTAGAGACGATAGGGAGGAGGAGCTAGGCTAGAAGTGCCCCGGTCCCCCTCCATCACGTCTCCTACCCTTCCTCCTCTCCCACCACCCCCCGCAGGTCCCGCTACCCAAGATCATCGCCCTAGCCCCAGGCGCCCTACCCACCCCCACCCTCACCTCCTCCTCCTCCTCCGCTGCGCTGCTGTCCGGCGGCAAGGCGGCACTGGCGGGTCTGGTGGGCGGGCTGGCCTCCGTGGCGGTGGCGGCGGGGCGCACACTGGGGTTGCCGCGACTGGGCTGCGAGTGGCCCTGGGTGGGTGGGTGGAGGAGAAGAAGAATACCCAGTGTGTTGTTGTTTGTGGTGTTGGTGGGTGGGTAAAAAGGGAGGGCGGTTTCTGCAACGCAGCAACAGCGACTGAGGGACCGCTCCACCCTATCCACAACCATCATGTTTGTTTCCACCACACTTCACACGTTCCGACTCGCGGCCAGTCTTCTTAACACACTCGCGTTTCCATGGGGACTCCATCTTCCGGCGATCACAGAATGTTCCGACTCGCGGCCAGTTCTCTGAACACACGCACACCACCCCATCCCAGTACCCACACCTCACGCTATGCACCCCTCCCCCACCCGCAGATGCACCGGCCCGAGGTGGGTTCGCTGCCCTTCAGCGGCCGCCACATCCCCCCCTGGAGCCACCTGGATGGGGAGGTCTGGGCCGTGTACAACAGCAGCACCGCCGCGGGCAGTGCCGCTGTCAGCAGCAGCAGCAGCAGGCTGGGTGGCGGCAGTGGTGGCAACTCCAGCAGCGGCAGCGGTGGTCTGAGCTGCGAGTGGCTTGCATGGGCGCATCACGGTGGGTGGGTGCGTGTGGATTGGTGGTGGGGTTTGTTGCACCGCTGCCCTTGACCCCCACTTCCGCTGACATGGCCTGCCGTCACGCAGCAGCGATGCAAGGCCCTTCCAGAGCTCCAGTGCAGTAGCGGGTGCAGGTTGCTCCCGTGTTTCCGGTCGCCCGCTGGCATGGCAGGTGCTGCTGGCTGCCCGCTCCCCGCCCTCGCTTCCAGTGTTTGATGAGCTCCTACCCTCCCGAGCGTTGTCCCCACCCACCCGCCCACGCGGCCCCACCCACCCACAACCCCCCCCGATGTCCCAGGCTGCCTGCACGGCCCCACGCACTTGGAGCGGCGGGGGCACGGACACGCCAACCCGCACCCCGCCGCCCGCATGCTGCTATCCATCGAGGTGGGAGAGGGGGGGGGGTAGATGTGACCATGTGTGTTTGGGGGGGGGAGGGAGCCGGGGAGTCAAAGACCATACCGAAACATAAGAAACCACAGCCGGGGGGGAGCAAGAGGGGCAGTGGGGAGGGCCGCGATCCACACCCAGACATGAACCCCTGTCACGCCGCCAAGTGCGCCAACACCTACCCGGTATCCTATCCGTAACCAAGCTGATCCGGTCCTTCTATAGCTTATACGGATCTTCTAATGACCCACCTGTCACCCCTCTCCCTCCCCCTCCCCCTGGCAGATGGAGCACCTGCTGCAGCAGCTCCCGCCCGAGCACCGCACCCCCCGGCCCCCGGGACCCGACGGCGCCGGCGGCAACACGCTGGCGGTGCCGCCAGGCGCTTCCGCCGGCTCCGACGGGGTGTACGAGGTGCGGCTGACTCAGCTGGCGGAGGCGCTGAGCCGCTTGGCACCGGAGCTGCCCGTTGTGTGGCTGGAGCAGCCCATGCGGGTGGGTGCGGGTTCGGGGAGGGGGTGGAGGGGTGGGTGGTTGGGTGTTCCCCTTTGTCTTGCCCTCACTCGTGGTTCGGTGTTCCTTAGACCCCCTGCTGACTCTGCCCACCTGCCCACCTGCCCGCCTCCTCCCCCCCCTCTCCCCCGCTGTTGCTGCTGCCGAGCAGGTGACGGACCTGACTGGGCCCCTGGCGGCCGCCCACCAGCACTGGTCCACCCACTGCTGCGGCATGTCCTGGCCCCGATCAGTCAACCACATCTGCTTCGGCAGATACTGAGATAGAGCGCAGGTGCTGTGGGGCACCGATAAGCGAGAGGTGGTGCTCTCGTGCGTGGAGGGCCGCACACCCTGGTCGTCAAGATGCTGACCTGGTTGAACCATCAACCTTATGTTGTCGATCTACGGAAGGATTGAGATCCCCCGCTCGGCCGCACTCGGCTACTACCGGCTAATGGGCAGTGGATAGGGGGAGGGGGACGTCAGGTGTGGTGGTGCATAGCTGGTAGTGGGACTTGAAGGTCCGCAGCAGGCCTCAGTGATGAGCACATGAGCCCTCGCCAAGCATGTGGAGCCCGTGTAGATGCCGTGGGATGATGGATGGTGTTTATGCCGTATATGTCGTACTGGTTGCTGTGATCTAAAGGGCGTGACCTGGAGGGGCTTGTCGTGGTACGGCACATGGTGACATGTGGGGTGTTAGCGACCGCTGTCGGACGCTACAGGGGGGATGTGCGTTACGCGGGTGGTAGCTGCAAGCGTATAATACCGGTGGGGGGTTGCTCTTGCGGTGGTGGATGAACTTACGGCTGTGCATGCGAGCGAGGCCAGGGGGTGCTGCGGCTGCTAGTGATTACGATGGAGTTCGGCAAGTGCATGGATGCCTGTTTTGTGGCCTATGGCTGTATGGTCTTATGGCATATAATCGACGACCCACGGTGCCCAGCCGTTGTCACGTGAGCCGGCCGTGTGTAAACTGTGACACAGCTGCCCAATGAACGTTGCGCAGCTGCGAGCAACGCAGGGAGTGCTGAATGTTGAAGGTAGCGCACGACAGGGGCAGTCAGCCCCCTACGCAGGTAGCACCCTTGCACGACACCTCGGGGGGTGCCGTCATGCACTGCAACCCCCAGCAGCCCCCACACGGACTGCTGACAAGGAGGTGGGGGAGGGTGGGGCCACATCGGCAGCCTTCCTCCGTACTGCCGCATTCATGGAGGAGATCATGTGTCCACATTCATTTGCCAACTTGGGGCCCGCAACATACATCGCCCGAATCCATGCATAGGTGGAAATATGTCCCCTCTTTTGCATTCATACTTCCAAACAGAACAGCCATACCGTCACACAACTCCTCACACGCAGCCAGCTCCCTTACTCAGGGAGGAACAACAACACTGAAAACGTAAACGACCCACGCAAGGGGCACGACACAGCGGCCCTTTACAGCCATCCACGCCCTCCCCCACGCCGGCGCAGCGGTGCAGCACACGGCTGTCCCCAAGGGTTAGGGGCATCATGGACCCCGCAGCAACACGACTGCAGTGCGCCAATCCTCGTAGTCACAAGGCTCACAACAAAGGGTACGGGGCATTGGTGTCCCACTCCTGGCGTGGCAGGCACACTCCAAGAGGACGGACACCGACATACGGGGTTCCCAGCAGGCGGCTTCAGTGGCAGCGCAGGCGCCCTCCCCCGCTGCAACACAACATTACTGTAGTCAACACGACTGGCTGCCACAGCGACCAAAGCACCGCAGTGGGTTAACACAGGCCTAGCACGTCAGCACGACCGCACATCCATGATAGCAGGGCTCGATAGGTGCCGCGGGGAGGGATAAATTGAGCGTGCAGCAGACACAGCACGCGGCAGGGTAAGGAAAAGAAATGTGTATGAATCACACGCACGCACAAGAGTCAGATGCAGTCAAATGTGTCATCCGCTCTTGTATCGTCGCCTCATAAATTGAACACAAGGTGCCGTATCAACGAAAGAAACGCGCGATGTTGGTTGGAACGTATGCGGCAACCGCCGTACGGAAACGCGGAAGCGTACAGGCTCGCAGACACGACTCACACATGTGTCGTCACACGACCTGATCACACGAGATCAGCCCAGTCGCGTGCCCCAACCACAGCATACGGCTTTCACTTCCAATTGCCTCGCCAACACAATACCGGAGCGCGTTTCCCTTCGTTCTTCGAGAACCATGAATCACATGAGCCACGCCACACACGTGTTCTGGCGCGTGCTGCTGCTGACCTTGTGTGACCAGCTGCATGAATAGCGTCTTCATTGCCTTCCCACACCTCCCAAACACCGTTCCCTTCTGGCCACGTCCGCACAGTACCCTTAGCTACCGTTGCACATGGAGCGGTTTGGATCAACCGCAACCAACGTGCATGCGTTCAAACGTCCCGCCGCACTCCGCTGCCACCAGCCCGCGAACCCGGTCCCAGATCCCGGGTCTGCTCCCCCCCGCCCTAACCCTAGCCCCGTGCATACTCTATGTACGGGGCACCTATGTACAGGGCCCTCAGCCCCCTCACCTGGCTGGCACAGCCACCGAGCCCTCCAGCCGCTGCAACGACGCCAGCAAACGAGCTGCACGATCTGCCGCACGACCGCCACCGCTGTTAACGGCCACCCCGCTCACCCCCGCGGAGGAACTCCCCAACGCCAAACCCGAGCTGGAGTGCGTGCCCGACAGCACCGAACCTGCTCTCAACTCCGACGGTCCCGCCTGGCCCGCCTGAGGCGTCGTCCTTCCGCCCCATCCTGTGTCATTCGGCCTGCTGCTGCTGCCGGCACCCAGCGGCGACTGCGGTTGCTGCTGGTATGGTTGCATCAGCGAGGCAGGAGCACTGGGCCGGGCGTCCACGCTGGCTGCTGCTGCTGCTGCCTCGGCGCGACGGCGCCAGTCGCTGCTGGCCTCACTGGATGCTGTGGGCCGCAACGGCGAGGGAGCGGCGGTGATGTACGGCGGTTGCGAGGAGGCGCGAGGGTAGGCGCGGCCGAACGACGTCGCCGCGTCCATCGGCTGCTGCTGCTGTGGCTGCTGCTGTTGCTGCAGTGCTTGTAGAGGTCCCCCAGCAGCCCCCAGAATGCTCCCACCCGAAGTCGCCACAGGGTCGCTACTGCCGCTGCTGCCGCCGCCGCGGAAGGGGTTGGGAGGGCGGCCGGTGATGCTGCCGGTGGCCGCAGCAGCTGCGGGCGGCCAGAGGGAGGTGCTGCCGGCGGGGGAGGGAGGCGGGAGGGGGCGCGGGGGGGCGGCGGGGGAGAGCGGGCGCGAGGGGGAGGAGATGCCCAGCATGCCGGAGCCGGTGCCACCACGCGCGGCGGCCATGGGGGTCGTCGTGCCGTGTGTGGTGAGGGCCCTAGGGGGGGATGCGGGGGGAAGCGGGGGAAGGTGGAGAAGCAGGAGGTGCAGCGTGAGGGAGGCAGAGGGGCGGTACGGCAACAGGCTGAACCAGGCAGCGACAGGAGGAGGAGGAGGAGGAGGGTGAGATCAGCAGCACCGGTACTAAAGCAGCAGAGCAACGGAAAAGAGAGGGAGGGAGGGAAACACAGAGAGAGGGAGAGGGCAAAGTGAGAGCAAAGAGAGAGACCCCAAGCTGTCTTCGCCGCCCGCCCGCCCGCCCCGCGCGCACCTGCGAGTGAAGCTCTTGGCCGGCACATACTCCAGTCTGCGTGAGGAGTCGCAGCGCTCCTCCGGCGGGTCCGCCGCCGCGTCCACCAGCAGGTGGTGGTGGGGTTGCTGCGAGCTGCGGGACTTCTGGGAGGGCTGCACCAGCAGGCTGGGGCGCGAGGTCTGCGGCAGCAGCAGGCTGGGTCGGGAGGGCTGCGCGAGCAGTAGATGGCCGCGACCGTACATCTGGGGGGGGCGGGGGGCAAAAGGGGGCAAAAGGAGGTGGGAAAAAGAAATCCCAATGTGTGGTGTGATAGTGGTAAACTAGCTGACAAGCCCTGCTGGAAAAACAGTGAGTCGAGCCGAACTGGTGACTGATGCGTTGCGAGCTAAAACTTACCGAACCCCGTTGGGAGGGGGAGGGGAAAGGGAAGGGGAAGGGAAAGGGCGAGGAAAGGGAAGGGAAGGGGCAGGGGAAAAAGGGTAAGAGCAAGAGGAGGTGAAGGGGCGCTCAGTTCGGGAAAACTGAAGAACTGAGATACTAGTAATCCCAAGCAATGGGGGCGGAATGGCGGATGGGTGGGCGCGTTAGTTGCTGTGCAGCGGAGCGGGGTTTAGGGAGGCGGGATTGGGGGTAATTCTCTGGCCTGCATGGGGCGGGGTGGAGGGTGGTGTCGCTCAAGGGGCACACGCACCTGAGCCTTGGGTGTAGGCACGTAATCCAGCACCGCAGGTTTGGAAACAGCGTCCGCGTGCCCGTTCAAATGCTGCTCCCCCAGCTGCTGCCGGAGCAGGGGGTTCTCCAGCATGGAGTGTCGCACTGGCATGGCTCCATGCACGGGGGTGGGTGTGGAGTACCTGGCAAGCAGCAGCAGCAGCAGCAACAACAACAACGTGAGCACCGGGAGGAGGGGAAGGGAAGTAGAAATCACTTGGGGAACCCGTTGGGGAACCCGAGTGGTGAAAGCAGCGCCAGTAGCGCACATGCGGTACCGCTAGGCAGCAGGCTGGGCAGCAGTGGGCCCACTGCACTATCCTGGGGTTGGAGACGTGGACCCCAGGGGTGGGTGTGCAAAAGCAACACGCCCCTGGCACCCCAGTGCAGGGGCGCATGCGACGAGGCATGCGGCCCTATGTGGCCCCCTGCATGTGGCCCCCTGCATGTGGCCCCGTGAAGCGGCACGGTATGACGGTAGGTCTTAAAGTGAGTTGTTTCTGTCTAGGTGGCGAGCGGACTAGGTGGGGATTCAGGGGAGGAGTACTGTGGTAACGCAGCCGCAGCCATGGGGAATGGCCACCGCTTCGCCCCAAGCGCCAGCCACAACTGCTGCGCGGGGGAGGAGGGGGCAGAGGCGGGGCAGAGGACACAAAAGAAAGCATTCAACCGGGACGGGAGGCGAGCATACCACCTCGACAGAATGAAGCGGCCATGCTTCCCCTCTGCTCCGCTCCTTGTTTCCACACTTCTTTCTCACCGTTGCCGCCCCCTCTCCGGCACGCTTCTGTCACCCAGCCGCCGCACCCCACCCACTCCCCCTCGTGCCTCGCTTCCCCCCGCCATCGACCCACCTGCCATCCTCGCCATAGTACCCCATGTCCGTGTTGGACTCCGGCGACTGCAGCCGCTGCCCCCCGCCGCCAGCCATGCCCCGCGCCTCCCAGCTCCCACCCCGCATGTAGCCGCCGCCCTGCCCTGACAGCCCTGCTGCGGATGCCGCCTGCGACCCCGCATGCGAGGACAGGCTGCTGTCCCCACGCTGCTGCCCCTCAGCCGCCGCCATCCCCCCGGACATGCGACTGGGCAGCGGCTGGCTGTTGGAGGGTTCGGAGCCGGGGGGTCGGCAGCCGAAGCTGCTGTTGCCGCCACCGCCACCTCCGCCCTCCGCGGCCGCTGCCAGCAGCGCGAGGCGGCGGGAGTCGAATGCTGAGAGGCGGCGGGCGGTGGGGGAGGTGCGTTGCGGAGTGCCGGGGAGGCCCTCCGCGTCATCCAGGGGTGAGGACTGCGGGGGAGGGAAGAGGGGGAGGGGGTAAGGGAGGGGGGGAGAGGTGGGAGGTAGGAGTGGCGGAGTGTCGGGAGTGGGCCAGGGGGGGGCCAGATGGTGGGGGGGCGAGCAGCCCGGTGGCCTCTGGTGGGGCCTCTGGTGGGGCCTCTGGTGGCATGAGGGCGCCTGGTGCGCGAGTCGGGTACCGGTACTAGAGAGTGGTGGTGGGGGGTGAAGAGAGTTACTTGGGTTGCGGCAATCCTTTGCATGCACGGGCTGACCACTATCAAGTCTCCTTCTCTTTCCTGATTCCAAGACAGGCGTGCGTAAGGCCCTCTTGACGTGCGTCGCAAGGGAGGGAATCCCACTAGCGGCAGGGGCCCACGACAGTTCCCACCTCCGCTGCTTCCGCTCTCCCCCACCCACCTCCTGTCGGTGCCCTTCCGTGCCAATGGCAGACGACGTCGACCGCAGCTCCCCTCGAATTGATGTGGCTCCTACAACCCCTGCCCCCACCGCTCCTCCTGCTGCCCCTGCTCGTGCTTCTGCCCCAGTCGTGCTATCCATGCTCTCCTCCCGCATACCCACTTCGTCTGCCTGCGATCGTAACGGTACGACACGCTCCTGCTCTGCTGAGCCCTTGCCACCGACGCTGGCATCACCGCTGCCGTGCTCGCCTTCCTCCCAAACGGTGGTTGAGTCCTCATCCGCGGCGCCACCGGGCTTCCTGCTTGTTCCCCGTGACATGCCATCTGGCCCGCCTACAGCTGGCCAGGCAGTGCCCGTGGCGATGCTTCCGCGGACGCCGCGCTGCGCACGTGCAAGCTGTTTAACGGATTCTGTGCATGATGAGTCATCAGCAGGGTCGGCTAGCGGCTGCGCGTCCTGTGTTTGAACGGCCATGGCCGGAAGCGGGGCATGTCAGAGTGGGCAGGGGGGACGCGGATTGAAAGCGTGTAAAGCGCAAGAAGAAGGCGTCCAAGAACATAATGCGCATCAAGTTGTAATAAGGCTCGATGCTCTTTTTTAGCACAGGCCAGCCAATTCCTACTAGTTAGATCATACACATAGCTAACGCCCGCTCCTTTGCAGTTACTTTGTATCTAAGACAAGCTATGCGCACACGTTTAGGTGGACTTGTCAGCGCTGGCCTAACCACGAGGACGCACTCTTTGCAGCTCGCGATTGAACGAGTGATATGCAGCTCAACGGATATTGTAGAGGACGTCATATATACCAAGCATGTTTCTGTGTAGCTAATACCCACCGCTCTGGCGTCGTTAGCAGGGTTCGACGAAGCACCATTCCAAGCAGCGCCTTTGCTTAGGAAATCCCCATCCGCTTGCGACTCTGAAGTTGGCGCTAGGCCCAGAATATCATCCGTATCTTGGGTTGAGTTGTACACGCCGCCTGAAGCTCCTGGGCGACTAGCTGGGAGCACCACAGGACTTTCTTGCCCATCCGGTATTACACCTCGATGCCGCTGGCTATTCAGCCAAGGCGTCTTAGCAGTCGAGGTCACTAGCGCGGCGGGGTTACTGGCTTGGTCCCTATGGACGCCATTTCCAGTGGCATGCAAGCTGTTGTCTGACAAAGACGAATCCACTTTGTAAGCCTGGCGCGCCTTGCCCGAAGAGCTTATGCAAGCCCCCATTGACGACTCGCGTAGAAGGTCTCGAGGTTCATAAAATATTCTAAGGTACACTAGACTGTGGAAAGTGTAACTGCGCTGTCATCACTGTAAACATAATATGGGATAAGTGTAAGAGCATTATACCATTAGTATGAAGCTTGTAGATAGCTCTGCCCTAGCTATGACAGGTATTTACCGTACACTCTTTTACGCGCAGCACGATTCTCGTATACAAGCGCAGTCGGTGGAGTTAACCGACTCAGCCTATGGATAGACTCAATAGCCCCTAATGCTACTCCGTAACCTGCTGACTCTGCGACAACCCTCTACATCCTCGGTAGCTAGACTGCAGAGCAAGGTGTCAACCAGGCAAAATGCCAGGTCTTGAATCCTCTCTTCCTTTCAAGGGGATGATCTCGATGTGTTGAATCTTACCTGTCATCATGGCTGGTTTCACTTGGTAGCAGATAGATGGTAGATAGGGACAAATACGGTGGTAGCCAATGGCAAGCGCCCCAAACCTTGAACTCCATTAAAGAGATGCATGGTTACATGCAAGCACATGTTCATCGCCCTATATGTAAAGGGCATCCCGTCGGTCAGCGTTAGCTGTTGTCGACGCACGTCCATCCCAAGGGCGTCCATTCCTGTGTCTAGTCAAGACCAGGCAATACATCAAGGACCGTGCATCGCCCATTATTGGATCATCCTCAACAGCCCTGAAGCACGTTAATCACCCTACGAAGACGCATGCCATTACACCCACCACGCCAAAACACACCATTCCAACATGCACCGACCAAAATCCCGACGTGAACAGGACTGCCTAAACAAATGAAGGCCGCCTACTGACGTTGTGGTGTCGCCAGCACACAACTCGACCATCTTGACGTCAGCAGCAGCAACACTTGACTCAATGGCAACCGCGCATGGCAAATGTGCATGGCGAATGAAATTCTGCCTGTCCCAACGAATTGAAATGCGTCCGTTCGCAAAACCGACGCAACCGGACATCTTACCCTTGGGCAGGCAAAGCCGTGCACGGCAGCGTGTCCGTTCCCCGCCACTCTTGACGCGAGTTCCCCGCCACACTTCGACGTGGCCGCACACCATTAATAATAAGCCACAGAAGGGCTGAACACTGTCGCTGCAGTCCGAGCATGACAATAATTACTACCGCTCATCACGGCAGCAAGCAAATGCTGCACAGAACAAGTACACTGCCCTCCCCATAGCATTAAAACGATTGACTAGCAAATCTCAAGCCGGCGGATAAAGGGACAGACAAGGCCACCGGGCCATCCTCTCACCTACCGGCGCCCGTCCTGCTGAACGCTAATTAGCGACATAAGAAACATCCGCATGCCTGCCTTGTCATCCTTGTCATAAACAGCTCGGTAACAGCCTCTCCCGACCTCAGCAGTAAAGCCATGGCTTTTGGCACCATGTTATTATTCTTTCCACCGTCCATCCCACGTAGTTAGTCAAACCCTACTTATCTGCATGCACGCCCCATGCACCTGCCGCTCCTGGGAACAACTGAATCACTCCAAATCAAGGCAATATGTTCAGCCTCTCAGCGCGGGTAAGGAAGGCAGCAAGGCCCCATAACGGCGCTGCAGCCCCACTGCAGCCCCGCACCCAGCCTACTCCCGGTACGTAGCAACTCTGAAAGCGACAGGCACGACCTGCTCAACAAAGCGGCGCGGACGTACCTTTCGCCTGTGGACTTCACGAGCAAAGTCGCCAACGCTGCTTTTGTACGCACAACACTCATACATGTACACATGAAAGCGCATGACCCATACAGTGGCAGTCTCATCACGGAGCCGATTGTTGGGCTCTGCGCGTTTGCCTAGTATCTATTGTGTGCCCGTTGTTTAAGGGATTAAAGCCTGTGCTAAAATAGCGCCGCCCCTGTGGCAATTCCAGTCTCGAACAAACCAAATACAAGTTGACCGCAACTGAGCGGCATCTCATTCCCTCTAGGAACTGAGGCATGCATAACCCAGAACGCTGCGAGGCTCTCCCCCCTCACCCTATCATAAGATTGCTGAGCCCAAGCCCACCACGCCCTCCTAATGGCTAACCGTACATGCTACAGGCACCTTGGGTGCAGCAGCGCCGGGCAAGCAGTGCCGTTTTGGCGCCAGCAACACGTTCGCAAGGTGCTCGTTGGACCCCTCACTCCTGATGTCGCTGCTGCCCCGCAGCCCGCTCCGCGCGCCCTCAGGGGCAACGCCCCTGTTGCTGGCCCCCGCCCGCACGGACCCCTCCTCCGGCACGCCGTCCATTGTGTCCAAGGCTGATCCGTGCCGCTCCGGTACCTGGTCAACTAGACCCCCCACGCTGCTGCCTCGCCCCAAGCGCAGAGCCAATAGCGCAGCACAGGTGTTGTCATCTAGGCTTGGACGTAGCGCAGTTAGGCCAAAGTCCTGCTGCTGTGGGTGGGTATACCGGTAGGAGTGGGTAGGTGACCACGTTTGCTTAACCAGGGCTCCAAAGGTGGGCATGAGGTGCCAGGGAATGGCAGGGTCAAGAGCTGGAGGTGCCAGTTGGGGAGTTGGGGATATGGGACGTGAGCTGTGCGAGCCGTGAAATGCGTCGCGGTATGATAAAGCTGGGTGTATGTTGGATTGGCGTCCTCTTAGCGGCCTTGGGAGCTAGGCGCACCCTGGCTTCTCCTTCAGCAAATATCTAGTCGTGAGATACCGGTATGTTGCACAGTATCTTCCCTATTCGCAGCTGTCGAATGAGAATGGGTTGAAGTCTCTTCATAGATACAATACCCTGCGCTGCCTGAAGCCCACTACAGCTCCATCATTCCCCGTCGCAGAGCCCGAAGTGATATACTGACACGACCGACCCAGACAGCGAAGGGTATACCTTCCAGTGCAGCATGAGTTACCATTATATCCTTCCTGGTTGTCACTCGTGTCTGGGCTAGCTTATATATGTACAGCAGGGGCTCCAACTACGATGAGCAAGGGAAGGCAGCTCTCACCTCCCCTCCAATACTCGCATTCTCACCTCATGTTGCCGGCACTTTGTCTGCAGCGCTGTACCGTTCGGTGGAGATAGCACTGCTTGACAATTGATTTGTCGTCCAGCTGCGAAGTCATCCATGCCCCTCCTTTGCTGCCGGGGCACTGAGCGCTGAGGCGAAGCAATGTCCCCTTCCTGCATGATACCAGATGAATATGACACTCGCAGAGTTACGACGAGGTATTGCCAAAGCCATACCACATCGTCATCGTCGCTGCTTGCCCGAGGAGCAGCTTTCTGAGAGGCGTCGGCCTTCTTTTTCTTAATAATGCTATTGGCTTGTCCCATTGAGGGGTATACGGCAGTGCGCTGGAAAGCAATGTCAACCAAGCTTTTCGCTTAGCTTAGCAGCAACTGTAGGAATGTACACTACCTGGTTTCATAAAGAGCAATGGTGCTGGCAAACGTCTGTATGACAATCGGCAACTCAGAGAAGATAGGAAGGAAAAGGGAATCCGATACGCGTACTTCATGTACTGCACAGTTGTGATTTTCGCGCATGGGTGCCGCTGGTCCTAGGTCCGAAGCGACCTAGGCGTACGGCACCCGCCATAAGGATTCCCGCTTTCTGCAGCTTTCTGTGCTCAGAAAGCTTTAATAGCTGCCCAATAATTATTGGAAGTGATTGGTGTCCCTTCGGGACAAACCACTATTGTTGCGCGCTCGCGACCGCGTCGTCAGCCCTCCCATCCAGCGAATCTCAATGGCTTCCCCATTCAATGTCCAAAAGGAGAATGTCTATGCCCTGAAACCTTCCCTCCTCGAATAAGCTTGCTAAGATGATTAAGGTGCGCCGTCAGGGAACGTTGAAGGGAGGCCGGTAGCTGTCCAGCACCATGTGTTACCGAGTCAGCCAGCCGCAACATACATGGGGCAACAACACTTTGCTGTGGTGCCAGTGCTGCTACCCCTCTGTACCGGTCCCTGCTCTCCTGGTATGTCCTCAAGCTGGGCGCCTGTGATGTTGCTGTGACAACAACCTTTCCTAGGATTTCCATGCTCGGAGCCCATCGAGAAAGGCTTGCACGCATGAGGGTGTTTCCAATAGTGCCCTCTGGAGGACACATGCATAGTGCTGACTCCACCCGGCCTTGGTCTCACTTGTCTCGCTTGTACCCAGACTACCCACACACAGACACAGACACACAGACTGGCACTGGTGGTTTCCAAGGCACTGGTAGTAGAAGCACGGACTGCCAGGACATGCATGCCGAACTTGTCCGCTTTGAAGGTGTGACAGCAGCAGGCCGTGTTAAAGACGAAAGCCTTTACTGAGCATGGGTTGCTGACGGTGCGACCATCTGACTGCTTTCTCCTGACCAAACGACGCGCTGCATCCAGTGCACATCTGCCAACAAGACTCTTGCATGTGTAACCCTCTCGGACTGGGAACCCTGAACGACGGCCACGCCTTCCCCATGACAACGTTACTTCATCACCCTCAGCAGCGGTGGGACGTCCTGACGCTGCCCCAGAAGAAGAACCGCCACCCGCACTGCCACCTGCAGCACCGGCACCCTGCAGCATGGGAGCTTGCACCCAGCAGCATGGGAGCCCATATCAATGAAATAAAGCTTTGGGGTAGGGTGGAGGCCCTCCTTATGGCATAGGGCCAAAATCCGACCATCAAATTTCGTCACGCCCGTTTAACCCCACCTTCATGCTACCTAACAAGAACAGTTCCCAAAGTTTCAGCGCAATTTGCGATGGTCGGTTTCCCAGGTGGTGGCTTGGCAGGGGCTTCAGGGTAGGGGTGGAGGCCCTCCAAATGGCATAGGGCCAAAATCCGACCATTGAATTCATCACACCCGTTTATCCCCCCCTTCATGCTACCTAACAAGGACAGTTCCCAAAGCCATCAACCTCCTACAATATACAAGCGCGTAGATGAAGTTAGCCAGGGTACCCGCTGAAGTAAACGCATGGGAAAATGGGGTTTACACAGCTTAAGGGAAGGGAAGTGCCATCCAGCATGAACAACTCTTTCAAGGAAAGAGGAGAGACTACCCAGGGGGAATACATTTAAACTTGCCGGCATCGGAAGTAAGGGAAGGGCCAAGCTGTATGGCAAAGCTGTACTCACAAATACGCCTATGTCAATGAAGGGGTATGCGTCCCCATCAGCAGCAGCCTGCCCCAACTCCACCATATCCCTCTCGCCGGCATCTTCGGTGTCTTCGGAATATACTTCCTCGCTGAATACGGGGTCATCGTTGAACGCTTCAACGGCATCTTCAAACACTTCATCATCGTCATCGTTGTAGTCGGAATCGTAGCCAGAGGACATGATATCTCCATCTTCGCTCGCCATGGACTTATTGCGTGAAGTATTCTTTCCGGTATCTAGGTGACTATTCATGAGCCTCTAAATGATATGACGACTCGGCTCAATATCAACAGTCCTCTTTACCGCGAAGTATTGGCCCCAAAAGCCTGCACTGTTATTGATTTAGGATAAAAGCATAAGAATCTTACAAGCAATAAGCGTCTTTTGCTGGGAAAAGTACGTGGACAGACTTGGAAGCACGCTTTGAAGGTCTACAAGGTTGATTTGAGCGCCCATTCACCTGGCAAGCAACAAGGATTAGTTACGTTATACTGAAATGCGGTGGAAAGGGTAAACGCATAACGCAAGACGGCTGCCGTACGCCTAGGTCGCTTCGGAGCTAGGACCAGCGGTGGGCATCCGATTTTCGCGCATGCACTCCCTTTTTACATGTTAGCCATTGTGATGCCTAGCTCGCATTCCTATAAGGAATAACTGATGGCCGCGTTGCCTGGGGCCGGGCCTTCGGTCATTTCCAGTTAGGTTTCATCCATGCCTCCTCAGGCTTTTCCCTGTGGCCAGTCTTGAAGTTGGATAATAGCTATCAGCTTGCGGTATTCAAATAATGGTGAGGCCACAGAGTGCGATGCATACCAGATACCGTTATAGTACCCTGCTTATCACCCTAACCCGTGACAAGCCAGGCCCCTGAGCGGTCCATAGCCAAGTAGGAACGCGTAATGGAATTCGGGCAATGCAAGTAGCGACCATCTGGTAGAGTATTTTGCACGGCAACGGACACAGCTTGCATTCATAGACGCCTCAACCACACCTCATAGCACCCATTGGCGACGCTCTGTCATCTGGAATTATCTTTGGGCCTGTGGCGCAACGTGGCATCCCGCCAGTTACCGTTTTAACCACAGTTTCGACAACCCTGTGCACAGGGGCCACCACAGAGAATTCCTTAGGGACACATTTGACAAAGCCCCCGTCCCAGGTCTGCAGTCAAGCCCTATGTTTGTAGTCGCAAGGCACGTCTAGCTAATTAAGCAAAGACTGAAAGGTGCCGCACACGGACTACCCACGGCAAAACAACCGTTCCAAATTCCGGAGCCAGAGTCACCCCAACCCCAGCCTCCAGCGGCTCAATCCTGTCACCTTAGCCAAAACATCTTCGCGCGCCCGAGGACAGAGCTGTTATGAAGCTCCACCTATGGGTCAGTCCTTCACCATCCTGCATTACCAACCTGAACTCACAAGCACCAATACCAATTTACCATCGCCATCGACCGACCTCTCTTACGTACGCTTACACATAACAACCCTGCTCACCGCCCTGTTGACGTATTCATTCAACCCATCCGCCACTGCCTTGGCACACACCGCAAACGCAGAGGAGCCCGGCACCCCAGAGCTACATCCCATGTTTACATTGCTTCAGCGCAGCCGGCGACAGGAGGCTGCAGGCGTCCTCGAAACACATATCTACAACAAGCCTAGCCGCGACAAGATGTATCACGAAACCTGGCCGCGAGTACAGGAACGCAGCGTCATCTTTCCGGAAGAAAGATGAATCTGTTCCCAGCTGTCCCCATCGTGGAAGCCACGTGTTCGCCTGCGGGATCCCAGTCTTCCCAAAACCCTAGTTGCACCTGCGGGATCCCAGTCTTCCCAAAACCCTAGTTGCAGCCCTCCCGCCGGGTGTAAACCTGGGGGTCCAGGGCGGCGGAGATGCGGTCCAGTGCCTTGCCCAGGGTCTCCATGGACGCCGCGTAGGAGATGCGGATGCAGCTGTCGGCGCCGAAGGCGTCACCCGGCACCACCGCAACCTGCGCGCCGGGGGCGGGGAGGGGGAGTAGGGGCATGTCGTGCGTATTTGTTTGCTTACTTGTTGTGTACGACATTTTGTGTACGGCGGGGAACCGCACCAAGTCAAGGTGTGTCCCGCGGGGTGACGAGGGGGAACCCCTACCAGAAGCCACCAGCCATGCACTCCCCGCCCGTCCCAACCCAGCCCCTTACAAAGCAAACCCCCCCCCGCCCCCGCCCCCCTGCCGCTCACATGTGCCTTCTCAATGAGGTAGCGACAGAAGGTGTCCGAGTCGGGCACCTCCCCAAAGCCCTCCGCGCGCGCCCCGGGCCCGAAGAACGCGCTCATCTCGGGTAGCACGTAGAAGGCGCCGGCGGGCTCAGCCAGGTTGACTCCGGGGATGGAGCGCAGGCGGGAGGACACGTAGTCCTGGGCAGGAGAGGGGGGGCGAACAGGGAGGTAAGAAGATGAGTGGAGCACTGGAATCCCGATCCCATGGCCCAACTCAAGCAGCAAGCGCAACAACCACGTAAAGGGAAAGACACCAACTAGCAAGCAAGGGGAGGTGAAGCAGCAGCAGCAGCAGCAAGAGGGAAGAAGCCCGAGGGAGGGAACGCCCCACGCCTCCCCCCCGCCCCCCCCCACTCACCCTCCGCTCCCTGAACGCGGCCACCATGTCCTGCACCGGCTGCCCGCCGCCCGGACCCAGTGCCAGGGCCGCCAGCGCCGCCTGCTGGCTGTGGCGGGTTACAGAGGAAACAACGAACGGACCGTGTGATAAGGCAGGGAGGGAGGGAGGAAGGGAGGGAGGTGGCGCGGATGGAGTGAGCGCCATCAGGGTGAGGGATACACAGAGGGAACCAAATGAAAACCAAACCAAACACGCGTGTTACATGGCAGAAAGGGCATATCGTAATGGGGGTGTCAGTAGGAGGCGCAGGCAGCCAGCGAAGCCGCAAGATAATGCGACACCGGAGCCAAGTGTAAGCAAGGACACCAATCACACAACACAGCTAGCCGGCCCCCCACCGATAGTAGTCTATCTTGCCCCCACCGCGAGCCGGCCCCCCCCCCACCTGATGGACGAAGCGCCGCTGGTGGACTGCGACTGGATGATGGCGGCTGCGCGCGCGAAGTGGCGCGGGGCGGCCAGGTAGCCCAGGCGCCAGCCGGTCATGGCGTAGGCCTGGGGGGTGGGGGTGGAGAAGAGGGGAACTGACCGGCTGCATGACACATGGCTTCACCGTGGGGTGCTACATTGGACCCGGCCCATCCCACCCCACCAAAGAGAGGGGTAAAGAGGAAGAACTAACCATGTGGCTGTACCGGTATGTCGCCTTGCCACCGCAACAGTTAAACGCGGCTCCCAGTTGCTCTGACACCCTCCACCTAGCACCACTTACCCCGTTATACGGAGAGCCCCTACCCAGCCCTCACCAAGCCCCCAGTTAGTTGTTCCCTCTTTACCCCACCCAGGCCACCCCCCTGCCCCACCTTGGAGAAGCCGTTCACGGTGAGCGTGCGCTCCCACATGCCGGGCAGCGCCCCGAAGGACACGTGCTGCGCGGGCGCGTATGTGATGTACTCGTAGATCTCGTCTGACAGCACCAGCAGCCGCGGGTGCGCGGCAACCACGGCAGCGAGCGCCTCCAGGTGCTCCCTGGGGGGGGAGGGACGGGGACAGGGAGGGGGGGGAGGGGGTAAAGAGTGAGACCAGGTCGGTAACGACAGCGGTGCTGCGGGGTGGGAGAGAGGGAGGAGGAGCGAGTGGGGGCGGGAGGGAAGGGGAAGCAAGAGCAAGACCAGGGTTGGTAATGATACGGTAAGGCGCAGTCCGTGATGAACTGACGATGATGGTAGCCACGGGATGGCGAGACCCCCGTACGGCAGCGGTGAGATGAGGTGCACACTACAGTGCGGTCGTGCAGTGGTGGTCGTACGGTACTACTTGAAACCCTAAACCCCAAAAACCCTAGAAACCCTATCCCCAACCCACTTGGGGTACACCGCGCCGGTGGGGTTGGATGGCGTGCAGAGGATGAGCAGGCGGCTGCGGGGGGTGAGTGCCGCCGCCAGCTTCTCCGGGCTCATGAGGAAGCCCTCCTCCGGGCCCGTGGGCACCACCACGGGGGTGGCGTTGGCCAGGCGAGCCATCTCGGTGTAGGAGACCCAGTAGGGGGCGGGGATGATGACCTGAGGGGGAGGGTTGGGAGGGGGGGCAAGGAAGGGAAAGAGAAGGGTTGGGAGGGGGAAGGGTAGCAGGGAGCTGGGTTGGGAGCTGGTGGGGGAAAGAGGAGGAAGAGGAAAGGACATGCTGTGAACGAGGGTGGTAAGCAGCGCAGCAGCCAGCCCGTCCCCGCAGGCCCACCATCCTCCCCCCAGCCCAACCCCAACCCCACCTCGTCCCCCGGTGACACGGTCGCCAGCACCGCCTGCCAGATGGACTGCTTGGCGCCGTTGCTCACAACGATCTCATCCGGACTGTACGACAAACCGTTGTCCTCTGCGTGCGGTGCCGTACAAGAGAGGCGCGAGGGGGGCGGGCGGGGGGAGGGAGCAGGCGCGAGGGAGGGGGGCGATAATAATAAGTACAGCAACCGAGTCCCAATTTCAAATGAGGGGGGTCAAAGACAATACCAAACCATATGAGTGGGGGGGCAGGCACACCGTGCGTCAATTACCCCCTGACAGCGCTTACAGTAGCACACATACATCTGGCGTGGTGTATGGTGCTACTCCCATCCTGTACAGACAGACCCTGAAACCTGCCGAGAATTCCGACCCACATCGACCCACATCGACCCACATCACACACGGCACATCGAAAACGCCCCCCAACCGACTACCGACCATCCGCCGCTGCTGCCTTCGCTGCCTCCCTATTTTTCCCGCTTAACCCCAACTCCAGGGGCTTCCGCCATGCTCCTCTACCCCACCCCGCCCCCGGCCCCAAACCATGGTGGAGCCTGTTGCGCCTTCTCAAACCCCGCTCCCTACATCCCTACCCCCGCTTCCTGTGGTTCGGTATGGTCTTTGACACCCCCCCCCCATTGGGGGTGCCCTAACCCGTAGTCTCCTATGGTTTGGTATGGTTTTTTGACCCCCCATTGAGGTGCATCGTCAGTGTCTCATTATTTCTTACCCCCCACTGGGAATCCTTCCTTTCACCCCACCCTGCAGCTTCTTGCAGATGGCCTTCCGCAGCGCAGTGGTGCCGGTGTTGGGCGTGTAGCGCGTGTGTCCGGAGCGCAGCGCCTGCACGCCCGCCTCCACGATGGCGGTGGGCGTGTCGAAATCGGGCTCGCCCGCAGCCAGACCGATGACCTGTGCGGGTGTGGGTGGAGAGAGAGGGAGGGAGAGGTGGGCACGGGGGCGAGAGGTGAGGGCAGTGTAAGTAATGCCAGGAGCTAGAGAGGGAGCGGAGAGGGAGGTGCAGAGGAATGGGTTGCCGAGGTGGTTAAATGGTTGATGTAGGCAGGCGGTCAACGCTTGGCGAGGCAAACTGGAAGGATGTCTCATGCAAATGCTGCGGAAAGCAAGGGCACATGCATCGCCTTTTGCGGTAGGCTAGTGACTGTGCTAAGCCCCCGGGTTGGCTTTTGTATATTCCTTTCGACTTGCAGCCCCCGAGCATGTAATGCCTGCCGACATGTCAGGTTTGCCGTAGACCCGAACATCAGGATGCGGGATTCACTTACGTCAATGCCGGACTCCTTCATTGAAGTTGCAAGATCCGTCAGCGCCATGGTTTTCGACGGCTTTACGGACGCGACCAGAGGATTGAGGGTTGTGTCCACCGGCACACTCGCCGGGGTAGATGCAGCTGCTGCAGCAGCCATTTTTACTGCCCCCTCGCGCTTTTGAATGTTACTTCCAGCAGGTAATTTGGGTACTGGAGCTAGATGGAGGATGTTCACGCGACCAGGGCACGTGTCACAGCTATGCAGTGATCGCCGAGAAAAAGCATTACCTCGTAAAGTATGCATGGCCCTGCCTCCTATGAGTGGAGGCTGGAATAGCACTCAGATAAGCTGAGACGGCGGCTGCAAGCGAAGGAAAAAGTGACGTGGACGTGCTAGCAGATCCCTTTTATTCCTAAAACACCATGACCGGCCCTGCAGAAGTCACAGTAGCAACTCATGATCCTAGTCACCCGCTCTGCTGCTGTGCTGCCTGTGCACACAGCATGATTGTACGGAACATTGAGCACAGCACAGTCGCCCTGATTTCACAGTAGAAGCAGTTGTATCAGCGGTTACTGCCTATTGACCCAGACTGAACTTGACAGAATTAAAGGAGTTTTCGGATACAGGATTGTGCGTTCTCCCTCGTTAAGAAGCTCGGCAGGACCTGGTTCAGTCCCGATACAAACGCCTGTTTGGAACTGCATAGTTTCCTTTGCAAATTAACGAAAAGATCTTAATAGACATTACAGCGACGGGTAACCTACCCATTTTACACCTGTCTCCGTACGCGAGGTGGCGTCAACTGCAGGGCCCTGGAGAACTGGAGACAGGCTTCTAAATGGTCCCTGGATGTGACAGCGCACAACTTCTTGGCATACCACTGCGCGCCTAGTGGTCAAAGCTAACTGCCGGCGCAATCCCTAATGAGCATGCCAGCTGTCAGGGAGGTGAGAATTGCACCCGAGAAGACAACACGCACCAGTCACGCAGCAGCTGGGAGTTGGTGTTTGAGCTTCCATAGGGGAACCATACCAACGGAGGAGGCCGTGTAGCATGACCATCAGCAGCTGGACAACAAGGATATGCCTAGACCTGGCAGCCCGGGTGCAACAATGCACCCCTCACTTTTTTGTAACCTTATCTCCCTTTTGGGTCGCACCAACGGCCTATGAGCATGTACCTTTGCTTAGCCTGTCGTAGCCTTGCCCAACGTCCAGCGGCCCTGGCCTGGAACCTGGGACTTAGAACCCCAAACCCTGCCAACCCCGATGTTCGCAGGATGTGGAGCACTCTCGCTCCAGCGGATCCACCGCGGCCAACACCGCAACTGCTGCCGCCGCCGGGATCCCGACTCCTGCCGTACATGGCTCCCCACCCGTACCGCAGCTTCCCCTGCTCTCCTCCCTAGCCGCCGCTGATCGACTGGACGTCTACACGGTCTACTCGAGCAGCCTCATGAACGCCGCCCCAAAGAGCGGAGCCCAGCAGAGGCAGCCAGGGAAGCAGCAGCAGGCGGCGGAAGTGGCAGCGGTTGCTGCCGCCACGGAGATTGTACGGCAGCTTCCCGCGGAGCAACTGATGCACCTGCTGCCTCAGCAGCTGGAATGGGATGTGCTGTCCGAGGACTTGGCGTCCAGCGAGCCCATGTAAGCGGGGCGGGTGCGTCGAAGCAAAATGGCATGAACAACGGCTTGTACGGCAATCACTTACACGGTGCACGGCAGTCATGTGCACGGTGTACGGCAGGTAGCTTTGTTGTACGATTGGGTTGGGATGCATGGGGCTGCCATGTCGGCCGGGGCGTTTGGTGATCATGCTTCCCTTTCCCACCGCCCATGCGCTGGTTTGGCCTTCCCGCAGTGGTCTGTCCGGGCTCAAGCTGCTAGGGCTCTTGCTGCAATCGCCGTCGGCTGCGCAACAAATGCCAGGTAGGGGTAGGGCGGATGGTGAAGCCGAGCGCAGCCGGGCGTTCATAATGCACCGTGGCCGCCACACACGGCGCCGTATGAAATCCCATACAACCCCAGGCACCTCGCTCCCCCGCAGCACCGCCCCCTGGCCCTGCTGTCTGCGGCGCCCTCTTGGCCCTACACGCCCCACCTGCCCCTTCTCCGCCTGCCCCTACACGCCCCTGCTTGCCCCACCTGCCCCTCCTCTGTCTGCCTCTGCCTCCACCTGACCCTCCTCCACCGGGCCCCCTCCCTGCCCCTGCCGGCCCCAGCCCGGAGCTGCGACCAGCTGCTGCGGGTGTTGGTGGGAGCCATGCAGGAGAGCGCATCCAAGGTGGGGTGGGTTGGCCGTGTGCCTTCTCCGCATGCTGCCCTGCTGAGCCCACGCTGGGGCTGCTGGGGTCGCCTCGCGACTGTTAGACGCCGACCACAGTATACGTTAGTAGAAACGGGGGGTGCTGTTAGCTCGGCCGGGTGTTGATGGCAGTGTGGTACAAACACTGGTTGGTTGGTGCTGTTCTGTCTCCCGCCCGCTTGCCCTGACTTGCGGTTGCAGTTGGTCTTGTTCCTCTCTGACGCCGGACCCCTCCTGCTCGCCCACAGTACCGCTGCTTTCTTAACCGGTTAACCCCGTCCGCTCCCCGACCCCGCCCTTTCACCCACTGTCTGCTCCCTAACCCCGTCCGCTCCCTGACCCCCCTCCCTACCGTATGTTTACCCGCCTGTCCCCCCCCCTTCCAGGACCGCTGCAAGCTGGCCATGTGGGTCCTCACCACGCAGCAGCTGCCGGCCGGCCGGCTGGCGGGCCATGCGGAGGCGCTGCTGGGGGGCCTGGCGCGGTGCATGCCGCTGGACAGCAAGCCGTGGCGCAGGTGGGAACGGCGCAGCGGCCGGCAGCCACCCGTCTGTGGGGTCGCGAAAGGCTGAACCATGAGGGACCGCGAATTAGGGCAAAACGATGGGGGAGTGAGGCGGTGGACTGTAACTGCCTATGTTGTACTACCTGTTGCAGCGGAGCAATGTATGCATGATATGTGTACGGGCACATTCTGTTGGGTGGTGCGCACGTGTCGCTTGCTTCTTGCATGTTGCTCGCTTGTTCTCATCAAATGTCAAATGTCAACCCAACTGGCCACCCAACTGACTCTTGCTTGCTTGCTTGATTGATTGATTGATTGATTGCCGCCTGTGTGTGTGCGTGTTCTGTTCGGCGCTCTGCACGCAGCAACCTGGTGTCGCTGCAGGCGGTTCGGGCGGTGCAGCGGCTGCTACGGCAGCTGCCCGCAGAGACGTGCCGGCATGCGGCCAAGTGGGGCCCGGCGCTGTGGCCGCTGATGCTGGCGGTGCCTCCGGAGGGGGCGCAGGTGGGTGTGGTGAGGGGGCGCAGGTGTGTAGTTGAGCGTAAACAAGGTGTGCGTGTGTGCTACGGTGTGTGTTGGTGTGGATGGGGACTAACAACACGGGGGATGGGCATGCAACGGAGCAGGGAAGAGATGAGACCTGAGGGCAGTATTACAGGGAGGGCGTTTTGCAAGCAATGTAGCCATGTAGGTCATCATGCCATGCGGCCGGGCCGCCCCTCAGCATCTCCTACATCCTTAACTCGTTCCCGTCACGTCTTTTTCTCATTCCGCCCAGCCAACCAAAACCGATGTCTACCGGCAGCTTCGAGAGGAGGCACTCGCGCTCAACGACGAACTAACGGCGGCGGTACGCGCCGCATGCAGCCGCGGAAGCGCACCCGCAGGTGTCCGCCGCTCCGCTGCAACCGCCGCCGCCGCCGCCGCCGCTGACGACGGCGATGACAAGGCCGCGACGGCGGCTGCACTAGAGGCGGAGTGCATGAGTCGCGCCCTGCGCGAGAGCTTGGCGGCACGGCTACTGCCACCGCACGAACGGCAGCAGCAGCAACAGCGCCGCAAGGAGAAGCAGCAGCAGCAACAGGGCGGCGATGGCAACGCCGGCGGTGGCGCCGGCGCTAGCGGTGGAGGCAGCAGCAGCAGCCAGGAGAAGGGCATGTTGTCGGAGATGGAGCGCCTGGTGGCCCGTGTGACGGGACAAACCAAATGCTCTGCCGTACAAGAGTCGGCGGCGGCTGCGGCGATGGCGGCGTGGGGTTCGTGCGTGCGGCTGCTGGGGCCGGCGTTCCTGCAGACCCGTGGGCTGGGGCAGCGCATGCTGGATGTGAGTGGGGGCCTGGGTGGGGGTGGCGGTGTGCAGTGCTTGGGCAGGGTGCGGGGGGCTTCCTCAGGAAGTCAGGATAGGTCAGGTAGGGCTTTATTAGGCTAGGCACCGCTGTCTCCGGTGGAAAACCCCCGGGTGCGGTCAGGGTCAGTGTTTCCGCGGCTCCGTTTATCTAATCCCCGGGTGCGAGCTCCCTCCTGAACAGCTTCCTCGTCAGCCCCAGCCGGCATTGCTTCCGTCAACCCTGGCATTGTCGTACATGATGATGCTGGGTCGCCACCGCTCTTCCAACCGCTTTTCCGCTGCCCCCGCAGCTCGTCAAGACGTGCTTCACCTGCGTCGTCAGCTCCTCGCTCCCCTGCGCCGCCTTCGCCGCCTGGAGGGCTCTGTGCGAGAACTTCAGAGACCTAGGGGACCTGCCCGCACCGCCACCGCCGCCGCCACCACCGCTGTCGCCCCCTACCGGCACCGCAGCCGGGGCACAGGGAGGCAGCCGCGGTGCTGCTGTTAAGCGTGGTGACGGCGGCGGCGGCGGCGGCTGCAGCAGCACTGGGCTGAGTCGCTTGCGGCTGCTGATAGCGCCCATTGAGCACACGATATGCCACGAGCGGTAGGTGGGCTGGTGGGCCGGTGGGCCGGTGCGCCTTTTATTACCACAGAGGATGGAAACCTGAATGGCGGGGAGCTGCCTTGCGTGGCGTCAGCTGAACGCCATGCTGTTGCCATTCCGTGCCTCATGTAGCATCGCCCCTTTCCATTCCCGCCACATTTTCTTACCAGCATTTCTCCGTAACACCAACCCCTCCCGCCCTCCTCCCTGCAGGCGGCCCGATGTACGAATGGCAGCGCTAGTATGCTGGCAGCACCTCATTGGGTTCCTAACGGTGCCGTACGAGCGTTTACTGTACGACAGTGATGCGGATCTGGGACATCTGCTGCCGTACTTGGCTGCGGCGGCCGCTGCTGTGGCCGCAAAGGAACCCCCCTCTGCGGAGGGCCTCTGGAGCACGGGAAAGCCAGCAGCGCCACTAGCAGCGGCAGCAGCGGAGGCAGAGGCTGAGGCGGATAGCCGCCAACGCCGCTGCGCGCTTGGAGCAGGCAGGAAAGCTGCAGGAGGAGAAGCGGCAGGGGCGGCTGTTCACGAGGCGGCAGCTGCAAGCCAACCGGCCTGGAATGGAATCACGCCGGGCGTATGGCAGATGGCAGTGGCTCCGATCGTCAAGGTGGTCCTAACAAACGCGGTGAAGACGCGTTCAGCAGCCGCAGCGGTGGCGGCGGTGGCTCCGCACCATGTGGCTGCGGTGGATACGGTACGTCAGGGAGGTCTTGCATGCGCGTGTCGGGCCGGGGTAAAGATAGGAAATCGACAAGGTGTATGACGAGGATTCACTATGGATTGGGGCGGGGTGGAGCCGGTGGGAAGACCTACCTGTGGTCGCTCAGGCGCCCTAGCGCCCACTGCGGGGGCCGATGTGGATGAGGCTGCGTTGTACGGAAGGGCGGAAAGGCTTCTAGCTAAAGGACTTTACCTTCTGGTCACGTTGACGGGCCAGCTGGGAGCCGCATACTTGGGTCCTACTGGATTGCAGGACTCACGACGGAAGGCTGGAGGGGTGTGTCGATTACTTGGACTTCAGCTGTGCAACACCCGCGACTCGCACAGGTGCCCTGTGTTCAATCCCTTTGTCGCCCCGCTTGCCTGCAGGTCCTCCAAACCTTGCTCAGCATCACCTGCCCTAGCAGCGTCCAAGACATCGCTGCGTTGCTGGCCGCAACGCTGCAGCCGCAGCCCACTGCCTCCGCCCCCGCCTCACCCGCCCCATCCGCCGTCACCGCGACCGCAAGCGGCGGCGTCGTAAGCCGCCCTGCGACCCCACTCAGCAATGCCCTCGCCGTCGCCGTCAGCAGCCCTCAGTCTCTGGCTGCCGCCGCTACGGCGGCAGCTGCATGCCCTGGTTCGCAGCCGGCTGCGGCTGCAGCACTTGCGGCGACGTTGGACCCATGGGTCACTTTGCTGAAAGAGATGTTTAGCTGCCTGGCGGCGAAGACGGTGGCGGCGGCGGTACGAGCTGCTACCAGGAGGGAGGCTGGCGGAGGTGCCTCCGCTGCTGCAGGTGGCGGCGGCGGCGCAGCGGCGGCGGTAGGTGATGCCGTACAGATGGGGGGGGCGGCATCGGCGCTTGATGCTGGTTGGCAGGCCTGGGGCCGCCTAGCAGCGACGGTGTTGTCTTGCCATGCGAGGAAGCCAGCAGCAGTATCGTCGGGTGCGCGGCAGCGGGGTGAAGGCAGCGCGGAGGGCAGCAACGCTCCCAGCGGGATGCCCTGCCAGTTTTGGCTTCAGCTCTGCCATGCAGCGACCGTACTCGCGGGGGAGGCACCTCGGGTCGGCGGCGGCGCTGCCGCTGCTGCTGTGGCGGCGGCGGCGGATAGCGACCAAGTCGCCGCAGCAACATCAACGAAGGGAGCTGGCGGAGCCCCCTGCAGCGGTGGCCGAGAAGATTCCGTTCCCGCCAAAGTTGAGCAGCATCGGGCCTTCCTATGCCTTCTACGCCGCCTCGTGGGGCCGCAGGTAGCGCTCCTAACGGCGACACTGTTGAAGCTCCCGGCAGCGGGCGGTCTACATGGTAGCGAAGCCTCCCTCACGACGACGACGACGGCGGGGGCGGTTGCTGGCGGCAGCGGCAGCGGCATGCCGGGCGTGCTATGGTCCCAGGCGGTGGGGCAGTGGCTGTCTCTGAGCCGGGCGTTGGATCCGCTGTGCGTCCGGGACAGCACTGACGAGGGCGGCAGCCGGCGGGATGGTGGCAGCTCTTCGGCGGAGGAGCTGCGGACAACGGAGGCGGCGGCGGCAGCGACGTCTTCCGCCGCCGCCCATGTAGAGCAGCAGAGCTGGTGGTGGCAGCCTTGGAAGTCATATCTGGCGGGCCTTATGGGTGTCTTATGCGCCGGGGGTGTCACCAACGTCAGGCTGTTGTCGTCCGTTTGTCGGGCTGCACTGCAGCCGCCGCAGCCTGGCGGCGGCCTAGGGGACTCCTGCCTCGCTGCTGCTGGCGGCAGCGGCGGTGACGGTGACGGAGGGATGTTTGGAAAGCGTCGTCGGCGCTCTCCGTCGCCGCTGGGGCACTCGTTGCTGCCGACGCACCTGCGCACCCCCGCTGCGACACCCTCACCACCGCCGTCACCCCTTCCGTCGCACGCGCTACATGGCACAGATAGCGGCAGTACCGCCTACACCACGCCCGCGTGTCCCTACGCATGGGCCTTATGGGAGGCAGCAGCCCGCCATCTCGCCGGGTGGCCGTCTCCGGGGCCTTCCGCGGCTCCCTGCGGGCCCCAGTCAGCTGCAGGCCACTGGCTGCCCTCGGAGGGAGGCCAAGGGTCGAACCGCAGGCGCGAGGAGGCCGCCTGGGCGGCTGCCGAGCTCCTCACGACGCCGCTCGAGGCCCTGTTGCTGCCGTACCAAGCCCCTACTGCTGCTGCTGAGTTTGGCGTCTTCAGCGGCGGCACCAGGGCAAGCGGACGCGGCGGTATCCTAGCGGAGGAGGTCCGTTGCGGCGCTGTGTGTGATAACATGACTGGGGCCGCATGTGTGGACGCCGGGAGCGTTAGCGCTGCATGGGAGGGGCTGTTACGGGCGCTGCTGCAGCATTCACGCCGCGCGCAACAGGGCCTGAGCGGCGGAGCACCGGGATCGGAAAGGTGAGTTGTTCGGGGGGGTGAGCATGTAAAAGGGCGCAGGTTGCTTAACCGTTTGCAAGGGGAACGATACACCGCGTGCATGCCCATTATCTGTTTGCGAATCTGGTCGTGGCTTGTGCCAGCATCGCCCTGCTGATTCTCTTGCCACCTTACTGGCGTTTCTGCTGCTGCTGCTTCCCTGCTCACCTCGCTGCGTGCTTAAACCGCGTCTGCCGTACAGGCCCGACGCGGTACAGGTCGCCGTACAGTCCGTTGGCGTACGCCTTGTGGGCTTGCTGCACAGCCGGAACGCAGCCCTAAGGAGCGCAGCTATTGCTGCCATCGCCGCCGGGCAGACGTCGGCGGCGTCGCCATCTGGTGTCGCCGACACTGATGTTGCCCGGGAGTCCGGCGTCCACTCCGGTAAGGACTCCGCAGCGACGACGGCGGCGGCGGCCGACATTGCAGCCTGGGACATCTTGACTTGGAGCCTGAGCAGCAGCTCTGCAACAGCCCTGGCGCGTTCCCTGACCCGGCTTAACGAAACGACGGCGTTTGGGATGGCCACGACGACCTCGGTAACAAGAGCAGCTGAGAACGGTGTGCTTCGATCGCAACCGAGCGCTGTCGGCGGCGGCGGTTGTAGGACACCGTTGCGCAACGGCGTGGTGTCTTCGGCGCCGGTGTACGGCACGCCACGCGGCGGCAGTACTGCCGTTGCTGGTGGCGGCGGCGGTTGCACGCCACTGACGGGGAGGATGCTAAGGAACATCTCCGCCTCCGCCGCAGCGACGTTGGCGGCGTCAACGCCAGCCACGTCAGCGGCGGCGGCGGCAGGAGCCCTCCCAACAGCGTCGCCTAGTACTGCCACCGAGTTGCTTGCGGCACTCGCCTCCGCCGCTACTGCCGCGATAAAGCAGCAGCTGGGTTCGAGTACCGCGTGCGGTTTGGGAGCTCCCTTCCTGCATGAGCCCCTCAGAGGTAGCGGCGGCGTGGCGGGGGCAGCAGCAGATGCTCCATGCTGGCCGCTGAAACCGCGCTGCGCGCAGCTGAAACCCTGGTTTCGAAGCCCACCCGCGGAAGCGCTGGCGGAGGCGCTTAACGCCATACCCGATGTGCTCATGCCGCTGCTGTCTGCAGCCACGTCAGCGTCGCCTAGCGTCGGCGCCGACAGCGCTGCCGCACTGCCAGGCGTGTTAGTGAGCCCTACGGCCGCAGCGGACGCAGTCCTTGACTTGCTGCTGCCGCCCCTTATGACCATAGTTGAGGAGCTCCTGCCGGCCCTACTGCGAGACCGCTCGTGTGCCGCCGCCGCCGCCTCCAACGCCGCGTCACCTGCTCCCGTCGCCGCCGCCGCCGCTGCAATAGCGGCAGGACCCGGCGACGTAACCTCCGCACAGGGGGCGAAGAATCGTCAAACCAGCATCAGCGGCAGTCCTCATCACTTGGTGGGGCTAGACGCCGGCAGCGCCGGCAGCGGTGACGGGGCTGGCGGGAGCTCAGGCCTTGCGGCAGTGCACGTCGCGACAGCGGTGACGGCGGTACTGGGGTTGCTGTGCGGCCTGCGTCGCCGGGGCTGCGACGTTACTGCGGAGGTGGACAGGTTGGCCCCGCTGCTGGCCGCGTGCCTTAGGTAAGTCTGGGTGCAGCAGCATGCTGCATGCCCCTGCCGCTAGCATGGGTTTGTTCGGTGATTGTAGGCTCCAGATGCTGTATGGCACGTCGTGCAGCTTCACATTACTTTGCACTGCGAACGCTTTGTATGAAGCAGGTGTGAAGTGCATGATATGGTGGCATCCCTCGACTAACCGCTCCTTCTGCCATCCGTTGCTGGCAACCAACGAACCAATGCCCCTGCCCCATGCCAGGTCCGGCACCCGCGCTGCCCAGCACCCGCATGGCATTGCCGACTCGGCACCTCAGTCGCCGCAGCCTCCTCCGGCCGCCGAAGAGGCCGACGTCCTGCCACAAGCCACCTGCCTCGCCCTGGAGTCCTTGCTGACCGGCCGCATGCCGCGTTTGCACGCGGCTGTTGCCAAGCACCTAGGGCGGTTACGGCTACGGCAACAGCACGAGACGTACAATACGTTATTGCATCGAAATCCGGCGACGGCTGTAGCAGCGGCGGCGCATACCGGCGGGTTGCAGCTCTTGTTAGGGCGCGGCAGCGGAGGCATGGCGTCGGGTGAGGTGACGGCGGCCACGACAGCGACAGCGGCGGGATCCGGGGGCTTCGCGCCGCCGCCACCGCCGCTGGCGCTGCCGCTTGTCGTACAACGGGCGGTGGACGAGCTCGGATGGGACGGCGCTTTCCTTCTTCCCGATAGCCAGTTGCAGGCGACAACTCCACTTCGGCTCGCGGTGAGTGGGTACCGAACGCAGCAAGCGCAGCAGCCAACACCCCAAGCCATGCATGCATACGAACACACACCCCAACCCGGGAAAGCGCCCGCTGCGGATGCCGGTGCAACTGCAGCAGCAGGCCCGGAAACGTCAGCGACTGCCGCGATGCCAGCCGCCGGGCCCCCAGCTGCCACTCCTGGTGCGGCCCCAGGAAGAAGGGGAGCTCGGACGCCTGCAGCCACGCCGCCTCTCGCTTCACGTGGCGCCGCCAAGCGGCCCTTCTGTGACTCCCAAACGGAATACGTACGCATTGCACCGCCGCCGGCACCGGCGGACGGTATGACACCATCCAGATCTCCCAAGCGGCGCCGGCGCTTTACAGGCGTTACGACGTACACAGGGCTGGACGGTTCCCAGGCTCTTCCCGTGGGCCTTATTGGTGTGGGCAGCGAGGACAGCCAGGCAGGGCACTCAACAGAGGGTGGTCACGGCGACGGTGGCGGGGAGCGCATGGGTGTTGAGGGGGCAGTCCACATGCAACAACACCCGAGCACGACCTCGGGTGGGGAGGCGGTTGCAGCCGCGGGGCTCGGAGATGTGGGAAATGCGGCAGAAGCCATCATGGGAGCAGCAGTGACAAGCGGAGAGGGAGGAGCGGATGCGGACATGGAAGCGGGCATGCAGGAAATAGCCCAAATTGGACGGCAGGAAGTAGAGCTAGAGGCAGCACCGGCGGAGATGGAAGAGGACGGAGTTGCGGCTGCCACCGTTCCTGCCCTGCTGCATCAGCTTGCCGCTGGGCTGCATCAGGACACAGGGGCCGCGCCTGCGGCACTACCAGTGAGGCAGGAAAGTCCAGGTCACCGGGCGGCTGCACCCATCCCGGCCAGTGCTTTGCAGGCGTCAGCATCAGCTGTGGCGGCGACGGAGGCGGATGCAGCAGCCACACCTAGCACCGTCACCATGTCCCTGGTTGCGCATGCGCGCGCCGCAAGGTCCGCAGCCTCATTAGAGGCGACGCGCTCTCTCACCCCCGCCACGCTGCCCGTCTGCCAGCGTGGTCCGTTGCTGAGGGAAGATGACAACGACGGCGGCGGCAGCAGCGGCGGCGGGGAGCCACAGCGCGCTGCGATGGACACGGCCCAGCACCTGCTTGCACCTGAAACCTCGGCACCTCCTCCTCCGCCTCTTCCTCCACCTGCTGCCCCTGCTGCTGCGGAGGTTGCTGCTGACGGTAGCAGAGCCGGCAACGGCCCAGCTCAGCAACCCGTCCAAGGCCGGGAGACGCAGCCAGCCGGCGCCGCTGATGTGGGTTCCGCCAACGCGCACCCGCGGTCGACGTCGCACCCGCTGCCGTTGCCGCATCAGCCCCAGTTCCCGGCGGAAGAAGGGCCGCAGCAACACCCGCACCAACCCCCAGGTCAGGATCATCGCGTACCATCCTCAGCGCATCAATCACACCGCGCTGGAGTAAAGCAGGTGACCGCATTACCGCTCGCCGCCGTCGCTTCACCCCTTCCTGCAGGCCTGGGTGTCGGGCCTGCTAGTCCTGCGGCTGGCAGAGGAGGCCTCATGCCGTCAACAGGTAGCCCCCCTCCTGCGTCTTCCGAGGCTACGTTGCCGGTACATGATGAGGAGCCGCCGCCGCCGCTGCAGCACCCAGTGACGCCGGTGGGAACCGCAGGGACTCAGCCGTTGCCGCAGGATAACGACGAGCCGTCGTCATCAGCGAAGCCGCTGACGTTACCGCGACCGCGGGGCCCCTACTCGCGCGTGCCCACGCCAAACATTGAAGAAGAGGAAGAACAAGAGGACGTTTACATGGTCCCGGACTCTCTGGACCCAAATGGTCACTGCCACCCCTATCCTGGACGTGCCTCGCCGACCGCCGGTCTCCACGAGGCAGGAGCAGAAGAGCGCGTTGCCGTCACCGCCGCCCCCGTCGCCGCCTCCGCCGCAAGGCCTGCAGAGGACGGCCTCGGAGGCGACCTGCAACCCAGCAGAATGAGAGTGGGGGAGCGTAGAGGTGGCAGTGCTCCACCACCGGCGCCGGAGGCGTTGGCTGGTGGCTGTGCTGGTGCAGGCAGGCGGGCAGGCGGCGGGGGCGGTAGCGGAGGCGCTGGGGGTGACGGGGATGCGTCAGCAGCGGCCGAGCATGCAGCAGCAGCAGCAGTGGCTGCAGCGGGGGCGGCTGCGACGCACGTGGGCGCCGAAGTACCGACGGCGCTGGGTGGAGCAGCGCCGGCGGCGTTGGCAGCAGCAGCAGCAGCGCCCGCAGCCACAGAGGGCATCTTCCTTGACGGCGCCTCTCAGCTGGAGTTGGAGCCGGGTCCCACACTGCTCACCAGGTCCAGCGGCCGCTCCAGCGCACAGCAGCAAACCGGGCTGAAGAAGCAAGGCCAGCAGGGAGGGCCGCCGGGGGATGCAGGCAGATCGGGAGATGCGCTACCGCCGCCTCTGGATCCCGTGCGCGTGGGTGCGGTTTCGGAGCGACCCGAGTCGCAGGGCCTGCAGCTGGCTCCGCCAGCGAGGAGGCACGTCCTGCTGCAGACGCCGGGTGTGTTGGCGCTGGCCAGGACGGTTCCGCAGCAGGCTGCAAGCGGCCAGGTCGCCTTGGGGCCGGAGGCGGAGGCGGCGGGGCAAGCGGGGGTAGTGGCAATGGATGGGGTGGAGGAGTTGGTTGTGGAGGCGACACAGCTTCAGGACCAGCGGCTTCAAAAGCGCCGGCGGGGCTCCGAAACTGCACCATCCACGGCAACTACACCTGCAGGCGCGCCTGCGCCTGTCAGACACCAACAACAACCGCAACAGCCACTCCAACTTGCACAGCGTTTGGGCGACCCAGCCCCAGCGGCAGGTGCTGCCTGGCGACCTGCAAGCGCCGCTGCGGCCAGCGCTGCTACACCCTCGGCCCAGCTTCCAGGCCGCAATCCATACGGCGCTGAGGGCCGTGCAGACCCACGGGTCAGTAACGCAGCAGCACAGGCAGTCGGCGCTGGAGGCATCACGGCAGGACCTGCTGCGGTAATCAAGGGGCTCGAGGAGGTGCATGGGGTGTCTCATTTCACCGGCATGAGCATGCACGAGCTGCTTCGGTGCTCCCAGCTGTTGTTGGAGATGCAGGGCAGGGTAAACGCGGAGATGCAGCGGCTGCAGCAGGTAACTTTGCATGGGGAGCAGCAGCAGCCACAAAACCCCCCGGCAACAGCAGTGCCACCAACGGTGTAATGGCGTATACTTTGGTGGGCCTGAAGGTGGAGCTTGGAGGGCCAGTGCAGCGCTGTTTGTCCACAGAGAGGTGTTTCGCTGCTTGTTGCACTCGGTTTCATTGGTAGGGGCAGGAGCGGGTGGAGTTTGTGAGGTGGGCGGGGTTCACGAACTGCCAGCAGATGGGCCTGCAGGACGGTCCGGTGAAGATTGGCAAGATGAAGGCATCCGCATGTTTCTTGCATAGTTTCTGATCTGGGTCGTTGGTTGATGGCAGTCGGCGATGTGGGTCAGGTTGAATCCTGTACGGCCTTCGTTAACGGCCAGTTGGGGATGTGGGTCAGGTGGAGGCGGGCAGAGGCGGGTGCCAATTTTGGCAGCGGCCTTTGGGGATATGGGTCAGGGTTGGTTGGGGCCATAGCGCAATACGCATATGAGGATGTGGGTCAGTATGCAAGTAGGCAACTAGAATGCGCAATCTCTGTCAAGAGTGAAATGCACTCTTCAGGATTGGGAATTTGCGTTCTAGGGTTGTGCTTTGTCCTTGGCACCACTAGGGTTGGAGGCATGGGTGTTGCAGCGTGGCAAACTTGACTCCGAAGCACTGTGCATTGGACTCATTGGATACAACGCATCATATACCGTATGCTGCTACCCTGTTCGCCATGAAGTATTGCCATACATTGCAAACATGTATGGCACACTGTGACATGCCTCTTGGGCCCGACACGGGGCCATAGCCGTGCCCTCCTCGTCATGTTAATTACGGTGGTTGTAGCCACCTGATGTAAACGTACGCACGGCTTACCTCTTGAGGCAATTCTGGCATGCCTTCTCCTAGGGGTTTCTCCGAAAAGAAAACCTGTAAAGCTTTCCTACCTAGGGTATGGAGATGTTGACAGCCTGTGTCATTGGGTACTAGGAGAGTCGGGGGTGGTGGTTACATGGAATAGATAGGGGTACTGGGGGTACTAGGGCCCCATAACCCTTATTGTCCATTTGTGATTGCATGAGGACGCGCGGGGCCAGCAGTGAGGGAATCCCAGACGCCTCTTTCACTCATCTTCCCGTTCGATTGCGCAGTCGTGCATGGAACCGTGCATGCTGTCCGAGTATTACCGAGCTCCTTGTGCACTCGGCGAAGGCAACGAGTTGCGCAGAAGTGGCCGGGTCCAGCGCCATGTGTAAAAGCAAGAAGATTGCGAGACAGCCGCTCAATATGTGATTGGGCGCTGCATAAAAGGCAACGGGTTTGGTGACCCATGACTTGGTCTGGAACCGGACGTACGCAAGTCCTTCTGTGGTGTTTGCAAAGGCGGCATTGGTGTGGTTATGGCGCTGTCAGCCAGCCCAACATAACTGTTAACCGCGAGGAAACAGCGAAGGCAGGTCACCGAACGTACAAGCTGAATACAAGCGACACCTCACGTAAGCGATGAATAGAAATACTTTACGGGGTTTACAAGTTGTGGTAAGACACTGGGGTATGATGAACACCGGTGATACAGCGCGCGGGGCCAGCGACGAAGTTATGACACGTGCAAGTTGCAATGGATGTTTGCAATGTGGACAAGCCCATAGCTTAGGAATGTCTACTACTGAAGCTGTAGGCGCCATAAGGGCGTGCGACCTTCAATCTGCCTTCCCCAACCGTTCATCCCCGTCATGCTCGTACACTAGCTACGTTCCCCAAATCGCATATAAGGCATTCCCATCAGTAAGTAGCCCATAATTCCTGAGCCTGCCTATTGATTACCAGCTCTACAACCAAAGCTCTGAGGTTATCGTAGATACTGAAAACCGGGACAACTTGATACGAGTAGAATGTCGGCTGCCCTCAAGCAAGCGTTTATTGCGTTCGCCTCATATGGCAAGGGCCAAGAGGTAGGTGCCGAGTATGCGCTCCTGGACCTTGCGATGGAAGCGAAGGGCCTCTAAACTTCGCACCCTACCCTTTGCCTACCGCTGGTTGCAGCTCAAGCAAGATATGGACAACAAGAATTTCAGGTACGCAAATGGTGGTGCAAGTCGCTGGATTACCCTTGCAAACTACTTGCGAGGAGTAACGTAACCAACACATCCTGCCCTGTTCCCCTCCTCCCTGATCACAACAGCAAATGCATGAAGGATTCCGGGTTGATGGATGCCAAGGTCATCACCTCCACGGAGGTGGACATTACCTTTGCGAAGGTAGGCGGACTTCTGCTGTTGCATGCGTAGCAAATGACGTCGCGAAGCTTGGCGCCCCTCTTAATCGAAACTGATGGTTTACGTGCAGGTCAAGGGGAAGACGGAGAGGACCATTAACTTCACGCAGGTGAGGAACACTTATCGGATAGATGACGACGTTCGACGATTTGAGTTGGTAACAAGCGAAACCTGTTCCTGGTGTTCTCGTTACCTCACAACTGATATGCTTTTTGCATCCTGTGTATGATTTTCTGCAGTTCTGCGCTGCGCTCGACCACCTCGCCGCAAAGAAGGGCGTCCCGCGAGCGGACCTGGAGGCAAAGATTGAGGCCGCCAGCCCCAAGAGCAACGCCACGCAAGCGGACGCTGTGAAGGTGCGGTCGGTTTCAGTCACCGCCGGCGGGACTCAAAAGCGCGTTCTGCTTCCTGAATTTCTTACCCTCGTGCTTACCCCTTCAGTTCCACGACGACAAGAACCTGTACACTGGTGTGTACAAGAACGGCGGCCCGACCAACGTTGACAAGCGGGCCGCAGGCGGGCTGGCGGGGCTTTGCGACAGGTCCGTGCCATACCCTTTGTCCCACACCAGTACCATAACCTGTTGTCGTATGCACGGTACTATACGCATGGCGGCATTTCCTCTGCTGTCGTGTGTAGTTTACTATTGCACGGCAACATCCTTCACCTTTATGCCCCCTAAGGCACACGTGACTACCCCCTTCGCTTGAGGATTCTCAACTTCCACGTTACCTTGCTAACTCTCTGTTGGGACTTCCGCAGGAGCCCTGCTGACAACCGCGGCGTCAAATTCTGAGTGCAAGAGGAGAAGGCGCTTGCTGCTCTACCGCACGGGACACGGCACGACCGTAAGGTCGGGTGCAGATGGATGCAGTGAATAGTTACGGACACGTATTCTAGATCTAGGCTGCGCAGCGGAATGGTCACGGACAAGTATTTCTAGTGATAGGCCGGGAGGCCTTTCTTACAAGTAGTATTCCAGGTACTGAACAGATTAGATTGTTTTACAGAGTGCATCCTGTTTATACGGCCATTGTACTTCCTGCAATGCGTCCCTAGTTCAATCCTCTGTACATATAAGTGTAGGAGTCCTTGCGAGCGTGCGGTGATCTAACATATTAAATGCGGTGTGCGTACGTTTCCATGGCGAGACGTGCATTATGAGCCATGACCCTTGGGTCATATGCGTGTGATTCCGCATCCTGCACATATGTAATGCCAGAAAATGAACTGTTGTGGCCTCAATGGTCAGTACGCTCCCACTGTCTTCTTACGCACGACAGCCCACAGCCTACATATACATTAGAGACGTGCAATTGGTAACGAAACATCCAGTAACTTGAGGAAGGTATGGGTAGTCATTGCGACCATACGGCAATTGTGCAGTAATGTGTCTACGTGTTGCCACCGGCTGACCACCAAGCAGACGGCGTGCAAACGCCTTCATCACATGTACCCGCAAAGGAGCCACCGTGAGCGCGCTCATTGCGGTACGGCGCCAGCTGACTCTGTGGGCCTTCGGAAGGCCATCTTGTATGTGTACTGCGAATACGGCTTGTTCATTGCCATGATGTATTTCTGCTCTCCGTCGTAGGGCGTTAGGAAGTCAGACACGACTTGAGTGGCAACGATGGCAGGACCCTGGTCACGACGAGCAGCCTGCGGGTGGAGGAGCGCAGCAGTGGTACGGCGAACAACATACCGGTAACCCAACAAGCAAGAGCATTAGCTTTGCGTTGCGTAGGGCGGTGCAAGATCACGTGTGGTTATGCTCCACTCGGTCATAACAGATAGCACCACATGCAGCAGCGGCCGCAACCAAGCTCGTCGTCAAGATCTTACCTGCTCGCTGCGCCATTTGTACTTCGTGAAGCACTGACTGGCTTTCACCCGGGTCGCTCCTCCGTCCCCGCTGTCGTACACGGACTCGACGTACTGCGGCCAGGGGTGCGGCAGCAAACGGTTTCAACGGAACTTGCTTCGGTCATGCGCTATGTAGCCATCAAAGGCCCTGAACATAAACCGAAAGGCCATTGAAAGGCCATATACAGATCCAGTACGGACATTCCAGACAGCTTCCCAACTCGTAATACCCCGGACTTACCTCGGATGTCTCAATCCGGTCCGGTTGCGGAACGTCCTCAGATCGCCGTGTGACTCGTGTCCGCACATGCATGCCCTGCAAGGGTTGCCAAGCATGTAATGTTCGGCTACTGCGTCCTACAGAAACCAGGAATGCACATCTGGAATGTCCAGCATTCGAGGCGCAGCGGGTACCAGGGTGCGACATGGCGGCCTGGAAACCTGGTGTTCTGGTTACCGGTACTCGTCAGGCAGGCTACTAGGGACCCACTTACGTACCGGCATTTGGAGCGTGAGGACGTTGGGGTCGTTGACGTCCCACTGAATTCGTTCCGCAAAGTTCATCGTCTTGTCGTAGTACCTTCGGTGCATGATGCAGGCAGGAGTGAGCAGCGACAGCACGATGCGGCCAGCAAGTGTCACGCACTCATGATGCATGTGCAGCTCTGTTGCCCGACCATTTGCAACTCCCCATCTCGCTCCCCATGGTGCGTTCGCTGAACAGTTGTAGGTGCCTTGACCGCCCTTTTGTCTCATCCAGCCTAAGCCCAAAGATACCCTTGTACTCCAAGACACTGCGGCAAGCAGTTTTACCAGACTTGTACGATGTACCGTTACTTACATGGCCAACATCGACGCCGTATTGAACTGCCTGTCGTACACCACCTTGCCCCTTGCATTGCGCATGAAGGCTACCTGGTAGTGCGTTTGGCGGTTCATGTCTTCCAGCTGGGCCCGTCGTACGACAGCCATGTTGGGTACGGCATCCTCGCCAAGCGGCATGTCCACGCGCGTGAGCATGCTGGTAACGTCCCAGACTTTGAAGGACCCATGGGTCGCAGGAATTATCGAACAACGCCGGTTGTAAGAAGACGTTTCAGTGAAGACAATAAGATGTGAGGCAAAAACGGCACGTTACGTGACGCGATGAAGTTGGCTTCTTAACCCCCCTCCTCATGGCGTGGAGAAGGACGGCTTGGGTTGTAGCGACAAGTCAGGCCTTCATGGCAGTCTACTTCTGCAACTAGCGCCATCAGGCTGATATCTCCTGACCCCCAACCCCAGGCGGCGTACCTCCCAGGAACTCCTCCGGGAACACCAAGTCCGAGGGGCCGCCACCCAAGGCCTCCCAACCCGCATCCAAGAAAGGCACCTTGCTGGCAGACGCCGGCCGACATGTCGTTAAGACGACTGGGCAACTCGCTGCAAATAAGACTGCGCTGCGACGAGTCATGGTTCCATCTTGTAGGGCCCCTGGCCGTGTTTCATTCAAATTTACTGAATGCCGGGGCTGCGTGGGTTCGGTCTGTCCATGGTTAACCGCAGCCCTGCAACGCTCAGTCTCTTGCCGCCCCCACGCTGTTCCAACGGATCGTCGCGTCTTTAAGAGTTTTATGCTGTATAGCCTAAGCGGCCCAAGGAGCGTAGCGTTGCAGCGTTGGTTGAGCAAAGGTGTTGTTCCAAGGACAGATGACATCTTTGCGGCCTAAAATTGAGCCACAGTCACAGCCCTTCAGCAGCCGTTCGGAGATTTGGGGTATTACTCTGCTGTAGATGAGTGCGACGCTGCGAATACCTGTATGCCGTACACAAATCTACACGCAACTTTTGTCTGGCTGTGCAAGTACTTGATAAGAGGGACTGCATGAGAACGCCTGCCTGGACATAGAACAATGTCTACGTTCAATTAACTTCGTCTTGCGGTGCATTTGCGGAAAACGTGCCGGAAAGCTGCCAGGAAGCATGATAGGTATTGAAGTGGATGATTTTACACTCTGTTAGATGTATACAACGTTTTAATAATTGGCATCCAGCGCGACAGCTTACTGAACAGCTGCTGCAGCGGCGGTCCATCCTGCATAAGGACAGGAACCTTGTGGTGAAAGCGACTAACCGTCGGAGCAAGCTTACAAGTGGCGGTGAAGGCGCCCGTCGGGCACGTGCCGGCATGAAGCTCACTGTGGGTATCCATCGGCGGGATGTATCACGGGTAGCTTATAGATCTAGCCGAATTCAGCCGCGGGCTTGCAACGTTCGCAGATTGCCATTGAGGGCTGCTGCCATGGCGAATTGGACAAAATTTATGCGACATTGCAACACTTGGAACAGCGGGAGGGCAAGAAAATCGACTTGCTTATCTGCTGCGGCGACTTCCAGGTGAGCTGTCCTGCATGGTCATGTTTTATTAGGGAAGCTATACGTAAGATGCCGTTTAAGGAGTGGTTCTTGGCTCCAACCGCACCTCCGGGCCTCTCCTACCCTCCATCCCATCCCTTCCATCCAATGCTCGCCCCGCAATTTTAACCCCTGCTGTGAATCTGCGTGTACGTCTCCCCTGTGCGCGCATCTGTCCCTCACGCATATCCTAACGTTTGCAGGCCGTCCGTAACCTGGATGACTTGGAGACCATGGCTTGTCCGCCCAAGTACCGATCCATGCAGACGTTCTACAAGTACTACTCGGGAGAGAGGGTCGCACCCTTCCCAACCATTTTCAGTGAGTCATCACGGCAACTAAGTAAAAGGGGGGGAAAGCTGCGGACTTGCAGCGAAGCTTTCTTTAAGCCTTACCAACGTCGTCCCAGGGGGCCCCCGGGCTGCTTGGGCATGGTTACGGATGCATGAGCCTCTCAAGCGAGGGCACCGCAACCCCGCCATCCCACCTCTTCCCCTCTTCCTCGCCCCTCCCTCCCTCGTCTCCTCCCCAGTCGGCGGCAACCACGAGGCCGCCAACCACCTGTGGGAGCTCTACTACGGCGGCTGGGCGGCTCCGAACATCTACTTCCTGGGCTTTGCGGGCGCAGTCAGGTAGCGGCAGGACGTAACACGCTGTTCCGGTTAGCTTGCTGCATGCTTGCCTTGCCGATGGCGCGGTGTGGGCTGCACTGTCCTGCATTCAAGCTCCGTATCGGCCGAGGTGGTGCTGCTGGTGCTCGCAGCCCGCACCTGCAGCTGCCATGCATGTACCAGTGACCCTACCTCACCCGGTGTGCGAATGCGGCTGGCTTGTTCGCAGCTGTCAGAGCAGCAACCCTCAGCAGCAGCCATAAGGGGAATAGGCGCCTCTTTATCGCTCTCCAGCCTGCCGCGTTTTCCAACAAACCTCGTGCACACCCCACCCCATTCCCCGCTCCAGGGTACACAACCACACACGCACAATTGTCCTCCCTCCCTCCCTCGCACTACCACCACCACCACACCGCACCCCACCGCACGCAGGTTCGGCGGTCTGCGCATCGCGGGCCTGAGCGGCATCTACAAGCAGCACGACTACACGCGGGGGCACCACGAGGCGCTGCCGTACAGCGAGTCCACCATCCGCTCGCTCTACCACGTGCGGGACTTTGAGGTGGGCTGCGGGGGGTTGCGGGGGGCCGGGAGGGTTGGGTCACGTTAGGTGCGTCTGGGCTGCGGTGGGCTGGGGTGGGTTGTGGTGCGTTGCGTACTTGCGTTGGGCATGAAATGACACCTTGGAGGCGTGGGGTTAGGGCGAGATTAGGGAAGTTGCCACACTGCAACTCCGTGCGGCCCCGGAGGTAGCTCCTAACGCAGCACGCCCTGTCTCCCGCACCTGCTGTTGCGCCGTGTGTCCGCAGGTGTATCGGTTGCTGCAGCTGCAGCAACCCGTGGACATCTTCCTCAGCCACGACTGGCCCACCAACATAGCGCGCTACGGCAACACGGTGCAGCTGCTGGCGCGCAAGGTAGGGGAGCAAGGCATGGCAAAGCCAAACCCCACGGCCACCGCCTCCCAGGCGGCTGCTCGAAACCCCACTCCTTCCGCTCCTTCCTTCCGCCCCCTCCTCCTGCCCTGCGCCAGCACCCCTGCTGCTGCTGCCACCGTTACCACCCCACGCCGCATCGCCCCTCCTCCTGCCCCCCCTCCCCACGCTCCTGCGCAGGCGTTCCTCCGTTCCGAGGTGGAGAGCGGCACGCTGGGCAGCCCCCCCGCCGCCCAGCTGCTGTCCGCGCTGCGCCCCGCCTACTGGTTCTCCGCGCACCTGCACACCAAGTTCGCAGCGCTGGTGCAGCACACACCGCAGCAGCAGCAGGGGCAGCAGCCTGGGCAGCGGCAGGGTGGGCAGCAGCAGCGGCAACACCAATCCGGGGGGCAGCAGCAGCAACAACAGGAGCAAGGTGGGGAGCAGCGAGGGCAGCAGGCGGCAGGGCCGGGGCCCGGGTCGGCAGCAGCAGCAGGAGGAGGGGCTGGGGCTGGGAGCGGCAGCGGGGGCGGCTTTGCTAGCACGAGGTTCCTGGCGCTGGACAAGTGCCTGCCGGGACGGGACTTCCTGCAGGTGGGGGAGCGGGGGGACTTCCTGCAGGTGGGGGAGCGGGGGGACTTCCTGCAGGTGGGGGAGCGGGGGGACTTCCTGCAGGTGGGGGAGCGGGGGGACTTCCTGCAGGTGGGGGAGCGGGGGGACTTCCTGCAGGTGGGGGAGCGGGGGGGGGGGCGGCTGGAGGGTAGCAGGAGGAGACGGGAGGGGTTCACCGGAGGGGTTTATCGAAGGGGTTTTACCGGAGCAGGGACACTGACTTCCAAGCATAAGAGGGGCGAGGGATTGGCTTCTGCAAGCACGCTCCCCACCCATGTGCCTCTCCCTCTCCCGCCTCCTCCTCCTCCTCCTCCTTCGCGCCCCCGCAGGTGATCGAGCTGGACGCCCCCGGGCCCCCCGAGCTGCACTACGACGAGGAGTGGCTGGCGGTGCTGCGAGGCACCCACCAGCTCACCAACCTGCGCTTCAAACACGCGCCGCTGCCGGGTAGGTGGGGGAGGGGCGGGTGGGGTGGGCTACTAGACCCTTACCTAAGCCTAAGCTCACGACTTGTGTGTTGGCCTACGGCTGATTACTCCGATGCCACCGCCGATGTACTTGAGTTGGCACGTACCCTCCTTACATGTACTGCTTGCAGGCATGGGCATGTTGCGGAGCGGTCCGAGGCCGGAGGACGTGGAGTTCGTACGGCAGGTGTTTGCGGCGCGGGGGAGCACCCGCATCCCGGACAACTTCACCGCCACCGCCCAGCCGTACGACCCGCAGCGGCAGCAGGGGCAGCGCAAGGGGCGCATGCCGCAGCGACATGAAAGGAACCCGCAGGTCGGGGGAGGGACCGAAAGAGGCTTGAGGAGGGGGGGCGGGTTGGCCGCATGGTATCATGGTTGCGGCGAGCGGAAGGGTACTTGTAGCGCTGTGCTTTGGCCTCAGCCTTCATGTCTCCTGCTGCCTTTGCTTCCGGGAGGTCAGCTTGTAGGTTGCGCCCTTGCAACACCGCTGTGCAGTTCCGAATGAGTCGTGCTGTCGTATAACCAAGGGGGTTCGTAAGCCGTAATCATAACCAAGGGGGTTCGTAAGCCGTAATACATACACGTGCGTGCTGCAGACGGTGGCATTGCTCGAGATGCTGGGACTGCCGTACAACTTGGATCACAAGGACGTCAACGGGGCTGCGGCGGCGGGGCCGGCGGAACCAGCAGCGGCTGCTGCTGCTTCGGAGGCAGCATCTATGGCCGCAGCGGCTGCGGCAGCAGCAGCAACGGCTGCAGCAGGCGGGGCGGTACCTAGGGGCGGCGGCGGGGGTGGTGGTGGTCTCGGTGCGGGACTGGGCTCCGGAGGCGCACGAGCGAGCAACCGGGGTAAGCGGCGGCGGGTCCACAGGCACATGCGAGGGTGCGCGGCGGCGCGCTTGGTCGCTTTTGTGGTTCTTTCCTACAATCCTAGGTTTAGATTGCGGCCCTATACTGCCGGATGTTTCGCCCATGGCCCTCCTCAGTTTGGTGCCGTTCCCCGTTGTCAGCATCATCCGTCCAAAGCCCTAACACACACTCTACAACCTATCCCAACTGCTTGCTCTTGTCCTACTCAACTACACACACTACCACCGGGGTAGGGTCCCATCTTTACATCACTTGCGTTCCCTTGACTCAGCATGGTTCGACGCATGGCCTAACCCCCTCCCTTCCTCGCTCCATTCCAACCCCCCGCAGCGCCGCTTTCCCTGGCGCCCCATCTCATGGCTCCGGCACGACCCAGATCAGCCTCAACCGCCGCCGCCGCCCCCATCGTGCTGGCCCCCAACCCCGAGGAAATCGACTTGGGAGATATCGACGAGGATGCGGATATGGAGGCGGGCGGCGACAACCCGTCTGCGACGAGCGTCCAGGAGGGGAACGCGGCGGGTGGGAGTGATGGTGGTGGTGGCATGGCGGGTGATGGAGTAATGGGTTGTGGCGGCGGGGGAGGGGGTGTGGTGGAGGGGCAGGGGCGGCCGGTGGGTGCGAGTGGCGGCGAGGTGGGAGGTGGGAGAGGGGCGGGTGAGGGGGGAGGCGGCGAGGGGGGTGCTGCGGGGAGAGCGCTGGAGGCGGACCCCATGTTCCGCCCGTTGGACGTGTGAGGTTGAGGACGAGGACGAGGTTGAGGATAGGGTTTTGAGGTGAAGGGATTGGTCTAGGAGTCGTGGGGGATAGCGGCTCAACCTCGCATGGAGGCATGCGTTACCAGAACAATCGTGAAACAAATCTATATGTTAGCTGTCGACCTTGACTTTACAAGGATTGAACACGTGAAGCATGGGGTTGCTGTCGGGCCACGGAAGCTGCGTGGCGGCATGTGGCCTACTTGGTTCACATTTCCCCTCACACACGGGGAGAGACCCAGCAACTGGCACTTCACAAGCCGCTGTTATAGTTACACAAACGTCCGGCCCCAGCAGCCGCCATGCCCCACCAATGCCCCGGGGGGCCGTGTCAGTTGTGCGCTCGCGCTTCAGGCCCCGCCCGGCTACCCCTGACCTCCCTCCCGCCAAGCACGGATGAGGTCCTCCGAATCCTCGTAGCCCAGGGACCTGCAGGCGGACAGCAGCACATGGGGAGGAGACCGACGTGATTCATGACGGGTATAGGTTCATTAACTCTCGCGCTAATGACAGATCTAGACAACAACCCATCAGATGCTGAACGTGCGGTGCTATACCATAAGAGGGCTTTTTACTGTGACGGAAAGCCCCTCCCTCGTTTTCCCTCCCTCGGGAAAGACCCTCTTCCCTCCCGCTCACTTGAAGGCCAGTGCCACCCGCTCCATCTGCGGCCAGGAGAAGTGCTGGCAGCGCCGCAGGGCCTCCGCCGCGATGCCCTGTGCCGCAGTTCGGGGGTGTTCGGGGATCAGAGAGAGAGAGGAACCAAACAGGTCCAGGGTTCGGGGTGGGGGGGGGAACGGCAAGCATCTTCACCCTCCATGCAGCCAAAGAGTGGCGGCTAGGGAACAAGGAACCCGACCGCTGCAGTGACGACCAAGGACAACACAACAACGCAGCCACTGCCACCGCATGCGTTATGATGCCTGTCCAAATCTGAATGGCAGCCATGAGCCTACCAACCGCACGTAACCTCCATTGGATCTCTCCAAACCCCTAAAGCAAACCTCAGGGCCCCTCCATGCCACCCACGCCTCACGCTTTTGGCTTCCTTGGGACAATTAGTTTCCCTCGGGATTCCCCCACACACACACCACCCCCCAAGTCTCAACGGTTGAATGCTCTCTCTCCGTCTCACCCTCCCACCCACCTCAAACAGCTCGTCATCCGGGCTCTGCGCCACCGCAAACGCCTCCGCCAGCTGCGCGAGCTCCTCCGCGCCCAGCCCGCCCAGCCGCCGATGCAGCACCGCGGCAGCGCGGGCAAACAGGCTGCGCGGGGGACGGGAGGAGAGAGGAGCGGGGACAAGCGAACGAGCGGGACGGGAAGAGATGGGACGGGATGATGGATTGGAGAAGGGGATGGGCAGGGGTAGTAGAGGGGTCGGGCTCCCCCGTGCGTGTGGCATTGACTGTTGTGCCGTAATGTGGGTATGTCGTACAAATACCCTGCATAAACACGCTCTACTTCAAGTGCGGCGTCTCTGTTGGTACTTCATCTTCCGGCAATCACATTGCGCTCCGACTCGCGGCCAGTTTACTCAACTACACACACCAATCCCACCTTTCGGCACGCGTGTCGGTTGAGGCGAATCCGTACAGCAGGGTTGCGAGTTCCGAGGGCTTGTACGGGCGGATGTCGTACATCACATGGCCCTCCACCGCCGCCAGCAGCTGCGCGTGCGGGTGCTCCAACCGCCCGAGAGCTGACACCAGGCCACTAACCTGTGATGTGACGGACATCACGTTTACAAACAGTACCCAGTCAGTTGTTAACATGTAACGGGCAGCATGCATACCGGTAATGAAAACAGCATCAACTCCTCCTGAAGCTGTTAGCGGGAGGGCGGCCAAGGGGAGCTCCTGGTAACTGCCTTGGGCCGCACCCATCTACACAACCGCACACCTCAGATGCTACCAGGATCGCTCCACAAGACACGCCGGGGCTACTTCCTCATCCCCCACGAGCTCCCATCTCTCACCTCCCAGGGCTGCAGCTCGTGCAGCCTGCTGCAAAGCCGCTCGCACGCCTCATCAATCAGCCCTGAGTCGTAGTGCTCCACCCGGCCTAGCGCCGTCACCACCGCCGCCATCTGAGAGCCGCTCAGACAGCGCCCCCCGGCTGCACCCTGAACTCGCTGCGGCTGCTCGGGCTGCTGCTGCGGTTGTGGCTGCTGCGTCTGCCGTGGTGCTTGCTGCTGCTGCTGCCCCCTGTTGCTGCTGCCGGTTCGGTTCACGTCCCTAGCGGGTGCGGTGGAGGGGGAGTGTGGTGGCAGTAGCTGCTGGGCTCGTTTGCAGAGGGCGGTGAAGAAGGGCGCGGAATGGGCGCCCAGGGAGGCCAGGGAGGAGGCCAGGGTGGCGATGACCCATGGGTCCATGCGCGGGACCTCCGGGAGCAGCTGAGCCTGCATGCATCACATGGCAGGTGTCGAAGGAAAGCTTGGAGTGTGGAGGGGCGTATGGATAGGGCGGAATGGATTTGGCTTTGCAGACGCAGGGAAGCGCAATGAAGAAGTCGCGCCATTACTACCGGCATGTAAGGAGATCCCGTCTCTCAAATGGTCTCCAGTGCTCTTTGCCTTGGAGAGCCCCCTCACAATGTAACACCATACCACACCACTACCGCACCACACCGCATCACTTCCACTCTCGCTCCCGCTACCGCTGCGCCCGTTCCCCCCGCAGCCCCCCCTCACCTGTGCGTCTCCTATCCCCATTGCTTTGACCCACCTGTGCATCGCTCACAAACCCCTGGTGCACATGTCTCAGCCTGCCACACGCCCAAAGCAGCTGCACCAGGTCCCGTGACGCGGGAGGCGCCGCCGCTGCTCCTGCTGCCGCCGCTGCTCCTGCTGCCGCTGCTGCTGCTGCTGCCGCTGCCGCGTCTCCAACCATGTCTCCTCTCCTGCTGCCGCTATTGCTGCTTCCTCCTCGCCGCCGCCGCTGCTGTTGCTGCTGCTGGTGGATGGCAGCGAGTGCGGCCCCACACAGTGCATCTAGGGCGCCTGCGTGACGGAAGCGCAGCTGCGACAGGGCACGGGTTTGTTGGACAAGACCAGATGGGTGGTAGGGTACGATGCGATTGTTAGTAGCTCATCGCACGCAAGGCCCGGGCAGAGTCCCGGGCGGTTGGAGTGCACGCAAGGATGGCTACCAAGCAACAGTAGTTGACGAGTTGAGGCGTTGGCAAGCGAAGGTACCGTGCTGGAGGGAAGAGCTTCACTCACGCTTGCTTGTCGCAAGAGACGTGGCACACGTGGGAAGGAATCCGGTGAAGCATGTGTGCTGCCCTTGCCAGCTGGGGCTCATGGCTTCAGGGTGAAGAAGATTTCATGGCACGATATCAGGTTCGTCACACAGCAGGAAGCAGCCCGCGAGACCCCCTCACCGCTCCGAGCGCCCATGCCGTGTTGCCGAGTGCCTGGCCGTCCATGTAGCGGGCCGTCTGGGCCGCACGTCGGGCCAGCGCCTGCGTGAGCATGAGCATGCAGAGGGCACAACACTCAGAGAGCACAATATGCAGAGGGCACAATATGCAGAGGACACAACAGGCCACCCGCGAATGTGCGGTGTGGCAGTGCATAAGTCATCGCGGGGTTCGTAATAACAGTATCACCACGCTGAGGTAGGCGGCTATAGCCTTGTGACAGCAACAGCGGATTCTGAAGTTTTGAACCGTGAACCCTTACTAACCCGTTCACCGGCGGGAACTCCTCTGTCCCCATCTTCCCCTTGTCCCAACCAAGCTTTCCCTTTTTCCTAAAACTACAATTCCCCACCTAGGACAAAGAAACAACGTCTGTCACACCCCAGGCTGCAGCTTGGGACACAACCTTCTGTGCGCATGGCTAACACCGTGACACGCTATCTTCCCCCCTAATACTACTGGTTCCCGGTCGCACCTGCAGCCAGGAGGGGTCCAGATCCACAGAGGTGGCTCCCTGGAGGCGGCATGGGGGGTGGGGGCAATGCGGCGGCGGGGCAGCGGCTCGAGAGGGGGCAGGCGGGCAGCTCGAGAGGGGTCACATGCAGCTGGGCCGGGAGTAAGGGGCGCATGGTCGGTGGAGGGTAGAGAAGCACTGAAGACAGCGCCCAAGTCCGCGCTCCCTTCTCTCTGACCCCCGCGCCCTGCCCCTGCTTCCCGCCGCTCCCTCCTCCCTGATCCCCGTTCCCTCCTCTCCGACCCCCCGCACCTGCAGAGCCGCCAGAGACCACATCATGCTGCTCGTCTGGCGGCCCGTCAGCTTGCCTGGGGGGGGCGGGCAGTGGGGATGGATGGGGGCGGAGAGGCCAGCAGGGCAGGAGCCGACCCATGGGTCATAGCCATGGAGTACAAGCAGTACCAAACCCCATGGCATCCGTCGTACAAAAGGGGTGGATAAGACATGCCACATTAATATATTAACAGTTGTTAACACACACAAGGAGTGCCGGAGTGCAGGGGAAAAGGTATGCATAGGCTGTCTAAATCAGCAGCTTTTCAGGTTGTTGCAGTTGTTGGTAGCTGTGCGACGTTTCCTTTCTCCTCCACCAACGGCACCCGTCCCACCATGCAACGCCAGTTCCGCCGCTCTTTCGCCCAGCCGCTGCATCACCCGCGCGAGCTCCAGCCGGCTCGCAGCCTCCTCCATTGCCGTACAATCACCACCCGTTGCATCGTACGACAATTCCGATCCGCCATCACCACCACCACTGCCATTGCCGACAACATGGCCCAGGGGTTGCGTTGGAGACGGTGGCAGCGGCGGCGGCGGTGAGAGCTCGTCACGCGAATCGCGCTCGCGATTGTTATCCTCGCCGCGTGAAGGAGGAGTTGCCTTGTAACGCAGACGTCCGTATGCGGTTGCAACTGCCCATAGCACTGCCGTACATTCCTCTTCGCGGAGCTGCCGTACGACTTCGGGGCCTCTCTGGCGATCTAGCAGCGCCTGCACGGCCGAGGGTGGAGGGCAAAGGAGGGACGGATTGAGGTGCTGCTAGGAGACGAAAAGGCGGAATAAAAGCCGTTATGGTTTCTGATACCCGGCTTGCCCATCATCACTTGCATGTGGGCATGCATACAAGTTATACATCTGTCAGTTTCGCTATACCAACGATTACAACGGTTACCCGACGGTTAACCCGTACGGCTAACCCAACGGTTAACCCAAGAGAAGGATAACCCGTACGGTAGTCACCTTGAGGAGGTTCCCAAACACTTGGGGATCCGGCCTATGCGAGGGGTGACAAGCAACGACAACATTTAACGGTCCAAGCGGGGTATTCTTGCAGATGAGGGTTGAACCTCAACGCTTTGCAGGTAACTCCCGGAGAGGCAAGCCGGTGTTTCACAAGCCCAGAGCCCTTCCCAAACCGCCCCTGCTCATGCACCACCCTCAGTTCCTCACCCCCATCCTCGCCCCACCGCCCCCCCCCCACCAGCTCACCTGCCGATCGCCGCGAACGCCCACACCAGGTTTGCAACCTCTCGCGCCTGACCCGACCACAGCACATCGCACGCAGTGCCTGCAAGCCACTGCCAAGCGCCCTCATTCGTCCCGCTGCCGCTACTGCCGCTGCTGCCATTGCCGGCGGCGCCGCGGCCTGACCGGGCTAGGCCCCAAGCGAGGTTGGCCACGTCCTGCGTCCCCGCTTGCTGCCATAACGGCTGCGGCTGGCTGGGCGTGGAGGTGTCTGCGGTGGCGGTGGGGGCAGCAGCTGCGCCTGCATTTCCGCGAGTCCAGTCCTGCGCTAGTCTCGCGGCAATGGCGTCTGCCACAGCGCCCACAGCTGAGACCTCCGTCTCACGTCCCGCCTGTCCGACCTGCTCCTGCTGCTGCTGCTGCCGCTGCTGGGTGTGGTGGCTGTCGCGGCCGCCGCCGCCTCCGCCCCACAGCGGCCGCAGCCTGCCTGCACGTAAGGAGGAAGTGGCGTCCGGCGGGGCAATATGTACCAAAAGAAAGCGACGGCGGCTGGCCAAGGAAAGATGTAACGGTGGGAGTAAGTACGATAAAGGAGGAACTGCTGGCCACAAAAACATGGCCACACAAACATGCTGCCATCCAGCCAGCCGTCAGACCTACCCAGCGCCCAGGCACACGAGCTCAGCTCGCCCACCCGCATGAGCGGTACGGCAGCGCCCACAGCAGGCATCAGACCCAACAGTACGGCAAGGGCCTCCGTACTGCCCGACTGCTGCTGCCCCTGCCCTGCCGGCTGATTCGGCTGCGGCTGCCCCTGCCGCCCTGCTTCTCCTTCCTGCTGCAGCCCCTGCTGCTGCAGTGTGGAAGAGGAGGAGGGCGGCTGCGGCACAGTCGCGGCCGTGTTGGGCGCTGCTCCCGTGTTAGACTTGTCAGCTGCGGCTGCGGCGGCAGCAGCAGCTGGGTCGGTGGCGAGGCGGGCGAGGCGGCTGAGGGCGGCCGCCAGCAGCAGCGTATTGCCAGCCAGGCTGGGGCCGTGGCGGCGCAGCAGGGAGGAGAGGTCCTGGGGGCCCGTGGACAGTGCAAGAGGTACCGGTAGGTTAAGAATCATATCCTGGTATCAAAGGCCGTGGTAACTGCATAGCTGTGATACGGACGATGTGGGGAAGCAGAGGGAGTGGGTTAGGTGAAGAGGGCAATCCCCAGGCATTGGAAAGGTAGGGTAGGATAGAGCGGCGGCGAGAGCTTTACGGCATGGCTCCTACACCGTACCTGTATTCCCGAGGCTCCCTTGATGCGGGACATTACCCGACGGGGGTCGGGGAGACCCGTGGGTCGCTGAGCCTGCCCGCCGCCACTGGCGGTACCTCCTCCGCCGGCATGAGGTGTCGTACCGCCGCCTGCAACCGTGTTGGTGTTTGGAACGGGACTGCTGGCATGGCTAGCGCCGCCGCTGCTGCTGCCGCCTCGACCGCTGCTTTTTCGGCCCTGCTGCACGGAAGGAGGACGGCAGCTGCTAGCGCTGCCGGCGTTGTGGGTTTGAGTGCCGGTTGGCGCCTGGATTCCGAGTGAGCTGGTGCCCCTGCCTTTCGTGGCGTCAGGACTGCTGCTATCGCTCCCAGCACTGGCCACAGCACCAGCGGCGCTGCCGCAGCCGTTAGCGTGAACTGGGGTATTTTCGCAAGTCGGGCCCGCAGCGGGCTCTGTATGGGTGCTTACGGTGCGTGTTGTGTTGTCAACACCACCGCCGGGAGCTAGCATGCCCAGGCGGCGTTGTACTGGCATCCATCCTGGATAAGGCCATGCTACCCGACTGTAAGGAGAGCCAGAGGGCACTCCTTGGTTGCCAGGTTGGAGTAAAGGGATAGTCGTATAGTTTGCCACCCGAAGAGAACGCGCACTGGAGATGCGCTGGCAGGTGATTGATGGGATGGAGGCCGCCGCGCTGCTAGAGGAACTCGGTTCGTGAGTGTAATCGTTCGCGCGTCCAGTGTTGGAATGTTCATTATGAAGTAATCTTTGTAGTTGATAGCTGTCGATGTTTCCAAAGCCACATAGGGACAGGAAGGTGGCATTGCGCAACGTTCCACCGCTTGTGACTAGCCCAGCTTTCGGTAAGTACAAAACTAGGTGCATTTGATCTTACCACTTTTCAACATCAAGGCCTATAGAAGGTAATGCAAAGGCTTTGCGCATCTAGCAGGCAAACCTCCGCGCTCCGGCCCTGCAGCCTTTCATGTATGCCCACAGACACTATTTGTAGCAACGACACAGAAGCATATTAGATTTGTCCAAAATTTTAGACCTCTACTTTCAACAACGGCCGTGAACTGTCCAACTTCAACGACTTATGACGGAGCGTATACTCCGTGTCCCAGAAGAAGGGAGGTAAGTATCAAGTAACAAGCGACACATAGGATGTTTATGACATGACGAACGACAGCAGCCATGGCGATTGGCCACTGAGGTCAACCCGTCTAGTGGTGGGCGGCAACGCGGCATAGACCCACCGATGGTACATACCAGCAACCATTGTGACAGTATACCGTAAGATACCATTACTGGTAGGGTTCAGGTGTGTATTCTGCTGGGACGGAAGAATTTGTAATGCCATGTACGTACGACGACCTGCACTTTCCTTTCAGGGTTACAGGGTAGCGTCTCGAATATTGGGTTTGCATTACAAGGAACAGCCTATGCTGGCATAGATAAGCCCAGTGACAACTTTTACCATTGTCACTAGAGGCGACGCCAGCGACGACTCATCACCACAACACACCTGTCACACCTGTCATTACTCCCTGCTTCGACTCTTAATCTCCGTCGATACGCCTTAGACGCGGCTTCCTGCGCTAGGGGTTTTGATGAAGAATATTTGAACAGCATCTTCCCCTGTGCAGCTTCCTGGCAGCCAACACTCCAGCAGAGTCACCCGCTTGATGGCTGCAAAGGCGCTGCAATTCCGATAAATGTTTATGACAACGCTGATATAGTCGAGGCGAGAGATTTTGGTGGATATCACCTTGCAGTAGTGCAGTAACCGCCCACGTCGCAACTTCACCATTCGCCCCATTTCAGCCGTCTTCATCATCTAAGTTTCCCTAATGGCAGACACGCCTGAGAGTGATGACTTCGGACAGCCCGAGGCAAATCTGGAATTAGAGGTGCTGCGAGAGCAAATCGCTTTGCTTTCGAAGCAATTTTACCATGAGCGTCAACAATGGCTGGAAGAAAAGCGGCGGTTACAGGAGGCAGCCCGGCGGCAGCCGGCTACTACAGGCGATGCGCCACCGCGTTGTACACCCATTAGTGGACAACCTCGCAGCCAGGCCAGCTCAAACTCAACCACATCCAGCGACAATGGGTGTGAAGTGAATAGCAACGGCGTAAGTCGGACCGGTAGCTCATTTGCTTTGTCTTCATCTTCGCGGAGCATCAGTCCAACGTGCGGCATAGCAGGTAAACTTCTCGCCCTTGCCCATCTGCTAACTAATTGCATGCCTGGAATGGTTGGTGACCTTCAATAGACTCGTGGCGTTTCAAGTCCATGCCAGCGGACCCTACCTACATGTGTAGCCATGTCGCACATCGAGCAAGCAAGGAAACCTCTACGCTAACTAGGCATAGGCCCTGCCAAAGGTCGTTTACTTATTATCCACTTATTACAACTTAAATGTTTCCACTACAGGCGGTGGCGATGTCTTGGCAGCAGGCGCCTCAGCCTCAGCAGCGGAGCTTCGGGCTGCCATTGCGGAGGCTCAGCGGCAACTTGAGGTGAGGAAGGCGAGCTGGGATGTGTTGGTCAGGAAGGCTTGCGATTGGCAAAGAAGACTACCGTTACGTGCCTGGAGGTCTTAGGTCTCTTGGAGGTTTGAAGTCACCGTTGTTCAGAGTTCTAGGTCCCTCACTTGTAGCATTGTAGGGATGGCAAACTTACTGCGCATGTGAACGATGATGTGACTTATTGTGAGTGCCCACTACGGGAAGGTTGCCCACAACGGGAAGGTAGTTGGTATGGGTATGTTATGCCGCGTCGCTCCACCTCTCCCTCCGGTGCACTTAAAACCGCTGCTGTGCTGCTGCTGCTGCTCCCAATGTCAACAACTGTGGTCGCAGGCCAACAAGCGCCAGAGGGAGGCGGAGGCGCTTAGATGGAAGCTGGAGCGAGAGGGATTGCAGCGGCAGGTGGGTGTCTGGAAAATCCTGAAACGTTATGCCCTGACATCTGTTTCCCTCGCTTTGCCCCAACTCCGAATAAAACCACCGACCCATGGGTCACCCGCCCCGCCCGTCATCATTCTCAGGTCCAAGCCCTCATCAACGGCGTTTCCGGGGCCGTGGCTGCGGGCATGCAGCAGCCGGGGGCCCTTGCCGGCGCGCAGGCGGGGGTGGCCCGCGAGGACGAGGAGGAGCGGCTGCGGCTGGGGGAGCGGGTTTCGGAGCTGGAGGACCTGGTGGAGCAGCTGCAGGTGGGCGGCGGGGAAGGCAGGATGTGGGAGTCGAATGAATGATGACCGTTACAATGTGGTTGTAAGGAGGGAGGAACTAATTAGTATCCATGTGACAGGGCTTCATCGTGTAAGGGTGGGGGTTGAGCGACGGGACCTAGAATGTTCAGTTCTGTAGGAATGGGGCCATATGGGGGCTAAGCCGCGTGAGGTACTATACCGGAACAACAATACAATACAATGCCAAGAGGACAGGTGAGAAGGTGGCTGACCCATTCGAGCCATTGCCGCATCTGGCTGCTTCCTTACCTTTTCCTTGCACCTCTCGGCCGGTCCCCGATATCGCCCTCACCTCTCGTCCTCCATTCCCTCTCGCAACCAGGCTGAACGAGTCAATCTGGAGCAGCAGCTGCGGGTGATGGCGGCGGACGCTTCGAGGGCCTCCCGCGCTCTGGCCGCGCAGCAATCGCAAGCCCAGCAACCCCAAACCCGCACGCAGCCGCAGCAGCCTGTAGCAGCCGCCCCCGCCGCCGGTGCCCGGCCCTTGCAGCACTCCCTAAGCTACCCCCAGCCCACCCTGAGTGCCGCCGCCAACGCCGTTGTGGCTGCAGCAGCAGCAACAAGGCCCTTTGGAAGCATGGCCAAGCCGGCAGCTAAGCCAGCTGCGAAGCCGGCTGCCGTGGGGTCCACGTTGTCGGTCTTTGCCTTTGCCGCATCGGCTGCATCGGCAGCAACTCCATCAAGCAACAACAACAACAGCGACAACGGTATCTACAACAGCCCGAAGGAATCGCAGCGCTGGCAGCCCTCCCCACCACCTTCCCCAAAAACCACTGCTGAGGCTGCCGGTACTGAGGAGGGCATCCGCACCTACACATACGATGACAATCACAAGAACAGCAACACGACGGGCTGGAACACCACTACCACCATCACCACCGCCGCCCAAAACAACAACAAGAACACTAATAGCAACACGGGTGGTTGGGGTCTCACCCTGACTGACAGCGTCAGCGTGCCGGCCCTGTTGGCTGAGAAGGCAACCCTGGAGCGAGAGCTCGCAAAGTACCGCCGCTCGGAGTGCCTGGCGGTGCCGAGAGCCGAATACTCGGAGCTGTGCTCGCTGAGGGGCCAATTGGTGCGTTTGGGGGCCGCGGTGTTGTGGCTGGTGGGAGGGGTGTGAAGTGTGGGGAATGCACAAAGGGGTGAGACCGACGTATCGGTAACCGTAATGAGTTCTGAAACTCGCATGTGTTGCACTTCGTGGGGAATGGATGTATGTTGCTGGTAACGTTGTGTGTGTAATCGGCCGTTGTTAGTAAATACGTGCATGTGTCTAAACGGATCAGCTAGATGACAGGATGAGTTTAATCCTGAATGGAGGACTTCGTGCTGACTCCAAGCGCGCAACTTTTCGCGTCGCGCAGGCGTTTCTGGAGAGCGAGCTGTCACAGCTGCGAGAGGAGGCCGAGGCGGCGGTACGACAGCGGGAGGCGGCGGAGGCAGAACTCGCTCAAATGCTGCAGGACTGCGTTGCCGTACCGCGGGAAGAGTACGAGCGCTTGGTACGACAAGCCGCGGCGGCGGAGGCCAGCCAGGCACAACATGGCAGACACGTGAAGCCGGACGCGATTGCTATCGCAGAAGTTGTTGCCACCGCCGAATCTGCTGTCGGAATGAAGGTAGCGGAGGCGGCAGAGACTGGCATCCCCGCTGCAGCCGAACAAGGGAGCGCCTGTGCTGCCGTACAAGAGGCGGGATCAGAGTACGACAAAGACAAGACTGTGGCTCTGAGCCCGGAGGAGCATGGAAGGCTGCTGGCGGCTGCCGCGGTGGGTTCTCCCTCGCGTGGGGGGTCCCGGGTGGCTGGGATCGTGAGGCTGTGGGAGGAAAAGTGGGGCCAATGGCTCCGCAAGTGATGCGTAAAGTCATGTACTTGCACCGTATGCAGGCATGTACGTTAGTATCTGCGTCTCAAGGATTGTGTGTTGATGTGAGGGCACGCGTCTTGAGGGATTCCGCGTGTTACGGTTGGGAGGCGCGCGCGGTTTCAGCCTTTTGCAATTTTTGTATAGAGCGCACTTGCACTTGCTTATTTTTTGCTTATTTGCTAATAGCAGCGCGCCGCATAAAGGATGATTGGTGCTATGCCGCGCAAGAGCATATTTAGCAGCGGAACAAGTTAGGGAATGTCTGCCCGAGCTTGTTCCGTACTTGAAAATATTCTGTTTAAGAACCATATATAACCATGGACATATTCGCCACAACACACGTAGTCGGTAGCACAGCGGTTGTTAGTGTGAAATTAAAAAAATGTAGCTGTCGCAACCCGGCTTCTTGCCCGGTTGCTGTCGATGAAGATGGTGCTATGTATGTCTACTGAAGTGCAATTGAAGGAAATTTGTCAATTGCTTGGGGCTATTGATGTACCCTAAAGTTCTAACCCTGGACACTTTGAGATTGTCTGTCACGTTCGTTGCCTCTGTAACCACCAACAACACGAATCTCTCAACTACCGTTCTGAAACCAAATTCCTTCCGGGCTCCATGCGCACCCAAATCCCACCCAACAGGAACGGGACGTCCTGGCGCACATGGTCACGGACCTGCAGATGCAACTGCTGGAGACGGAGGCGGCAGTGGAAGCGGTGGCTGGGGGGTGGGCAGCAGATGCGGGAGCAGCGGCGGCGGAGGACACCCTAGGGATCTCTGGGAGCAGGGCGGATGCGTTGGCGGTAGAGGAAGGCGCCGATGCGGATGACGGCTGGTGGGTGCGAGGTGCTGCTGCTCTTGACAACGGACAGCTTGGGGACCATGAAGGGGATGATGATGATGAGAAGAAGGAGGAGGAGGCGGAGGTGCGGGCTCCGCCTCCTCATCGTCCTCTGCAGCGGCAGCGGCAGGACCCTTTGCAGCAAGGAGCAGCCGGTGGGGAGCTGGCAGGCGTGGCTGCTGCTGAGGGTGATGCCGAAGACGACGGCAGCGGTGGTGGTGATGGTGGTGCCTGTGTTGAGGTGGCAGTGCTGCGGGAACAGCTGGCGGGAGCGGTGGGCGCAGCGGTGGCGGAGTCCTCCCGGCTGAGCGCCCGTGTGAGGGCGCTGGAGGAGGAGGTGGAGCGATTGAGGGGGCAGGTGGGGATGGGAGGAACGGGGGAGAGAGGGAGGGAGGGTTGGGGGACAAGGAAATGTCAGACCATGAGGGCAAGTGAGGGAGGGTAGGGGGAAAGCGGGTTTGCTTGAGGGGCAAGGTAATGCGGTATCTTGACTGCAAGTGCAGCCTCGTGCTATGTGCATCCGTTGATCTCTCCTCTTACCCAAGCCCCGCACTTGTGTACCAGTCCGCATGCTGGTTGCCGCTGCCGACACGTATTACAAATCCCCCGGCCCGGCAACGCTCTTGCTTGCACACCTTTCCCCAGAATGCGGCTTTGGCGGCTGAGTCGGGCGCTTTCAGGGGCGCCTTGCTTGCGGGTCAAGTGAAGGTGAGTCGAGAGGGGGCTTTGGGCGCTGGGGCCTCCTGCGGGTCCAGAGCGGCGAGGCGTACAGGTACCCCGTTACAATGCATGTATATTTGTATTATCTACCGCGACTGTTAGAACTATGCCAAACGTTCGGTACCAGGGGCAGAACTGGCAAGCAGCCGTAGACACGTTTCCCAAGGCGGTTTGGTGCTATGTTGCTTTGCCCGGTTCCGTTGCACATCACGCAGGCCAGCGATGAGGCTTGGGCTGCGGCTGCGGCGGCTGAGGAGGCGCGCGTGGCTGCATCGGGGATGTTGGCCGCGACGCAAGACCGGATAAGGGGCCTCGAGGTGAGGAATGTGAGGGTGTCCTGACATTCCTCTCCGAGTGTTTGAGAGCGTTGGGTACCGGCACGCTGACCAGGCAGCGGCTCCAGCTCCGATTGCTGTTCCTCTTGCTTGCCTCCTAGCGCCACGGCTCCCTTTCCATAACTGTGACTGGGCTCATCATACCTTATTGAGACGGCAATGTGAACGCAGTACAGATGGCATGGCATAGTCTCAGCGGAGGAACTCATCGCTGCGTTCGCTCCGTTTTGTCCCCCCCTCGTAGGCGGAGCTGGTTGCTGTCCAAGCGGCCGCTGCTGCTGCGGTATCCGAGAGGCAGGTTCCAAGCAAGCAGTCTGGGACATTATCTTATCAGCAAGAATGCAAGCCAGCGATGCAGGATCATGACGATAGGGACCACTGCCACCGCTGCCTTTCCATCCTTCTGCCCGCTTGACAACCTTGGTTCTGTTGTACGAAGGGAGCCCCCGTTAAGCCTACGTACGTTACTTTATCCCGTGAAGGGCTACGACTTACACCAGTGCCTTGCGAACCGTTGCCGTACACGCTACAGGGAGGCCATGCGGCTAGAATTGGGTACCGTACGAGATGCCGCCGTACGTACGACACAGGCCTTGGCGGATTGCGACTGGCGTCTGGCCGAGGCGGAGGAGACCGCCGCCCATGCGACGGCGGAGCTCTCCGTCGCCTTGGAGGAGCTGGCGGCGGCGAACGCCAAGCTGACGGCGGCGGAGGCGGCGATGGCGGAGGCGGTACGACGGGCGGCGATGGCGGAGGCGGGTCGGGCCGCCGCCGTCGGGGAGTTGGCGGCGGCGCGGGAGGAGCTGGCGGCGGTTAAAGATGAGCTGGCTGAGTCGCGGGACATGGAGTGGTTGAAGAAGCGAGATGTGTTTCGGAGCAAGCGGGGGGTGACGCATGGGCAGAGGCTGCCGCAGGAATGGCTGACGGCAGCGAGCGGGATGAGCGGCGGAGGCGGCGGAGGGGCTGTGAGCAGCAGTAGCGAGAGGTCTGCGAGTCGGAGGGCTTCAGGGGAATCCAGCGCTGCTGCTGGGGGTGCTGCGGATGTGCAGGCAGCCGTGGCTGCTAGTGCAGGCAGTGCATCAGCAGCATCAGTAGCCATTGCTACTGTTACTGCAACTGCGGTTACTCCATGATGCCTGCTGGGTTTGTTGCATGAGGGGCAGGTTCTGTGATTTCAGGCACCCGCTCAGCCTCACGTCAGCGGTCAACAGGGCGCTGCGACTTCTGTTGCGTGTTGAAGGAACTGGTCAGAACGTTCAACAGCGTGGCAGGGAATGACCAGGTTCATAACCCTTGCGCTGTGGGGATGGGTTGCATGTTGCATGGCCGGTGTGACAGATAAGGAGGCATGGGGTTGAGGCGCTTTCAGGCAGGGAGGAACGGTATACTGTGCATGTTTCCGGCGTTTGTGTGGGCATACCCACACCGCATTCACGACGGGTGCAAAGGGGGCCAGTGTCCCACATTTCGAAGTACGGTAGACTTCAAATTTATGCAAAGATAACCTCTTGATCTTTCGATTGGAATGTGTGCGTGGCATTGGGTTGCAGGGTGTAGAAGCTATAGCCCATTTTTGCGGGGTTCGGTCTGTTTGCGACGTTCACGCTATCGACGTCTGCTCGGAGGGTGTTCGATGAAAGCAGGTTTCGCGCAATTCGTGTGTATACCGGTAGAAGGCGTATCGTTGTGGCTGCAGGGGGCTGGGGGCAACGGTACGAGAGGCACACGCCTTGTTTCGTAACATGACACACGCGGGGCGCCTCCTTGGAAAATGATCGGGCCCGCAGATGGGATTGCACAGCGGTAATATGAATGAGTGGTGGTTACAGATGTCACATGGTGTGGGCCGAATTTGAGGGTCTTGACTCTTGAGCATGTAAGAGGTGTGGTGCAAGTGGTTCCCTTTGATGGCTGTTGTTGTGCCGCGTTTCAGATGCTTCGTGTAAAATCAAGATGAAGCAATAATGAAATAAATATGATATGATCTTTGTAAAATATCAACGAGCAGTTGGAAGCGTCGCCGGCACCGGTTTGAAATTCCCATTCCTTTCTTGCCAGATTAGGAAACGTGAATATGTGGTGCTGTGGAAGCGTTTGACTCATTGCTGTGCAGTCACGAGGCAAGGCCGAAAACTGCATCAACCCCGTTCTTCAGTAACTATTAGGTCTCAAACAAAGCGGTTCAGGAGTTTCCGTGCTTCTGTCTCGCGCTGAATTGAGCGTCACAACCGCTAGAAGCTGGTAACCACAAGCCCACGAAGCGCAATCCTTTCGTCTTGCATCACAATTGCGACACAATTGCAAGGTTGGGCTGTAGCCAGTGCCTCGACGGCTAGCTTACCCTCTTGCACTATGCCCTGCGGTTTGTGGTAGGAATCCAAGCCAACGATTGAGCCGCTTCCGTACAAGCTGAACGTCAGTTGATTGGGCGTCCACAGCGTGTGACGCAAACGCATGCAATATAAAGGCGCACTAAACGTCCAGTTCTTCCCTGGCTGCACATGATCTGGTCACAAGAACTTTACGAAAATGGGTCTGCCAACCGTCGCGGCTTTCCTTCCCTGGTTCGGCACGTCCGCGCCGACATCAGTGGCTATCCTCTGCGTCCTTTCTACCGTTTTGCTTGCCTATGCTGCGACGCGGTGAGCTTATGCTGCTGTTTCTGAAGTCCTTCTAACATCATACATCAACTGCCCTAGATTGAGGACAGCAGCTTTTCCAGTCAACACCGATTGCAACCCCATGGTTGTATTTGTATATTGTTTGCGACCTTCATCGTTTTTTCCTACAGCAGGCCTTATTTAGCTTTCCGAAAACCGTTCGCGGCGTTTCATCCTTGCCTAGCAGGGCCCGGACGACCAAGCGGCTGCCGCCTGGCAAGTTGGAATGGCCCATCGGTGGAATGCACTTCTTCCGAGATGGCTTCCACACCATGTGTTCCTTTCCCGGTGACGTGCCTCGCAAGATGCGACTGATCTTGAGACCCACGGTGCGGTTACACTGTACGACATGCGAAGTTGTACGGCGGTTACTACATGTTGTAGGGCAACATGTGAACCCTGCGTGCAAGCATTGCATGCAACAGCATACAAGCATGAACGCGGCGCCGCAGATTCGTGAGGTCCCAGCTGCATGGAGCGATTGTTACTGCGCCGCCGGGACACTGCTTCCTCCCCATCGCTCAAGCTTCGATTGCCAACTCAGCACATAACCAACCACCCGGACTGTAATCAATATTCCGTTTCTGTTTGCACGGCACCACCACTGCACCATGCACAGGTGCTCGTACGGCACTACGATCAAATCAAGATGCTGCTGAGCGCGGACGACCTAACCGAAGGTCAGTAAACACTGTTAGTTAACACTTACCGTACTTAACCACCCCTTTCTGCTTCCACTTATCCGCGCACAACACGACCGCCCACCCCACCCCCACGCACGCAGTCAACTGGCCCCGCGCCACCGCCATCATGTTGGGACCCAACTCCGTCACCTTCACATCGGGCGCCCGACACCGCTTCCTGCGGCGCCTACTGGGCCCCTGCTTCACGCAGCAGGTGGGGCCGGGGCGGGGGTAAAAAATATAATGTGACACTGACGAAGCAACTGACGAGCTGTATGACAAGGCTAAAGCAAAAGCAAAAGCAAGCAACACCGTGATAGCGTGAAGCTGATGTGGTGTGGTGTGGGGCGGACTGCCTGCTGGTTACCCTACCTGGCTCTCGCCCCCCCTTCCCACCTCCCCGTTGTTTCACTTATTTAATTTTCCCCCCCTCCCCCTCCCCCCACTAGGCCGTGGACACCTACCTGCCGGCCATCCAGGCCATCTGTGAGCGCTACTGCGCCGAGTGGGCGGCAGCCACCGCCTCCGCCTCCGCTTCCGCCACCACCACTGCAGCAGCCAAGCCAGGTGGCGGCGATGCGGCCGCCGTCATGGACGATGTCGAGCTACTGCCCAAGATGCAGAAGCAGGTTAGCGGCGTGTTAGTGGTACGACGTACCGGTCTGTAGCAGATAGGAGGTAGGTTCGGTACGACGAAGGTGGGGGGTGCCAGTAGCTCCGGAGAAGGGTGCATGCATGCGCACCGCTAGGGACCCCTCCGCGAGGTGTTTACACTAGCCGCGGCAAGCGGGACACCCCGCCGGTGGTGGCGCCTCTCCCTGCCCCTCTCCCACTGACCCCCTCCCTCACTTGCCACGTCAGTCTCCATTGCTCGACTGCTGTCCTCCCTTCCCTGACCCCTCACCCGCCCGCCCCCAGGCCCGTCTGCTGACCTTTGAGGTTATGTCTCAGGCGGTTGCCGGCTTCCAGTTCACCCCGCAGCAGCTGGAACGCATGAGCGACGCATTCGACACCTTCACACGCGGGATATTCTCACCTCTGCCTCTGGCCATACCCGGCACAGGTTGGTCCAAGCAAGTGTAAGGGAGGTTGGAGGGATTAGTAGCGGTAATAGCAGGGCAATGCTGGGCTTTGCGTGGGGTTTAGGGAGGGTCAGGGGAAGCAGAGCCCTAACACACCAGTCTTTCAAAGCCATGCAGCAGTGTCCGGATGACGACGAGAGTTAAGGGGAAGGGTCAGAGGAAGAGGCTGTAGATCAGGTAGTCCAGTGCAGCCAAGCTTTAAACCACCAACCACCAGATAGATCCCTGCTGCCGTACACCTGCTCTTGCTGCTACATGCCGCCCCTTGTGCCCTTTGTCGTACCATGTGAGCACAATGCCGTACCTTGCAACCCCTGTGCATGCAGCCTTCGCAAGGGCTAGCGCCGCTCGCCGCTTCATCACGGCAGCGCTGGACCAGCAGGTGGCGCGCACCAACCTGGCGTCCGGCATGCATGGCGCAGCGGGGGGCAGCCAGGCGGGCAACGCATGCAGCGGAGTCGGCAAGGCAGATGCCGACAGCAGCAGCAGCAGCAATGGGGTGAGCGGCAGTGTTGGCGGTGGAGCCGTTGAGGGCGGCAGCGTTATGGAGCGGCTGCTGGGGATGCGAGATGATGATGGGAAGCCGCTGAGCCGTACGGCATTGCAGGTGAGGAATGGAGAGAAATGGACATGGCAAGCATGCATGCGCCCAGGCTTCTGCGTGCTTACGTTTGAAAGTTTTGATCTTGGCCATCTTGGCATGGATGCGGTTTGAGCCGTACGAGCCGTACTAATGTACAACCCATGCAATGCATGGATCCATCTTGTATCCTTCCGTACATACGTTTCCCACCCCGTGCTGTCACCACCGCCGCCACCGCCACCGCCCCCACAGGACATCGCGGTGACACTGCTGTTCGCCGGACATGAGACCACCGCCACCACCGTGATGCGGCTAGTGATGGTGGGTGATGGTGGGTGGTGGGTGATGGTGGGTGGGGGGCGCTGCATGGGTGCCGGGATGATGATGCGGAGGTGTGTGGTTCCTGTGTTGTTTTGGATGTGAGGGGAATGCAAGGTAGGGTTGCGGTGCGTGGCTGCATCAACGCCCTACATGCCGCATATCCTGTACCGGTACATTATCCCGCCGGTTCCCGATTGCATGGCTGACCGTTACTGTGGTTCCCGATCTTGTCATGCCATGCCATGCGCTCATGCGCTCTTGCGCCCTGCTCAGGTGCTGCAGTCGCGCCCCGATGTGATGGAGAAGCTGCGGACGGAGCAGCGGCAGGCGGTACGGCAGCACGGACTGGGCATCACAGGTATGTATGAGTGTGGATGTGAGGAGCAAATACAGCTAGCTTTGAAGGGTGAAAGGTTGCGTGTGGTAGTAGCAGTCCTGCGCACCCCTTGTCGCACCCCTTGTCGCACCCCAAATGCTTTCATACCTTCGACCTTTCAACCTTTCATGTCCCGTGGTGGTGGTTATACGTACGGCAGGTGCGGCCCTGCGGGACATGCCGTACCTGGATGCGGTGGTGAAGGAGACATGGCGGCTGCACCCCATCGTGCCCAACGTGCCTCGCCGCGCCAAGAGGAAATTCACACTGGCCGGATACGATGTGCCTAAGGTACGGACTGCGGAGATCTCGATCTGAATAGAAGAGGTATCAAAAAAAGAGATCTGGAATGTAAAAGGGTTTCCTCTAACTACGCATAGACCACGGCTGGAATACCGTAGTTTTTTCTACTAAGTTATCGTGCCAAATCAGGATAGGGTGCCATGCTGACGAGTTTACATACCTTCAACCCAATGCCTGAAGGGAAGCTTACCGGCCATGTGCTGAACCCCGACCCCCGCTCCCCCACAGGGCTGGGGCCTAGCCCTCGGGCTATCGGAGCCCCTCAAAGACGCGCCTGCGTGGCACGGAGTGACCGAGGGCAGTCCAAACGACCCACGGGTCTTCAACCCGGACCGCTGGCGGCCCGTCGCCACGTCGACGTCAGCAGCAACGGCGGCGAATGACGGCGCCAGCGGCAGCGGAAACTTCGGGGGTCCGGACCTTGCGCCCGGCGAATTGAGCAGCCCTGTGGGCATGCTTCCCCCGTACATGTTGACATTCGGCGGGGGCACCCGATACTGCCTGGGGGCTAACCTGGCGTGGGCTGAGCTCAAGGTACCTGGCCGGGGTGCCTGTGCGTTGCATGTTGGTTGGGTTTTCGGGCCGAGTTTCTGTGCGCGCATGGTGTTTCGGTTCGGTTCAGGTTCGGGGCAGGTTTAGTCGGTATATACGGAGCTGTGTCTGCTTATCTAGCGGCAGCTAGCCTTGACGTGATGGCGTCCCTTCACGAGGAGAGAAGAGAGCTTGTTATTACCCCTGTTTTTCCTGTGGATATGGATGGCGAACTGCTTGGTGGGCGCCGACATGCTAGCGAAGACGCGCGCAACCCAGCCAGCCAGCAGGATGCGAAACGAACGTCTTCATCGTGTTCCATTCCCTGTGTCGCGACCGCAGGCCTTCCTGTGCGTGTGGGCGCGGCGGTACGACTTCTCCTGCCCGCTCAAGCAGCTTCACGTGAAGCCCTTCCCAGCGCTCACAATCACAGGCGGCTTCCCGGTCCAGGTGATACATACGGCTTCGTTACCGGTACTATCTTCTCTCTACTCCCTTCTCTCTACTCCCTTCTCCCATACATGCTATGTTCTGACTCGCAGCCACTTTCTTAACATGCACATGCCTCCCATCCTACAATGCTAGCTGTTGTTTACCCAAATCGCGTGTCCGTTGGGGCTAAGGAAGAGTGGTCTGGAGGGGTAGTCCGCTCACATGCGGCTCACCGGACTACTGCCCACCCGCTTGCCGTACGTAGGTGCGCGACTTGGGAGCAGCAGCAGCAGCAGCGCCCGTGGAGACGGTGGCGGCGGCGTGAGGAGCGCAGGGGGAGGGGAGGGGAGCTCTCCTGATTGGGGTCGGCTGACGGTCCCGACTCGCTCCCGAGGAGGCCAGCAGGACTAGGGGAGCAAGGCCGTGGGCCAAGGAGCGGGCGGAGTGGTGCTGTGTGGCGGCTGTTGTTGGGCGCGGGTGTTCGGGATGGAAGAACGTGTGTGCCCTAGCAGCTCCGAAGAGAGGCGGCTAAGCGAATGCTGGTTTGATCATCGTGAGGCTCAACCTCATCAGCATGCGTGCATGCTAATGCAGCTGCTTGGTGGGACGTGCAGCATTACAGTAAGATGGACTTCACTCATAACACGGGATGAAACAGGGTGCTCGGCCCTGTGCTGGTGCTCGGTAGCGTGCTAGGAGTGTGCTGAAGTTGAGGCGCCTGCCGTGAGAGGGGCAGCATCAGGAGACAGTACAAAGGTACCTTGTTGCAGGAGGGAGGGAGCGGTTGTGTTGTAGGATGTGTTCGGTATCAGATGTCGCAAGGCCGCGTTCGTACGTTATGTGCGGTGGTACGGCAGCGAGCTAGCTGGATTCTGCTGTACAGATGCATCCATGTGTGCAGGCGGCGTGGTCTTGCTGGGCAGGCTGTGAAGGGCGGGCGTGGCCTGGGTTGCGTTCCTAGCGTACGGACACGGACTGGGAACGGGAGACCTAGATAGGGGGCTCCTTTGTTGTCCGTTGTCCGAGGAGGGTTGCAACAGAGGAGGGTCCATGCAGGGGCTTGTGGGTAGGGGAGCGAGCTGTTGTGTTGCCACCGTACCACGGTTCCAGACTCACTCCAAGTGGCCCTGACTGCCTCGTGTCAAGTAGCGGTGGATGTTGTTCATGTGCGAGCAACCTTGCGAGCCGCCTGGCGGCTGCGATGACATGACAAACGCTTGTCACAATCCAAGTCCCATGATCTCGTCGGGTGTTAAGATGATGATAGATGGCATGCCGGCCGGGGGGTTGGCCGAGGCGTGCGGTGCTCGGTTAATGCTATATTGGTCCCTCCATGCCTCCGTCTGCCAATCCCGTTGTTTGAGCATGACATGCATGCGTTTGGAGGTAATGACGCCCCGACAGCGCCGGCGGTTGTGGGGCTCATGGTGCACTGCATGGTCAGATGCATGCAAGGTGGTCGCAAGAAAACGTTCGAAAGCGCATTCGCCAAACAGTTCTGCGAGCAAAAGCAAATAAGCGCTACGCGGGACAAATGATTAGTAGATGCGGGACCGCAGGTCGACAAGCAGCCAACCGTCGTCCATAGATCTTCGCCGTACGTTTTACGGAGCCCCACGAGCTGTCCATCAGGCAACAGGAAGCACTTAATAAATTAAGCTTCATTATACTAGTGTAAAGCATGTAAGATAATCTTTTGCAATTCCAGCAGCGATAACTATGCGGGAGTCGTGTGTTCTACCACGTGCTGCCTGCCGGCCGACAGCGCTCGTCACAAAGCGCAATTGTAGCTTAATATCTCCCGTAATTACATTACCATCTAATTATGGTTTTGGGTCGGTCCTTGCGGCCCAAAGCGTACACAAATGCCAACGACGACGCTGCCCGGTCGCCTCACTAGGCAAGCAGGAAGCGCAGACAGATACATATGATGGCTTGGAAGGCATCACAGAACCCGGCGGCTCCTTAGATGCCCCAACAAGCTCTCGCCGCATGAGCGCTGGGCGACCAGCTCGCAGGTCGAATCCTCTAGGCCACAGCGCGTTGCTTAGTTCATACAATGCTAAATCTCTTCGACAACTGGTGGCAGAGGCGGACTTGCGCCTCGACAAGCTGACGCAAAGGATGGGCTACAGCTTCCATCACAAGGAGGCAGCGGCGCTGGCGCTGCTGCACCCCTACTTGTCGGTGACTACCTACCATATCACGACACTAACGTACAGTCACCTGGCGTTGCTTGGTGCGTGACAGCTATAGTGTTCGCAGTTGGCGGTTGGATTGAATCTGCGGGCCCCGAGCAAGGCTGAACGTCACCACATGCATGCCACAGCTTATCCCTCATGTAGCCAGGGCACCTCATTCAATGATGTCATCATATGGCATCCGACAAAAACCGAATTACCTGCTGCGAATTACCCAGTGCCAACCCACCGCTGCCTTCTCCTCCCTCGTCCCTGCTGCAGGGGAGGAGCTCCTCCGTCTGGCAGCAGTGGAGCTGGTCTGGAGTACCCTGCAGGCCGATCCTGTAGGCACCACTTCGCCTTCCTCCTCCTCCTCGTCCTCCTCAACTTCAACCTCCTCCTCATCCTCCTCCCCCACCACCACCGATACAGCCACACATGATCCCTCCTTAGGCGACCGCTTACTGCACGGCATACACAAGACCATCGCCGACCTCTCCTCAGGCCTCGGCTGGTCTGACAGTCAAGTAGCGCAAGCGGCACGGGCGGCAGCGAGCGCTGCTGCCGCCGTACTCCTGGCCCCTCCCAACACGGCAGGGGACGTGGCGGGGGGCGAGCAGCCGGCCGGCGGGCCACAGCAGCAGCAGCGGCAGCAGCAGCGGCGGCTGCTGGAGGAGGGCCGGGCTGCGGGAGAGGGTGGCATGAAGAAGCGGGAAGGGGCGGTGGCGGTGACTGATAGCCTAATGAACCAGGCGGCGTCTGTGTTGACGGGAGCGGCGGGATTCCTGGCAGATAAGTGGGAGGTACGAGCCTTTCGGCGGGGGATGTGCGAGGGGGGTTAAGAGGGAGATGGGGGGAGGAAAAGGAGGAAGCAAAGCGAAGCAAAGCTAGCTGATGTGGCGAGAAGGAGAACGCTTCAGGCGAGCATCACCGTTTCTCCCTGTCTCTTGAGTCTACCTCGACTGCAATCGAGAAGGGCCGCTGGTAGCTCGGATTGCACGAGGATGGTCAGGGCCATGCGTGCATGCGTGGGTTATTTAGATGAGCGGAGCCCGCCCCTGCTGCCCCGCGGCTGCTGCTGCTGTCCATTGCACTGCCCCCACTGACCCCGCTGCTGCCCCCACTGTCCCCATTGCCCCCACTGCCCCCACTGCCTCTACTGCCCCCACCGCAGGTTGGGGAGCACATGTATGGATTCGGAGCAACCCCTAGCAAGCAGGACCTGGTAAGTTCAGGGAGCGCATGCGCCGCCCTCTCTCGTAGGGGTTTAGGGGGGCTTCAAACACAGTGGGAAAACCGGACTTGCATACCCCTTGCAACACCTTGCTTGCCACTCACATACCGGTTCTGTTCCAATATGCTGCCACATCAGACACACCACACTACGGTACATCACACACCCCAAACCTTGTACCGCACGTCACCATACCAGAACCCTCGATCCCGCCGTCCCCAGGCCACCGTCGCCCGAGCGCTGCTGGCGCTGGTGTACCTGGACGGCGGCTACAGCGCCGGGGTGCGGCGGCTGCTGGCGCCCCTGCTGGCGGAGCTGCTGGTGGGGCAGGAGCCGCAGCAGCAGCAGCAGCAGCAGCAGGGGCCTTCAGCGCAACGGGCCTCGGCAGCAGGGGCGCTGCCAGAAGGGAAGACCGCTGGCGGCGTGGAGGGCGGTGGAACGACCCGGCAGCAGGGGACGAAACAGCAGCAGCAGCAGCCGTTGGACTTGAAGGCGAGTGCAGGGCCAGGGTCAGGGTCAGGGTGGGTGCGAGGGCGGCACTGACTTTTGGTGTGGCAGCGTTGACGTTTTCGCTTCAAAGGCCTGTGTGATACTTGAAGTCACGACTTCTGTGTTCCTGCCCTTGCGTTATTTTCACCGTGCGCATGCTCGGCGCTTACAGGCGGTCGGGCGGCGCTTGAGGGAGCTCGTACGGGAGGACAGGTTACCGCGCTGCTCGGATGACTTGCATACCGCTCCTGCCGCTGCCGCTGCGGCTGCTGCTGCGGCTGCTGGCACTGCTAGCCAACCAGGTCAGCCCCCGAAGAAGAGCCTAAAGCAGCAGCAGCGGAGCGCCCCGGACGAGCTGGGGAATGAAGAGGAAGACGACGCAGCAGCGACAGCAGCAGCCGCGCCTTTCGCTGCGGAGATGGGTGCTCAGGGCCAGAATGAGGAAGTGGAGGAGGAGGGCGATGTTACAGCTGCTGCTTCGGCTCCTGGTTTTGCGTGGGCTGTGCCAATGGACGGACCGCTGTCCTCTGCAGGCGCAACCGGAGCATCTGGCGGTGCGGACGGGGGGCTGCCGGCTGTTGCAGAGGCGCGACTGTTACGGAGGCTGCTGGTCGGGCTGCGGGTGCATGGGGAGGGCTACCAGCCGGGTGACATGGAGCAATTCGCGGTGGGTGTTGATGCGGTAGTAGGTGTGTGGGGAGCAACGTGCTATGATGGCATGCTACCGGCATGCATGATGCCTTGATGTGGTGTAGGCATGCATGATGGCATGCGTGATGGGAGGGGCAACCTTGTTGGCTCGCACCCCACTCAGCTGCCCCCTCCCATCACTCCCACGACCCCCCCACACCCACGCAGGCCCTCTTGGATCCCTGGTATGCCGTCATCTCCAACTTTAAGGCCGACAGTGACCTACTGGGCAGACCCCTGCCCTCCGGTGCCGCCCGACAACGCCTCGTGCCGCAGCTTGCCGCGCAATCCCGAGCGCTGTTGGTCCTGGGGCGGGCGGTGTACGGCACCGTGGTTTCGGAGGTGCTTTTGGAACGGCAGTTGGAGGAGCAGGCGGCGGTGCCGGCAGGTGAAGCCATTGTACGGCGGCGGGCTGCTGCGGACCCCAAAGAACGGCGAAAGGAGACGGAGGAGTTGAGGAAGGAAAGAGAGACCCTTGGGTCGGAGGCGATGCGGTTGGCGCAAATGGAGGTCGGCTTGGGATTGCGGTTAGGGCCGCAAGTGGAATCGAAAAGCGAAGTAGGAGAAGATGGGGATGAGGTGGATGAGGATGGGGATGAGGATGCGGTGCCGGTTGGGGGCTGGGGGATGAAGCAGCAGGCGGAAAGGCGGCGGGCGCTGGCACGGAGTGCGGATGGCGTGTTGGGGGCTGTTTTGCTGGAGGGAGGATTGCGCCATGCGCGCGCTCTAGCTCGAGCGCTTGTTGTGGTGGGCGAAGTGGAAGACATGAAACGGCGGTTGGGGGAGTAGCACCGGAAGTCTGCACCTCACTGGGGTGCACCTCTTGGGTGTATGCCCTCGTAAATACCGGTATGCCCAGCCGCTGACGTGCTTTGTTTGCAGAACGGCTCTGTAACAGTGACTAGGCAGGCGGCCATGCATGGCAGCTGCTGCACATTCAGAAGTTTACAGTTAAGAACGCAGTACATACGGCACTGCTTTGTTGTGTCAATGCTTTGCCATTTTGGCAAAGTTCGGAGGATACAAGGGTTTGACTAAACGTAACTTTACGCAACCTTCTACCACCCTAGCAGCTAAACACAGACCATGGGGTAAAACCACCCAAGCCAGTGTCAAAAAGCCATGCATGCCCATGTTGCAACACTCGATGCAAGGAACCATATGGCGGAGGTAAGTGGAAATAGCGCAAGGATGCATGCTCAGGCGTATCACAACGGGTACACGAGCCCCAACACTGCTGAGCATGGCAAGAGATCCTTTGAACCCCCTTCTGCCATGCTGCTAACCGGACCTAATTAGGCACTATCAGGGCCGCCAGTATAGCCCTCTAGAAACAGTGAGAAGCGGCAGTAGATCGCTTAAGCAGTTACCACCCACTGCCTCACCTGCATTCAGACCCTTCACAGGATACATCCACTGCAACAGCGGCCATCACCACCACCACAAACAATGCTTCTAAACCACCAGCAGCAGCAAGCCTAGACTGGCAAGCGCGTGCATCGGTGCATGGCTATATACATCCAGGAAGCGCAAGCCCATGAGCCTGGGGTGTGCGCATGTGCACATCCGACCACGCTACGCCATGCCGCCTGATGCCACTAAAGATGTTCGAGAAGCAAGTCCCAGAAAGCGACTGCCAGCCGTCTCTCTAGCACTACATGCGCGCGAAACCCTAGCCATAGCCACTGCAACGCCTAACCAGCCGGGAGGGTACAACTTGCGAGGGGCAGGTGTCGAGAGAGTCGGCGGCGCTCATCAGGTGAGTAACGCATCGCAGTTGAATCCGCGTGGCAGCATGCGGGATACCAATCAGTAGTTATAGGAAGAAGATAGAAGCGCTTCGTTCCACGAGGCCTCGTGCTTTGCATCGCAAGGGCACACACGCGTTTCAATCATCAGCATCATCAGCTCATCACGCTTGTTAGAGGAAGCAAGGCGGCATCACAAGCATCCCTTCACCAGGCGTTCCCAAAACCGCAACAACCCTGCTAACATTGCAGGTATATTAGAATAAGTGACAAGGACACACGGATTCCCCCGCCACGCCCTAAGCGCATGACCTCTCAAACCTGCGTTACTTGTTACACGCTGATGCAACATAGGAGGCTGTAATGTAAGCGGAATTCACACACATAATATCAAGCAATCACAATGACCAGGGTGTACATCACTTTGCTACATGACTTTGCTAAGTACCGCACGTTTTTTGAAGATGCCTAGAGTTTAGGCGGGTTGAAGTATTTCTTTAGAGTATTTCAGGACAGAAAGCGCTTCCCACATACATGACGGCTGCAAGTACGCGGACCCAACCCCCTTCCGGCCCAGCAACAGAAGGCACGAAGGAAACATTTGCATTGCAGTGCCACTGCTATTCCGTCCATGCAAGCGGACATGGGTAAGAACGCAAAAAATCCCGACTTCTTGTCTAAACCCGAGCCATTTCCGCATCATCTGCGACATCGGGTATTGGAACAAGTTCATGAGTTCCATATGAACAAATCCGACAGGGTTGTTGTGGTTTTCTTCCTAGCGCCCCAATCGCAATACTCTTTCCTCATGACGCCGCGTGCGAAGAAGCCCCCAAGGCACCAACAAACACGCGCACAAGCTCACACGAGGCTTAAACGACACCATTACCGCCGCCGCTGCCCTGAAGCGCCGATGCTGCCACCGCAACGCCCTCCGGATACACGCGAGTCGCCAGCAGCGGCAAAGAACCAGACATGTCACTTCGCTGTCCCGAGGAGGCTGAGGATGCCAACTGAGCAAGCGCCGACAGCGTTGGCGGGTTGACATGGCCGCTGCCGGGGCGTCCGTTGCTGCTGCCCAGGTGCACCAACAGCGCCGGAGACACCGGCCGCAGCGTCGGCGCCCCACCCGACAACAAGTGCTGTGGGTGGCCGGGTTGTGTGTGCAGCTGTGCAAGCAGCGAGGGACTGTCGCGGCCTCGGCTCTGCTGGCGCTCAAACACCAGCGAGCAGCTCGCACCCTCGGCGCCGACCGAATCGAAAAAGTGCCGGCTGGCGTGTAGCAGGCGAGGATCTCCTCCCTCGAGGATTGGAGTGAAGGAGACACTGCTGTCCTCTGTGCCCGGAACACTGCCGTAGCCGGCAATTAGACTGCCCACGGAGGTGCGTGGCCGGGGTGCGTGCTCCTGAGGTTGGGGTAGGGCGTGCGGCCGTCGCGGCGTGGTGGTTGCGGGGGCCAGCAGGGTTGGGGCCCCTGGTGAGGTGGGCAACGCATGCGAGTTGGAGTTGGCCGCCAGCAGGTCAGCAAGCGAACCCGCATGCGAGAGCTCCACGCTAACCAGCCTGCCCGTAGCTTCCCTGGATCTGCCCTGCGAGGATTGCCGCTGTTTGAAGATGCTGGCTGAAGGCGCCTCTTGGCTGCCGTACCGCGCGGTGAAGGCTTCTTGGGGCCACAAGTCTTCCGGCTCTATCTCCCGATCACAATCCTGCTCCGGGACCCTCTCTACCGTGGCCGGGAGAACCTCTCCTGCGTTGCTTGTCTCGGAGGACTGCATGTGGGCCAAATGCTGCTGCAGGGGCAGCTTTGCCAAGGATGTGCTTCTAGAAACCGACCCACGGGTCACCATGCCAGCATGCTCCGACCCATGGGTCTCTTGCTGGACCTTTTGCAACTCGCCCAAGCCGCTAGCCTCGTAACACTGAAGCCGTCGTGAGGCACTGCTGCTGCAGACTAGGTCATCATCGCCCCCATAGTCACCGCTACTGGCGTCATCCGAGGCCTCATCCTCCTCATCCACTCGCTCGCATACAATGTACGGCAGGTACGGTGGATCCGCTGCCGAGCTCCGAAACCGCTGCGACGGAGACAGCCGTGCCACGGCAGGCTGTGTTAAGCTGCCGACTGCAAGTCCTGAGCCACTCGAAGCGAACGTGCCGCTTGTGGTGGTAGCACCGCCGTAGCACTCACTGCAGGCTCCTGCGGCATGAGAGCAACAGCCCTGGCGGCACATGCCATCGCCTGTGGGCAGCGACAGAGCCAAGCTGCCCGTCCCTCGCTCCGCGTATTGCCCCATGGATGAGGGTACGTAGACGCTGCCATCGGAAGGCGGAGCCAAGCCGGGACATGAGGTCGCGCCGGCGCCACGTGAGGTCGCCGCCCAACCAGGTGTCGAGCTCGGCAGGCGGCTCATGGGGGAACGTGGGGTGCGTGGAACCCCCGCGGGCGACGGAGCTGCCCCTGCCTCGGAGTGTACTCGGAAGGCGCTCATGGGCTGAGGGGGGGAGATGCTGAGGGCGCTGAAGGCGCGAGGGCGATGCGTGGGCAGGGCAGGTGAGAGGGTCGGGGCGCTGGCGGGTGCTGCTCCTGCGTCTGCGGTGCCCGGCTGCGGCGGCTGGGGAGCGGGGCAGGACTTGAAGGAGGGTGGCAGCCGAGCGTGCGACTGCACACGCGGGGTGGGTGTTGCAAAGGGACTGGGCGGTGTCAGGGCGTGCGCCAGGCGGGGGAGCTGAGGGGCGGTGTCGGACTCGAACCTGCACGGCGAAGAGGCGGAAGGCGAAAGCCCCGGGGGGCAAGGGATGGAGGGAAATGGGGAAGCGGGATTCTCATCACATCCAGTACAGTGCTCGATGAGCACTTGACACCACGTGTGGAAGTTTCGCGCGCTGCCTTCAGCACTGCTACGCTCTACCCAGCCATGAAGGGGCAAACACAAGCGCCCACATACGAGTAAAGCTGCTACATGCCCGCAAACATCAACCAAGCAGCTAGCTCGCACTAAAACAGTACAAAAAACGTTGCGCACGCCGAAAATACGGCAAACTTACGCGCAAAGGTACATGCTCTCCACAGGTCTTATGCTCAGACGCGATGCTCCCGGCGGCACAAATGGAACCAACCGCAGATCCAGCGCAGCTGTGGCAGCATGCAGCTGCTGTTGCGGCCCCTCCGCACCCCCCTCAGCTGCCGCCGCGGCGGTGCACATCGCCGGGGGCGGGGTGGTCTCGGCTTGCACGCGCTGCAACCGCTGCGAGAGCTGCAGTTCCGCCTGCTGCTGCACGGATCGCGAGGACGCGCGACGCATGCGCATGGAGTTCAGCAGCAGCGGCGAGCCCGCCGCGGCCGCCAGCGAGAGAGCCCTGTTCATCCGCTGCTGCCTGTGGTGCTGCCTCTGCGCTGCTAGGATGCCTTGCTGAGTGGCCGCGTCGCACAGGACCTGGCCGCTGGAGGCAGCCGCCGCGAGCCGACAGGCCTTGGTCACAGCCCTGCAGGAGTACCGGTGGTGCATGCAGCGCGGGGTTTCCGGGGCGTGGTGACGTCGTGCTTGGGGCAACGTGCGCGAGGCAGTGTACGCATGCTGGGCTGCTGTATGCCGCCCAGGGAGTTTGCAAGAATGAACTGTACCTCAGCGCTCCTTTGGAGCAGGGCGTGGATCCAATTTCAGCAGCAGCATGAGAGCAAGCCCGCCCCCCCGCCCCACCTGCCCGTGTAGGCCAGCGAGTGGGCCTTGCTGCTGACCGTCCAGCCCACCACGCCGGTCGCAATGCCCACATGGATCCTGCATGGGGCACAGCATGGGGCACCGAAAACACCTCGCTCGTTTAGCACTCGCCCCCAACTCCAGACCTCATGCCAACCCTCCTCGTGCGATCTTAACAACGACAATTGAACATATAGTGCTCCTTTTTGCAAGGTGGGCGAGCAGCATGGCATAGGGCCCCTGTCCTAGGATTTACACAGCCGGAGAGGCCCCACCTGCACCCCTACTGCCCAAACTATAACATCGCGCGACTGGCGACCTGCAGCACCGTACCTTAGGCCCCGGAGAAGCAGCCGGGGTCTAGCAGCTGTGTCTTGCTGGCGCGCCATGGCAGCAAAACCAGAAACGGCCATGCGCCATGGGAGCGCGGGAATCGGCGCCGACACGGCGGACGCCAGCTCCGAGGCGCCGTGCGGAGCGGGCTGCACCGTGCTGCTGCGCCGCGGTGGCACCGGCACCGCCCCTGTCGCATGCACTGCTGCACCGCCACCCGACCCATCCCCGTCACGACCACCCGTGGCGGCGTGAGCCTCCCCACCATCTAGGAACCCGGAGGATGGCTCTGCACCCGGGAAGATCGCTGGCAACTCCCCACGCATGACGCCACTACCTCCACGTTCCGAGGCGGGTGGGGAAGCTTCTGTTACCCAAGGCTGCCCGCCGAATTGCGGGCGGCAGGGAGGCCCGCCCACTGATTGAGCCCGCTGCCTTTGCCGCGGCTCAGACATAAAGACGCCGCTGCCGCCGCCGCCGCCTCCTGACTGCACACCGGCTGCGGTGGCCTGGCTTGAAGCAGAGCATTCGGGGCCCCCATTGCGCCCCACGCTGTTGGAATCCGCGTCGCCACGGCCGTTGCTTGCTGCCGCTGCCAGCGCAAGCGGTGCGATAGGGCTAGCAGGGTAGGACGTTGCAGCCGCGCGACCGGCGACGCCCGCACAGCCGGCCGCGTCGCGCGCATGCAGGGGTCCCTCGGACCGCTGGCATATAGATGCTAACAACAGGGAGCGAGGGGAAGGCGCCGCTGCGCTTGCCAGTGGAGGCGGGGAGGAGGCTGGCGTTGCGTGTTGTTGCTGTTGCCACACCGAGCGGAACGTCCTCGAGGAATCCAGCACGGTCATGTCTATGGAGCGTCGGCCAACCGACAGGGCCGACCTGCGCCTGCCAGAGGCCGTGCCGCCACCCGCCAGGGTATCAGTCGTTGCGAGGATGCCGTTTCCAGTGTTGCTGCGGCCTCGGCTCCTGCTACCGTGCCCATGCAGGCTTGCCGCGGAGGGGCTACCAAAATGCGAGGCGAGCTGCGCTAGTGCCTGCGTCTCTTCCTCGCCTAGGATCAGGCCTGCGCCGCCGTCTCCCGTGGCGGAAACATCTCTGGAGCGGGGCCGGTAGTTCGCGGAGGGGGATGGCACGCCGCCCTCTATGGAGTGGCGGTAGCGACGGAGGGGTGTGGAGGCGGCGATGCGGCCTAGGGGCTCGAGAGCATCTGCGGTATGGTACGGTATAGTACAGAAAATGAAAGCGGTGATCGTTCATCGGTGAGAGGCGCGGCGGGTTCTGGCCCCTTCTGCCCCTAACATGTAGCACCGGACAACTTCCGTATTCTATCCGATTGATGGTATACCCGGTATAATTTCGTAACCCGATATGGTGAAGCGACGCTACATAACACACCTGCGTCATCGTCGCCGCTTTCCGTGGACAGGTGCAGCTCCGCACGAGAGGAGAGAGGCGACATGCCCTCTCGTGACCCATGCCTGCACAAATCACAAACCGACATCGTCAACATGGGGGTCTCGACCCAGCATGCAGGAACAAACAAAGGCATGGACGCTGTCTTCATGCTCCAGCACACAGACCCACAATACCCCGTCCCACCTCCATCCTGCACATACCCCCGTCCTGCAGCATCCCCAGGTACTTCACATCATAAGCGGCGAACCCGACAACCTGACACGCCAGCACCTCAACCAGGCACCATTCCACGAGCGCGCCCCCCTCTCACCTGCGATGCTGCTGACGCGGCTGTCCATGCGCCCGAACCGACGCACGCGACAGCACCGCCTCCCACGCCGCCGCTGCCGCCCCCGGCAGGCTCCCCCGACGAGCGGCAACACCACCCCAGGGCATCCTCGAGCTTACCCGAGCCAACAACGCAGCCGAGCCCCTGTTGCTCCTGGGAGTGGCGGGGTCCGAGGCCGGCTGGCTGCCCGCGCCCTCGGGCCCCTCGTCGTAGGTCTCCACGGGCTCCCCCGCCTCGTGCAGCAGCAGCTCAGCGGGCCAGGGTGCGGCAAGCAGCGCAGCGCGGAGGTGGAGGGCCCAGCTGACCGCAAGCGCGGGGCCGGGAAAGGCCACACGCACTTCGCTGGGAGTGGCGGAGACCTGCCCGTGGCGTCATGGGCACACGCACATTTCGTGCAGGATGGTGGTCAGAGGTCACCTGCACAGGCTTACTGCAAGCGGCTAGGTGTTTCGATGACATGCGGGGCCGGTCCTTGCTGCCCTTCCGGCAACTTTCCCTTCCCCTAAAGGCCTCTCCCAGCCCACCCTTCCCTCTTACCAGGTACGCCCCAGGCACCCTCCGCAGCTCTGACGTGGCAGTCCGCATCAGCAGCCGCAGCGACTCGCTCGCCACCGCTGCGTTCCAGCGCAGCAACATGGGAATCGCCGGCACCCGCAGTACGAGGTACGACACGCGGCCCAGCGGCGCCTGGTACACGTCCTGCACGGGGGGCTTCTCCGGACGGAAACGTGGCGGCGGCACGAACGCCATGCGCTGCGAGAGCGCGCAGCTGGTTACCCAGTACACGGGCTCCATGCCTAGCAGCTCACAAGCTGCCGAGGAGAAGACATGGTGGGATTGCTGCTTGCGCGGCTGTGGTGCAGGCGCATGGGATTGATGCGGTTGTGATTGATGGGGGGTCAGGCGCTGCCGGGAGTGGGTGGCTGCAGGCTGCAGGTTGGCACTGCGCTGCTGGGTGGGGGCCCCAAAGGAGGTGGTGGTCATGGTGTCTTGTAGCGCCTGCGGCTCTGTGCTGGGAGAGTCGCGCTGGCTGGTGTCGTGACCCGAGGAGCCGCCGCCGCCGCCGCCGCTGCCTCCTCCAGGTCTGCCGCCGCCGCTGCGGTGCGAACTGTCCGTCGGGGAGTGGACGACGGCGGACAACGCGGTGGGTGCCGGTCGGAGTGCAGGCTCCGCTGGCGGGCCGGGGCACTCCAGGATGCCAACTTGCAACACCTGCAGGAGCGGCAGACCACGATTTAAAACACAGGCCACGGGGTTCTTAAACTCCCATTGGGATGCATGGATGGATGGCAGAGGCCCATGGGTCTCGCTCAACAGGTCCACGGGTCCACGCCTAACAGCTGTTACGTCGTCTGTTCGTACTTGCGTCCGCTCCCTTTAGGACCTGCCCTACAGCTCAGGCGGCTTATACCGGTATGTTATATTGTACGGTAGTACAGTATGCTCCACCATTCATCGCCAAGCACCCTTTGTCAGCTCAATGTCTGCGCAGCACAGCCCGGGCGCTGCCCCACCCACATGCCCCACCCACCATCGTGCCCGGCAGCCTGCCGCCGCTGCCCTGGTTCTCCAGTGCTAGCGCCCGGTGCGCTGCCGCACTCAGGAATACCTGCCCGCCGTGCGCCAGGTCCGCGAGCGCCTTGCATGCAGCCACACAGGCGCCGCCGTACACCATGCGTGCGGCAGCGGCGTTGTACCGCAACTCGGCGTCAGTGGGTACGGCAACAGAGATACCCACTCGCACGCGCAGACCCCTGCAAAGCGCGAGAGAGCAGAAGGAGGAGCATGTTGAGGAGGGGCATGCAGGGATGGAAACGTCCAAGGGCTTCGGCACATGGGAATCGAGATGCATGCATGCACGTCAAAGATGGTGATGCCCAGGTCATAAACGGACAGCTGAGAGGGCTTGAGGAAGCTAACAAACACTTGCCTAAACAAGAGCTGTAGCTGCTGCTGGTGATGGCAAAGCTGCTGTTCTTGTTGCTGCTGCTGCTGCTCCCGTCCGCTCGCCACCGCTTCCTGGAGCACCTCCAGGAACGTCTTGCAAGCCGCCTCTCCAGCGGCCGCCCCCGCATCCACTCCGAAAAACGCCGCGATGTCAGTCGGCGGCTGTCCGGCAATCCCAGCAAAGCTCAGCGCCTCACCCTCGCCTTCATCCCACAGCCTGGAATCGATTCCTTCTCCGCTCGCGATCCCACCATCCAGCACGTCACAGAAGCTATCCATGTGCGGTGACAGCCCGCCTGCACCCAACAACAGGCTCTCGTTGCAGCGAGACAGCGAGCCGCTCATCTCCACCTCAAACTGCACCTCAGAGGGCGCTCGCTGCGCGTGAGGCTGGGCCCCCTCGCCCATCTGTGTTTCCGCAGCAGTCGGCCGCCGGGAGCGCGACACAGAGTACACGCCACTACCAAAGGTTATCTCCGACGGCCCACAGCCGCTACTCCTGCGGTACAGCTGCCAGGGCGCCAATTCCGACGGCAGCCGGTGCGACGGCCTAGCGCTCATGCTGCCATCCGCCTCCTCCACACCCCCACAGGAGTAGCCCCCGCCCATGTTTAACGCGTCTGGATTCTGCGATGCCACGTTGGCGGCGGCCGTGGACTCCGCGACCGCAACGCTCAACGGCAGGGAAGCCGCCGCCGCCAGCGCTCCTGCTGCTGCTCCTCCCCCCAACGAACCCGCAGCTGACGGCGCATGCATCAAGTGCGCTAGACTGCGACCCGGCAGGAACTGCCCGCCCAAGGGTGACGACTCCCAAGGCCGCGACACCTGCCTGCTGCCCAGCCGGCAGCTGGCTACCTGCCCCACCGGCAGCGCCCCTCCCTGGCTCCGGTCAACCAAGCTGTCATGCCGCAACCGCGAAGCAGCCGGGCTGCCCTCTCCGCCGCCGCCGCCGCCCCGCAAGAGCTGCTCGTCAAGCGGCGCCAAGGGAGTGGTGGCGGAGGCCCGTCGGAAGCGTGAGGACACGGCCGCATGCAGGCCGGCCTGGTTGAAGGGGAACCCCGCCGGCAGGTGGGTGAAGACGGGCTGGCAAACCTCCTGTCGCAGCAGCTGCTTGGGCCAGGGAGCTCCGTCCAGCAAGCGAGCCTGCAGGTCGAGCGCAAAGGCGACAGCGGCGCGCACGTCTTCGAAGGCCAGGATGAACGAGTCGCCCTCAGTTGCGCTCTCGTAGCCGCCGTGCCGCAGCGCCAGTCGCCGTACGCAGCGGTGGTGGATGTCCACTGCCTTTGCGACGACGTCGGCCGGCAGGCACTCCCACAGCGTGGTGGAGTCCTGCGGCACATCAGTTGTACGGAAGTTGTTGTCATGACAAGTCACCAAGGTTTCATTAACATCCCACGATGTGCAGATGTGGATTGGGTGAAAAGCAAAAGGCCGCAAATGAAAGACGTTTTGAGGCGACGAGGTTATCGGTATGGTGTCATGTAGAAGCATGTGCGATGCATGTGAAAGGATCTTGGGACAGCATGAAGTAGGGAACTAAGAGCTGACGGGATTGATGCGGACGGGGTTATGGATTGTGTTCTCGTGTGCTGCTTGCGTCTTGCGGTCTCACCTGGATATCCGTCACGCACAGAGCCACTTTGACGCCGGGCGCAGGCACGTAGGTCCTGCGCTTGGGTCCCCGGAAACTGGAGGCCGCGGAGCCCCTCCGGCGGGTGCGGTGCCAGGCTGCGGCGCCCAGACCCGCGATGGCAACGGGCAGCAGCACACCCAGCAGCACGGGCAGCAGGCCGCGCCTCAACCTACCGCCGCTGGAACCTGTTGGTTCGGGCAACGACAGGGATACGACAAGAGGCGGGGCGGCGCTTGGTCTCCTCTGACGGAAGAAGTGGGCGGGTGGCTTTGTTCACGACGAGAGCCAACAGGGAAGCAAGCACAGCAAGCAGGTCCAGGAGAAGCCGATGTGGGCAAAGCTGGGCAAAGAAGAAGAAAACCGTTCCACATGCCGCAACCCAGGCACTACCGGACAATCAGGGGCGGGAGGCACAAGCTACCGAGGATGCGCAGGGATGACTGCATGCATGCAGCTCAGCTCACCCGCCGGTGCTGCTGCCGGAGTGCCGGGGGGCGCAGGAGGCGCTCGTCGCCAGTTTCCAGTCCACGGGGTGAGCGAGCCCTTGTACGCGCCCAGGGAAGTCTGCAAGGAAGGGACACGATCCGCCGCATGAGGCAGGGGGCGGGCGTTACCATTACCGTACCGCACACCGTGAGTTGAGTGATGCGGTTTTGTGGTTGCGTTCGAGATTGATTCCCAGGGGCATGCGCCGCTTGCCCCCCTCGTACCTGCGGAGGGTAGGCCGCTGCTAGCGCCGTCTGACCGGCCGCGAGAGCCGTGTAAAGCGGTGTGCTACTTTGCTGCTGCTGCTGCTGCTGTAGCTGCAACTGGGTCGTAGAGCTGTTGGTACTGGTTGCATTGGGTAGCTCGACCCAGGGGCGGACAGTGATGTTGCCAGCCTCGATGGCCGCCAGGGTGTCTCCAATCAGTTTACTGCGGAAGTGCGGATGTACCGTGTGGTGTTATCCAAAAGGCGGGCAGCGGGCAGCTAAATCAACACATACGACCATACAAAGCCTGAATTTGGACGAGCGCTTACTTCAAGCTAGCATGTGCTTCATCGCGTTTCCACGGAAAAGCCGCAACATCGTGTTTTCACGCAAAAGCCCCGCAAAGAAAGGCAACACCTCGCACTTACTTGTACACCGTCTGTCCATCCATCCGCAGACCCCACGCCAGGTTGGGCTGCTGCATACTGTCGTACAGCAGCGGCAAGGCGTCTTGTACGGCAGCTCTGTCGTACCCGGCCGCCTGCCAGAGATCCAGTGCGCGGGGCTGCAGCAGCTTCCCCCGCGGGGGTAGGACGTACTGCAGCGGCGACTGGCCTGGCTCGCCGTCCGAGAAGCGCTCAGGCGAGGCCAGGTACGACAGCAGCTCAAAGGCCACCAACTTGACGAGGAAGGGTGCCCTGCAATGAAGTATCCCGACATGTCGACAATTTGCGGTGGATAGGGAGGCTGCATGCGCCGGTAGACGGTGGTACTATGCCCTACGCCCTATGCCAAGTCGAGCCCGGTTGCATTCACGGAACACAGCTGCAGGAGCGGCAAAGAGGAACCCTCACAGCGGACCGCAGCCTCTTGCAACCGATACCAACTGCCCAGCTCGGCTTTCACCGGGCCTTCAGCAGCAGTCAAGGCTCCCCCTCCCGCGCCGCTTACTTACCTGCTGTTGATGCTGCCAACCAACGAAGCGGTTATCGCCTGCGGCGCGCGGTTCACGAGCATCCCCGGCACTGCGCCTGCACTGCTGCTTGCAGTGCCGACCGATGCTGCACTGCTGTCCGACCCCGCTTCCTCCGCACCGCTTGCTGCCAGGGGCATTGCGTGGGGGCACCTGCTGGGCGTGCATGGGACTAGCGGCGCGGCCTGGGACACGTTGCTCCCTGCCGTGTGCTGCCAAACGAGCTCCGAGCCCGGCAGGGGTGCCGCTCGTACGGCTCCCACCAGCATCACCTCAGACGCATTGTGCTGGGATAGCAGCTGCCAGGCGTGCGGCATGCAGGGTCGGGTGCATGGTGGGGAGTTGGGCAAGGTAAGAAGGCAGGCAAGCAGGCGGTCAACGTGTCGTAGGGCTACCCTCACAGCGGCGTGCCAGACAGGTACCCCGCATGCCAAGGCATGTGCATCACCGTGACCGCCCAAACCTCACATGTGCGCTCCATGCCCTTCATCCCAACGGTTGATGCGAAGGCCTGAGCGCACTCTGCCTGCAGCGTGTTGCTTGGGAACTCCGCCCCACCCTACCTTCATCTGAGGAACAAACGCCGCGAGCGCCAGCGCACACCGCCCGCGTGCAAATGCAAGGCTCCCGTGATCGCAGGCCTCCTCGGGCTCCAGCGGCGCAGCGACGGACAGCAGCTGAGCAAGGATGCGGAAGGCCGCACGCGTGGCGGGCGTGTTAAACAGCGGCTCCAAGGTTTCCGAATCAAAATGAGTGGGCTGGGTTGACCCATGGGTCTGCGCTATGCTCGACCACACCGCCTGGACGTAAGCCTCCCGCCGGCAGCCTGGGGGAAGCACCGGGGACACCAGGGGATGCCAGCAAATGTCGCTGTATTGTGCGGGGCATGCAGTGCCTTGCTGGGAAGCGGGCTTGGCTCAATCCCCTGAGCAGCCACACGTCTGCGCTGTGCCCACCCTGCCAATCAACCCAACCAACCAGCCGTACCTGGTCCCCGTGCAATGCAGATCGGGTAGGGCGGCAGGGACCCGCTGCCAGCGCTGAAGTTGGCGCTGGCTGCAAGCGCCTCGTAGGTCACAGAGAACTGCACTAGCTGAGTCCACGTTTGGGCAACCTGCAGAAAACAGGAGGCGCAGTGGAAAGAGGAAGCGCTACCAGCAGGACGCTTGGAAACCAAAACCAGGGGGGGTAGTAGCATGCAAGTTGCCTTGCCGGTATCCAGCTAACGCCCACAGTATCCAGATAATGACCCCCCCATGGGTGCTTTCATTGAGGACGAACCCAACAAATGCAGAATACCGCTGCGCGGGGCGCACCTGCGTCAGTCCAAGAGCCGTCGTCACATCGCTGCGGTAGAGGAGGTGCAGCATGGGGGCATCCAGCGGCACTGCCACGGTCCTGCCCTCGTCCATGGAGAGCTGCAGGCGGTACGGCGGCGCTACATCCACCCAATCCAGCTGCAGCTGAGCCCTGCTGACCAGCTCACTGCAGGGTGCAGTGCAGGACACGACACGGCACGACACGTGTCGGTTTTAGCGAAGATCTGCTGTAGCTGTTGCCTCTATTCTACAGGTATTCTAGAAGGGCATTGGCTTAGCGTATCGTGTTGCTGGGGGAATCCAGGGAATCCGGAGATTGCCTAAGAGCGTATGAGCGAGCCAGGCCATTTCAGATGGGTGCAATGCCGAAGAGCTTGTTCACAGCCTGCAGGAGTACCGGTAATCCCCCAAGCCGGCAACGGGGTCGTGCCGTACCTCATGTCCAACAGCATGCCATGGTCAGCTAGCTGCTCCGTGAACGATGAGGCGTACAGCGAAAGTGCATGCGGCGGTGGGTCGGGAGGCGCTGTGGCGGCTGCATCTTGGAGGCTGCCTGGCAGCAAGGGAGGCGGCTCCATGAGACCCATGCCTGTAGCGGACGTTCACGGAGGAGACGCGAGGTAAAGAGGGCAGACGCTCGCCGTGCGGAAAGGAGCGGTGGGAAAGGGTGCATGCTAGAGACACAAGGCGGGGATAAGGACAGGGTGTGGATGAGGGTTCACCTCTTGGCTACCTACAGCAGCTGGGTGGTTATATAGCTGCCCGGAAAAGACACATGTCGCACCTGCTGTGGCGTTTGCCTCTTGTAAATCCCAACGCATGGCCTGCAGCTGCGCTTCATAGGGCTGCTGGTCGAGGCCCACGGGTATGTCGTACAAAGCTGAGAACCGCTGTACGGCAGGCACCAGCCATGCGGCAGCCGTGTCCCAGACCATGACCCTTAGGGGCACCGGCGGGCCCTGTGCGTGAAGGGATTGCCCATGTGGCAACGGGTTCAGAGGAAATGGACGGACGAGGGGCTTAGTAAGTGTATGTCTTTAGACAGCCTAAAACTTCAGACGGGCCCGAGTTCCTTACCCCGTTGGCTTCGAGCAAGTTGTTGCATTTCCATGCGGCAGCTATTAGCCTCCTCCTCCCCTCTTCGCTCCCGCTTCCATTGCACCTGGCATGAGTAATGACAAGATAACCATGGGGAACAAGGAGAAGGTGAGCTTAGGCAGAGCTCTAACAAGCGCCGTGACATGCGACGAGAGTTGCCTGATGGAGTAGACAGGCCAGACTCTTACCAAGGGAGCGTTGCGTTGGATAGGACTTCCACACAGCCAGGCAAGGCTGCGTCTATCCATGAAGTACTTGAGCCATAGAGCCCATCTACAGCTGTATGGATTGTAAAAAGGAGTACCAGCGCTGTCTGGAGGAATGCAAAGCTGTGACGCATGGAGTACGCATCCGAAAGGCGGAAGCAACTACCGGTATGCAGACAGTCCTCCTTCCTTTTAACGTCTCTGTCGGAACATGTTGCCTTCCGGTAATAGTGATAACCTGAATACCAGTAACTTTCTGCTACCTAGTTTCTCGCAAAAAAGCGCCCCACGGCGCTCTAATTTCCATGTCTATACCGTTAAACATAATATTATTTTTTTACTGAAAAAGGGCGATATGTCTTGTGGCCGTCAATACTCTCGCCTGTGAGCCTCGGCAAAGACGTGGGCGTGGCCAAGTACACCGGCACGTAGTATCTGAAAGTATCATATTGATCAGAAACCTAGCTGCTACTAGCCGAGAGACGGGGTCGAGCTACGCATCTGTACAGTACGGAGTCGTCCTGTACTACAGTATTGGGTAGAAGCCGATGTGCGTTCGATGTCAGTTCCTTATGGCAGTCAAGGTAGCTGGGTCACTCGGCATCCGCTGGCTACATAACCTTTTTGTGTTACCTAGCTGGTCACACCCGTGCTGAAACGGCCATACCTGGTAATGTGGTAAACTTAGCGCGTTCCCTTTCGGCACGCTGCACAAAATGGCGAAACTCGAAATAGAAACATGTACTGATTTCAGCTGGATTCATGCACTGGAACCAAAGTCTTGCTGCTCTAGCACGTGCCAAGATGTATCAAACGGTGAAGTGACGACGATGCTATCAACTCGACACGATGATCTAATTACAGATGCAGCAGGTTAGGAGGTAAAGTGCCGTGGGCATGCTGTGCACAGTAAGAATATATTGACAGCGTGCTGCTGGTGACATAAAAGTACCTTGGTGTGCCTCCGTTGCTGCACTTCTCTTCATATTTTCCCCCATGTGTTCCTGGCTTACGAGTTTTCTTCTGGGGCCTGGTCCCTTTTGATGTGGGGCTCTCCCCTTTCTTCTTACAGTGTAGGGTGGGTATCCACTTTTTTCCCTTTCGCTTTCCCTTGCCTACCGGTTTGCGATCACTGTGACGGTCACTCAATTACCGGTAGATAAGCACGGCACATAGGTCAAGACCCGTGGCAACACAAACGGCAAGAACACAAGTCAACACCATTGAACAGGAGTTACCAGGTAGCACGCAACCCAAGGTCACCAACAACGCAACGTTCCTTTACCAGACCTCTGCACTACGCACCATGCCAGGGAGCTAAACTTGGCGTACTATGCCTTCGGCACTGAGGCTTTAGGAATACAGGTCAACACAGATCTACAGCCACCTACCCGGCAACCGACAACCGACCTACGACCATCTACTGCTCAGGGTAAACTCCATTTTAATCGACACGATGCATGTGTTTTCGCAGTATTGACGCCAAGCCCTCGGCATGGAAGGTCCGAGCATATAGACAACACATAGAATCCAAAAGCCGTACAGGGTTAATCACGGCAACGACCCACAAGCCGTACACAATCTCCCTCTTATCCAGGTACCGGACCCTCTTATCCAGGTACCGGACTCCCGCACATGGCGAGCGCCTCTCGAACTTGGCGCAAGTTATCGCACAGGAAGTAGTACTGACACAACATATATGCGCAAGCAAGACAGGTGGACACTAGTGAATACAGAGTACCGGTAGCAACTGATCGCACTACTGACGCCACCGCACAGACGACGACAGGAGATAGGCGCAGCGGCACAGGAAATCGCAAGCTGCTATGCATGATGCAATAATACTTTGCATCAGTTATAAATCCCAAATGCAAGAGCGACGACTCCACCGCAGCGCAGCACATGGATGTTGTGGATAGAACATGACAACGAGCTGCAACCAGTTACCCTAACCAACCAACATTTGAGCAAGCAATTACCCATCAGGGCAGTAGCTATTGTATGTAGATAGTAAGGAAATAACCGACCTGGAACCCTATCCGCCCGTGGGGGCTGTAGACAGGAGAAAGATAGCTACTGGGAGTACTACTGGCTAACTCGGCCAAAGCAACAGCCGTACAACGCATCTAATTTCGACCTGTGGCATGTGCGGCTCGGCTGCCTGCAATGGTCTAGCAAGTAAGGCTAACATCGCCTAAAAGAAGGTGTCTATATATGACTCCCCACACGTATGCTTCTTCTTCTGTAGCAAGGGAGCCAGTGTGATGGTCACGCATTCATTCATTCACTCGCATGCGGCTCCCGATACATGACACTGGCCGGTACTCTTTTGCGGCTCAGTTGATAATCCAACACATACACCCACTTCATCTTCCGGCAATCACAGTACGTTTCTCCTCGCGGCCAGTTATTTAACACCCACACGCACTCATCGCGCGCATGCACATGTCTGTGCCTGAGCACGCCTTATACGCCTCACCTCCCCATCAATCCTAACAACGATTACAGGGTAAACACCGCGATCACGCATGGGCCTTAATATCGAACCCACTATAACTACTGAGCTGGTAAACAAGGTAAGAGAGCGCCCCAACAAAGTTACTTCTCACATGCCGCAAGGCACGTCGTGTCAAGCATTCCAGCACAACTCCTGCAGCTGTCTCCCTTACACCTACTGCCGTACACCTACTGCCGTACACCTACTGCCGTACACCTACTGCCGTACACCTACTGCCGTACACCTACTGTCTTACAGATCCACCAAGAACGATTCGATCAGCGCTTCTGACGGCGTGGGGCATGTCGCCAGCAGCGGCGGCACTCCCCCGAGTACCGAAACCGGGTGCAGGGAATGATGGTGGTGGTTGAGAAGCTGCAGCTGCTGCTGCTGCTGCGGTGGTGGTGTTGGTTGGTTCACCTCGCCTCCGCCGATTGAACCACTCCGTCCCAACGCGATGTTTACCCCCCCGGAAGACAAGAACCGCAGCCCTGCAAGCCAGTCCGAGTCCCCGCATGAGTCAGCTGCAGCTAGCACGCTGCCCCCACCGCCCGTTGGGCCCGTGCAGGCCTCGCCTCGCAAGGTCTCGCCGGCTGCTGCCCCAGCTGCGGCTGTGGCTATGACGGTTGCTGCTGGGTTGTTGGCAGCGGCGGCAGTAGTACCAACGTCGTCCGCTTGGGCTGCCGCTGCTGCCAATGTGCGGTGAGCTTGCTGCTGCCACATGCGCCGCATGGCGTCGAGGTAGTCTCCACCGCTGGCGGGTTGTTGTGGTTGATGGGTTTGTGGTTGCTGCTGCTGCTGCCGTGGTTGCGGCTGCGGTTCCGGTTGCTGTTGTCGTTGTTGTTGCTCCTGCTGCAGTTGCAGCCGCTGCGAATGCGGCTGTGGCTCCGGCCGCTGTGATTGTGGCTCTGACTGCTGCAACTGCAACTGCTGCTGCTGCTGTTGTTGTTGCAACGTCGCTGGCGGGGGATGCGGCCTCTGTGTCAGCTGCTGCAGCTGCGACAGTGGCTGCTGCTGCGACTGCTGTTGTTGCTGCGGCAGCGGTGGCTGTTGCTGCGAAGCCAGCGTGATGCCCCTCTGCGGCTCCGGCACCGGCACCGCCACCACCGCAGCGCCCGTCAGAGGCTGCAGCAACAGCCCTTGTGGCAGCGGCGGGGGGCAGTACGCAATGCACGCACCCTGATTCGGTTCCGCCGCCGCCGATGCTGCCGCCGCCGCCACTGACGCCGCGGAAGCCGCCGCCTTACTGGCTTGGCGAGCGCGGAGAGCCGCCTGCAGGAGCGCCTCGTGACGCCGAGCAAGCTCCAAAAGCGTCCGGACGAGACCCGCAGGCAGAGACACGGCGTCGGAGGGCGAGCATCGCTCAACAAGCCTGGCCGCTGCGTCCAGGAGATGCGACCCACGGGTCGGAACGCTCCGCTCGTCGCCGCCATTGAGCTCTGGGCCCTCAGTCGCGGTGGCGAATGGATGGGGGGGCGCATGCTGCTGGTTGGTTAGCTGCTGCTGCTGCACACCAGAAGTATCTCCACCGCCGCCTTGGACGGCGGCAGCGTGGGCAGCGGCTGCTGCTGCTGCGGTCATCGGCGGCGCAACAAGCGCGGTACCCGCACTAGCACAACTGCCAGAGGCATCGCCACGGGATCGCTTGGCGGCGCCTTCCTCTGGCTCAATCTTGATCCCGACGCCTGCCGTACCCGCACCGGCACCGGCAACCGCAGGAGACTCTGGCACTGCTTGCTGGCCTGGCCCCGCAGCCCCGTATGGGCGCTTGCTGCCCGCTTGGAGTCCTGTCGCCACAGCTGGGGCCGGGGTAGCCGCAACCGCAGCCATCGCAGCAGCAGCAGCAGCTGCTGCGGCGGCGGCGTCGTTGCCAGCGGGAGCTGCTGGGTTCATCAACGGCCCCGCATGGCCGCTCTGGTTGGCGCGCTGCTGAGGGCCATGTGCAGGTGCTGCGGTCAGCATCAGCTTGTCAGGGCGCGGCGATTTGGCGTAAGCGGGCGGGGTCCCCGCGTCTTGGGCTTTGGTTCTGCATGCCGGGAGGTGAGGGTTGGTTGCCGGGCCGCCGCCGGGAGGCAGCATGGTGGCTGCTGGGTTGCCTGCTACGTGGAGGGAGATGTCCGTGTAGGCGCCGCTTTGGAGCTGTGGTGACGGAGGCTGCTGCGTGTGTGGATGGAGGTGCGAGTGGGAGTGTGCGCGCGGGGTTGCTTGGCTGCCGCCATGAGTGGTCATGGGAGACGGAGGGTGAGGTGGAGCAAGAGCGGCCTTGGAAGTGGTGGTTGCGGCAGCAGCAGCGGCAACCGGGGTGGCCGCCTCCCGCATGTGCAGAGCTGCTGAGGAGGTGCCGTCGCTGCTGCCCCATTGGATTCCGGCCTTGACAGCTTGGATTCCGGCCTTGACAGCCGCATCCGCGAACGCCACGGCGATGCGCGGCAGCCTTAACGGGCGAGGAGGCGACGCAGAAGGCGAGCAAGAGCGCTTGGCCGTGGAGAGCGGCAACAAACCACCACCCGCCGAGGCTCCCTCAGCACCCCCCCGCTGCCTCAGCGGATGCAGCGGCGGCGGCGGCGGCGTCGGATCCCGACGTGGGGTGACGTCCATGCGCCCCGCCACCGCCGCCGCCGACCTGACGGCAGCGCCCGCGCCGCTGGCGGAGCTTCCGCCGCTGCCGCTGGGGCCCGCCGCCGTCGCTTTTGCCGCCGTACCAGCGCCGAGGGGATCTGCCGTACTGACCCCCGCGGAGGACTCGGGTACTCCGGAGGCTCCAGAACCGGAATGCGAGCCGAGTCGCTTGTCGCCGGTTGAGTCGGCAGCGGCAGCGGCGGCGGCGGCGGCGGAGGTAGGGGTGCCAGTGTCGGTGAGCGTGGCGGTGGCGGCGGCGGCGGCGCAGCCGGGGGAGATGTCTTCACCAAAGGCGCAGCGGAATGCGTCGGCGGGTTGCATTCCGGCCTTGACGGAGGCGACGTAGAGGTGCAGGCCGCCGGGGCTCTTGGAGGTGGCCTGGAGGCCGCGGAGGGTCACATGAAGCCGTGGAGGAGGTTGTTCCGGGAGAGGGGGCGCTCATGAGTGGTTGAAGCCCCCGGCAACACTTCAGCCAAGCATCCCACAAGTCACGGCTTGGCCACAAGTCACGACTTGGCGAAAACATTTACATTGCAGTCAACTACAGCAACTGCCCGCGAATGTGCAACCAGAACCCGCACTTACCTTCTTGGCTGATCGTGCAATGGTTGACCAACGGTTCTTGACCTGCATCCCAGCAGCACAGGAATAAGGGGAAACAGCAAGGCGTCCATGCAGGGGTCAGAAGTGAGGACTTCGATGAGACGACACTGCACACAGCACGCTGGCACCAGCCTGCAACGTTTAAGAGCGATCTGAAGGTACCTTGCCATCATTGCTTGGTGTACAGGTCAGCTAGAACGATTTGGGCAGGCAGGCAAAGAGCAACGAATGCCTTAACGCCCCTCTATTCCCTCCCCCGTGTTTCCTGCTTCGGACGGACCTGGTTCTCGGTCCGACGTTCCAGACTCCGCGAGATGCGCGTCCAGGCGGCTCCCCAGACGGCGTGACCTCGGGCGATGGCTCGGTCCTCCTCCTCGGACCACTGCCCTCTGACCGCGTTTGGGCGGCTGGGTACGGAAAGATGGGAACATGCAAAGGGGAACAGAAGAAATGGGGAGGGCAGGGATAAGGGTTTCAATTGGATAAACTGTTTCCACCTTCCAATTGGCACGACCCATGGTTCTCACAGCGCAGATGTGTTGCATGTAAGAAACACCTCGGCAGGAGGAGATGGGAGTGTGATAGTGTCAGGGTGATAAGGCCGTGTTCGAATGGGTTGTACAGCACTGTACGGCATGGCGGCTCTCGATCTCGGCCCCCACCTGCATGTGTTGTGCCATCTCTCACGGCATTGCTTTCCGGTGCGGCCGGGTACTGATCTGCGGAGTGAGGTGGCGACATCGTACAAGGGAAGCAGGGCAATGAATGGGGGTGCTCTTGCAACGTGTGAGCGTTGCTTTAGGATACGCTGCATAGCACTTTGCATGACGTGATAGGCAAGGTCACGCATTGTTGGGGTGAGGGCTTGGGCCTTATGCCTTTGCTCCATGTTCCGTGAACCACTTTAACGGTCATTCGTTCAGGACAGAAATCTGCAAAATTATTAAACTCCACAGGCGCAAAAGGTTATAAGGGTTTTCCGGCAAAGCGCTGATTAAACGGCTGCTTTAGATAGGTTAATTTGTAGGTGCCCCTGGACTTACTCGGCAACGACGGACCAGTTGATTCGGTGATCGCAATCGGCCGGATCAATTCCGGCTTCATCGCCCAAAGCCTGTAGCGATTTTTGCTGCACATGTACTGCTTTCACAAGCTTTTCGTGTTGGCTCTGACTCCAGGGCTTGCGGCGCCCGCTGCCGCTTCCCCTGCCTGACACGCCGCGGCCAGAAGAGCGGCCTTCATCTCCTGTTTGCCACGATGGCTCATCATCATCCGTTCCATTGGTGTCCGTATCTTCTGCTGTGTCCGTTTGGTCTTGATGCGATGGGTTGCTCTCAGCGCTTGAGGCGCCATCTGCGCCATCGCCATCGCACCAGGACCCGTCGCCTCCAGCTCTCCCTGAGATGGCCATTTATTTTTTTGGAAAACAAATATCATGTGCAAGACCCGTGCATTAGCACAAATTGTCGAAATGACATCGCCAACGAACGACGCGCACTAGCCGAAGGCGAGTGAAGGGAAACCCGAGAATGTGAAGCAGGCGCCACGCGAGAGTCACAAGGATCTTATAAATATTCACTTTGTACACATGCTGATGCAAAATAGACGCTGTGCAGCTGTCGTGTCTCATGCCCACGCCCTCCTGCCTTCTCACTCCTACACCGCTTTTCGACAACTTACCGGGCCGACTTGGTGGCATATGATGAGCCCAGCTACTACTTTCTGCTAACGCGAGCGAAAGAGCTCTGACGTGACGGTTGGTCTGCTGCTACTCAGGGCCTAAGACTCACTCCTTGCAAGGTAAGACATAATGAATGCACCTAGAACATTTTGGGATAAAAAGACGAAAGTGTCTTGTCCTCTTGTCATAGATAACACTTGCTCGTCCAGGGCCTGTCGTTTCTCCGTGCGGTGCCGTGGAAGACAAATGGGCTTGCACGACGACATCTTGAGCGAGGTGATGAGTGGTACTTATGTCGACATACACAACTACACGTAGTGATGGAAGCCATTCTTGCTTGCCGGGGGTCGGGGGCGTGGCTTGTGCGTTTTCAGTTAAGTCGCTCGCCGTCGATCAGGATCGACGGCAAGCCCACAGATCAGGTGTCATTGCAACTTTCAAGGCTAGGGAATAAGGGCGCCGAGGTATTAGTCTAGCGGGGCGCGTCTGTGGACTCCAAGCAGAGTTCGCAGTTTTCCCTGCATACTCCAAATCGGCATAACCTGCAAGTTATCCTGACTTTGCTGGTAATGCGAGTGGAGCAGTTCTAAAGGTATATCTGCGAGTAAGATAACCACACGAGGACCAGCGACATGGTGCCATGAAATAAAGGGCATCACAGTAGCGCTGGCAGCAGCACTTAAGCTGTTGCAAATCGGCACGTTCATATATATCGCGGCTGAGTCTTGGAGCTAACTACCGGTATCAAACGAGTCTGAGCAGCATGAACGGACATGGGCCGACATGGGCAGCAGGCCCATACCACAGTCCCACAAAAGAACCTTGCCGAGGTCACTACTGCATAAGCGAATCCACCTATGAACAGTTTTGCGCATACATCGATGGAAAGTACCAACCTGTTTTGACCAAACTAACCGACCAGCTTGGCTCCAATCGCCCAGGGGCATGCATGTTGTTCAGAATAACGACGCCATCCCACAGCCAAACACGTTCCATTTCCTCGATATAATGCGATACGGTGCGAGGTACGACAAGCTTCTACGTGGCGTAACCAAACACAACGGCAGGCTATGACAAGCGTTGACAACTTCATTGTGTTCCTTGAACTGTCAACATGGATAACGAGCGGCCTCTCGCATTCCGCACGCCTAACCGCGCCGCAGCAGCTACCCGCAATACATGTTAGCATGCTTGTGTCGGGTGCGCAGGTGCCGCCGCAAGAATAGAGGTTAGCATTTCACCACACGGTGCCGTACATCATTATCCAAATAACCAACTACAGTCCTCAATGCACAAGGTTTCGCGTGCATGGCATAAGTATTGAACTCTCGTGACGATACTTACGGTAAGGATCACTGCACCAGGATACGACACGCCACATAACAGCGTACGGCAAAGAGTGTTGTGGATGCCGGGACTAGTGATTGTGCGTCTGTGATGTCACCAGCCCTCACGAGTCCTGTTGCAACCAAGCTAAGCAAGGAAATGTTGTGTACGCGCATGTGACATGTGGTCGTGATACGGCACATATGGCACGTACGGCACGTACCACGGACCCGAACAGATCACCACACATAAATGTGCGCCCACAAACCCCGTGATGCATCACCGGCATTTCCTTTCTCCTCTCCCGCGGCAGTGTTTCAAGGGAAGCCTGGCCTGTTTTACCGCCATGCCCCGACCGGCTGCATCATAGCCATGCCGCCTGCTCCTGAGTCTTGCTTAATGATGAGATGTATTGGAGCTCGGCACTCTATCAACCGGTATCCATCTTGCAGCATCTGTATCCTTCCATCCCGACACAACCCAACCCAACACAACCACTACCCAACTGCCATGCGCTTTGTTACCTTCCTCCTCTTGCCTCTTGCCCAACTGCCTGCATGCACCTTGAAGCATACCCAATTACCGGTACCCGTGCATACATACGACCACCAAATGTGCCGAGTAAGCCCCGCATTGAAAGAATGTGTCTCCTCAATCGTTTAACAGAGGCAAGCAAACAAGAACATCCTTTACTATCAAAAATGCACAACGCTTCAGGCGGCCGGCCCCGTTGCGGCAGGAAGCAACCCCTGTTCCAGACCGCCATGTTCGAGCACCAATGCTGTTTACCCCAAGCTCCAACTCTTTGATTTCCCACTCCTTACGGCGAAGCCTGCAGACATATGTATGGGACGGCCACAGATCGCCACGCCAAGACGGGATCAGGCTGGAGCTTCTGGGTTCCATGCTGCATGGGGCGGGCGCTCGGGGGCTGTGCGACGAAGGCAACCATCTCCAGCAGGAATGGACGAGAACGGACAAAACTGAGAAGAACACAACCCCATGCAAGGTGAGACCTCTCGTTTGCAGTACCCATGTCGCCCTTGCGGTGGCTTCCTTCCCTTCCTGTGCTGCTGACCTGCCCGCCACTTGCAACTCACCGACCCATGGGTCATGTGGTCCAGCGCCGGTCACACAACTAATAATGTGCAGAATTACCAAGCAACTGGCGTTGTTGTACGACGCCCCCAATCCTCTTGAATACCTGCGATCGGACACCATTTGCAGGAGACCAGTCAGACAACAACCAGCAACAAACGAGGGTGAGCGGCAAGGGAGGTACTATATACGGTACTGGGGACAGATCGGCCCAATACCCCGACATGCCCCTCCTAAGGCTCCATGCAGCAATCCCACCCCAATGCATGTCCACACGCTATTTGCCACACTTGCATTAACACCATCCCCCACCGTCGCCTGCAGCGTCGTCAGCCCCCGGCCCCAAGCCCCCGGCCCCGCAGTGCTGTCCCCATGCAAGATGCGCCCCCCCCGCCGCGCACCGGGTTACGTAGCATGGCGCACGTGTGGTTCAACTGCACCGCTGACGGGTCCTCAGGAACCCACTGCTGCCACTCCGATACGTACTTGCACAGCGCCCTGCAGCAGCGGCAGCAGCAGCGGCACCACGTCAGCAGCAGCGGCAGCGGCACCACGTCAGCAGCAGCAGCAGCAGACACGTCACCAACAAGCAACAACCATGCGTGGAGCACTTGACAGCAGGGAGCACGGTGCAGTGCTGGCTCATGATGCGATGCGATGTGATGTGATACACGCATTCTCGTACGAGGCTTGTATGACAAGACGCACTGTGGTGTGAACGTACTATGACGCTTACGTTTTCAAGGATTTCTCACACAGGTTTCGGAACTCGCACTTTCCATCCCGCAGGTAGCTGGCGTAGTCGTGCGGTTTGGGGCCGTGGAAGTGGAGGATGAAGGCGGCGGGGTCGAAGGCGCTGTAGGGCTTGGCATTGAATGCCTGGCTCAGCATGTTGGCGCGCAAGTCTACCTCGTAAAACTGTATTCGGGGAGGGGGGGACGGAAAGCGAGGCGAAGAAAATTGGGGCAAACCAGCCGAATACCGGTAGCATTGTTCGGTAAAGAAGAGGATGGGCAGGACAACGCGGTCGGGCGGGGATTTTGTGGGGAATGCAGCCGAGGGGTAGGCATGGAGGAAGGGGAAGAAGAAGGTCGACTATAGTTGCGCGGCAGAAGCGCATCACTTCAAACGCGACCGCGACCGCGATGCACATTGCCGTGTGCCACGAACCATCACCTTTTGTTTTCTTTTTCCTGATGTGGAACTTTACACAGATAGGACGGGAAGGGAAGGGAAGACAATAAGCAGCGGGACGGAACCCCCCTGGCACCCCCCTGCTAGCAACCAACCGCAGTCTACCTTGTTAATAATGCCCTGGTCCGCGGGTCCGTAGTTGGGGTAGTACAGTCCGTTGGTGTTGTCCAGCATCATGCGGATGAACTCCTTGTAGCGCTGCCGCATGGTGGGCAGGTTGGCCACGATGACGCCCGCGTTGAAGGGGAACATGCGGTCCATCTCGTACGACATGGACACGGAGCGGGGCAGCGGCAGGCCTGTGGGTTGCGGGAAAGGGGGTTTAGGGGGTCAAAGACCATACTAAACCATAGGAAACCACAGTGGTGGGGGGCACAGAAGCCTTGTGTTGGAATGAAAGACCGAGAAACCTACAGGGCAACAGCGACAGACGGCGGGAAGTAATCCAAGTAAGCGAACAACCCACCAAAGTCGTCCAGTGTTATGGGCCTCCTGAAGTACACGTCCACGTCAGTGTACAGCACGTGGGTGTATTGATCCAGCAGCGGTACGACAGGCAGGTCCACGCGCTGGAATGTGGACACCAGCGCGTCGGGGGACTTGAACAGGGGGGAGTGGTGCACGTTGCGCTGCGGGAGGCAGGGGAAACCAAATGATAAAGTGCAGCAACTGGAGTAGGAGAGCGCTGGGAGGCGGGTTTTCCGGGAAGGGAAGGGAATAGGTAGGAGGTGGATGATCCGGTCAGGGGGGCAGGATTTGAAGGAAGGGGAAGGATTAGTCTAGAACTGAGACACCGCGATGGCGGCTGACAGTGCTAGGGGGGAAAGCGTGAGTTACCTGTGAGCTGCGGTCATGAAAGCTGGACAGGATGGGGATGGGAGGAGGCAAGAGGACGCGGCATCCGAACTCGCTATCTCTTACGTTAGCCCCCGGCCCCGGCCCCGCCCCCGCCCCAACCTCCGGCCCGCCCACCACCCACCTGCGCCTTGTTTCCCGCCATGCCCAGCAGCCGCTCCCGCCACACGGGCTCGTGCGAGATGAGGGCGACCCCCTGCCCCGCCAGCCAGGTGGCGATGGGACTGCTGGTGTTGCCGCTGAAGATGCAGTAGGGCTGCAGAGAGCGGGTGGCGAGGGCGGACCTGGGGGGTCGGGGGGGGGGCCGGGGAGGGGGAGGGGGGAGGAGAGAGGGCGGGGGAGAGGGGAGGTGAGAGGCGAGGAGGGCGCTACGGGGTTGTCCAATGCAGGGCCCTACCCCGGACCTTGTCCCATGCACGTGGCCGATGGCCCTACCCCGCCCCGCCCATTCCCAACCCGGCGCCAGTCGGGTGTCATGCTGCACTCCTTCCTGCTGACCCCTGCGTGGCCAATCGGCACAACCTGTCGCCAACCGGCATGGCCTAGCCCCGCTCCTCTCCCCAATGCCCTGTCCCCTCACTTGTGGCGCGCTTCCCTGACCCCCGCCCAGCCCAGCCCTCCTGCACCGCCCTCCTCTACCCCCATTGCTTTGCGCTAAGCTATGTGTGTGCTACATCTGTGCGCTAAGCTATGTGTGTGCTACATCTGTGGGCCGCTGGGCGCCCCACCCAGCTCCCACCCAACACATTCCGATATCCCCCCCCCTCATACCTTACCGCCGCCCTAGCCAGGTAGTCGTAGCTCGGGCTCCAGCTATTGTAGGTGAACACCCAGGGCAGGCGGTGCAGCGCAGGCAGCACGGAGGCCAGCGGGATGTTGCCGCCGTTGTAGTGCGCGGCCCAGAGGCCGGCGTGGCGGCGCTCCAGCAGGCCCAGGGCGGCGAAGGTGGAGACGCTGTTGCCGATGAAGCTGATGGGGGGGGTGACGAGGATCCATACGAGGGATCGGGGTGGTGTGGGTGATCGGGAGGCGGGCAAGAAGGAGGTGGGTTAGGGGTGGGTCAGAGGCGAGGGAGGCATTCAAGTACACGCCATGGTAAAGCAGGGCGCAAGGGAGTCGGGCAGGTAGGGGCGCATACAGCGGCTCACATGGAATAGCAACGCCGCAGACCTGCATGTAGGCTTTGTGCGGCTTTGTACGGCTTTGAGCACATCACAGGTTGACTTGAGTGTGCGCAAGTGGGTGTGTAAGCCTCGTCGCGGCCTCTCTCACCGTTCCGCTCGCATCCCGACAAAGTACTCGATCATGGCCCGGTATTCGCGACCATGACTGGCGAGCAGCCCGCCTGCTGCTGCTGCTGTTGCTGCAGCAGCGGCAGCGGCATCCGTTGCTGTTGCTGCTGCGTTGGCTGTCCCGCCAGGGTGCCGCTGCTGCTGGCTGCTGGTGCTGGTGTTGGGGAAGACATCGCTGCTGGTGACCAGCTGGTAGCCCGCAGCGACCAGTCGAGCTACCATCTGTGCGCGCAGAGCGGCGGTTGGGTTGGGGATATGAGGCAGGCAACCAAAGGGGCCATCGGGGTGTCCCGGGCAAGGGTGCAGTGCTCGGATGCAGGTAGCGAAGGGGCACGAGGCCGCCTGGGCGTCCCAAGAAAGGACAGTTTGTTTTATGATGCAAGGCGTTGCTAGCGGTACGGCTGCGGTCTTGGAGCTGCACTTTAGGGCTTCCTCTCATCCCATGACACCAGGATGTGCCTTGGGTCTTTAATCCAATCAACGTGGGTGTGTATGTGTTAACACAACTTGGAACGTCCGGTGCGAACCGGTCATAGTGTTATACCGTATTTCCTAAACCCCGCCCCCCGCCCCCGCCCCCCTTCTCACCTTCTCCCGCAGCTCCGGCGTCACGTCCTCCCAGTAGCTGGCCACGTAGAGCGGCAGGCGGGCGCTCACGTTGAACAGCGGCAGCCGGGTGCCCAGCTCCTCGGTGTGGCGGTAGCAGTTGTCGCGCACGATGCCGTCGCGGATGGACTCCCAGCGCCTGACAGGGCAGGCGGGCAGCGGCGGCGGCAGCAGCATGAACAAAATGCGCAGGCGACAAGGCAGTACCAGCAGGTGATGGGCGTCAAGGAGTAAGCCAAGGAAGTACCCGGACCTTCAGCCGTAACCTCCATGTCAAATCCCTCCCCCACGCAAGCCGCCCTCCACCTCCTCCCCGCCCTCACTTGCAGTGCTCCAACCAGTCATTCTCAATTCGCAGGTGCAGGAAGTTAAACCACGGCTGCTGCTGCAGCTGTTTGGCTTCTGCTTTCCCCGCCGCACTTCGCTGCTGCTGCTGCTGTTGCACTGCGCTGTCGCCTTGCTGCACTGTGGAGGCGTCACGTGCGGCGGCGGCGGCAACGTTGCTAATGGCTCGTGTGACGTGTTCCACCACCTCTGCTGCCTGAGGGGATGGAGCGGGATGCAGGTAGAAAAGAGGGAACTGGGAAAGTGCATGCAAAAGGTTTGTAATCCGGTGCAGTGCTGGGTCGGGGGAATATCCGGGGGTGCAAATGGAAACAGCAACATTGACAGGGAACCAGGGCATGGTTTGATTGGTTCTTCTTTGCTAGGGGTTCCCCTACCCTTGAGCTCCTCTGCCCATGCCCTTAATGCCCTTGATCAGTGGAGTATAGTGCTGTACGGTACTGCACTCATGCGCAGGGCGTGCGCATGTAAACTTTAACCCAACAACCCCAACTTCATTACACTTCAACCAAACCTCCAAGCCCCTCTACCTCCTTGCTAGGTCGCAGCCCGCTCAGCACAGCCCACGCCAAGTTGCCGTCCTCCGTCGGCCTCAGCTCCTGCCCTGAGAGCCTGAACAGCGGACAATCAACCGCCAAGTGCGGCCTGCTGCCGTACATTTTAGTTAGCGTGTCGACCGCCCTGCCGTGCATGCTGGATAGCTGTACGGTGGTGTAGGAGGAAGCCGGGGGAGCCTCCGAGGGCAGCAGCAACCGCACGCCCGCATTAGTCATCGTTTTATTGAAGTACGGTAAATCGTACATTTCCTCAAATGCAATCTGCGGAATCATGATGGCAATGGAACAGAACCATGATTGGAACACTTGGATTGGGGTGCGTGGTACATGCAGGCGCATGACGGGCCGCGTGTAAGAAGGCAGCAGTGCGATATTGGAAATTGCTGCTTGCGAGCTCTAGAAGGCATTGGTTCGACACGGAGCAAGTGGTCTGCTCGCTGCCACGGTGATGTAACACACTATGCATACACCCTGTCAAGCATTACGTTGCACTCATTTTTTTGCTCCTCAACATGGGTGCCAAACGTGCCCGAGCCGCTGTCGTACCTTGTTGCTATCGCTGACCAGCACATTGCTATCAGTGCGCTGCAGGCCGTTATCGACGAGCACCGGCAGCACTGCAGCCCGGCCCAAGCGCTTTGCAAGGATAATGCCGTACACCATTGAAAGGCGCTGATTAGCAAAGCCGTTGCAAACGGGAAAGCGCAGCGTTCGGCTGCTGCTGGGTAACTCTAGCAGCGGGCGCGGTTGTCGGGGCGAGGTGATGGATCCAGGATCCGGGAGGTCTGGCGATGGTGGGCCCGGACTAACGGTTTCAACCGCTTTTAGGAGTCGTGAGTCACGGCTGCCAGTGCAGGCGTGACGCCATGCTCCGAAGAAGTAGCCAGACAGGACGAGGAATCCGGCTAGCAAAGCTCGCCGGGTTACCGGTAAACCAACGCCAATTGCGCTCCGGGCTCCCGGCGCATGAGCGCAGCGCTTCGTGCAATGGCCATCCTCCGATATTTTACGAGACAGTAGGCTCATGCTTGCGTGCAGGCCGTGCTAAAGGCTTACTCCCGAGCAGCTATTGCTGGGAAAGACTGAGCGCGGACGTCTGCCCTTTTCGCCAGGTTTGCAGCCGGGATCTAATGGGCAGTGTGTTCTTGCTACTTGGTCAGTGCAATTGCAGTCGGTCACAGGCGTCTAATACTCTCGCCCCGAGTCAGAGCATTTCCGCAGAAGAAGGCTCGAAGCCCCACGACAGACGGAATATTACCAGCAAGTACTTATGCCAACACTATTTTGAAGAAAATGGGGCAAGCGGGTCCTTGGTATCCCCGGAACGATGGTGTCAGACCGTGGGTCAGACGCAGGAAAAGTCAAGTAACGTATTGATGTTGGGAAAGTAAAGCTTCAAAGTTTGAGTTCGCCAATTGAATCCTAATTAGCAGCTAGGTCGGAAGCTCACCCAATTCTTAAGTAGTAAAAGCACTCCTTTCATAGCCAAATTTATATTGTTATATTGGCATGCTACAGAACCGTGTTTTGTTTTGACCAATAGCGAAACTATCCTTTGTTCCTATTGGCTATTGCACGCATTTTCGGTTACTCGATCGTTTTCGGTTACCGCAAAGTACGTTGGGCGAGATCAGGCACAACCTGAAGAAAAGCGCAGGGTGCCATCATTTATACGCACATCTTACGCCCTTAACTTAACACTGACTTACCCCTGCCGTTGGAGTCTACGCCGGAGCGCGGGTACCATTCCACATTAACCGTAGCCTTAGACCGGATGTTCGCCAGAGCGTGTGGGCAAGGGACATTGCGTAACGATTTTTGTAGATATTGGTTACAAACGTTTGCGCTGTCACCGGGGGCACCTACCGGCTTCCTCCTTTAATTCCACTATTCCATAAGCAAGCGTTAGTTACTTGTTGAAGAAGGGAATGGCTATTGGTATTTGCTGAAATCACATCATAGCTTAACATCTTAGCTCAGATGAAGGGGGCGCATCATATCTGCGGAAAGGTCCTTTGCCAGAACCCAACATAGACGTTGCTACGCAGCATGTGGCACCAAATACTCGTATAGGATTGTAATTGGCTCTAGCCAAACGCGAGACGCTGGTACTCCAATGATTACGAAATTTCTTTCTCAAGCGGAAGAACCTGCTGCTCGATACCGCATACCTAAAAATCACGCCTTTTCATCTTCTAAGGAATCAATAAGTAAGCATACCAAGGCCAAGTAACCAAAGCGCAACGCACCAGAATACCGTTATAACAATACGCTGCGCCCGCCATCGGATACCGGTACGCCTACTCGCAAGCAGCCGCGGCTTGCAACGGCCGGGCAGTCGGAGAACCAGGAATGCCTTACGCCGCACAGAAAACGCAGCAACCAGCCGATTTGCCTTCCATAAAGCTTCAACCTTCAAACCACCGTAATGAATGAGGCATGTTGAACCGAGCCCGGCAGCGGCGCTTCCACAAGTAGCTGCCCCGGAAGTTGACCCGCACGCCATCAGGCCCCGTTTTCAGCGCGACACACAAAGTTTGAGGGTGTCCCTGAACCGGCCCGACAACACCTTCGGCAACACGCATACCTCGCGAATGTGGTGGAACATGGAAAGTTCGGAAACCCCTGAATGTGCTACCAGGGAAACGGTGCCCGAACAGCGCTGCGGTCGCTAGTAGCATGTGCAGTAAAGCAGACTCTCCCCTCGCCACCTGCGGCCTCCCTGACGTGTCGCCCAGCCAGCCAGCAGCACAGCCGGCCCGCAGGGAGGTCACGCAACCACTGGCCAGCTGCGAGCATGTTTTGACACACGGCCCTCGCAACTCCCTAGCCCAAACAGCATCCCAACAGCATCCCAACCACGCGCCGCCCGCCACATGAAGCCTCCTCCAGTCAATCCAGAGGTTCTCCATGCAAGCCCGCAAACCCGCACGGCACCCTTCTGACCCAACGCCCTAACAGACCCTACCCCAGCACCCTCCCATGCATGGAGCTTAGTGTTAACTGTTGAGCCAAGACGTCATGCCCACTTACCCACTTTACCCTCCATGGACGTCAATCCTTTCGCCACCACCACCACCACCCCGCCCCATTACATTTCGCCGCCAGGATGCACTGCACTGCAAGGCCAGAAAGAAGCTTCAAGCCCCTGAAAACAACCTCACCCCACGCACATTACATCCCGACTCGCCGCCCTTTTTTACACACACACACACACACACATGCCGTACGCTGCAGCGTGTAAGCTTCTTCCTCACCACCCGACCTCGCTGCTGCCCACGCCTGCTCACTGCACACCCGCCCAACGCGCCATGTCGATAAAGTTCTCGCCTCCGATGACGTTGTTCACGAAGCGGATGGCGACGGTGGTGGCGTAGGCCGCTGCGGGCACCTTGCGCGCAATGGTCATGTCCACCAGCCGCTCCAGACCAAACACAATCTGCGAGGGAGTGCGCAGGAGGGGAACAGGAGGAAAAGGATTGGAATGCTGTACGCACGGAGGCCCAAGTCATATCCAAGTACCAGTAAGCCAGCATGAGGCACGCGAGATCTGACCCTAGAGATAGGTGAAGCGGGCCACGACAACGAACAATACAGAATAGGCGCCAGGACTGGGATGCCCGCCAGGGCGGAGCTCTTCAACACCGACCCCTCGGTCCGTCCCTCCCCATGTCCCAACAATGAGACTTGGCTCTCTCCCTCTCAACACAGTACACAGGAGCCAAGACACCCAGACAAGCACCGTACCTGGTAGCGAGTGTTCGAGGACACTCCCATGAAGAGGCCCCACACCAGCGCCGTCTTGAACAGCGGCGGCACGGGCACATCGTCCTCCTTGGTGCCGTGCATCTGGCGCCTGCGGGGGGGGAGGGAGTTGGGGTTTAATGGCGGTTTGGGTACTCGCAACAGGCTGACAGGTTTATCAGCGCAGCGGCTCCCCGCGCCTCCCTTCCGATGCTTCCAACCCCGCTCCCGCTCCCCCGCCCTGCCGGCAGGGGTTCCTGGGAGCCCCTTGCGACGCATTCACCCACCATCATGCGACCTCATGGAGCCACTGACCACCATGAGGCCCCCCCCACCTGAGCATCATGAGGCCCCCCCCACCTGAGCATCATGAGCCCCCCCACCTGAGCATCATGAGGCTGTTGGCCAGCCCCTGCCCTATGAGTCCGCAGCAGATGCCCGCCAGGCTGTACTCCAGGAACTTGACCCCCAGGCAAGCCACCCGCTGGCCCACACCGTAGGACTTCAAGCCGGGCACCGAGGCCTCGAACACGGCGGAGGGAATGGTGGCCAGCCACTTCTGAAGCGGAGCTGCGAGGGTGCGGGCAGCGTGGAAGGCGAGCGACCGGGCGGGATGAGTCAGGCAGGCAGAGAAAGGGAGGCATGGAGTGAAACGGGCTGCTGATTAACAAGGAGGGCTCGACCACAGGGTTAACTTGGCGGGGCTGGGTGCGGCGCTGGGGTTACTTCCGCCGCATGCCGCTGCAGAGGCCGTTGCCACCTTCTTCCCCCCATACCGTATCACACGGTTCGCTAGTTGTTTCCTCTTTCTTCTCCCCCCCCCTATATCGACCCAACGAATTTGACTATGCGCAATCCTAAAATCCAGCTTAATGCGGAATCTTCATCCATATTAACCCCCTATATCGGTGCCACCCACATGTGCTCATGGCCGCCCGGCTGACACCGCCCAGCACCGCCGCGGGCGCCATCAGCGACACCAGCACCACATCCAGCACCAGACCCACCTGCGGGCAGGCAGGTGGGTGGTTGAGCAAGGGAGTTGGGGAATCAGGAATTCAGGGAGGGGGAAGCCCAGCCGTTGGGGGTAAGTACTTCCTTTGCCGTAGCAATGCCTGCATCCACATTTCCTTGAACGACGGCAGAAACGTGTACCACGGATATCCACTGCCCCGCCCGCTGCCCACGTCCACCCATCCACCACCCCGCCCAGAACACCGTCCTCTTCGGGCTCACCGCACCCCATCCCGCCCTCCGCCACCCCAAAAGCCTCGTCATACAGCTCATCTGTTTCCTCTCTTTATCCCCCCCCCCGCCCCCCGCCCTCCGACCCTCCCCCCACCACCCACCAGCAGATCAGACAGGTAGAACTCAAACTCCGACCAAAAGTCCTTGCCGCGTTTGCGCACCTCCGCCACAGTGGCGCAACCTGGGCAGGGAAGGGGGGCTTAGGTGTGCTGAGCTGCAAGGAAACACTGACTGGGGACGTTCATCGAGGGGGGCCGTTCACGAAGCAGCGGACGAGGAAAGGAGAAGAGGACCCAGCGGAGGGCAGCACGCAGCCGAAAGTAACACGACGTTCCCCGTCAGCCGAGGAGCGTACAGGACCACATAAAACGCGGTGCCTAGGGACCTGCCCCCTGCTGTTCACCCTCCGTATGCGCTTACTGCATGAGTCGGGATATGGGAGTGGGACTCCAGTTGCTTCACTTCCCATTTACATTCCTCACCACCCCACCCACCCCACCCACCCGAGTCGATGACCACCTCCGCGCCCACTTTGAAGAGGAACATGGGGTCAGCCAGGATGCGGTCGCGGAAGTACGGCAGAGTCCGTACGACAAAACCCGTGAAAAACATGCCCTGGGGAGGGGTAAAGAGAAAACAACTAACTGTGTGGTAAGGCGTCATCATGGGGGGAGGGTGGGTGGATGGCGGGGGCGTGGGAACCGGGGACCGCGTTGCGGATGGGGGGAAGCCGGAAGCCTCCGGGAGGCCGGAAGGTAAACTGCTGTGCGAGGTGCGGTTGTGCCTGGGAGCAGAAAGCGTGAAAGATGCAGCCACCCCCCACGCGGCCTCTACGGAACTGCTGCACCCCCCGCTGCGCCCTTCCTTTAGAGTTGTTCGCCTGGACGGCCCCTTCCCAACGGCCGCCCCCCCCCCCGCCCCATGCCATGTTGAAGCCTCGTCATAAAGCTCGTCAGTTTCCTTTCTTCACCCCCGCCCCAACTAAGCAAAGAAAGCGCCTGCTTCCGCGAACACCCGCTCCCTACCCTGGCCGCGAAGAATGCGTTGAGTACGGAGGAGCGCAGTCCGTACTTCTTGGCGATCTCCAACATGTCAGCTGGGAGGCTGACCTTCTTCTCCGCAGCAGCGGCCTCCACCTGGTGCGGCAGGAGCGGGTTGAAGCAGGTGGGAAAGAATAGCCGGTAGGTGTGCAAGAGACGGGAGAGAGGAGGGCTGGGTGTGAATAACAAGCAAGTATGATGGAGCTGTTTATGGAGCAGCAGGAGGGCAGGCGGCGGGTTGGGGCAGCAGGGCAGGGCTGCAGAGAGCAGGGGGAGATGCAGCGGCATCGGGGTGGTGGGGTTCGCGGGAGGAGGCATGAGGATCGAGAAGGGCGGGACGGGGACGTAGTGGAGGGATGGCTGGTGCTGCAGGGGCGTGCAGGTGCTGGTTGTGAGCGGGGCAGTTGGCTGTCGTGGGGTTGTGTTGCGACTGGGGTTAGGCACCTAGTCGGGGCTGCTGTCTGCGAGGCCAGCTGGAAAGTGCGGGAGCCGCAAGCCCGTGTTACGGGGACAGCCGGTCACCCACCTCGGCAATGTTTAGGACACGGTCCTCGCCCTCGTCACCACCCTTGCCGCTGTCATCACCACCGCCACCACCACCACCGCCGCCGCCGCTGCTGCCACCGTTGACACCGCCATCGCCCCCGCCGGTTGCCACCTCCGGTTGCGCATTGCCAGGGGCAATGGGCACAGGAGTGGCCGCTGCCAGCTGTGCGGCATCTGAATTGGCGACTACAGGCGTCTGCGTCGCACTTTCGGCAGATGCTGCCTTGGACCCCTCATCCCTGCCGCTGCTGCTTGGTGCAAGCGCGACAATTGCCGGCACCTACAAGCAGCCGACGTTGTTCTCATACACCCAGCCGTGCTCCTCGATCCATGAAAATATAGGTAATACTCCAGTACTTACAATGCGCGAAACGACAGCCGGCCGACGAGCCGACAAAGGAGCAAGCCCGCAGGGCTTTGCCCTTGCAATTCGCGTAAGGCTCTTGCTTGACAACATGGCTTCAAATGCTAATGGAAAGTCAAACGCCTTAATTTTACGCGCTTGCGGCTTGGTGAACAGACGAGGTGCAACGGGGGTGCGCGTCTACCTAAGGCAGTGGGGCGAAAGTGGAGCTAGGTCAGCGCCCACCCCGCTTTAAGGCAGTAACAACATGAAGGAAGGTCCAGTTGTATGCCGTGGGCATCCTCGGGTTGACGGATTCCCGTGCTTCCGTACATAATTCCAAGAGCCATCTACGATGCCAGCTGCACAACTGCATTTTCGTTTTGCTCTTCAGAAAATAACCAAAAAATCAACAGGAGGCGCTGCTTTCTTAGTCGCCCATATGCTTAATCGGGACAAAGAGCCTGCACTATGCAGGTAGATGTGCAGGCGCTTTAAAGCCAGGAAATGTCTTAGCTGTGAAATTTAAATGCCAAAGCGCAGCGGGTCCGCCGATTATGGGGCCCCGGGGAAGCGGGTTAAGCGCCAAACCGCAGCGTATGACCCGGGACAGCCCATAGACGTTTTGTTGGAGAGGTTCACGGCCCCACGGAAGAAGAACAACGATAGGGCTCGATCCAAGCCAGCGACGGTGGGTAATAAATTAGAAGGACACACCAGTAAATAATTTGAAGGATGAGCAACAGGCGCTGCAGGGCACAGAGCCATTAATGTGATTCCAGCATTTTATTCTTTGCACTTCTGTGGCATTACTCCTGTGCAAATCCTGCTAGGCTTTAAGGCCGAGGCTTGCGGCCGTTGTATCTAGCCGACCAGCACTATGGCTAACTTGTGGGGACCCTCCAAAGCGGGCGCGCCTGATTGGAGGTAGGTCTCTTACGCCATATTATAGCGTTCTCAACAGCAATCTGTTAACATATGCATGGATTCGGTGGCTATTCCGAGGCTGTCCTTTTAGGGCTCTGTAAACATACTTTACACCGGCGTGCTCACTTCTTCCCTGGCGTGCATGCCGCAGGCCATGACGCTCTAGTCCATAACATTGAAGTCATCTGCGGCTGTCCCTGGTGCCTCGAGCTGGACGGTGAGGACGCCGATGCCTCGGAGGATGACACCGCAGCGGCACGCTCACAGCAGGCCGGCCCCTCCAATGCGCGACAGCCCGGGGCAGGACCATCGCGCCAGGCCGCACCGCCTCGCTTCCGTGGCAGGGTCTTCAACTTGCCGCAGTGGTACGAGCATTGCACCGGGTGGCGGGTGGTGGGTCTCGACCCCGACAAGCACCCGGCGGAGTTCCGCGATTTGCTGCTGAGCGTTGTGTACGTGGCTGGCGCGGAGGGGGAGGAGGCGAGGGGGCGCAGCAGCGATGGCGGAGCTGGGGAAGGCGCCGCCGGGGTGAGCTGGGAGGGATACCCGGAACTGCCGTAGTAACGGGGGTGTAGAAGTACGGCAGGTGGCTATGTACACGACACGCGTGTAACCTGTAAGCACCGCACGTTTGTGCGTGGTAGCTAGCGGATGCGCGCCTGAACGAGGCATGACAAACAATGTCCCAATAGCTCAGTCCAGTCCCTTCCAAACCAAGTGTCTTCCAACGCGCTCCTTGGCACCTGCTGCTGGTGGCCCATCCTCTTTCATCACCACCGCCCGCCTCCGCACCAGCAGACCTCCGCGCGGAAGTCCCTGCGGCGCTACCTCCGCAGCCTGGCGCGCTCGGAGCCGCGGACCGGGCAGCGCGTGCACGTCTACTACAACGACCAGCCGCCGGACGGCCGCTGGTTCTCCGGCACGGTCCTGCAGGCGGACAACTCGACTGCCGTACTGACGGTGCGGAAGGAGCTATAGCGGCTGGGGTGCGAGCTGACTTGGTTACGCGGGGTCTTGATTGGGTCCGCGGTCGACCGCGTTTTATGGTGGCATGCACGTGGGTGCGTGATGATGTGCAGTCGGCCCACGCGCCGTGTCCATTGCTCTCTCACCGCCGCATGCTTACGCAGGTGTTGTGGGACGCCTGGACGGACGAAACGGGCCAAGTCAGCGAAGCGTGTGAGGGGGAGGTGCTGCAGGGGGTCACGCTGCTGCACTTTGGGCCGCAGCCGCCGCCTGAGACCGGAGCGGTGGACCCGACGGCAGCAGTGGCGGCGGCCGGGCAACCGGCAGCGGCGGCCGGCCAACCGGCAGTAGTGGCGGCGACGGCTGGGCAGTCGGTAGGTGCTGCCGCTCTAGCGGCAGCCCCTGACAATGTGGCAGAACCGGAAGTGAACGGTCAGCAGGAGGTTGCGGGAGGGCCCAGTGACGGGGGAGCCGGGGCAGACCCAGCAGCAGGAGCGGCGGGAGGCTCAGGGGCGGGCAGGGCGGGTGGGCTGCCGGCGGAAGACAGGTCTAGGCAGCGGGACGGGTCGCCGGGGTCGGGGGCACCGGAGCTGGCGCAGGCCGCTCTGCGGGGGGAGCCACAGCGGCCGCCGGAGGAGGAGCAGTGGGAGGCGCAGCTGGACGAGCAGGAGCCTGTGCTGCAGGCATTCCCGCAGCAACCGAGGCAGCAGAGGCCGTCAAAACGGAAGTCTTTGCGACCTCAGCACCTACAGAAGCCGTCGCGGCAAGGGTCGCCGGAGCTGCAGCATGCGCAGCCGGAGGGGCCACCCCAGGGAGCACAGCAGGTGGCTGCGGGGGCACCTCAGCCGGTGCATAGCGTGGAGAGGCCGCCATCGCAGCAGGAGCAGCAGCAGGTGCAGCCTCGCCGGCCTGATGAGCCGCGCCCTTCCCGGGAGCGACCACGTCACCCATCGCTAAACCCAGCTCGGCAGCAAGAGCAGGAGCCTCGGCCGCAAGTGGCGGCGGGGTCCGAGCCCCGACGGCAGCAGCAACGTGAGTCACAGGCTCTGCGTGAGGCCGGGCCTTCAAGAGTGGAGCCGCAGCTATGGGGGCAGGAACCGACGGAGCAACATGCAGCAGAACCGCCCCCGGTGGACGCGCGAAACGAGCAGGAGCAGGCGGTAGGGGGTCCAGATGAGCGACCACCGGTGCAATCGCCCCCTCCAGGGCCGCAGCCAGAAGGCAGTCAGCAACCTAAGAAGCTGAAGAAGCACAAGGATAAGAACAGGCGGAGGCTTGTGATCCTGGATAGCAGCCAGGAAAACGGGGCGAGCGACGGCAGCGTGTTACGGCTGGGCACGGGTGATAGGGCGGCTTCTGTTGGGGAGGTCAAAGCAAAGGACAAGACCAAGGAGAAGAAGAAAGCGAAGCAGGGAGAGAAGGATAAGGGTACGGGTGCACCTAACCGGGAGGAGGAAACGCACCAGCAGCAGCCACCGCGGCAGCTGTCCCTGGCTGGCGAAGCAGGGCCGTCCAACCCAGTACAGACAACATCAAACCGCGCGTCACCCCCCAGCGATCAGGATGCTGCTAAGCGGCCTGGAAAGCGTCTGCGGGCGGCCCCGCAGCAACCCACATCCGCACCACCACCACCGCCGGAAGCGCATGCTCCCCAGCTGCCACAGGACCCGCCCCACGAGCTGCCGGGAGCTCCACCGCAGCTCCTTCCGAACAGCCAGGACAAGTCCCTGAACACGATTGACCTGGCGTTGATGCTGGCGGAGCGGCGTTGCGGGGCGCGCTCCAACGCTGCGGCGGCGCACGACCTGCCGCCTGGCGCCGCCGCCGGCGCGGCAGCAGCCGCAGACGGCGACAAGGCTGCCAAGAGACGGAAGAAACGGAAACATAAACGCGCCAAGGAGGGAGAGGCCGGTGCTGGCGCGGGTGTTGCTGGCATGGCGCCGGAGGCTGGCAGTGCAGCAGGCGGAGTGGAAGGGCACCAGGCGCTGCCGCTCCATGCGGAGGTGTTACCTGGAATGGCTGGCGTTGCCGCCACGGGGGATGAGGTCGACGCTGGCCCGTGCGGCGGTCCGCATGCGTGCGGCTCAGCGGAGGCGGAGGGTGCAGCGGAAGGCAGCGACGGCAGGGAGGCTGCTGCACAGCCTCCCTACGCTGACCACGCCCCAGAGGAGGACCAGCTCGCAGGCTCGCCACTAGATGCAGCTGAGGCGCAAGACGCGGATCCGGGTCTGTTTGCGTTTGTGTTGCCTCTGGAGTCGGAGCCGCAAGGCATGCTGCAACCATCCGTGCCGCCGCCGCTTCAGATGGGGAGCTGCGAACTGCCGCCGCCGCAGCAGCAGGAAGCCAGGATGGCGCATGCAGCCGCTTCGTCAGAGTCCCAGGGCGAACCAGTCGAGGGTGTTGAAGCTGGAGCGCCGCGAAGCGAGGAGAGGGGTGAAGGCCAGCGGTCGGCGGGTGCCCATGCGGAGGGGGCAGTGGCGGGGCAGCAGCTGCTGGGGGGCTCCGAACCTCAGTCGTTGCGGTTGGTCCTTTCACAGCATGACACGGCGGACGGGGGCGTCCCTGGTCCGATATGGAACCGGGGTGTGGCGGCCGCGGCTGGCAAGGAGGAGGACGGTGGGCAGGATGCGCAGCAGCCACGGCTGGGAGGGCGACACGCTGCCGTACAGCGTCCATCGGCGCCTGCAGAAGATGGCCTGCGGCGGGTGCCGGAGGATGCGCCCCTGGCCGCGGCGGTTGGTACGGCATCTACAGCGGGTGCTGGTACCGCAGTCGCTTTGGAGCGCGAGGTCGCTCCTGGCGTTGAGGCCGCTGGGGCAGGTGAGGCCGCTGCTGGGCCCGTGGGGAATGACGGCAGCGCCAGCCCCAGCGACGACGACGGCGAGGTTGCCGTACAGCGGCTGCTTGCGGCCATGCACACCGACAGCTGCAGCACCTCAACGGCTAGCGGCGATGCGGCGGCAGCGGGAGAGTCTGTGGGGGCCGATGAGGGTGCGATGAGCGGAGGACTGCCTGTGCGGCACGGCGTGCGAACACAACTGCTAGCACGACCGGCGGCGGCGCACGAGCCGCTACCCAACTTCATGATGCGGAGTCCCCCCAGCGGTGCTGCAGCTGGAGGCCGCGGCGCCGGTGACGTCTTCACAACTCCGCCTTCCCTGCGTCGAATGCGTCATCGCATCGTCACCGCTAGGAAGACGCCAGGGGAGCCTGCGGTGGCGGCGCGGGCGGCAGCGGCCGCTACTGGCGGCGCTGCTGGGGCCGCGGCACCTGCCGATGAGTACGAGCTGCACTCCATGACGGTGTCCCGGGCTAGCAGTGAGTACCGCAGTGCATGCAGCTCACAGGAGGGGGCGGAGGGCGGGGCGACGGGCCCTGGCGGCGGCGAGGGAGGCCCGGGCAGCGACAAGGAGGAGGTGGAAGAGGCTGCCGAGGCCTTTGGCACCGCCCCGGAGGAGCTGGCGAGTGGGGAGGGTAATGCGCAACCTGATGGCGAGTCGGGGCAGAGCCCTCCACCACCTGATGAGGAAACGGAGGAACAGCCGCAGCAGGTTCCGGAGCTGGAGTTACCGGAGCTGGAGGAGGAGCAGGAGCGGCGACAGGAGCCAGCGGATGACGGCGTGCCGCAGCCACAGCAGCAGCAGCAGCAGGGGGGCGCGGCTGCCCACGCGGCTGCTCAGGAGGCAGCTCAACCTCCTCGGCCGGTGGACGCAGCAGCCGCAGTTCCGTTTGTACGCTTGCATGGCGCCCGGGCCTCCATGCAGGGGGCGCTGCACCCCTCCTGGTATGCGCTTGCGGAGGAGGAGGAGGAAAGCGGGGGGAGTGCCGCAGGTCGGGACCGGGCGCCAACGGATGGCGGTTCACAGGGGGAGGCTTTGCAGGGGCCGCCGCAGCAGCTGGCAGCTGTAACAGTGCCAGAGGCGGGAGCTGAAGCTCGCTTACCGAGGTTGCCTCTGAGGGCTGTCGCGGTGTTGTCAGGCGAGGGAGTTGCTGCACAGCAGCTCCAGGATGGGGAGGGCGAGGCAGCGGGAGAGGGTGCTGACAATTCGTGTGAGCTTCCTGCGACCACCACCACGAACGGCATGGCGGAGGCAGCTCCGTCGGCAGCGGGCGTGGTGGGTTGTGCCGCAAGCAGCCGAGCCCCTTCCCCTCACATTGCCGGTCCTCCTCCTCCTCCTCCTCGGAGGGAGCCAGGGGTTACAGACAGCCGCGAAGACCGGCCCGGCGCTCTGGGCGGTGCGCTGCCAGCAGCAGCAGCGGCTGACACGCACCCGGGACATCACCACAACCAGGAGTCGAGTACGCAGCCTCAACTCATCCTGCCACCACCCAGCTCGCTCCTACAGCACCTGCACAGCTCTGATCTGGAGCCGCCGCAGCAAGATGAAGAGTTCGGCGGCTACATCGGCCTCGCCATCCCTGTAGCAGGAGGAGCTGCTATCAGGACTAGCCGTGGCTTAAGCCTGAGCGACCAGTGCGGGGGCGGTGTCACCGCGGGAGGCCGCCGGGGTCCTCTTCTCCGCGCTGTGAAGGAGACGGCGGACCGGATCGCCCCTACCATGCATTCAGCTGGTGCCCCTGCTGACGTCACTCCTCTCCAGCCAACCGCCCCCCAGCACTGCTGTCTGCAGCTGCTGCTCTGCAACGCAGCCAACCCCGACAACACGCGTGTGGCGCCGCAGCACTTCCGCTGCCTGGAGGCCGCGCTGCAGCTCCTGACGCGCAGCGACGGCCCGTCTCCCGCTCTTCTGCGCGTGCATGGTCCCGAGCCGCACCCCCGGGCAGTGGCCACGGACGCCAGCCTGCTGCGCCTGCCGCCCGACCTGCAACGCGGCTACCACCTGCAGCTGCAGGCGGCCGCGACGGGTACGGGTGCGGGTAGCACCGTTCGGCCTGGCAGCCATGGTGCCGCAGGTGGAGGAGGTGCAGGTGCAGGGCCGCATGGGGCTGTTGCTGCCGCGGGGCGCTGTGTGGGATCTGCGCATGTCAACGGTGGCGGTGTCGGCGGTAGTGCTGTCACGGGCCATCGTGTTGGAGGCGGCGGAGGCGGTGTCGCCTCGGCGGTTGGTCTGCGCACCGGTGTCGCTGGTAGCGGCGCTGGCGGGACGGGCAGTGGTGCAGGCAGCGGGACGGCGGGGGCGGGAGCCGAGCAGCTCTGTACGACCTACTCGCTGGTGTGTCGCCCGCCCGTCGCGGCTGCTGCGAAGGCACTATCCGGGGCCGCTGGCGGCGGGGCGGAGGTGGCTGCTGGGGTTGAGGTGGAGGTGCAGGTGCAGCTCCACACGTGCGCCATCCGCGGCGCTGTGGGGCTGCATCAAGTGGGTCTGAAGCTGATGCTGCTGAGGAGGGGAACGCCACAGGGATCGTCGTCGCAGGCTGCTGCTGCTGCCCCTGCTGCTGCTGCTGCTGCTGCTGCTGCTGCTGCTACCAGCACAGCTGGAGCGGGGAGCAGCCATATGGACTGGCGTGCCGCGGTGTTGCTGGCTGCATGGCTGGGCTGCGGGCTGTGCCAGGTGGCGGCGCTGCCGCCCTCGCAGGAGGCAGCGGGCGCGGGGCTGCTGCGGCGGATGCTGCAGCCCGCGGAGCTGCTGCTGCCGCTGCTACCACAGCAGCAGCCGGGTGGCCCGCTGCCGGCTGCTGGGGCCGCGGTGGAGCCGGGGCCGCATGGTGTGCAGCCGCGCATGCCACAGCCGCAGCAAGGGCTGCAAACTAATCATGAGGACTCGCCGCAGGCTGTGTCAGGAGCCCAGGAGCGCGAGCAGCCAGCGTCTTCTTCCTTCCCAGCTGACCATGCTGAGCTGGCGGCGGCGGCATTGCGCTTGCCACAGCAGCACTCCGAAAGGCCTCCGTCGGAGCTGGACCAGCAACCCCTCCTGACCACCCAGCAACCCGGGCCCCTGCCGCCTTGGCTCGAGCAGCAGCAGCAGCAGCAGCCACATGCCGCTGAAGCACTGGGGCACCCAGGAGGTCCCGTGGCAGCCCTCCGGCAGCAGGAGGAGGCGGCCGCGACAGGCGCTGCCATGACGCCTGGTGCGCAGCAGCCATCGCCCGGGGCCCCGCAGGCCCCCTCGGAACCAGAGGCAGGACTAACGGAGGTTCCTCTTGCCACAGACGCTTCTTCTTTGCCCGGTGGCGACAGGGGTGTTGCAGCTGTGGGGGGAAGCGGTTCTGCCGCTGGTGCTGCCGCCGCCGGCTGCAGCCAGGGTGCTGCTACCGGCGGTGAGGCGCACCCTGACCCCTGCCTTGGTTCAGGGGGCGTTGCAGCTGCTGCGGATTGTGCTGTTGCGATGATTCCCGGCACGGAGGACACCGAGGACTTTGTCCCCGCCACAGCTCCGGACGCGGATGAGTCTCTCCAGCGGCTTCTGGCGTCACCTGGTGGCTACGCAGCTGCAGCAGCCGCGGAGGATGATGATGATGCGGATGATAATGGGATTGCCGCCCTGGGTGGTGATGGTGATGGTGCGGTGGCGGCTTCTCCGCCCCATGCAGCAGCAGCTGCTGCTGCTGCCCCCGTCGGAGCATCCCCCAGCCAGGCCGCCGCGCTAGGCACATCACCACCACCTCCTACCACCACCCACGGCAACACCACCACCGCCACCGGAAGGGCAGCCCACACCAAAACCAACAACACCCAAGAAATCGCAAGCCAGGAGGCGGCTCCGGCCGACAGCTGCAACACCGCCGCCGCGGAGGGCTGCCACCGGGAGGTCACCTGCGGCAACAGCGGCAGGGATGGTGTCCCTGACACGGCCCTTGATGCGGCCCCTGCTGCTGCTGACGTGGCAACTATTGGTGATGACGTGCCACCAGCAGTCCTAGCCGGCGACCCGGAGCCTGCTGCTGCCGATGCTCCGGGTGCCGCGGCGGTTCGCGCCCGGCAGCAGGCCCTCCGCATGGACCCGCTGTTGTTGTGCACTGCGGAGGAGTTCGGGCTGCTGCCGGAGCTGGTGCCGCTGCTGGAGCGACTGCCCGCGCGGACGGACCTGCCGGAGGGGGTGAGGGAGGGGGTGAGAGAGGGGGTGAGGGAGGCGCCGGGAGGGGAGGGGAAGAAGAAGAAGAAGGATTATGAGAGCCATGCGTTGATTGGTAGTGAAGGCGTGGAAGGGGTGGGGGAGAGGAATGAGGACCGGTGGCGTGATGTGGAGGAAAGGGGGGGGAAGGGAAGTGAAGGCAGGAGAGGCGCCCGGGGAGGGGATTGGGTTTGCGGGTGGATGGCTGGAGGGGAGGGTTGAAGGCAGGTTGCACTTGGTGTTGGTGTGGAGGTGAAGGCTGGAGTGGTAACGGTGCATCCTCAGCTCCTTCTTACACGTTACGCCCCAACGCTGCACCCCCTGCACGCCCCTCCCTCCCGCAGGTCAACGAGTCGGCCGTCCAGTTCATCGCCCGGCTCTCACGCGTGGCGCATGCAGCGGGCGCCACCACGGTGGCCTCGGGGACCGCCACCGCAGCACCCCTCGGAGCACCCAGTGATCCCACTGGCCCCGCGGAACGGCGAACCATGCTCGCGGCATGCAACGCCGTTACGCAGCTCATCTGCCTGTATCGAGTGGCGTCGGTGCTGCAGCTGCTGGACGTCCCGGGGGCCGGCAACACCAGCACGGAGCCGCGACAGCAGCCGCCGCCGCCGCCGCAGCAGCAGGCGAATGGGTCCTCGGGCTCTGGGACTGTTGCTGGGGCATCAGCCGTGGCGTCAGGCGGAGGCACGCAAGTGGGGTTATCGGTGGTAGAAGCAACGGTGGAGGGCGGCGCAGTAGCAGCTGCCGTTCACCGGCAAGGAGATGCGGCTGTGCGGGATGCGGCTGCGCAGCCGCCAGCGCAACCGCAGCAGCCGCGGCAGGGGGGTGTTGCTGCGGGCGGTGGCGGCGACGGCGGTCGGGGTCGCGCCGGCCTGGCGTTCCAGTGGCTGCGGGAGCTGTACGGGGCTGCACGATCGGTGTACCGAACGGTGAGGCGGGGGGAGGGGGCGAGGAAGAGAGGTGCGGTTGCATGGTGGAACTTGAAGAGGGGTGCATCGGCTGCTGCTGCTGTGGGCTGCTCCGGGTGTTGGTGGGAGGGGCATGCTGCATTTGCGTCCTTGGCTCAGTCCCGATGTAGCATCGTGTGCATCGTGTCAATAGGGGCTTGCAGTCTTACCCACTGGCGTTGCATGACGCCCCTTCATGCCTTGCCTTCTCGGCTGTTCCTTTTCACCCGGCCGCCTTCCTCTGCAAAACCTGGCATATATGTGAACCCCGCATGCGCAGAGCGAGTTTTGGAGGTTCATCGATCGGCTCTGCCGGGTGCTCCGCGGATTGGAGGAGCGTCACGGCCGCTTTGCGAAGATCACGGAAAGGAACGTGGAGGTGCGCCACAGGGAGGGCTTGTGGGTTACATCGCCGCTACGCCCAACAGCCGTTTCCTAACCCTGACGCTTGCACGAGCTGCCTAACCCTTCCATTCTAAATCCTATGACATGCACTTACACTCGCAAATAACGTTACGAATACCGATTTTAACCCAACCATGCCGCCCGTCCCTCCGCCTCGCCCCAACAGGCATTCATGATGGTGGTGTTCGCCTACCGGCGGCCTGAGCAGACGGTCGCGGAGGGTGAGGCCGAGAGCCATCTGCTGCAAGTTGCCTGGGACGAGATCCTGGAGGCCCACCGCCGCCGCCAGCAGGAGCAGCAGGCGGAGGCGGCCGCAGCAGCCGCGGAAGAGGGCGCTGCCCACGAGCCGGCCGCACCTGTGGGGAGAACTGCTGAAGCGGCCGCGCCCGTGCCGCAACATCCGGCTCCTCCTTCGCAGCAACCATCTCAGCAGCAGCAAGCGGCAGTACAGCCACAGCCCGTACAACAACTTGCCGTACAGCAGCAACCAGTAGTGCAGCAGCAGCAGCAGCGGTTGCGCGAACGGCTTCAAGAGCACTTGCCCGCACACCTGCGCAACCTTGCACCGCAGGCCCAGCGGGCGATGCGGTCGGCCTCACAGGGCCAGGCGGGCCCCTCACAGCAGCCACGACAGCGGCAGCAGTCACAGCAGCAGCTGCAAATCGCTGTACCGCAAGTACCAGGCATGCAGGGCCGGGCCCTCGCGCAGCTGCAGCAGCCCATGCAGCAGCAGCCCATGTTGCCCAGGCCTCAGCAATCGCAACTGCCATGCCACCACCAGCAGCAGCAGCAGCCCATGCAGCAGCAGCAGCCAGCAACAGCCGCAGGCGACGTGTTGATTCGCATCCTGGGCTGGACACCCATGCAGGCCGCTGTCAACGGCACTCGGAACTACACGTTGAAGTTCGAGTACGATGGAGTGACGCTAAACACCATGTTTAGCGTGCAGGTGAGGATGTCAGCATGCCACGTTTGACTGGTGGCCTTTGTGAAAGTGCAGGGACCTGTAACTGACCCATAGCCTCGATGCATGACACATGTGCACAAAGCCACTGGTCATAGTGCCATTCCTTTACAGGCAATTATAACTAACGGGTTTGCGTTACTGTTAAGGTTGCGGGTTTGCGTTTGCATCAACCCTGATGGCGCCGCCGTCCACAGGCTTCTCAGGAACCTGAGCTGCAGTCTTCGGTGGGCGCGGAGCGCTCTCTCTCCACCAGCATGGTTGCGGCTGCCCTTGTTGAGCTGCTTCGCTCCAAGTCGTGTGTGGTACCCCTGGAGCTGGAGCAGATGGCCGCGGGAGTGGGCGGCACGCTCGCGACGCTGCAGTCGGTCGCGGCAATGCTTCGGTTGTCGCAACTTATGGCACAGCAACTGCGACAGCACGGTCGGGAGACCATGCAGCAGCTGCGACAGCAGCAACAGCAACAGGCGTCGCAGCAAGCGCAGCAGCAGCAGCAACAGCAACAGGCGTCGCAGCAAGCGCAGCAGCAGCAGCAGGGTTTGAGCCAGCAGCAGCAGGTGTTAAGCCAACAGCAGCAGCAGCAGGCGTCGCAGCTAGCGCAGCAGCAGCAACAGCAACATATGTTGAAACAACAGCAGCAACAGCTGCAACAGCAGGTGTTAAGCCAACAACAACAGCAGCAGCAACAGATGTTAAGTCAGCATCAACAGCAGTTGCAACAACAGCCCACCCAGGTGCTGCACTCCCAGCTGCAGCCAGGCACGCAACCCTCACCACACACCACTCCCCGCGCAGCTGCGGCCGCACCCACCGCCTTCTCTCCTGCTGCGACTGCTGTGGGCATCGCCCCAGCCATGCAAGGCCCAACCGCACCCGCCGCCGTCTCACCTGCGGTCTTCCTGTCCGCAGCTCGGCTGCTCCAGGTAGCAGCCGTGCGGGCGCAGCAGCAGCAACTTGCGGGTGCCATGCAGCAGCAGCAGCAGCCCCCGTTGCAGGGCGCCTCTCCCGGTGCCTCCCAGGCCCCCCTACATGGCGCCTCGCTGGCTGCAGGAGGCATGGTCGCCCTCCCGGTACAACAGCAGCAGCAGCAACTGCAGCAGCCTACCATACCCGCAGTGGCAGCCGCTGCACAGCAAGGGGTTGCGGTCAGCAATGGCATCCCGGGTTTGGCGCAAGCCGGAGTGTATGCAAGCGGCCATTCGGGTCAGCTGCAGTTGCCACAGGCGGCAGCTGTGAGTACGGGGTTAGGGCCCGGAGGCGGTGGTGTGGTTATGGGTGCGTCTCCCACGCATGTGCAGCAGCAGCAGCCAGTGGTCTGTCCTCCTCCGCACCCTGCTGCGGCGATGCAGATGTCTCCGAGCCAGCTTCAGCAGCTCTGGCAGGCGCATGCGCTCCAGCAACAGCAACAACAACAGCTGCAGCAGCAACAACAGCTGCAGCAGCAACAACAGCTGCAACAGCAACAACAGCTGCAACAGCAACAACAGCTGCAGCATCATGCGGCGCAGTATGCCCAGCTGCAGCAGCAGCAGGTGGTCTCGTACCCCCAGCAGCAGCCTCTGCAACAGCAGCAGGTCTTACAATACTCTCAGCAACAACCCCAGCCACAGCAGCAGCAGCAGTTGCAGTTTTACCCCCAGCCGTACTATCCGCACCCGCAGCAGCTGCATCCTCAGCACTGCCTCCCGCAGCAGCAGCAGCAGCAGCAGCAGCAGCAGCAATACCCGCTACAACCGCACGTGTCACCGCAGCAGCATGGCGGCCCACAACAGCCGTCTAGCGCGGCAGCTGTGTCTCCAGGGGCCCAGCAACTGCCCCCGGCACCCAACACACCCACAGCTGTCGACTCTCAGCCCGCGTTGGATCCCACACAGTATGCGGGGCCAGCGGCAGGGGGTTCTCAGATTGCGGCGAATGGTGCGTTGAATGCCAACTTTGGAGGCATGGGAGCCGGGGCTGGACAGCGGTAGGACGTTGGGGGTATAGGGTGATGTAGGCGCCAGTATGTATATGTAGGCGCCAATGCCGGTGTTGCCAAGGATGGAGTTCGCCGCCGTGCTTAGGTTGTAATGACCGGTGCGCCGTAGGTAGCATGCATGGAGCTTTTTGTGGTGGGGGCAATGAACACTGTGGGACAGCATAGAATTTCTACGAGGGTTTTTTGCGTTTGTAACTGGCCATGGCCGTGGTTCTTGCATTGCATGTATGTGGAGACGTGCACTGTTGACTGTCGGCTAGCTCTTCCTCGTTATCGGCACAACACCCTCCCCCCGGGCACCTGTTGCTCATTTGGTGCCCTAGGACTAGTTTAGGGTTATCAGGATTAAGATTGTGTAGTGTAGTGTAGTGTAGGGTGTTAGTTTCGAAGGCAGGTGTAGAGCAGGAACGTATAGGGGCTACTGCCATACATTTTTCCGCTAGCTTCCAGCTTAGGAGAGTTCATCTAATTTCCAGCTCATGTGAGAAGACGCTGCTGTATACCGGTAGTAGGCTTAAACTGCGACGACGCAGGCGCTTCACGCGCAGACCCTTATACGAAAGAGGTCCTTGCTGGACCGCAAGGCAAGCGACAGCGGCGCTTTGCCGAGTGGAGTAGTTGATGTGGATCGTGTGCCTTACTGTGCCGAGATTGCGCCCACCTTTACAGGCGCAACCTTCTGGTAACTCTGCACCTCCCTCGGGGCGAGCCTTAACGCCGCATCTGACATATGTCGTCACATGCTGACCGACCTATGAAGACAAGGAAGCGCCGCAGCCCAGCTATCCCCTTCCCGAGGTACAGCAGGCTAAACCCATACCTGCGTCCCGTCTTTCCTCGCTCTTTCCGCGCTCTCTAGCTAGCCGGCGCAGCGCAGCCGCCCTCCGCGCACCTAAAGCCCCACATCCGCAACCCAAGCCGCGACTCCTCTCTCCACACATCTCTGCACCATCAGCCCCACTCGCGCGCGTGAACTTGCTCGCTTGCCATGCACGAACGCCCGCACACACCCCTGCACCTCTGTCCTATCCTTGCGGCTCTGCAGACTCTAATCGCCCGCTGTCCCGCTGCACGCATCTCAACCGCACTGCCCCCCCTACTGCGTCTGGATGTTGAGGGAGATGTCCAGCGCGGACACCGAGTGCGTGAGCGCGCCCACACTTACAAAGCTGACCCCAGTGGCAGCGATGGTGCGCAGCGTGGACAGCGTCACGTTGCCCGAGGCCTCCGTCTCCGCCAGGTCACCCAGGCGAGCCACCGCCTGAGGAACGAGGCCACGGTAGGGCGCAACAGAGTCACTTTTGACGAATCCGGGAGGGGACAAGAGGCCCGGCCCAAGGCAAGAGGCGGCCGGCAGTTCAGTAGCAGGTCAGTAGCGGGGCGGTGAGGAGGCGCCGGGTAAGGAGACGTGGCACTGCAGTGACATGGACATGCAAGCCGATACGCTGCTCGCCACCAGCCGCCCCTCCGGCACCCACCTCCGCCAGCAGCGATACGTCCACACCGCCCTCCTTGGAGGCGTCCTTCTTCGCCATGTTGTCCAGCATCACTCGCGACACAAACATGCCCAGAGGCGGCGCGGCAGCCGCGTCTCCCTCCTTTGCCGCTTCGCCGCCCTCCTTGGCTGCCTTGGCCGCCCGCAGCATGGCCGCCACGTCGTCCACCTCCTCCAGTGTGGAGGTCTCCACCTCAATGGTCAGGGAGCCCGCCAGGCCCTGCTGCCTGCCAGGCCAGTCAGCCAGAAAAGGAGCGGGGAAGGAGAGATGCGGGAGTGGCTTGGCAGGGAGTCAGGCGGTAGCATGCACAGGCACATCTCGCATGCAGGCACCAGTACTGGTACGAGCAGCATATGTGATGGAATCGCTCGCATCCTTTCCGAGACCGACAGCAAACTGTTCTGGATGTGCCCAAGGCCCCCATTCCCTGGCGTCGCCATCCACTCTATTATACCCCGCCCGCTGCATTAGCCAGGCCAAGGAAACTGTATACCCGTGTCTTGGTGTCTACTCCCGTGTTTCACTCTACCGGTATCATCTCATGCAACCCGCCGCCCAGCCCGGCCTGTAGCTCGCGGGTCGCACCTGATCCACTCCTCCGCGCGCTTCACCGCCGGCCGGATGCCGCCTGCCGCCGCGATGTGGTTGTCCTTGATCATCATCATGTCGAACAGACCCATGCGGTGGTTGCTGCCGCCGCCAATCAACACAGCCCACTTGTCAAGCAGCCGCAGACCTATGCCGGTCACACATCAGCAGCGCAGTTCCAGCGGGGTTGCGGAGGGTCAGGACAAGTCAGTCCTGGTTCGTATGGACTTGTATGGAGTTGGATGCCCGGCAGCGGGGCATACTCGCATACAGGCTGGTTCTTGCAGCTAAGCGTTGCATGTGTCTCCCACCGGAACGCATGCGCCCAGTTCCCGCTTTACCCGCCTACCTGGCACCGTCTTGCGCGTCTCCAGCACGCGGGTCTTCAGTCCGTCCAGCGCCGAAACCATCGCGGCGGTGGCGGTGGCAATGCCGCTCATGCGCTGCGGATGCAGATATGGTTTAGTCGGTTGTCACAGCTGGTCACATGGTTAGTTTTTCCCTCGTTTCTTCTCCCCCCTGGCGCACCTGCATGAAGTTCAGCATGACTCGCTCCGCCACCAGGATGGCCCGCGCACTGCCGTGCAGCACACCCAGCACCTGGCCGGGAACGACGCGGTCGCCATCGCGGGCGCGCCACTCAGCCTGTGAGGAGCAAGAGGGGTGGTGTTGTACGGCGACCATGCGTTGACCTAACTGAAGGCCGAACCCACGCGGCCATGCCTTGCCTTCACGGTCGGGTCGACAGCTGCTAGCACCTCGTCTGCCACACCCAGTCCTGCCAGTACGCCATCGCTTTTGGCTGTGAACGTCGCCGTAGCCTGGGTGTCCTCCGGGATGCTGTAGAGGTAAAAGGCAACAAATGATGTCAGTTGGTTGGCACGGACTGCGGCGTGGGTAAGAAAAAAGCCTGTGCCTTTCCTTATACTCCATGGTTGTCATAACGAAAGTGTGTTCATAAAGCGCATATGATTTGACCCGCCAAGCTACTCGGCAAAAGGATTAGGCATCCACGCGACTTACGTAGCAATCGTCGTCACATCGCCACGGTCTCCAGCGTCCTCTTCAAGAGCCGCTCGAATGACCTATAAGTAAATCATGGTTTTATATCTGTCTGAACACTGAAGCCAGCCAAAGCAATAGGCCGCCGTCTACCTTCGATATGCTGACTGTGGGGTGTGAAGGGCAAGGAATAGGTACATAATCCCTGCGTGGGTAAAGATTCGCCTACTTAAGAGGTAAGCCGATGGGGCAAAGTACGTTGATAATATGCCTACTTAGCAGCCATTGCGACTTGTGTTGAGCGCTGATGCGTATGGCCCCTTGCCTTACTATCGTGAAAGGACATTTCCGCCTTGCCCCTGGCGTCATCTGTTCTCTGGTTGTACGGCAACCGCTTCGTGCTGGATCCGTTAGCACGTTTCGCTAGCGGCTAGAGGGATATACCACGGCCTGTTCGCTTTCATAACGTTACAAGGGTAGTGTAAGCGCCGCTTCCAAATGCCGTGCACCAGCGCCAAATGATGCCGGTCCTCCACTCCGCACGAACATCCCTCATTGGCAACACGTCGCCCCCTCCTGCGCCACGTCCCATGCTCAATGGACCCGCCATGTGTAAACAAAACGACATACAGGACAACTTAACACGAACGGCTAGCAACACAAACGGCAGCTTTAGCTTGGTTTACGGAAAGGTGTGCTCACCCAGAAGGGGCAAGTCCAAAGCCAATCTTCACGTGTCATTGCAACGCACAGCTGTCCAGTCGCATGCTCAACAAACCCGAGTAATTAACGCCGTAAAGAGGACCGATTTGCACAGTGTGGCTGCCCCTGGGGCCTTGTAATCGTCCGTACAAACCAAATAAGGGGTTGGGTTTCAACCATGTATAAGCCCTACACGACAGGAAAAGCCCGGCGCCGAGGCGGTAACATAGAGTGACGGCAACACCTTCAAAATGGAGAATAGGACACTAATGCATGCCATCATAGGAATGGTACTATCTTGTGTTGTACGTCTGGGGTGCCCGTACACCCGCTGCAGCTGAAAAGAGCATGCAGCTGTGTACCACACCGGAAGCCCGGCAACAACACGTATGTCGGGACGGTGTCCGGCATGCGGCTACTGCGGCAACCCGGCACACGAAGATAAAACTATTCAACTTCCTCAAGCATCCAATCAGGCGCCGTGCGTGCAGCATGCGTATATGCCCTGCCTGCAAAACCTAGGGCCCATGCGGTCTCCTCAATTAGCCCTCCAAACAGTTCCCCAAACAGCATGCATGGCGCTTCTCCCTTCCGCTCTCTCTTCTCCATTGGTTATTAGGAATGCGGCTAAACGATTGGACCAAACCAAAGATGTACAGTCCAGAAAGCAACGGCGACGCGAAGGGCTTTTCGTTTCAGTCAAACACCGCACCAACCCAAACGCCTACACCCGCATTCGATACTCGCAGTACATGTAGGTCAAAAAACATACTCCTATCGTTGTTAGCGTAACAATAAGTCGAACCCCACATGATCGTTTTGGAAAGAAGCCTTAAACAAAAACGGGCGACAAGGGCACCCCCATGCGGAATCACCCTGACGCCTTGGTATGTACGCCAGACAAACACGCATGCAAAGGCGGGGCATCGAGGCATTCTCTTGAGCGGGAGAGGACACGTTGATCCAAACCGCAATGGCCGGTCTTCACATATCAAACAAGTGCATGTACATAACGTCATACGCTTCATTGCATACCTCCTTTGGGTCCCGACCGCGGGTCAGCCTGCCGAAGTGCCGATCGTGATTACCCCGCTATAAGCAAACCCAGAATCCCAGCAACTGTAGTTTAAAGTGTGAGGAAACGCAACGCAACAAACCCACAACGGGCAGTATCCGTCGCAGCTTCAACGCGTCTAGCCTCCTCCTACATAGTATCGTCTTTGACATCCCGCCTTCCCAACTCCAATTTAACAGCGCACCCCAGACGCTTGCTTATCCCAAGCTCTTCTGCTCCGTGGCCCATTCCTACCCTATTGCCGCCCCTCCTACAGTCCTACTCATCCCCACCCTCCATTCCCCCAGGCGTCTCCGGTGTTGCGCGCTTCCGCAGCTGATCACCGCTGGGCGACCTTCTCGGCACCTGCTCGCCACCGGGCGCCGGAGCCGCCGACGACCCCGCGTTGCACCGTGCCGGCCCCTCCTGCGCAAACGACCCCGCGCTACCGGCAGCCGCCGCCGCGGTGGCGCCAGAGGCCGCAGCTGCATGCGCCGCCGCTGCTGCTGCCGCTGCGTGGCGGTGTGCGGAGGATCCGTGCAGCCGTACATCCACCACCACCACCGTCACGTTGTCGCGGCTGCCCTTCGCGAGCGCCGCCTTGGCTAGCGAGCTTGCGGCCTTCTTGACTGCCATCTTGCTGCTCGAGGTGCGCTGCAGCTCGCCAGAGAACTTCTCCAGAGCCAGCGTGCGCGCCTCCTCGTTCGTGAACACGTCCTGCATGCACGCGCATGGGCGTGGCGAGGAGGAGCATGCATGAGGGCGCGTGCGCGCGGCTGAGTTAGTGTTACGCATGGGTGTGGAGAGCTTGCGAAAGGGCGCGTTCGCGGGTATCAGTTGGTCTTACACACGAGCGTAGAGAGCATGGACGTGAAGAGGAGCATGTGTGCAGGCGCATGGGCAGGGGGGGATCCGTGTTGGGAGGCGCTGGCGTGGTCCCAAAAGAGTCAAGACGGCTGCTGAGGTGGGTCCATGTGGGATGAGGTACGGGGCCTGTGGAGCGGGTACGGCATGTCCCAACCCTGCTTCCCCCTGGCGCGTCCGCCCGTGTGTTCCCCTTATACCTTTCACCCAGTGTGTGTATGCCCACTCACCCACAACCCGTCGCTCGCCATGATGAGCAGCTGGTCCTCCGGGCGGCGCAGCACAGAGGTGATCTGCGGTGGCGCGGGGATGTTGTTACCGTTACCGTTAAGCGCACAGCTAATGAATACCGCAATTACATGCCGCTGTCCATGCAGGCCAAGGCGAGGGGCGAGCTGTAACAAAGATAGGGTCAGCAAGGAACGTGGGCAACGCAGGCAACCCGCAGCCAAGGCATCGGCACGCTCTGGTCAGTTAGCCCCTCCCAGCGACTCCTGTTTACCTCGGGCTCTGCGATGACGAAGGGCCGCAAGCAGTGGTCGCCAATGGCCCTGCTCACAGCCAGCTCACCCATCACACGATCCCACCACACATAGCCCCCCGCCTGCTCCACACGTGCCTGCAGGAAGGACAACACGTCGGCAAGCGAAAGCAGCCCGTTGGAGTTACCTTGTGAGCTGGGAAGCGAGGGGTGAGGGCAAGGTGGGACGGGGTGTTTTCCGTGTGTCCCTGGAGCTGTGCTTTGCAGCCTTGTATCAGGTGAACAGAGGGAATGTGCTTGACCAACAAACAAGACGCTTGTGGGCTGCCTAAGCAGCCAAGCGGCATCCTACACCAGTTCAGACCCACCACTTCGTCAGCGCGCGTCGCTTTGTGGTCCAAGCTCAACGCCACAGCCTCGCGCTCCCTGCAGAGAAGAGCGCGCGAATCCCCTGCAAGCACATCAGAAAAAGCCACAGTTCGATGTGTGAACATGTGCGCGATGCGCCAAAACGAACCGTGGCGGGGAAGGGGGCCTAACGGCCACCAAACACTTGCTTGCGGATAAGTCTAGCCCTGTCAGCAGTGTTTGCTGTTCAAGCCGCCGCGCTCACCGCAGTTTCCAACCCACAGATGCCGCGCAGTCACGAGCGACACCACCGCCGTCGTGCCGACCTCGTGGGCGCTGCGGGTTTGTGCCAGCTGGGCGTCTGTATGCAAGAAGGCTGATTTAAGCGCCGCCTCGATGCCATCCACCCGGACTGGCCATTGCTCTGCCGGGGGATCTGCTGGTGCCGCTGAAGTAGCTCCTGTCTCCTGGCCGCTTCCCGACGTGGACGGGCCCGCAGGCGACAGCAGGGGCCCTGATGCTGAAGTGCCATCCGGCTTGAGGCTAGCCGTAACGACGGCCTTCAGGTGTTCATGCAAGCTCTTAGCACAGTGCTTCGCTACATCAGCACCTACAATGGCAAAGAAACAAGCAACACTTCGCAAATTCCGAGTCTCGACATGGGCCTAGCTAGTCCCAACTAAACCAGCGGGCCGTAACTTACCACCGTGGCCATCATAAACTGCAAAGAAATGCACTGTGACCGGGTCTGTGCCGTGGGTCGCGGCAAGCTGCTTGGGGTCCAAAGGCGGGGAATCTATAGATTCAACCGCTGCTGGCGCCGCTGCTGCTCCGTCCTGTGGTCTCCCAGGAGGAGTGGATGCAGGCTGAATCGACGGATCGGGCCCACTGTTAGCTGGCTCTTTGACTTCATCCTGTCCCTGCTGTTTCGGCTGAGGATCCACGGCCGCGTCCCCTTGCCGCGGTATCAAAGGAGGAAGGTGATCCCGTGCATTGCAAGTCCACCATTTGGGAATTACAAGGAGATCGGGCACCGCCTGCCAACTGCGATCGACGGAAATGCGAAGCAAATGTGGCGTTGCCCTTTCAAGCAAACCAAACATCCTCCCTACCTGTCCTCCATCGTCATACGCTGGCCCACCACTGATTTAGCTGCGTATGAAGGGCATGCGCCAGCAAGCTTAACTGGCTTTGTGCTCTTTGCGGTCTCCTCCACTGGAGCTGCCATTTCGTTGCTGCTGGCTATTGCTGGGACTGCAAAGCATAGCACATAACATAAACAACTAAGACATATGAACAATAATAGGGGGAAAGCATCCACAGCAGGACGGCGCCTCGACCCGGTTGGTAGCCCTTACCCGGAGGCCTGGTGGGCTTTACCACGTCGACACCACCGGGCTCACCAAGTCCCTGCACTGCCGTCTTTGGGCTGTTGGAGTGTGAGCTCTTCTTGACGCTATTCTTAATCTTTTTCAACAGCTTCTTAAACATCGGGTGCTCGCAGCAGCTTTTAAAATTGGCTAAACAACCAGTTTCATGGCGGTTAACCAAGGGCGGCCTGGCAAGGCCCCAGCAAGTGGGTTTAGAGGCCTGGACGAGCGTTGTCCTTGATTCTTTTGTACTTCTGTGTAACTGTCTTGTTATGCATGGGTATAGAGATAGGGCAAACAGTTACAAGAGGGATAGAACTGAGGCAGGGCAAAATACCCAGTTACCGTACAACCGTAAAAAACTTTGGCGTCAGCATCCCATTCCATGCCAATCCATTTTTGATCAGCATATTGATACCGGCAGACGTAACTCGTGACCGCTGCAGGAAATGCGTTATTGACGAGAAGTTCTTTCGCCTGGACTTTAGTACTAGTGCCTTCATCCTTATTTCCTGAGCTCCTTCCCTTCAATGAACTCGTTAGAGGCAGGACGCGTGTTAAGCGTCCTCGATGAGACATTGGAGGGGCTGAGGTGCGAGATTCCCGCGGCATGCCATCTGGTCCGTGTAAAGAAACATGGATTACGTTAGCTGCCGATCTCTCTACAGGCTTGTCTCATATATAACGCAAGATGTACTGGACACTGCGGAACAGCTTCGTGACATGCTTGGAGAGGTAGGGCTGAGTACATGCCGTGCCGCAGGCAAGCGTCCATGTGTCGCGATCTTAACGTACAGTCTATTTTATTGCAGGACCTTGCTAACACGCTCATTAAACACCGCCAACTCCTTCAGACAGCAAAGTCGACGCTCAACAATGAGCAACTCCAAGCGTCCACGCTGGAGCTTGTGCGTTTGCTGAAGGCAAGGATGCGGACTTGAGTTCAAAGCGGGAACCTCTTCCATACTGGGAAACGCCAACTATGTCCCACAGCAGCCCCACGCGCACATGTACCCAACCACCGCGCAATAAGACTGCGTCAGCCTTGGCGCCTTGGCGCCATGCGTCTTCAAAGCATGCATACTCACCGCACAGCCAGTTCCCTTTAACTCACTGCACCCCACATTTCCCGGCTATCGGAGCTGCCGCCTTAGCATGCAAGACACTGCCTGAAGGCTTCGGGGCCATCCCAGAACCGCATGAAGTGCCGCACACACGCCCCGCAGCCGACCCACATCGCTTTTCATGCACTCCTAGGACCCCCTAGGCCGTTTGGATGTAGGTTGGGGTCGGGGGAGGAATGGAGGGGTTGCGGTTGGGCAACCTACCCCAGCACTCAGGCAGCCCCTTGGAACCTTGCAGGACATCGGATGACCCCAGGCTCCGAAACCAACCGGGCGGTCAGGGGAAGCTCCGAGCTGATTTCCGTAGGCTGATCGTCCGCATACAAGGACGCTGACACCCACCTGCGGCTCGTGTACAACACAACACCTGCCAACATGTCCCCGTTCCCTTGCCCGCGCCTGCTCATACTACCTACCCGCTCCCTCCCTCACCACCCTTAAACACACTCCCAAATCCCCCCTCCCTCCCACACAGAAATCCCCCTCCGCGCAGCGGCTCCAGGTGTTGCCGTACGAACGGACACACGGCATCCTGCAGACGCTGCAGTACTTCGAGCAGGTAGGTGGGGAACACACGCGGTCCGGTACCTGGGGGCGCCACATGCAGGTATGCGTGGGGAGCTGGTAGGGAAACACATGCCGTACATACATGTGCCATCACAGAGGGGCTGGTGTTACGTGGCCTGATGCGCCCCCAGGTCGTCTTCCCAAACCCGCACAACCCACCCCGCATAACCTTCCCCCCCCGGTCCGCCCTGCGCAGCTCCGTCAGTTTGCCCAGAAGCGGCTGACCACCACTGTGGAGGAGGACAGCAGCAACCGGGAGTACTTCGAGGAGGTGAGAAGGAGGGAGGCTACATGGAGGGGGTGAGGATCTGTCGTACGGCATACACCAGCATGCCGTTCAGCATGTCTTGTTGCTGACTGCCGTACCGGCCCCCGCTGTCCTCCCCGTGTCCCCGCCCTGCCCTCTTCCCCCCAACCCCCCTCCTCCCCCTTCCTCTGCGCAGGTTCGCGACCGGGAGGAGCGAGCGGTGGCCGAGCGGCTGCAGCTGGAGCAGAAGCTGCGGTTGCAGCGGGTGGAGCTGCAGAAGGCGGCGGGCAGCATTCAGGTGTCGGAGGACCGCGCACGCGGCGAGGTGGCGGAGGTGCAGTCCACCACGGCGCACTCGCGGGGCAGCATTGAGGCGGCGGCAAAGTCGCAGGCGGACGGGGACCGGGCGGCGTTCCAGGTGGGTTGTGTGTGTGGGGGGGAGGGAGGCCGGTGGGAAGAGGGAGGGAGGAAGGGAAAGAGGTGGGGAGGAGAGGGAGGTGATGAAAGGGAAGGAGGGAGGGCGTCCATGTGTTTTGTGACGAGGCTGCACCCCTTTTCCTTTTCTTCCTGCTTCACTTGTACGTCCCCCCCCTTCTCCCTTCCCCTTCTCCCCTTCTCCCCCTCTCCTTCCCTCTCCCCCCAGTCCGATCTAGCCCTAGCCACCCGCGAGCTGGCCGCCGCCCGCTCCGAGCTGGCCCGCCTGCGGACCGAGCACAAGGACAACGAGGCGCTGCTGCGGAAGGCGCGCAAGCGGGCGGAGCAGGTGGGGGAGGGGTGTAGGGTTTGGGAGGCGGGGGAGGAGGGGTTAGGGCTTGGGAGGCGGGGATCGGCGGGGGGCAGCCCCCTTGCAGCGCTGGGGCAGGTTTGGCTGGTCTGGGCTGATAGCCCTCTTCGTTGGGAGCTGCGCAGAAACCCCGACTGGGTTACGGTAGTGGGCGTGGAGAGCCAAGCGTTGGTGCTTGGGCAGGTTGTCCAGTCTCCCCTTTGCCCTCAACTGCTTCACCCCCCAGTCTCCCCCCTCTTCCTCCCCCCGCCCCCCACCTATCAGGATGTGGAGGTTCAGATCGGCGAGTACGATGCGGATGTGGGTGCCAAGGAGGAGGAGCTGGCGCGGGCGCGGGCGGAGTACGAGGGGGTGCTGGCGCAGCTGCATGTGAGGGGGGAGGGGGAGGGAGGGAGGGAGAGGAGGGGAGTTGGACGTGTAAGTCATGCAAACGCTGTTGGCGCTGCGAGGAACGTAGGGGTGGCAGGGAGCGCTGTGGGTCCGGAGCTCCGGGCGCGTCTGTGTGTCTGGAAGTGAAGTGAAGAAAGGGATGGGGACGTGAGCACATGGCACACATGCATGGCGGAGGGAACATGGCGTGTGGGGCATCCCTTAGTCACGGACGTAAACATTGGATGCCTCACCTTCTCTCCGCCTAGCTGCATGCCCGCCTGTCCGCCCGCTTACATGGGTTATGTACCTGCCCCCGGCCTCTCCCGCCCCCTGCCTCCTGCCCCTGCCCTCCCGCCCCCCCCCCAGGATTATAACCGCGGGTGGGGCGAGATGTACCAGGAGCGGCTCGAGTACGAGGACCGGGAGCGGCGCCTGGCGGACCAGCGCTTCCAGGTGGGTGTGAGGGAGATGGGAGGGAGCCATACCAGACCATAGGGAACCACAGGTTAGGGCAAGACAATGGGGATAGGAGCGGCAGGGTGCTACAAGGGGGGTAAAACTACCGATAAGGAAAACGTGACAAGGGGGGCATGGTGGGGGGCGCTGTGAGGGGACGCTAGCTGCAAGTGGGGACTGCGCGAGGAGGGTTGGGCCGTCCCATGTATGGTCCTGCTGCTGCTGCTGCTGCTGCTGCTGCACTGCATGCATGCATGGTCCGCAGCAGCGCTCGGTGTCTAGTCGCCCCAGCGGGTGGCCACCCGTCCTGTTTGTGTCCTGTGCTCTGTTGTGAGGTGTCTCGTAGTCCGCTTTTCTTGTCCCCCCTTCTACTAACCCTCTGCTAACAGCTCCCTTCACTCCTCCTTCCCGCCCTCCTCCTCAATAACCATGCTGCCACCAATAGTGCAGCTGGATCTAATCCCATACACACCAACCCCTTCCCTTCATTCTTCTTTTTTGACCCCTCTCATTCTCCTATTCTGACCCCCTCATCCTTCTATTTTGACCCCTCTCATCCTTATTCCCCCTCATTCTACTTTGACCCTCTCATACTTCTTCCCCACCCCCCCAGGCCGCGCTGCTGTCCATCAAGCGCAATCACGCAGCCCGGGTCATCCAGGCCGCCTGGCGCGCCTACAAGAAAGCCAAGGAAGCGGCACGCAAGAAGGCCAAGAAGGCGGAGAAGGCCAAGGCTGCCAAGAAGAAATGACGGTGGGGAGGCTTGGAGGGCGGTGTCAGCCACAACCGCAGAAGTTTCGGGGGCCTCGAAGTGCGGCTGACCAGGGCCGCGGTGAGGATGAGGCTGGAGGAGGAGGGGCCGCCGCCGCGGGTTTGGCGGTGACGGGGGAGGGAGCGGCGGCGGCGGTTAGGGTGCAGGGCGGTTGTGGGTGGGGAGTGAAGGGGGAGGGTGCTGGGCGGCGCCGGGAATGGGGAAAACGAAAAGTGAAGCAACGGAATCCAATCGCCGGGAGTGAGGAATGATGGAATGGGGAAGGAGACGATGGTGATGACGATGCGTGCGTGCGCCCGGGGTCCTCTGCCGCCTTTGCTACCCGCCCTCCGAAGCCGAGAGATTGCAGACAGGGGTCGTGTGTCGTGGGGCCATGGCATCCGTGTGTCTGTTCGTGTGTGGGGAGTCATGCAAGGGAATATGGGCAGATTAGGCCGCTGCTGTGGGGTTGTTAGGTATGGTAGACAGCCATAGCCAAAAAACGGGTTTACAGCCGCGTACCCGTGTGAGCGCTAAAGACAGGTGTGTCTGACGTTCAGGGGTGCAGTGGTTTGTTGGTTTCCCTAGCCACAAGGCGTTCCCCAGGTACAAAAGAGGGGGGGGGTAAGGCAGGTAACGTAGCAAGCGGGCTAGGTGAATAGTCCCAAGCGCATAGATAGGTCGACAAACCCTAGCCAGAGACCTCCCCCCTAGGATAGGACTGCTGCCGAAATGCGGCGTAGTTGACAACGGACCGGGGGGCTTCGGCTGGTTGGAGGGATATCTCTTCGGCTGGTTTGTCGTACTGCCGTACATGTGTTCCGGCCTAGACAGCTGGGGGTTACGGTTGTGCATCGTCAACAGCGTGTCTGTGTCGAACCATCACCGCCTGCGTGTTAGCTCGTGTGCATGTGTGCAGCATGGACGTCATGCAAGCATGACCCTCGGTGCATCTGTCAGCATGCGCCGCTACGACGCCTGGCGGCCCCTGCCCCGTGTCCTTCGACCAGACCGGCACCTCGCAACAAGGCGCTCACACACATCCCATATCTCTTAGCACACACGGCACACTTCCTAAATCTGTGGCTCAGTCTAGCACATCCCAAATCTGTAGTCAGGGACCAGGTCTCAGCATCCCAGCAAAAGCAATCGCACCCACCAACTGCGCCCAGCCAGCGGCACTACGCAACAGGGACGAGCAGGAGCGGCACTGGACGGTAGCTGCGCCTTCCCCCATCACCCCCCGTCAACCTCGCCAACCGCTCCTCTTGCCCCGCTTTGCCTACTGGCATAGCCCCTTGTCGCGCCCCCTGCCACGCCCGGACCAGCAGGGTGCTGCCACATCCCACATCAGCTGCGATTACACCCGCCCCAAACGCGCCCTGCCCCCTTCCACTAAACGGCCTGGTCTCCCTCTCTCACCCCCCCATCACATCATGCTGTCGGTGTCCCAGGGCTGGCAGCGCTCGCTGGCAAGGTAGTCCCGAATGCGCGGCCGGGCGGCCATGCGCGCCTGCATGCGAGCGGCAGGGAAGCAGGGAGCAGCCAGGGTGCCGCAAGGAGACCAGGGGGGGGGTGAAAGGGGGAATTCCGTCAAGTAGGAGGAAAGAGCACGCGGAAACACGCTTTGTGTATCGGTTGTGATCGGGTGTTCAATGACAGCAGTAGTCCCGTGCCCCCCCACCTGGTGCTCCTTGGCCCTGGGGGCCTCCACCGCATCGTAGTGGGCGTGGAAGTGCTGCTGCGCCGCCGCCATGTACTGATGCCGGAGGGGAAGAGGGGGCATGGGGAAGAGGAAACCGGGTGGAGGGGAGGGGTGGGAAGCAGGAGGGAAGGAGGTTGATGTGGGGGTTCTTGCGGGCTGAGGGTGGTTCTGTGCATACCGGGGAGGTACAGGTGGAGCTGCCAGTCCGCGCCCCTCCCCTGCATGGGAACCTCCGTCCCGCCATCCGTGCCCTTTGCCGGGTGTAGCCTCGTCACACAGCCCGCTAGTTGCCTCGTCAGTTTCCTCCACCTGGTAACCCACCTGGTACACCGCCAGGTCCGCAACCGACAGGCGGTCCCCCAGCAGGAAACCCTGGGGGGGGGGGGGCCGGCAGGGGGGAGGGGGGTCAGGAGGGCAGGGGAGGGCCGGGAGTGGAGGTGCAGGACAAAATCCATGTGATGGACGGGGAGGGGTGGGATGGGATGTAATGAGAGGAGGGAAAGCAGGTGGTGATGGAGGTGGTGGTGGTGGCGGTGGTGAAGGATTTGGGGAGGTGTAAGGGCTAAAGCACGGCGCCAAAGCAAGGAGGGGGCGGCGATCGGGGAGCCCGCACCTGCATCCACTGCATGCATGGTATGCTTGTCTCCCCCCACATACACACCTGTTCCTGGCACGGGTTGCGCTCCAGCACCTGCTCCCAGAAGCCCAGGTACCGCGGCAGCCGCTGTTCGCCGTACTGCCGGATGTACGGCTGCGACTCGGCCACCTGCTGCTTGTGGCTCGCGTAGAAGTCCTGCGGTCGCGAGGGAGCAGCGGCGCCGGGGAATGCGCATTTGGGTGTCGTTCGTATGTCGCGGTCCCTTCCAGGATCCCACCCAGCGGCGGCGGGGAAGAACACGGGAAGGGTGTGGGGGTCCGGGACAGGGGAAGAACACACGAGCATCCGCATACGGTTATTTCCCCTCACCCGAAGCGCCACCCCTATGTGCGGCACCCTTATCACCTTGGGGTGGAAGGCCAGCCGCCCCTCCGCCACACCGTCTGTCACCACCTGCAGCAGCTGCTCCACGTGAGCTGCGTCCCGTGGGTCGCTCGGCATCAGCCCGAACTCGCGACCCAGGTAGGCCTAGTTAGGATGTTACAGTTACAGTTTGTAGTGTTAGGATGTGCGGTGAGGTGAGGGGTCGGAGGGGGAGTAAGAGCGCCCGAGGAGCGGAGGGAGGGCAGGACGGGGTTCGCATGAGGGCACCATGGAACCTCTCTACTCTCCACTACCGGTATTGCAGCGTCAGTTAGAGAAGAATACCGGTAGTGTCCTTTCTTGTCGTACGGCAAACCCCCGTAAGAATGCTATAAGCGCCACCCACCATGATGACCGGGGTGTTGGACAGCACGAAGTCGCCCTTCCTGACGGCCGGCGGCGCGCGAACCGGAAAGCCGCTGTTGCCGCCCTTCCAACAGAAATCCATCACAGCCTGGAAGCCTGGAGCAGCGGCAGCGGAGGAGGAGGTGGGGAAAAGGGGAGGTGGAGGAGGCTGATCGAAAGCCGGCAGCGGCAGCAGCAGCGGAGGGAATAAAGGGGCTTAACCACAGAAGAGGAAGGAAGGGTGGAGTAGTGGTGGAGGCGGATTATCGGAAGAAGGGGCGGAAGGAGGGGAAGACGGTGGCGTCTTGCATCAGAGGCGGGTGGCTGGCAAGAGCGATAGTGCAGGACAGGAGGTGGGGGTCCGGAAGGACGCGATGGGGCAAGAACGCGCAGGGCAGAAGCAAGAGTGCTTTAGGAAGAGGAGGAGAGGGGAGTGGTCCGGGGCTTATTCAACAGCAGTATGAGGGCAGGGGTGATGGTGGCGTGGTGGTTGTGCCGTATAACTGGTGTGCCGTACCTTCCTTGACACCCACATCAATGTACGGCACTCCTGCCTCCTCGAAGACCAGTCGGACGTACTCTCCGCGGCCCTTGAAGCCTAAGAGGTGTCGGCGGTATGAGGTGGTTTTGGCGGCATGAAGTGGTGTTGGCGGTAACCAGCTTGCTTGTGTGAAGATAGCAAGGTAGCATCAGCAGCGGTCCTTGCTAGGTGTTGCTAAATGAAAGGGGTTTCGGCGATGGTGTTGGCGATGACTACGACTCAGGAGGAGGCAAGAGGTAGGGACAAGCGGGGGGAACAACGGGAAGGATTCCAAGCGTGAAGGATTTGCCGTGTCACGCGGATGCGTGTCCCGTAGGGGTTCCGTACGGCCTAGCACCATGTGCGCCCCACCTGGCCAGTAAATCAATTCCCAGGGCTGCTGTTCTTGCGTTGTATGATCCATATGAACTTTGCTAACGCGCGGAACACGTGTGATTGATACAACTCGCACCTACATGCAAGTTAACGCGGGACCGGGACCATAGCGAATCCTTTTCAGAGCGCTGCACTGCGCTTTTCGAAGAAAGAGATAGCATAGATCTACCTACCCGATCGCGCCACGGGACTACACAGGCCTTAACCGAAGAGGTGTTCAATTGCAGCGATTTAGCGGTGATACACATAGATGGAGGAGCTAGTTGGGCCACTACAGGATGTGTTCAAGTATGTTAAGCTTGAAAGGAGGATAATTTTTGTCGTGATCGAGTTTCAGACAGTTGCGTCACTTGTGTGAACCTCGCAGAGACCTGCGCCGGCATTGGAAGGAGTTCCAAGATTCAGAGCCTTTCCTGCATGTACTACAAGGCTTCATCAACGCAATAAACTGGCGGGTGCGACGGCTGACGAATGCGCGTCGATCCGCCTGCCAATGCACTGGCCGCTGGGCAAACGTTGCTCTTTTTACGTAGGAGTATAAGTTCGGCAATTACTATATTGGTACACGCAGGAACCATGGATTATCGCCATCCTGGTTTTCCACGGCATCTTGCTGCTAACAGCATTGACAACGCGCAAGCGAACAACCTTGCAGGCCATCATGTTTGCAAGCGCAGGTACGATTCCATGTCTTGTAAGCATTCGTCTTCCGCTGTCTTTGGACTTTCAGTCACCATCCTGACCCACGGGACCCGCTTCTTATATGTACGACATCCTTCTACTTGTACGTCATCCTTATACGGCACTGTACGGCCCCCTGCCTGCAGCGGGGACCATTTACGTGTCTGAGCGGCTCAACCGGCTGGGCGGACAGCACTGGGAGCGCTTCGCCACCCAGAACTACTTTGACCCCTCGGGGGTGTTCATGTCTGCGGTGGTTTCGGGGCCGCTGCTGCTGGTCCTGCTCATCGTTCTGGTAAGACCGCAAGAGAGCTGTCTAATCGGGGCAGAGGAACTACAGCAGGGGGGAGGATTGCCAAGAACGGGAGGGCACTGCTCATGTCGCCGGGTGATGCTGCTGTTAAGGCTGCCTTAGGCATGGAGCTGTCACCTGCGTAGTGTAACTGTGTAAGGCCCCCCCAGCCGCGTGCTCCCGTCTGCTTTCCGCATGTGCCTATTATGCACGTGGATCCCGCGTGTGCATCCCTCGATACAACAACCCCGCCCCGTCCCCGCCCCCGCAACCGCCAGGTCAACTACCTGATCAGCTGCGCCGGAATGCTGATCCAAGCCAAGAAGCGGGAGCTGCTGTACCGAGCCAAACAGCGGGCCCAAGCGGCGAAGAAGGATAACGCAGCAGCATCATCGGGCGACAAGAAGAAGGACTGAGCACTTTTCCAGGGCGGAAGGGCCACGACGGATGGTGTGACAGGGGCATGCTTGCGGGATGAATAGCAGGTCGCTGCCACTGCATGCCGTCTAGGATGGCGGCTACGAGGGCGCGGGGGAGCGGAGGAGGCAGCCGAGGTACACGCCTGATTAGCGTGCAGGTGGAGGCAAGGCAGCGGCATCATGCTTTGCATGCAGTTGGCACGCAGGTGTAGTAGGTATGCAAGCGCAGGTGCTAGGAGTGGAAGAAATGCGATGGTACCGTGCGCCGTACCGCGCACGCATGCACGCACGCATGGATATACGGCTACACGGGCAGTGCAGGTGCAGGCGTTGTATTCTGCCGTGCTTGAAGCAATGGTGGTATGGTGTGTACCGGTGAAATGTAACTTGAAATGTTGCATGTGTGGGAGCTGTGTAAGGCGGATGCTCTCTCAACGATCCGTACGCTGCAGGCCCGTACACCCTGAGGCCCCTCCACCACCACCACCTGGCATCTCATGCCCCGCACTGCACCCCAATACAACCCAGGCAGCTTGCCGTTCCCGGAATCTCAGCTTCCTCCTCTCGCTTCTATGCATGTAACCAAATCCTGAGCACATGCCCCACCAACAAGAACCACCTGATGCACCTTTGTGCCCGGCGTTCTCCCCTCCCTTCTTTGCACACCCCTTCCACCACCGCCTTGCAGCTGCCGCTGCTGCCGTCGCTACCGCCGCCATGCCTACTGCTGCTCCCGAAGCCATGCCTGCTCGTCCTCGTACTCCTGCCGCCCTAGCGCCGCCCCAGTCGCCGCGCCCCAGTCCACCGGGCAGCCCTCCTGCAGCAGCCACCGCAGCACCGGCAGGCGGGCGCGCAGTCGCACACAGGCGGTGAAGGTGTCCCGGCTGGGGCCCCAGGGGCAGCCCAGCCTCCGCAGGCAGCGCAGGGTGGCCATGTCCCCCTGCTGCGCGGCCGACTGGTAGGGGCGACCGCTCTCCTGCAGGGGTGCGAGCAGCAACATGCAAGCAGCACAGCGTAGGCAGCGTGAACGGGGCAGGCGCTGACGTTACGTAGGGGTTGGTCTGCACGCCACAACCGGGGCGCCCCCATGCGGAGCACATGCAGGGACCCTGGGATTGCTGTCTGGAGAACTAACCAACTGGCGTATCGCAACCAGGCAACCAACAGCCCCCTGTGTAGCCTACTTAACACGTCCTACTACACTCACCCCCCAGGGGCAGCCCTGCTCCACCAGCCACTCCAACACTTCCTCGCAGCCGCCCTGCGCCCCCCGCACCAAGGCATCCTCCTCCGGCCGCACCACATCGCCGTCGCCAGCCGCCGCCAGCCGCTCATGCACCCATCGCACCGCCCGCATGTCGCCTGACCCAGCAACGCGGGCTAGCAGCGAGGGGCTGAGACGGCGTTGCCCCCCTTGCTGATGCCCTTCCTGCGCCTCCAGCAGCCAGTCCGCCACGTGCAGGTGTCCACCGCTCACCGCCGTACGCAGCGCCAGGGAGCTCAGCGGGCAGCCGCTGCGGGCGTGCAGCCACTGCAGGGCAGCCAGGTGGCCCCGTGAGGCGGCCAGGAAGGACGCGTGCTCGCAGTCCGTACGAAGGCCCGCGTGGTGAGGCGTAGGTTGCAGGGCGCCCTGGCCCCAGAGGTACTCTAGAGCTGGAACGTTGTTTGCACCCGCGGCCTCAACCAGGGCAGCAGAGTCCAGTGGGTAGCCCCGCTGCTGCAGCCAGCTCAGGCGCTGGGGTGCGTCCCGACAGCCAGCGGCAGCGGACACGCTGCTGTAGCCCCCCAGCGACTCCAGCCATACCACCTTAGCCTGCCAGTCCGCTGTGGGACTGCCTGCGGCCGCAGCCAGCGCGCCGGCAACCACTTCTGCCGTCTCCGCCTCCGCTTCCGGCTCCTCCCCATCCGCCTCCTCCTCCTGCAATTCCTCCACGCCATGCCACCTGCCGTACAAGCGCTGCAACGTGGCCAGGTCGCACCCGTGCGCCGCCGCAAGCAGCAGCCCGGAAGGCAGCTGCAGTGCCTGCCCAGCAGGAGGCCGGTACGACGCCTCCGCCGGAGCCGGCTGCTGCTCTAGGAGCCAGTCCATCAGGACCACATGGCTCCCGCGTGCAGCCGCACGCACCGCATCCTCCGTCCAGGGGCAGCCGCTCGCCAGCAACCACTCGCATGCCGCCCGCTGGCCCGCCTGCGCTGCGCAGAACAGGGCGGCGCCCCAGGTCCGGCAACCCTGCTGCCGCAGCCAGCTGCAGGCCGCCAGCTGCCCCGCAGCCGCCGCGGCCGCTAGCGGACCCTCTGTAAGCAGGCAGCCGCAGCAGGAGAGTGCGGTTCGCAGGTTGGGGATGCTGCCGCTGTGAGCCGTGAGGCTGACAAAGCGGCGTCTCTGCTGGAGGGATAGTCCGCGCATGGCCCCGGGGCGGGTCCAGTGATTGGAGAACACGTGGGGAGGCGTGGGCTGGGAGAGTCGGATGGTGGAGAAACGGGGTGCGGGAAAGTACGAGGCTGTGGCCTTGTTGATAAGGCGGCCGGTGCAGGCGATTTCGTTTGTGGGCAGGAAGCGCACGATGTGGGACAGCAACTCGGGCGGCAGGGGCTGACAGTAGACGGCTTCAGCCTCAGGTTGACCAACGTGCTGGTGATCGGCCATTGCAGCTGCGTTGGTCGCAACAAAGGGACACAGCGTTTCTTAAGAAGAAAGCAGACTTCTCTCTAGCAATGTTGTGGGTTATGAGGAATCACGGGGAGCTGTTATTGGCCGACATAATCGCACGTTTTCCAGGACTTATCGGGCGCGTCCTTTGTTCTAAGTGTACATGTTTCCATTCGCGATGAAAGAGCAAGTAGCGTTAATGGTTTCCTAATCCCTGAGAAAAGAGGATGAGTCAAGTCATATTGCCGTGCGACTGCCGGGCGCAGCGGTTGGGCGAGATCCTTCACGGCCACCCTACACGTTAAACATCACCCAGTGGTTTGAACATACAATTTTTCGCAATTATTTCGGGACATGTCAGCAGGGGCACTTATGCGAAAATCACTGCACTTCGCTTGGGCGCGCGTACCGGTAGTTCCTGGGGTTTCGTTCACTGCTGCCAACCCAACGTCCGCCGCTGCCTCTCGCAGGTTGCATTATAGCCGAAGTTCCTGTTGTTCCCCGGTCACATGCCACCAAAGGGGCATCGTCGCACACATCTCACGGGCTGTCAGCCGTTACAAGCCTAGCAGTCAGCGCGGCAGTTCTGCAAGACATCCTGGCAGCAACATCGCTAGCCGTAAGGAGTCAGTCGCGTGCGGATGGACGCCATACGGCAGTCCAAACCTGCAGAACAGATTTCCGCTAATTCCCCCTGATCCCTCAAACCCATGAACTACCACCAGATCTCGTTTCCCAAGCGTACCACTCCTGCGAGGCTTCTCCTGCGATGCCACACCCAATAACACGTTATCCACGAGCGCAGTCACCCTGAGAGCTCATGCGATACAGTGGTGGGCTCAAGCTATACTCTCCTCCAGCAGACAGCACCCCAGCGAAGCACCACACTCTGTACCTACGTTCCTGCAAGACAGTCACCACTTGGAGAACAAGGCAAGGTAGCTTCCAACGCTTTCGACTTAATCACATCGCCCTAGCTGCTTTGCCGTTTGCCGCCAGTGCTAGCAGCAGCAGGACCGGGCTACGAGGGCGGCGGGTGCGCCAGCGCCTGCTTCTTGACCTTCTTGCAGTACTCCGCCTTCTGCTGCGTGAAGAGGACGAAGGCGTCAGACTGCGCGGGGCTGTTGGGGTTGGGCGTGTCCAGGAGTTCCTGCGGGGGCACGGCATGATGTACGGCAAAATCCATAAAATTCGGAGCTTTTGAAAACGGGTTGCCAAGTATAACAGCAGCCAAGCCGACAGCTGCCATTTTAAGAAGGGTACCGTCATAGCTTCCGACCCAGATGCTCACCTGGATGCCGAGCAGCAACTGCTTGATGGTGATGGAAGGCCGCCACCCCTCATCCTGCAAGGAGGGGCTATGCTTAAGATCCTGGCTTCATGGCACCGACGACGTAACACAAGCAATATGTTGCTGTTTAGCCGGTTTGCTGGTACCAGCACACGTGCCTACAGCTCACCTCGTTGAGAATGCTTAAGCAAACGGTGCCCGAGGGGTAGATGTTTGGGTGGAAGAATCCGGCGGGGAACTTGCACTGCGGACGGAACGAAGGCCAAGGGTTACACCATCTGCCGGTCATAACGTATGCAGTTCCTCTGTGTGCGCATCGTGTTCTTGGCAGCGGTAGGTGCATGGTTACCATACCTTGGGCGGCTTGGTGGGGTAGTCCTCCGAGAACTCCATGGTTAGCGGGTAAAAGCCTCCCTCCCAGTCCGTGCCTTGCTTGCCCGGAATGTGGCACTTCCATTTCATCAAGTTCACGCTCCTGTTCGCGTTAAGGAATAGTCGTTTAACATTCCTAAAGGACAAGACTGTTGCCCAAAGCATGAGGCGCATGGCGCGCCTGCTACGCACCCGTCTTCGGCAGTCTCCGGGCGCGCATGGAAACCAAAAGGCTTATCTTTCCGCCATGCCTTACGCTCCTCCTGAAGCCGGCTACGTGCCACGCCTGACATGGCTATCAATTACAGATGGGCAACAAAGGAGGAGCTCCTAGCTGATTAGCGTGCGAGTTGTCTAGAATTGGTCTGGGCAAAGAGGAGGGGCCTCGAGGTCAGCAAGAAACTAAGGAGCCTGGCGAGCAGCAAGGCGGTGGACTCTTGTCCTGACGTCTAGAGTTAAATGTATATGCTTGACTCACAGGCACAGTTAGGTAACAAACTGTTTAAATAAGCCGGTGATCTAAAGCGTGGATCGTTTTTTGGCTTTCTGCAATTCATGGCTCTCGTACAACAGTGCTGTGCATGGCAGGGCATGGGACCGAAGCGGGAAGCGCACTTGCTTGTCGTCTTTCCAGCAACGAGTCTTCTGCTGACCAAGGGAGAGGCGTTTACTTATATCAGCTGTCGTGTGTCACGTAGGCAAGCATACGGAAAATCAAATAGCCACTTTAGGTCAATGCTCATTCTCTGCACGTAATTCCAATTATAGATATCTACAGACAGACCATAGGGTGTGAACGGCCCCCCTCTGCACACACGCGCTATTAACCAATCAGCAATCAGCCGGCGTACCACGAGCGGCAGGCATGTGGGGGAGCCTTTGGGGCAGCGCGCCTTCTGCAGCAGAGTCAATTACGGAAGCCGATGCATTATGGTATCTAAATCCGACTCCCGAGCAACGAGCATGCGAACGAGAATTCCGCGCTCAGCTAGAGCGAGAAAGCCTCCTGGTGAATGGTCACGATGATGAGTATACACTGTTACGATTCTTGATGGCCCGTGATTTCAGCGTGGAGAAGGTAGGTTACTGGGTAAGGCATGGACATGTGGGATTCAAGGCTTCAAGCCGTACACTGCAGAAGTGAAAGCCCGCATCCGCACGGTTAGGCCCTGCGGCCGCGCAGCTGTCCCCGTTCTTGCTCCAGGGCGCCCCTAACTCCCTGCATCACTCGCCTAAACCTCGCCTTGCACGCAGGCCCTCTCCATGTACCGCGACATGCGTCAATGGCGCACTGAAAACGCCGTGAACGGGTTGTTCGAATCGGACCCCGCGGGCACGTCCTTCCCCAACACACAGCAGCTATTGCAGGTGGGGGACTGAGATATACAAACAGCGGGAGTGATGTGGGTTGAATGAGAAAGGCTGGGGTAAAGAGGCTGGGGTGGGGACAACACGTGAACCGTCGCCTGGGGTGTCGTCGTTTGGTGGCGCCCATGTGCGTCCGAGCCCCTGGGCTCGCGCGCAATCATGTGCCCCTGTGCACCCTAGTCTCCCTCCTGGAGACCCAGCCCTGCCCAGCGACCCTGCAACCTGGACCCACCCTCATGCTGCTGCCTGCTGCCCTCCCTGCCCTCCTCCCTCCCGCCGCGCAGGTGTACCCCCACTTCTACTTCAACACCGGTGAGTGCCGCGCCGGGAGGAGCGGCCCGCAGCCGCCCGCAGCCCTGCTCAGTTGAAGCCACCTACCCCTTGCAGTCTGACGCTGCAAATCTTCATCTTGCTACCTTTTGGAGCCCCATACGGTAGCCCCATACAGCCATACTACAGCTCCTTCCCTGGCCCATTTCGAACCCTACACCACCACCACCGCCTCACGCCTTCCTCTCTCCAACCTCATTTCCGTTCCGTCCCAGCACTGCATCAGCCGCAACGCCCCGACGCGCCTGCCTGCCACCTCCACCCGCTCCTCCTCCCGCCCGCCCACACACCCTCTCCCTCCCCATACACATAGGGCACTGGGTACTCTGTTTCCCCTCTTTCTCTCTGCCCTCCCCGCTTCCCGGTTGCTTGCTTTCCCCCCCTTTCCCTCTCCCCTTCCTCCCCTTTTATCTCTCCCCTTGCTCCCCCTTTCCCCTGCTCCCTCCTCCCCCCCGCTGCCCCCCCAGACAAGTTCGGCCGCCCCGTGTACGTGGAGCTGCTGGGCCGCACCGACGCCGCCAGCGTGTTCGCCACCATCAGCGGCGAGCAGCTGGTGCGCTACCACATCTGGACCTGGGAGCGCTACCTGCGCGCCTACCTGCCCGCCTGCTCCGCGGCCGCCGGGCGCCACATCTGCACCACCACCGTCATCATCGACCTGGCGGGGCTGTCGCTGATGAACTTCAACGCCGCCACGCAGAAGCTGCTCACCACCTTCTCCAAGATTGACCAGGTTGGGGGGGGGTGCGGGACTGTGTGGATAGTCCAATAATCGGGACATAGGACTATGCTTCACTTCTTTCTTCATTATCCCCTTCTCGATTACCATGACGCACCGCCGCCCCTCTCTCCTCCCTCTTCTCTCCTCCCTCCCTCCCTCCCACCCCCCAGGACTACTACCCCGAGCACCTGGGCACCATGTTCGTCATCAACACGCCGCTCATATTCCGCGGCATCTGGGCGGCGGTGCAGCCGCTGCTGCAGGAGCGCACGCGCAAGAAGATCATCATACTGGGCGCCGACTACCTGACAGAGCTGGCCAAGGTCGTACCGCTGGAGCGGCTGCCGCACATATTCGGGGGGCCGCAACCGCTGGACCCGGGGTACCGCTCCGTGGGGCCCTGGCTGCCGCCGCCGCCCGCAGCGGAAACAGGAGGGCAGGCGGGGGCGGGGATAGCAGGGGCGGAGTCGGTAGCAGCAGGGGGGCAGCAGCAGGTGGAGGGGGAGGCGAGTGCGGATGCAATGGTGATGTGTGTAGAGGCTGGGGGTGCCGGGGCGGTGGGGAAGGAGGGGGAGGAGGAGGGAGTGGGGGAGGCGGCTGGTTCGTTGGCGGTGGTTACGTGATGGAGGTGTGTGGATGTGTTGGTGTGGTGAGAGGGAGAGTGATGGCAGCGGGTTGGGGAGTTCGTGTCGTGTGGTATTTGTGAACGTTGGCGTGATGGGGCCTCCCGCTGAGAGGGGCATGCCACTGCATGCGATTGCGTATTGAGAGGGAAGCTGCGTGCGAACGTAGATGTGTTATGGTACTGTTAATATATGACTGATGCGTGCGAAAACTGCTTAACTAAATACTTGCTTCAGCCGTACGATAAGAATGTGAACCTGGCGTTGCTTGAGCTTGGCTATTGGTATTGGCTCTCTTGGCAGGGTTTGCAGGGTAACGCTTTATGGAATGTATAGGCTCTCTTTAAGTTGTTGGGGCCTGGGGAGGTGCAGGCAAGCTGCCCCGCCGAGCTCGGAAACCCTGCAGAGGTGTGCTGCTCCGCACTGAACTGCAACCTGGGCGAGTCAACGTGTCCTTACGGGAGTCGTGGCGTCATCCTCTCTTGTTACACAATAAACGTACGCCGATCGCCGAATCGCGGTGCAGGAGTATCACCGTCAATTGTATCCTACTACCTATCCGTACCCTTGATTCCTCCTCTCCACCTACATTGCATTGCCCGCCAAACTCGTCAATCAGCCCGCTCTGCCTCCACCCTTTATTCAAGGAAGCAGGCTGCCTGCTTCCTTGCTGCTTTCCCCTGCACCCCCTCCCACAGTGCAGCCCACATGTCACACGGCTAGCTTGTTAGTTCCTCCTCTGTTACCCCCCGCTCCCTCCCTTCCTCTGCCCCCCCATGGTGGAGCCTCACACGGAGGCCTTGGTGCTCTTGCCCGGCTTGAAGAACCCCATCACCACCAGCACCTGGGTCAGGCCCACAAGGATAAGCGCGCCGACCTGCGCAGGAGGGAGGGGAGGGGAGCGGTGAGAGAGGCGCGGCGGGGATGTAGTAGGGACGCCATGCAAGGGGTGCAGGGGGACCGTCCCGTCGTCAGGGTCCGGGCCAACCCCATGCAAGCAAGGCGGTGTACGGGTGGTGTCCTACCCCTGCTGTGCTGTCCCCCTCCCTCTTCCCCCCCACGCTGCTCACCTCGATCCCCGTGTAGAACAGGGTGCGCCGCTTGTTGCTCTCCTGCAAGGGGGGCCGGGAGCAGCGGCAACAACAGTGCGGCGGAGCACCAGCGGTTGACACACGGCTTCAGGCTTCACCCTGATTCGCTCGCCACCCACCCACACCTAGCCCCCCCCTCACCCCATGCAGTGCCTTTCTTACTTCTTTCGCACACCGCCTTCACCTTCAAGCCCACAACCCTTCCACCCCACTGCTACGCAGTGGATCAAACCCGGCATCCCCTCCCCCCCCACAACCCATTCTAGAGAAGCCCCGTCTTTCAGTTCGTCAGTTTTCCTTATTTTTACCCCCAACCCATTCTAGCCGGTCTCCTGCTTCTCCCCAGTCCCTCCCGCTCCTCCCCCCCGCTTCCCCCGCCCCATTTTTGCCGCCCCTTGTGAGCAACCCCAATACCCTTCCTCCTCCCCCCCTCCCCTCCCCCACCATGGTCTGCTGGTGCCTCTCCAGCTTCCTGTGCAGGTAGGTCTGGCTGCCCCGGATGACCTCCATGAACTCGCTCATGCCCAGGATGGTGCGCCGCACGTCCTCCATGTGGTCCTGGCTGGCCACCTCCTTGCTTCTGGAAGGGGGGAAGGAAAAAGACCATACCAGAGTCATAGGAAACCACAGGAGGGGAGGGGAGTAAGAAGTGGACACCTGTAGTGGGTGGGTAAACATCAGCAGCCATGGGACTGAGAAGGGGATGCCGTGCTAGTACTGGTGTTGCTGTTGCATGCGTCTCCCCCCCACCTGTGCCCCCTGCCCCCCCCCACCTGTGCTCCTGCGTGCCCTTGGGAATGTTGATGGCGCCCCCCGCGCCCCTCCGCAGGTGCGCCAGCGTGAAGTAGACCAGGTCCACAATGGCCTCCGTGCGGGACTCCCACGGGTTGTAGAAGCTGGGGGGAGGGGAGGGGGGTTGATAGGGATACGCATTCCGCATTGGGCTGGATTTTAGGATTGCGTATAGGGGGAGGGAGGGGGGAGGGGGCCGAGAAGAAAGAGGAGCAGGGGAAGAGGATGTAGGGGGCGGCGCAAAGGAAGAGGATAGGGAGAGTTGGTGGGGAGCTGGGGGGCAGTGTAACGGGTCTGAGAGGCGGTGGGCCAGGGGCCACCGCTGCTGCTGCCGGTAGTAGCTGCCGCATGGGCCGCTTCGGGGGGAGCCTTGAGCAGGCAGGCGGACATGCAGGATGTCCCCCCCCGTGCTGCATGGGGCGGGTGTGGGTGCGTTGCTGCGTTGGCAGAGACACCTGGCAGGACACCCTACACAACGTGCGCATACAGAGCGGTCACAGCCGTGTTGCTCCTTCGTTCCCCGTGCTGCTGCTGCTGCTGCATGCCGGCATGCCCTCATGCGGCATGCCTAACCGCCTAGTAGGCATCAACCAAACCCGGGTCGCGTCTACAACCATGTTCCCGCTGCTCCGAAGCACTCCAAAAACCTCACCCGCTGCCCCTCCCTCCTTGCGTGTATTTGTGTGTGGAGGGAGGGGGTAGGGGGTGCCAAAGTACCTAAACTACCCACCAGACTTTGTAGGTGCCGGGTCCGCGTGCGCCCACGTTGAAGTGCGTCTCCGAGTACACGTGCTGCTGCTGCCACAGCTGGTCGCCGGTGGGGCTCAGAACCTGGGGAAGGGGGGTAGGGAGGAGAGAGACAAGGGGCAGCAGGAGAGGGCAGAGGTGGAGGGCGCGGGCGGCAGCGGGGCCGGGGTGGGGAGGAGCGCAATGGCGTCCATTGACAAGGTTAGGGGGAGTGTCGAGAGTAAATGGGGACTCCAAGAGTAGTGAGCGGGTCCATGTTTAAGTAGATGGGAGAAGGTTGTGGGATATCGCGTTTGGGCGAAGACCCTTACCCACAGGGTACGCCGTCGGAAGCAACCCATGTATATAGACTTACCCGGATGGTGACGAATGGCACATAATAGTGACTATTGCCGCTAATGAGCACTCTCCCATCCACCCGCGGGCCACCAGGAATCTGCAAACATATGTGGATTGAACGAGCCCAACATGGTCAATACGCCCCATACAAAGAGGGGCGACAAGACATATCATGATTTCAATGACAGATCACAAATAACAACGCACGGTAAAGAGTTTACCTGGAAGTGCTCTGCATCAACTGTCTCGCCCATACACTCTGTATGCCCAGGCATTACAGTAACTTTTACAGCAGCTACATGATGCGTAAATAGTGCGAGGACAGCAAGGAGCGCAAGAAGCCTGACTTCTCGTCTGTTGTGAGACATTGTTCTTCGTTCTATGTGTTATTGTAAGTGTTCTTCTTTGTAAAGGCCTATGTGTCAGGCCTTTCACAAGTTTAGAACATTTATATCGCTGGAGTTTGCAAGTCTAGTCAAGCCTGATATGGTTGTACATCAATACATCATTCGCTGTCCAATCGGGTCGTGCGGGTCTTGTCACGAAACGACCCTAATGTTATATGTAATGACGTAAAATGTTTTTGACCACAGCAGCATGGTCGGGACTTCAGTATCCCTCTGCAACACCCAGAACCGGATTCTTTCCCAAACGACTGCCCTGGAAGCAGCGATGCACAAAGCTCCTGCTCCGACCTGAACCTTACAAAAATATTCGCCGCCATATAATCACCTACTCGGTACGCGCGTTTGCACACCTCATCCAAAACCCTAACATCTCCATTTCCACACCATACCGCATTGCCGATTTCTCCCAACAAAACCGCGAGTTACGTACGCCATTCCACAACGCATTCCTGCACCCAAACAGGCCAGCCCAGAACCCGCCGGCTCTGCAAGCGCGCCATCAGAGGCGGTGCTGGACCTGGCTCGCAGGTACTACACGTTGCAGCACCCGGCACTCGTCAACAAGCGCTACTCCACAGCGATAAAGGTGCGTAAGCAATCCGACCAACCTACCCACCAACCAATGTTGGTGGGTGCCAGAGGGAAAACAACCCGTTCTGAAGGGGCCCGGGAACGGATTACTCTTTACCTCCCTACCCAAAAGCTATTCTGCCTTGAGAGCAACCACAGGAGTACCCTGGGCTCGGGAAAGGGGAATGAAGGGCGTAGCTAGGCAGGAAGCTGTAGGAGCTAACCCAGCGACAGTTCTCAATGCGTCCGCGTGTCACGTCTGACGTCATGTCATGCGTGTCATGTACCGTGTGTATGTCGTACAACCGACTCACAAACCCCATGTACCTGGTAAGCCCCCCCCATCCCCTCACTGCCAGGAGTTCACGGCTGCTGCCGTACTGGCGTACGAGTGCGGCCACAACGAGGCTGACGTGGCGGAGCAGCTGGGGGCGCTGGAGGGGGAGGAGCTGGGGGGCATGAAGGTACGACAGGGGGGGATGAGGGTGAGGGTACGGCAGGGGGGTGCGAGGGTAGGTACGACAGCGAGGGTGAGGGCGCGACACGGTGTGAAGGGTGAATTGTGGGGAGGGCTAAAAGCACCGTTTCACCGCCAAGACCGCCAAGACCCCCAACCCCCTCAGCGTCTTCAAAGACTCCGTTGCCCCCAGGCCCCTCCCCGGCCTTCAACCCTTCCCCAATACTCCTTCCCCCCCCCCTACAACTAAGCCCCAGCTAAGCAGCGGAGCTTACTGACAGCATTGCAGCAGAGACATCAGGTATCGCGCAGTGGAGCCGGTTATCACAGAAGCAGCCGCCTTTTATTCGCCAATGACGAGTGATCTCAGATCACCCCAGCCGCCATGGAGCTTACAATACGGTTTGTTATTGATTGATGCTACTAACTATACAACAACTACAATTATACGCTAACCCAACTATCCAGCCTAATGCGGATTCTGTTTCCATATTAACCCCCTACAACTACTACAATTATTTGCTATCCCAACTATCCAGCGTAATGCGGATTCTGTTTCCAAATTAACCCCCTCTTCACTTTGGAATTTCTTTTCCCCCCTTCCCCCCACCACACTCCCCTCCGCTGCCCCCAGGGTTTCGACCCCTCCGAGTGCTGCCTGCTGGTGTGTCTGGTGTGGATCACTCTGCAGCAGCTGGGGGCCGCCGGGGTGCGGCGCTGGGCTGCTGGTGGGAGAGGGGAAGGGAGGGAGGGAGGGGAGGGGTCAGAGATAAACCAAAACCACAGGTTAGGGCACAGCAATGGGGACAGAGGGAGGCAGTTTGTCACGAAACAATTCAAACAAACGATGGTTAGTGGCCCCTACCGATACCGAGTTGGGTGGGGGTGTTGTGGAGGAGGGATGAAGAAGGCGAGATTGCGGCGGTAAACAACCGTGTGACAACTGACAAGACACCACCCTGGGTTGTATAGCACCATGCTTGCGGACTCGTTTTGCATCGTTACCCCTCCCACCTCCACCTTTCCCCCCCATTTCTTCGCTCTAACCAGTGTTTTTCTATGGCCTGGTATGGTCTCTAACCCCCCCCCCCCCAGCCCCCGCCGTGTCCGCCCCCACGCTGGCCGCCTGGGTGGGTTTCGTGTCGCTCATCGCCTCCGCCTACTGCGAGCGCCGCTGCGCCTGGGCGCCCCTGGAGCGGCTGCAGCTGGAGCTGCTGGCGGTGCAGGGCCGCTCCCCGCCCCCCGAGGTGGTGGCGGAGCGGGCGCGACTGGTGTTCACAACACTGGAGCAGGTGGGGGGTGGGGATGGGGGTAGGGGTGGGGCTGGGGGCTGCACGAAGGCAGGCGGCAGTGCGGGGTGGCGCCCTGCCCGGCCCCCTGCCTGCCGGTCAGGGCGCCGTGGCGCAGGTGTCACGGCGAGTACGGCAGTGGGCCGGAGGGAGGTGTCCCCTCCCCGCCTGCTCTCCCGTCTGCCGGCTCCGAGTGACCCCGCAGTCGCACCCGGGTTGCCTGCTGCATCCTCCCCCGCCCGCTCGTGTCTGGGTGTCCCCACCCCCGCCCCTCACCCACCCTCACCCACCCTCACCCCCGGTCCCCGACCCCTCACCCCGCGCAGGTATACCCGCAGTTCGCTGAGGACTGATCCGCTCCCACCCTTCGCCCTTCCGCGGCCGGTGGAGCCTACATGTCCCATGGACCGTGGCTTGGTTGGTTTGTCCCTACCTACCCCTCCCCGCCTCACCTCCAATGAGATTGGGGGTTCTGTGCTTCATTCCTACTACACTAAATCAATGAATCTATGACCATGACCCACCTCTGCGAGCTCCCGGCGGAGGCCCCTGGCAGCCTTATGGCCCACAGAGCCCCACCGTACGGCCCCACGGGGGTACTGCTGGGGCGTGCCGTGCCAGCTGAGGACCGCCTCTTGCAGCTCCCAACCGCATATCGCCCACCTCACCCGCCTCCCCCTCCTGCGTGTTATTAGTGCCTCCGAATGCGCTCACTGCATGAGTCGGGATATGGGATTGGGATTCGTTGTTTCACTTTTATATACTTTTTCCCCCCTCCTCCTCGGGTACCAGCAGCTGCTGGCCGCATGGGGCGCGCTTCGGCACCCAGCCTGCGGCGCTGGCGTGCATGATGGCGCACGGGGCGGATCTGTGGAGCAAGCCGCAGACGGAGGCGGGGAAGTGGGGGCGGGAGGGGTAGCGGGAGAGAGAGCGAGGGAGAGGGGGGTTGGAGGAGTGGTCGTATAGGGGTGGCAGGTGGTGAGTGGTGGAGGCCTGGTGCCGCGAGGGGCGGCGGTAGGGGCGGCTGGAAGGGGCGGCTGGGAAGGGGCTTGCTCAGGGAGTGGGATGTGAGGGGACATGCAGCGTATCATGTCGCAAGGATGTAACTCTGGGGTTCAAGATGTATGGAGGGGCGGCAGACGGGTATTTTAGGCATCCAAGAGAACGAGGGGGCGCATGCACGTGGAGTGAGTTGTGTACGACAACGTGATAGCGGTCGGCTGGTGAAGATTGCCCCAGCCCCAGCTGATTCGTTTCTGTCGTACGACCCATTCCACTATTACATATCATACGGCAACACAGCAGCTTATGAGGGCTCCTACGTTATCGCTAGAAGTTACGGTACATTCGCAAATACCAAAGCTAAAGGTTGCCTGAGAGATGAGAAGTAGTGAGATACCTGCGCGACCTACACTAACCAATGTCGTTGAAGTAACCGAGCAACCAAATTGCCAAACACGGCATGCATGGCTGTTACGAACAGAACCTCCCGCCCCGCCCGGCAACACAGCGCGAAAAACCGTCACCACCTGTCAAACGCAAAGTGGACATTTCCCCTCCTGCATATACCTAAACGATGGCGCGTGCCCTCGCAGCATTGGGCACTCGTCTCCACATGTACCCCCACCCACACCCTTCATAGAACCCACATGCAAATTGGTTTCCACTCCCTAGCCACATTGTTACCCTCCCCAACAAGCAATCATCACAAGCGTTGCGTCAGAACGCAGAAGCCGCCCCAAAGCCCCCTTTCCTGCCACTCCATGCAGCTGGTATCACAGCCGCACACGACTGCGCCCCGCACCTTATTCCGGTACATATGCATTGCCCCCACGCACATCGCTGCTTGAACGCGCTCGTAAATCTCTGACATACCGGTACATCTCTGACGCACATCGCTGCCACACCTCGCAAACGGCGTTACAGTTTCCTCCGCTGTACGGCACACCTCTTCCGAGGAGCTGCTCACCGTTTCCGCCCCTCATCATGACCACCCTGACATCATGCAACAGATCTGTTTCCATCCTCCTGCCGCCGCCCTCCAATTTCTCCATAACTCCGTAAATCGACACCAAGCTGGCAGCAATGCACCCGCGGCATCGCCCCGGCAATCACAGTATGTTCCTTAACACCCACGCACTCGGCGCTGCTGCTCCTGCTCCCAGCTCAGTTTGATTCACATCACACCTCGCGGGAGTGTACACACCACCTCTGCTCCTCCTCCTTCCCCCCCCGCAAGTACCACTGCTTCCCGCCCTCGGCCCGCGCATTTCGGCGGCGCGGGGTGCAGGGCTTTCTTCCGAACAAGCGGCAAGCAACGGGCATGGTGTCCTATTCAGGCAAGGGTGAGTTGTTTGGGGGACAGACAGAGAGGTAAATAAATACACCACCGTACCACCATAACAGATCAGGAGTTCCAATCACACAGCTTTCTGCGCATGCGTGGCCTGCAACCCTGCCCATGTGACATTGGGAGCGTTGGTTGCAGCGACTCGCCGAAAACATACACGCAGCCAACACGTTACGACATACCTCATACACCACATATCATCGCCCGTGCGACCCCTGCACATCCTGACAAGACGGCAGGGGAGCACGCACGCCGGCTTCTTTCTTGAAAGCAAAACAGGCAAAGCACCCCTCCATTGGGAGAGGTAAGCGCGACACACCGCACCTCACCACATCCCGGATGCGGATGTAGACAGCAGGTGAGGAGGTCCCCCTCCTGCCCGCACCGACACAAACAAACACAAACAGGTCCACCCGCCCATCGGTAGCGTGGTCCTGAAGAAGATCCAGAAGAGTAGGGACCGCCGTAAAAAGGGAAGGACGCACAAGCAACACAGCAGCCGGGGCATATGTAGACGCGAATCCAAGCATGCATGCTTCAATCATACACACTCTTCTACTCTACTCGCGGCCAGTTATTTTAACACACTCTTCACAAGGGAAACACCAGGTCACATCGGGCCACGGAACCTCCATGCCTGGGATTTACGCGCTCTCGTGATGTGTCATCCCGCAGCCACCAAACATTCCACCATTGCTTGCGTAACGAGAGCTGGTTTCAAGCATGCATAAGATGGCGAGCGCGCAGCACATACATGGATGCAGCGCGCTCATAGCAACACATAGCACGCATGTCGGTAGCAACACATAGCGCACGCGGCCTCTTTCCAAACAAGAGGTTTGGTGCACACACGGGTGCCCTGCATGGGGCCCTCGCTGCGGCATTCCATGAAGCACAACAACACCGACACCAGAGCACCAAGATACCCGAGCACCAAGATACCAGAGCACCAAGATACCAGAGCTCACACCTGGTCTTCACTGCACACACTGCACAACTCTGCGACTGGTCTCAAACACCGCACACAGCTGTTTGTGAACCATCCACAGCAGGCGGCAGGATCAGCTTCCGTTATCATACCCCAACGGACCATACACGACCCCACACACAACAAGACATACAACAACACAAGCACACAAGAACGTTGTTCTTCTCGTGCCGGTACACGCCCCAACCTCGGCCCCCCCAGGCAGTCCTGACACGTGCGCCCACATGCGCTGCCGGGACGTACCTCGCTATCTATCTATCGCTGGTAACCTATCTAGCTGGAGTGAAGTGAGTCTCAGATATGAATGGCAGTGCTGTACGGATTACCTTGCCTCCCCACACCTACTCCCTGCCACCCCCCCGCAGCTACCCCAGCCTAACGCCCACGCTGCTCGCCGCCAGCCGCTCCCGCGATATGGAGTCGGAGCGGAGGGGGCGCTCCTGGGGGGGAGGAGGGGAGGGAGCAAGGAGGGGGAAGCAAGGGGGAGGGGAGCACGAGGGGAGCATACAGGTCAGAGATGTATCCAAACCACAGGTTAGGGCAACGCGATGGGAGGGAAGCAGGCGGGGGGAGGCCGGATGGGTGGGCGGCTCAAGAACCTAGCCATTGCAGAACTACACGCCGCAGGAAGCGATGGAGGGGAGGAGTTAGAGGCTTGGGCTTGCAACATAGGTTGGTCGGGTCCAGGAACCCTCCCTCCCCTTCTCTCCATCCCCCCCTCCTCCTCTCCCCTCCCTCCCGCCCGCCCCCCTCACCAGCGCCTTCAGCCAGGGGTGCTGCAGCAGCTCATGAACCGTGGGTCGGTCCTCCGGTCTCAGCTGCAGACACGCGTTCACAAACGCCCTCGCCGCCGCGCTGACGCTGCTTGGGAAGGCCAGCCGGCGGTGCTGCTGCTGCTGCTGCTGCGGGTGCTTGGAGGCCAGGCCGCCGGAGAAGGGCGCGAAGCCCACTAGCAGCTCGTAGGCCAGCACGCCCACACTCCAGACGTCGCAGGCGGGGGTGTAGGAGAAGGTGTCGTCGTCCTTGTTGTCGGAGGAGGTGTTCTTGAGGGGGCAGGCTTGGACCTCCTGAGGGGGGTTGAGGGTTGAGGGTGGGAGGGTTGAGGGTAGGAGGGGCTTGGGAGGGGCGAGCGCAGGGAGCCAGGGGCCCTGTTCAAGAGGCGGGTTGTATGGGAGTCATGCTCGGGGGACAGGGGGAGGAGCAGCTCTGGGGCACGGGGGTGTTTGGAGGGCTGAGAGAGGTACCCGCTCCCCCGCCAACCCCCCTCCCCGCCCCCTTCCCCCCCTCCCCCCCCCTCAAACACTTTGTCTTGTGGCGCCCTGCCAACTCCTATCCCCATTGCTTTGCCCTAACTTGTGGTCTCCTATGGTTTGTTATGGTCTTTGACCCCCCTCCCCCCTCTCACCGGCGCCATGTAGTCCCTCGAGCCCGCCCGGGTGACCGGCCGCTCCTCCGCCGCGCAGATGGACACCCCGAAGTCGCACAGCTTGAGGCGCCAGTCGGGCGAGAACAGCAGGTTACCCTGACAAGGGGGGAGGGGAGGAGGAGGGGAGGGGAGGGGAGGGGAGGGGAGGGCAGGAGGGGAGGGCAGGAGGGGAGGGCAGGAGGGGAGGGCAGGAGGGGAGGGCAGGAGGGGAGGGGGGGAGGAGGAGGGCGGTGAAGTAGACTGCCGCCATGTGTGTCAGGATACGGGCCCGGGCTCCCTCCCACGCTGTCCTTCCTGCCCCTGCACTGCTGCCGGTCGGATCTCCCCACCACCCCACCACCCCTCCCCCCCTGTGGCTTCCTATGGTTCGGTATGGTCTTTGACCCCACCCCCCCTCCCCCCCCTTACCGGCTTGATGTCCCGGTGCACGATGCTCCTCCCGTGCAGGTACTGCAGCGCCCGCAGCAGCGGCGCCAGCACCAGCCCCACCGCCTGCACCTCGCGCATGCGGCTACCCAGCTTGAGACGAGCCTGGGCCAGCGAGCCGCCGCCCGCCCACTCCAGGACTAGGACCAGGGTCTTGTCCTCCTGGGCGGGGAGAGGAGGGGAGGGGAGGGGAAGGGGGGTCAAAGACCATACGCATGTTGGGGTGGGGCGGTTTGTTGCCCAGCCCCGCCCCGCCCCGCCCCGCCCAGCACAGCACAGCACAGCACATCGCTGCCCATCAGCGGCCTGGGTCCCCTGCAGCCTCGACCCAGGCCGCTATCACAGTGGGTTGCTCAGGCCCCCACCCCTCCCCTCCCCTCCGCCCACCCTCCCCTCCGCCCTCCCTCCCCGCCCTCCCGCCCCCCGCCCCCCCCACCTTGAACGCCGCCAGCAGCTGCACCACGTTGGGGTGCTCCAGTCGGGAGTGAACCCGCACCTCCCGCATCACCTGGGGGGGAGGAGGGAGGGGGAAGGGGGGGAGCGGTGGGCGGAGGGAAACTGCCAGCACAGCACTAGGAGGTATTGGCATGGGGTAGGTATTGGCATGGGGTAGGTATTGGCATGGGGTAGGTGTAATGTAAAGGTGCTTGGAGAAGAGGCCGGGTCGTCGGGTTTCCTGTCTCCGCACGGCACCTCCCCCCCCGCCACACCTCCCCCACCCCGCCATATCTCTCCCCCCCCGCCATATCTCTCCCCATACCTCGCCTAGTCGCGCACCCCTCCCTACCTCCTGCACCCTTCGCCCCCGCCCCCCCCCCACCTCCTACTCCCCCCTTCTTGCCCTATCTGTGGTTTCATGTGGTTTGGTCTACTTTGACCCACCCACCCACCCCACCTTCCCCTCCCCCCCCGCCCCACCTGGTGCGTCAGGAACTCCGACAGCCGGCCTAGCGAGTAGCACTTCAGGGCCACATGCAGCCCGGAGGCGCGACACACGGCCTGGGGGGAGGGGGGGGGCGGGTAGGAGGGGTAAGGGAGGGAGGCAGCATGCAGCAGGGGAGGCCGGCGGGGTCCGAGCTGTTTCGAAACCCCCGACGACCTCTCACCCCACCGCACCGCCGCACCAACCGCCCCCCAACGGCGTTATCACCCCAACCCCGCACCGGGCCTCCCATCGCACCGGGCCTTCCCTCACCCCCCTCCTTCCCCTCCCCCCTAGTGCTGCCACTAGCATTCAGCGCAGGGTTCTTCTTCCTCACCCTCCGTTACCCCCCTCCCTTACCCCCCCTGCCCCGCCCCGCACCTGGAATACCTCACTGGAGTAGCCCCGGTGCAGCTGCCTGGGGGGGTGGGTGGGGGGGGACAGAGGGGGCGGGGGGGGGGGGCGCGGTGCGTCATGTTGCCTTCCCTGCTGATACAACCGCTAGTTGCCCAGTGAGGTAAGGGAGGGCGGACCCCCAGTGCGGGCAGGTCAGTCAGGGCCTCAGCGACGTCCTCCCTGCCCGGGCCCCCTCGCACATCCACTTAGCCCGCCCCTCACACCCTCCCCGCCTCCCCCTCTCCCCCCCCTTACCTCGTCACCAGGTAGTCCTCCCTGCTCCAGCTGTCCCGCTGCATGCTCCGTGCCACCCCGCACCACACGTGCAGCAGCGAGTCACCCACCGGCCGACACAGCGGGACGAAGGGGGGCGGGGCGGCGGGCAGGGACAGCAGGTCACCTGGGGGGGGGGAGCGGGAGGGGGGAGCGGGCCGGTAGGGGGAGACGGGGAGTGGGAGGACAGTGGTGCGCTGGCCAGCAGGGCTCGGCAGGACCCACGGGTCGCTACGGTGTTCCTATCGTCAAGCACTCTCATTCCCTCTCCTCCTCACTCCTCCTCACTCCACTCACTCAGGGTCAGGTGGTGCGGCTCCTGCTGTCCCCCCTGCTGCCCCTCCCCCGCCTGTCCCGCCTGCTGTCCCCCTGACTGCGCTGCCCCGCCTCCGGGACTCGCATCCGGCAGGGAGGGTACCAGGGAGGAGGAGGAGGAGGAGGAGGGCGGCTGCTGCTGCTGCTGCCCCCCGCCCGCCTGCCCCCCTCCCCCACCAGGCGGGGGAGCAGGCGGCCCCGCTGCCCGCAGCCCCCTGCTGGGCCGGTCCTGCCACAACGCAGCGGCCGCCACCGCAGCAGCGGCCGCCTGCTGCTGCTCTGGTGCCTGCTGCTGCGGCTGCCCTTGTTGTTGTTGTTGTTGGCCCCCCTGCCCCTGCGGCCCCCCCTGCTGCTGCCCCTGCCCCTGCTGGCCCCCCTCCGGCGCCTGCAGCAGTGCGGGCAGCGCTCGCCCCAGGGAGGCGCAGTGCCGCATGGAGGTGAGGTGCGGGGCAGCCACACCCCGGGGGGAGGCGGGGGGCTGGGGCTGGGGCCGCCGCCCGCCGCCCACTGCAGCGGGAGTAACACCAGCACCTCCTCCTCCTCCTCCTCCTGCTGCCGCTGCCGCCAGCGGTTGGTTGTCGGACCCCGGCCCTGCCCCCCCGCCGCCCGCCACCTCCAGCCCCACCAGCCTACTACCCATGTCCAAACTCCCAAACCTGCCGCTGCCTAACCCACCACCTCCTCCTCCTCCTCCTCCCCCTCCCCCATCCGCACCCGTCACCCCGCTATGCGAGCTGCGAGGTGCCAGGCAGGAGGGCGTGTGCGCCCGCGGCGGCACCCCGCTGTGGGAGGAGCGCCCGGGCAGCGGCAGCGACAGCTGCTGCTGCTGTCCCTGCTGCTGCTGCGGGCTGCCTGCCCCTGCTGCTGCCCCAGCCACCCCGGGCACAGCAGAGGGGGAGGTGGTGGAGGTAGAAGCGGGGCCTCCCCCGAACCAGTGTTCGGACATGGCCCTACCGCGATGCGGGTCCTGCTGGCCGCCCGACTCCAGGGAGACGCGGCTGCGGGAGTGGAGCAGCGTGCCCCGCCCGCGGCAGGAGGAGGAGGCGGCGGGGCGGTGGCTGGGGCGGAGGCCGTGTCCTGGGGAGTCGGGGGGGCCGGAGACGGAGGTGGAGACGGCGCGGGCGGGCCAGGCGCTGTCCCAGCGGGCGTGTTGGGGAGTGGGGGGAGCTTTGGGGTGGGCGGCGGGGGAGGAGGGGAGGCGGGAGGTGGTGGAGGCGCGGAGGAGGGGCGCGGTGGAGGGGGGTGGGGTTTGGGAGGTGGTGGATTGGACGAGCGGGAGGGAGGACCAGAGGTTGAGGGAGCCGGAGGGGGGGGCTGGGGGTGGGGTGGCGGGTGGGAGGATGATGACGCTGGCTTCGGCGTCGACATCGTGGTTAGGACTTAGCCGGTCAGGGTGCGGGTAGGAAGGGGGAGATGGGCGAAGGAAATCGGTCGAGAATGGAGGAGGCGTTGGGAGGCCGGGCGAGGATTCCCTGGCGCCCTGGAGCGCCATGAATGAAGGAAGTTGAGAGTCGGAGTAGGAAACAGCGTCCTCGGGAGGCGCACGTTGCAGCATGCTTTCCTGTCTTTTCGATGTTCCACAAAGTCCACCGCCGCAAGCGCCAACCAGGCGGGACGCCGGCGCACCCATGAACATTTGTTCAAATGCGCTGAGCCCATTTTCCAGTGCCGGAAACATAACGCCTGAGAACTACGGGGGCACCTCCCCGAAGCCCCGTAAGGCCTTCCTAAAATAATTGCATTCGAAGTATTGCTACTTAATAGGCATCCAATCTTGTTTCAGAGGTCGAACTGATGTACCGGTATGTTGAGCGAATACAGCTATTGGCATTGCTAAAAAACAAAGCAAGTGAAAATGTTTTCCACACATCCTGGTGTAGAAACTAACATGGTGCCAATTTCAAGCGTTAAAGTGAACGGAATTGCAGAGAGCCGGGTCCTGCTGACTAAGGGGTAAGGTACGGCACTGTTACCTGCTAACTTCTCGATATTTCTTTGCTTGATGACACCGGCGTGTAACTTAGACGCTATCTCGTGCCCATAGGCTGTCAAATCCTACCTCAACTCGATTCCTTCACATACTTAGATGGGTGCTGCACAGGGCGACTCCGTCGGGCTCGTTCCAAACAACTTGGATGCATAAGCGTCTTCAAGACTTGCTAATTATATTGCCATATAGAAGCTTTGCGGCTTTACGCATACATTGCGGTTGACATTTGCCTTGCACAGCCGTCCTATCAACCCTAAGCCAGCTTTCAGCTGCGTACAGACATGTCAGATGATGATGGCTTCCTGGCAGACCTCGCCGAAGAGCTTGCCGAGAGCGACGGTTTGGACGATTCCAAGCTCTCCGACCAGCCCAAGCCATCAGCCCCCAAAGCCCCGACTAAACCTCCTCCCAAGCCACCCAGCAAGCCGCCTTCCACCTCCCCAGCCGACGATTCCCTAGGCCTCAGCCTCAGCAGCGACCTCCCCGCCTCGCGCCCCGCCTCCAAGCCCACCTCCCGGGCTCCCTCCGTCACCGCAGCAGCCAAAGACTCCCTGGACCTCAGCCTCAGCGACAGCCAGGCATCCATTCCTCCGGCAACCCGCCCCAAACCCTCCCTCTCTCCCTCACCCGCTGCTCCCAAACCCGCAACCACCACCACCCCGACGCGCTCCTCCTCCCCCCTCCTCAGTGCCGACCTAAGCGCCTCGAGCCTGAGCCCCCGCTCCAGCCCTCCTCCTCGCCCCTCCCCGGCGGCTGCCCCAGCCGCCTCCGCAACCCCCGCCGCCTCCACGCCACCTCCTCCCTCCACCTCCCGCCCCAGCCCTCCTCCTTCTCGCCCCGCCGCTGCCAGCCCCCCTCCTTCTCGCCCCGCCGCTGCCAGCCCCACACCTCGCTCCTCCGCCCCCTCGCCCTACACCAGTGACGACTATGCAGACCTGCTAGGGCCCTCCTCGGGAGAGCCCTCCGCCGCCTCCCTCACCCCCACCCCGGCTGCTGCTGCTGCTGCCAGAGGGGGGCAGCAGCGGCCTTCACCTGCCGCTGCTCCTGCTGCCTCCACGTCTCCGCCCGGCAGTGGCGGCGGCAGTGGAGGAAAGATGGGTGGCGGCAGTGCTGCCCCGTCGCGGCCGCTCTCCCCTCTCAGCAGCACAAACAGCAGCTTTCATGGCTCAGGGCTACCCCCTCCCGAGCTGGCAGACTCCCCCGCCACCTCACGAGTCGGCCTCACAGCTGCTGCCGCTGCCGGCGCCGGCACGGCAGGAACCATGACAGCAACAGCAGCAACAGCAGCAGCAGCTGAGACCGGGGCGGCGACCGGCCGCAACGTCAGCTTCGCCCCCGCCCCCGCCCCCGCCCCCGCCCCCGCCCCCGCCCCCGCCCCCGCCCCCGCCCCCAGCAGCTCCAGCACCCTCACCCGGGGTCAATCCCAGCTCCGTGCCTTCCTAGCCGGCGGCGGCAGCCTGGGCCGCTCCTCCTCCGCTTGCATGCATGACGTGCGCTGCGACATCCCCACCCCCTTCGATCTGTTCCGGCTGTACGACACCGATGGCAGCGGCTGCGTGACTCACGGGGAGTTCGTACGGCTGCTGCGCGACCTGGACGGGCTGCCGGAGCACTGGGCGGCGGGGGAGGACCCGGAGGCGCGGCTGGGGGAGCTGAGGGAGAGGAGGTGGGTGTGTGGGGAGGAAGAGGGTGGGGAGAGGGTGGGGGCTATAATACGTAAAGGCTCCTTTGCTGGGAGGTGAGGGCGGCAGGGTTGGGAGCTGGTATGGTCTTTGACCCCCCGCCCCCGCATGACACCCTCCCCCAGGCGGCAGCTCTCCTCCCATCTGGCCGCCCGGCGGGAGCAGCTGGATGCCGCTGAGAGGCAGCCGCAGACCCCGCCCGCAGCCCTGGCGGCGATGCGGACGCAGGTGGCGGCGGCGGAGGCGGAGGAGGGGCGGCTGGCGGCGGCGGCGGCGGCGGCGGAGGCGGCGGTACGGCAGCTGACGGAGCACCCGGATCCGGAGATCCGAGTGACGGCGGAAGTACGGCAGCGGAGGGCCAAGGTGCGGGGGGAGGGGAGGGGTGGAGCTGTGGAGGTCGGGGAGGTAAAAATAAGGAAATTGATGAGGGCGGGGTTGGGGGGGGGGGCTGCCGCAGCGGGAGAGGCCAGGGGGATGACTCGAGGGGCGCGTCAGCGTGTGTGTTTGGTTGGTGTGTATTGGCTAGGAGGGCTGCTGGCTGGCTGGCTGGACCGGCCGCCTAGCACAGCGTCAGCGCCTTGCACGGCCGTGCTAGACTCCCCTGCCCTGCCCCGCCCCGCCCTGTAGTACCCCATGCGTGCGTGCGGCCCCCGGGCAGCGGTTCCCTCCTGGCTCCGCTGGCACCCACCTCCGCTGCCCACCCGCCCTGCTCTGCCTTACCCCTCCCCCACTTCGTGGTCCCTGGTTCTCCCTCCTTCCTTCCTTCCCTCCTTCCCGTGGTTCTTCCTTCCCTCCTCCCCCCAGTGGCGGGAGTGGGTGGAGGCGGAGTTCGCGCGGGCGGATGTGGGCGGCAACGGCATGCTGAGCATTGGTAGGGGCAGGGGCAGGGGCAGGGGGGAGAGAGGGAGAGGGGAGGGAGAGGAGGGGAGGGAGAGGAGGGGAGGGAGAGGAGGAGGGGAGGGAGAGGAGGGGAGGGAGAGGAGGGGAGGGAGAGGAGGGGAGGGAGAGGAGGGGAGGGAGAGGAGGGGAGGGAGAGGAGGGGAGGGAGAGGAGGGGCAGGGGAGGGAGGGAGCGGGAGGTGTTGGGGTCGAGCGGTAGAGGGAGGCGGTTGGGCGGCGAGCGTGGGTTGGAAGGGGAATGAGCGGGCCGAGCTCCTCGCTGCGGTGGGGGCGCAGGCACGTTGTTTTACACATCCGCTGCTGCCAGTCTACTTCCCACTCCGATACCCTACCTGGCCCTACAGTAAAATCACCCGTACCAAAACCGTGTATGATGGACCCCCCCAACCGCTTTCTCTGCTCGTTGGTTTCCTCCTCGCTACCCTCTCCTCTCCTTACCTCCTCCCCCCCGCCCCCCAGATGAGTTCTACATGTACTACTACGCAAAGCTGTGTTTCCGATTCCCGGTGCTGCGGACGGGGCTCAACCCGGGTAGGTGGTTACCCTGGCTAGGGGTGGGGTGGGGTGGGGGAGAGCGCGTTGGGACAGGGGCGGGGTGGTCAGGGCTGGGGCACCCGAGGGGGGTGGTGCAGAGGCGTGACGGGGCAGTGAGAGGGGGGGCGATCCAGGCAGGTGACGTGCCCCCAACCCCCCACCCCCTGACCCCCCCCTTCCATCATACACAAGGCGCCATGCTGTACAATGTGTTCGTGCGCTACTGCAACCTGGGTCGCGGCGGACCCGCGGGTCGCTGCGAGGACATGCTGGGTCACCAGTTCGCGCGCCTGTGTGCGGACGCGGGGCTGGTCAACGGCAAGACCGTCACCAAGGCCACGGTGGATATCATATACCACAGGTGGCGGGGGGGGGCTGGGGGTCTGGGAGCGGGCAGCGGAGGGAGGTGAAGGGCTGGGAGCGGGCAGCGGAGGGAGGTTGAGGGCTAATGGATTTAAGTGTGTTTCATGGATGATGGATGTGATTGGTACATGGCCCGGGATGGTGGAGGTGGTGAGGTGCGGTTCCTGCATCGCTGCTTGTTGCCCCCCGGGTGTTCGGGTGGTAGGGGCGGCTGGGCGGTGATTGCCGTCCTCCCCCTCCCCCCTCTCTCCCCCTCCCCCCTCTCTCCCCCTCTGGGATTGGGACTCCGGTTGCTCCGCTTTTCATCTATTCCTCCCCTCGCCCTAACCCTCTTCCCCACCCCCCCTTTGCCACCTCCCGCTGCAGGTCCCGCGCCGCTGACGAGATCCTGGAGACGCACACCCCCCGGCCCGGGGTGGCGGCCACTGCGCGCATGTACTACCCGCAGTTCCTCTTCGCGCTCAACAAGGTACGACATGGGGGGCGGAGGAAGGGGTAAAGATATAACCAAACTACAGGTTGGGGCGAAACAACGGGGTTATGGGGCAGTAAGACAATTGAGGGTTAGCGGTCCCTACCGATACCAAGTATCCCCTCCCCCTCCATCCCCCCTTCATCCCCCCTTCATCCCCCCTCCATCCCCCCTTCATCCCCCCTTTCCTCCCCCTTCTCCACCCCAGCTCGCTGAGAAGCGGCGCAGCGGGTTTCAGGAGGTGGTGGCGCGCCTGCTGTCCTCGCTGGACTGCCTGCCTGCCCCCAGCGGGGCGGACCTGCTGATACACAGCACACATGACCTGGGGCCGGGGGCGCAGGTGGGGGGGGGGGGAGGAGGGGGGTTAAAGATATACCAAAACCACAGGTTAGGGCATGCCAAGGCTCGCTGGATGCTTCGTTGGTCTGTTGGCTGCTTGACGGCGAGCCGCGGAAGCGTGATGCGATCCTGCACGCTCCTCCACCCCCCCTCCCTCACAAACCTCTAAATAAACCCCACCAGCCCCCCCCTCCCCCCCCCACCCCCCTTTCCCTCCCCAACAACTAGTCAGCAACTTGTACCACTATCGCACCACACATTGGAATTCTCCCCCCCCCCCCCCCCCGCCAGGTTCCCGAGTTCCTGCTGCGCCCCCGCGGGCTGCCCGACAACTCGGGACAGCTGCGGAGCCTGGCTGACAACTGCCTGGTGGCGAAGATGAAGCAGGGTGGGCGGGGGGGCGGAGCCCGGGGGGGCGGGGGGGTACTGGGAGGAGCTGGAAACTGAGGAGAGCTGGGGGCGGCATACGGTATAGGATTGAGCCGCGATGAGAAACTGATTCTGACCATGAGGAGACCGGGGAAGGGGGGGGGCGGTCTGGGCAGAGCAGTGTGGGCAGGAGCGGCAGGACACAAGAGCCCAAGACAGCCAGCCAGCCAGCCCTCCGTGCTGCATGGGCCTTCCCTCGCGTACCGCCCTTGCCCCATCCATCCCTGCATGCCGTAAACACACATACACATACACCACCAACATGCACCCTCCACACCTCCTTCCTCAATCCAACACCACCCAACAACCCTGCGCCCTCCACCCCCCACCCCCCACTCCCCACCCCCCACCCCCCACCAGAGTCCCAGGATGCGCTCCGGCTGTCCACCGGGCTGCTGGAGGGTGCTGGGGGCACCGGCGGGGGCACCAGCAGTGGGGGCTTCAGGGCCTTCCTGACGTCCAAGTGAGGGGGAGAGGACACAGACGGGAGGGAGGGAGAAGGAGGACGGCTGGCCAGGGGCGGAGGTGCAAGAGGGGTGGGGGATGAGGGTTTGCCGGTGCAGCAGCCGCTGCTGCTGCTGTGACGTGTCCTGCAGGACTGCAGGCCCCACGTCTGCAGGCCCTGCTGCCTGCAGTGCCCTCACCTGACCACCTCTCAACACAACAGCCACAACCACATTCGCTGACAGCCCTCCCCTGTCCCTGTCCCTGACCTGCCCCTCTCCTGTTTCCTCCTGCTCCCAAACCTGCAGACGCACCGCCACCTCCCCACCCGCTACCACCACCACCGCCACCACCACCGCCACCACCACCGCCGCCGCCGCCGATGTCCCCAGCAGCCCCAAGGACCCCCAACAAGCATCCGACACCGCCGCCCAGCCCTCCCCCTCCCCCTCTCCCACCACCCCCACCACCGCCCCCTCCCCTCCATCCACCGCCCCGCTGCGGGCCTCCGTGTACGGCAGTCTGCCTCCCCCCACCCTGGCCCCTGACGCGCTGCGCAGCCGGCCCTGGGAGGTGCGCGAGGCGCCCCAGCTGGCTGCGGCGAGGAGGCGGGCGGTGGCGGCGCTGGGGGGCAGGAGCGGTCCGCTGCACTGCCCGGAGACCATGCAGCTGGTAGGGGGGATGGAAGGGTGTGGCATGGGAGGGCGCGCAGGGGGAGCTGCATGGAGGCTGCCCATCATGCCTCGCTTGGGGTCCCAAGGACCGTTTTTGCATTCACTCATTCAGCCGTTTGATTGAGTGCGTGCCCATGCCCTTCCCAACCCCCCAAGGTTCGTTCCCTGGACCCGGATGCGCTCATGGTGTCACTGAAACGCGTCTTCGAGGGCTACGCGGGCACATGGGCGGCGGGGGGCGGCCGACCCACGGGTCTCGACCGCGGGTCGCTGGGTCGGCCGGGCTTCCAGGCTGCCATGCGCGATGCGGGGCTGGTGAGCGAGAGCGGGCTGCTGCCCTCGCGGCGGGTGGACGAGCTGTACGGCAGGGTGCTGCCGTCCAGCTGCCGGGGACTCAACTTCGTGCAGGTGAGGGTGGGGGCGGGAGGGGGGGTGATGTGTATCGGGTTAATAGGGATTGTGGTTGTGGTGCTGGTGGGAGGAGGAAAGGACAATGGGGGTTGCATGACGGTGCCTGCTGACTCCGAGCCTCAGTTTCCAGGCTGCATGCCTCCACGCGCCCGTTGCCGGCATGAAAGGGCCCTCCTCTCTCCCTCTTCCTGTGTCCTGGACTACCCTCCCGCTTGGAATCCCATCCGCCCCTTCCTCCCTTCCCCCCACCCCGCCCCGCAGTTCATCGAGGCCCTCCGCCAGGTGGCTCTAGCGCTGCGGCTGTCGCTGAACGAGGTGATGGAGCGGCTGGTGGCGGTGGGGGAGCCGTGAGAGGGGAGGGGGGGAGGGGCAGGGCAGGAGGTGTGCGGAGGGATTGGACAACGCATGAGGGGATGGGCTATAACCGCCGTGAGAGGGACTGTACCTGAGGGGTGAGACGTGAGGGGTCGCATGCCTGGCGGCATGCAAGCAGGCGAACGAATGAGGGCAGCAGGGGGAGGGGACGTCCCCGACAGAGGGCCGGTATGCGCAGGGGAATCTGCCGTTGATTAGGGCGGAGACATTCGGAATCATGGGGTTCAGACAATCCTCATGGCTCATGCGATAGCGCATGATGGACACAAAGCAACCTTATGTTTGCGGAGGTTGGGCGGGTGCGAGTCAACAACCAACGCCGCACAACCGCACGACGGAAGTCGCCAGTCTTGCTGACAGACTGTCCATACGTACCCTACCGGTAGGGCAACACAGCAATGTACGGTACAACGCAGCTCCTGTAAACCTTTCGGGCATGCAAAAGCCCTTCCATGCAGCACGCAGCAGAGGCCGCAACGCCGCCTTCCCTTGCCACCCGCTAGGAACCCCCACCGCAACCCCCTCCGATCCTGCCTCCTCCTGCCCGCCTCCGCTCCCTGCTGCCAACTGGAGCCTCCAGCACTCTATCCGATAGGTGCTCCTCCCCCTCAGCCGCCTCCTCTCCCTCGGCACCAGGCAACATCCGCCATAGGCCTTAACGAATGTATCCCAACATCCAACGACCGCTGACAGCAGTACCCGACATCGGGACATGATTTGTAGTCCCGACTTTCCCCCTCCACCCGCCTCGCCCTGTAATCTGTCCGTTGACAGCAATCATGTCCGTTCGCAGCAGGGTGTTGGAACCAGAGAGCTGGACACCCATACTGCGTAGACACGTCATGACAAACCACGGAATGCGTTTTCGTCCATCACTTAGCCGTCGCCCGGACCCGCCGCTGCATATACGCACCCTACAACAACTAGGGTCTCAATATTCAAGAGCAGCAGCCGTATCCCGAATCCAAAAACAGCAAGAAGGACCCCCCTCGCAACATTTCATACTATGCTTGGAATGGCATGTAAAGAGGTGTATCATGCATCCGACAGCAAGAATTGAAAAACATAGCATACTGCTACTGCTATTCCTACTATTGTCCAGGGCTCGCTCCCGCCAACAACAACAATCTGCGGCGAGGTTGCAACACCCAAAAAGCAGCGTCCCCTTCCTCGTCCCTCTTCCGTCCCCCAGACAACGAATTCCGCCACTCCTGTCCAAGCTTTCCCCGTTGCCTCTTGAGCTTGTACAAGGTCTCCTCCGCCCCCTACCTCAACTCCTCCCCTTCTCAACATGAGCACCATTTGCGATGTTAACTTGCATGACATCCGAATGTTACTAGCCGTAGGGCCCATGCAAGCAACGATGTGACCCAGCGCTGACCCGTACACAGCACCACCAGAGGGGCCCATGCCACTGCAAAGGCCTTTCCGGCACACATCAAACCAGCTCCGAATATCTAAGTCAACGTTATTTGGATTTTGCGAAAAACTAATATCTTGTACTAATACCTTTACGATATGGATGGCACATGTTCTGACCTTCCGTTTCCCATTCATTCAATCTTGTTGCCAGAGCCAAACTTCTCAGAGCAGAGCCTCCTTCCAAAACCCACTCTCTTTCGTGTCTACCGAACGCAGGGCAGAGATGCGTCAAAACGGTCCTGCTGGTATTGCGATTGCAAATGTTTGCCTTTCTCACAGCTGCTAGCAGGCCCTCTCGTCACTCCTCACCGCCGCCAGAACTGCGCGTTGCCGCCACCCCTCCAGCCGCCTCCCCTGACCCTGGGGGCGACAGCGGCTGGGCCCGGGGGCGCTTGCCGGGGGGCGGCAGCAGCGGCAGCCCCACCTCCCCGCGGCCGCTGTGCCCCGCTGCAGCTGCAGCTGCTGCAGCCGCTGCGACCAGGGTTGACGTGTCCGGTCGGGGGTAGGTCGGCGGCGGCGGGTGCGGCATGCAGGCGGAGGAGAGCCCGGCTGGGAGCTGTGAGCCGCCGCCGAGGCCACCGCCTTCCTGATGCTGCTGTGGCTGCTGCTGCAAGGGGCGGGAGGCAGAGCGAAACTAAACAGCAAGTTAGGGCAAGGCAAGAGGTCGGCGGATGGGGGCGGGGGGTAAATGCGAAGGCGGGCGGGGCATGGGGAGTATGTTGCCTCCTGTTTACCCCACAAACCCGCTCCCTCCCAACCCGCCCCGGTTCTCGTCGCGACCCGCCACCCCGCCCACCTCGAGCTCCTCAACCCGCCGCTGCAGCTTCACGACGTACTTCTCCAGCTTGCGAGTGTAGCTGTGCATGTCTGGGTAAGGGCGCGTGAAGGGTTGTAAGAGGTGTGGGGCGGAGGGCTAAGATGGATGGAAGTGATGGGTAAGGAAGGGAGATACACGGCTTGGAGCGAGGCTTTTGAGCAGGATGCAGACGAAGGAGAAACCCTTTTGGAGCCAGCAGAGCCCGGCCAATGCCCCTACGCCATTCCCCAACGCCGTACAGCCTACCTGAGCATTGCTCCACAAGCTGCTGGATGAGATAGCGCAGGTTGAAATTCCCAAACTCGCCGCTGCCGGCTAGGAAAGCCAGTCGATTGGACGCCGTTTTGCTTATCTCCCCAAACCTATCAATCAAGTTGGAGTGAAGGGGACCAGCATTGATTCAGGCCTTGAAGACCGATATGCAGAGGATTACAGGACTTGCAGTAACTTCTGATTACGAGCATTCCGCAGCGAGACAATTAACGTGGAAAGAAGCCGGAAGTGCGCATGCTTGACAGCCTAACCGTCAGAACTTCGTCCATACAAGCCAAGGCATATGAAGGCATTACCGTCTTAGGTTGCTTTCCAGGGTTGCTTATCAAGGAGAGAAACAGACGCTTGGCAGTTGGCTTCCTTGTAAGACGACTGAGCAGCTTGCTTTTCTTCATACCTGCCTACGACTCACCTGAATCGAAAAATATCCTCGTTGCTGATGTCAATTTCCGCTTGACGCATGACTGACAACCAATAGCTGTGGTCGCAAAGGGCGTCCAGGCCTGCCAACGTCCCCGGCGGCAAATTCCTGTACGCGAACCCTGCTTACTACTTCACGTCCACCTTGTCTGTCTGCCACCACAAACAATTGTTGCTTACCGGAAAGCACGGGATAAGTCCTCACCGCTCCGGGCCATTGACGGAGGACAGTTTGGGGCTGAACTCGGGTCCATTCTTCGATGAGCTAGAAATACGGATGAATAAGATTGCAAGAAAGGTTGCGTCTCACGGCATTAAATGCCGCTGGGTTTTAAACCTTCTAGGAACAGCCACGCCAGGTCACCAGGCCACGCTGCCAGAGCGAGTAGAAACTATGGAGCACCAGCTCTCCATGTCATTGTGTCTTACCACCGGCTGCGGAATCTGCCCTCTTAGGAATCAGTTCACATGGAGCAGGAACAGTACGGCGTTTACTGGGAGCGAATTGTAAAAACTCTGTAGCCCTTTCGCAGCCACTTCGAGCCTCACGACTGCGAACCCCGGTCACGCACGAAAACCTTCTCAATGAAGCGAAATTCCACTGACGTCCAGCTCGACGCCAAAGACGCTGCAACGTAGATAAAAACGATAAGGTGGAGCCACTATTCCAAGAAACAATCCGTTATACGTCCATGCCAATCGCGGTCGTAGTTCGAGCACACTTCCCGAGGACCTTAGTAATCACGTGCTGGACGAGCATGTGATCTTCAAGAAATATCGCATTCTGTTGAAAGCAAAATTATGACTTTCTTTTTTGTTTCGTGTATTTACTGCAGCATTCTTACGTACTAGCTGCCGCCTTCTCCCGCTCGGCGGGCACTACCTTTGCCAACGAGCGAGAGAAGTTGTCGATTTTCATATTGTGAGAAACATGCGATCCTTATAAAACTTCTGGACAGCAGAAAGCCATCTGGTGTCTAGAGGCAGTCAGCCCGCAGTATGTCTGGCCCGTGCCATAGGCATCCCTTCAACAGTGTTGGCCGCCGACATTCCCACGGCCAAAAGCCACATCCATATTGCATACAGCAGCGGCGCACAATCACAAAGCCATCCCCACCCCACCTCCAGTGATCCATTGCACCCGTTCATTGCCCCATCCCACCACAAGCCACCCAAGCCACCCACGCATGTGCTACGCAGCTAGTACCCCAGCGCTCCTACTGCTCCTGCGCCCCACCCGCCGCCCCCTCCCTGGAGTCCGCTCCCGCCTGCGTGACCGTGTCCTGCGCCCGCGCCCGGCTCGGCATGCTGATGACGTCAGCGTCCAGGAGCGCCCGGTCGCCCACGGGACGCGGCGCCATGCCCTTGGCCACGAAGGATGCGGGAACCGATCTGCGCAGTCGTCCGGGGGCAGGGGGGGTCAAAATAGACCAGACCAGGGGGGAAAGAAGAACACCCCATGTGTTGAATGAGGCTGACAAACAAGCCGACTAGCTCCTGGTGATGGAACCGAGGTAGTCGAGCCGAACAGGGGGGTCAAAGACCATATCAAACCATAGGAGACCACAAGTTAGGGCAAAACAATGAACAGGGGGGGGGGAGGGTGACAGTGGATGAGGCCATGGTTTGGGGAAGGCTACGGTCCAACGGTGGGCGCTACAGCAGGAGGGAAGACCCGGAAGTAGGGCACGGCATGAGTAGGGGAGATGGGGGAGGGAGATGTGTGTACGGCGCAAGCAAAGCACAACGAGCGAGCAACTAGCCATGTATGTGATTGGCGAGATTGCAGACGGACAGTACGGCAAAGGGCAGTTCTGAGTAATATTGACACAAGCCCATATGTACGTATAAGGCATCCAAAGAGAGAGTCAAAGAGAGAGTGAAGGTTGCCGAGCTGTTGGTGCGATTTCCCTCCCAGGCAGCCACGGACCTGAAATCCACGTCTTCCATGCCGGGAGCCGCCGGAATACGATCCGCCGCGAACCCCTCCCCCTCCCTCCCCTGCTGCTGCTGCTGCTGCTGCGATGTGTCCTGCGGCTGCTGCTGCGGCTGCTGCGGCTCCGGAACATCGGATCTGCGGACACCGGCAGCCGCCGCATCCATGCTGCTGCCGACCCCGACCCGCGGGTCACCCTGACCGCCGCCCTCACCGCGACCTGAAGCGCAAGATGCAAGGAGCAACAACGCAGCAACCGTTAGTAAGAGCGACACTTTAATGTTTGTTTGTTGTTGTATGGGAGTGTGTGGGTGGGTGGGTGTAGCTCTCAAGCTGTCGAAGGCTCGAGAGCGAGCAGGGAGCTCGGATGTCCGCCCAGGACAAGGGCGCGATATTGCGTCACACAGGTGCCTGGGCCGCGTAGACGCATAGATTACCGGTAACAGATACCTAGCAAAACGCCCGTTCTAAGCTGCTTCCAGCCGCCATTAAAACCTGCCTTCCATATAGCTTGCTTGGGGGGTTGCTAGCTGGCTACCCGCGGTGGTCCGGCCCGGCAGCCGACGTAAGCCGCAATCTAGTGTCCGCCGGGCCGCGGTGCCGGCCTGGAACCGAGGAGGACCCGAGGTATTGCGAACGCGCGTTGGCTGCTTTTGCTTACGACACCACAGGAGGCCAGCCGAGAGAGAGAGATAGGCCGGGCGGTGGATACGCCTCTGGCTCAGCGCTGTATGTGTGGGTGGTTTGTGAGTGCTACTGGCCGATCGATCAAGCGCGTAGGAGGCGACCGACCGTAATGACTGCCTCCTGCTTGCACACTGCTGATGACGATATGCGCTCACGTGCGCCTGGCTGCGGCTCTGGGAATTAACTGCTGTGGAGTAGTGACCTGTTCTTAAACAATTTTGCAGCGCCCATTGTCTCTGGCTTGCCACCGTAACCCACCTAGCTCGCTGCTGTGTTGGTTGGACGCGTGGACGCATTTTGGACTCCGAAACCGGGCAAAAGGCGGCAACCCGTCTAGAAGAGGAAATCCTCATTTGGCCCGACAGAAAGCTACTGTTGGAGTTCACACTGTTTATAGTGTGTTGGTTGCACAATCCAAACATTCAGTAGACTGGAGTAGGCAGCAGTTCCTAGGCTGCAAGCCCCCGCCCGCCGTGCGATCTGCAACTGAGCGACCCGCAGTGAACGAACCATGGGTCGGCGGCGGCCGCTGCTGTTGTGGCTGTGGCTGCTGGTGGCAGCAGGTGAGCTGGGGCGGCGGTTGGCGGTTGGATCCGTTGGATCCTGTTCGGTAGTCACCGCTACCAACGCCTTTCCACCGCTACCTCCACCCGCACCCAGCAACCACCGCACCTCCCCTCTCACGCGCTGCTCGCACCTCCCTCCCTCCCTCCCCCCTCCCCCCTCCCCCTCAGCCCCGCCCCTCCCCGCCAGCCTCGGCGCCCCGCTGCCCGCCCCCATCTCCTCCTCCTTCGTCACCCGCAGCGGACCGCTGCTCACGCTGTCGGGCCGCCCCTTCCGCTTCCTGGGCTTCAACGCCTACTGGCTGGTGGATGACGCGGTGGAGGGGCGCGGGGACAGGGGGCGCGTGGTGCGCCTGTTCCAGCAAGCGCAGGTGGGGGGCGGGATGGGGGGGTCAAAGACCATACCATACCATAGGAGACCACAGGTTAGGGCAAAGCAAAGAGGGGGCGGGGGGAACAAACCACCCGTCGGGGTCAGAAAAGGAGGAGGCGGCAGGTGGGTAATGCACCCGCGAGTAAGCTTAACGGTTCACTGCGGCGGGCTGGTTCCCTCCCCCTCCCCTCCCACAGCAACTGGGTCTACGAGTGGTGCGCACCTGGGCCTTCAACCACAACCTGCCGGGCCTGCTGACCACCCCCGGGGGGGCGTCCACCCCTGACGCAGCGGCAGCAGCAGCAGCAGCAGCGACAGCAGCAGCAGCGACAGCAGGGGCAGCAGCAGACGGCGGCTCGGCTCTTCACACGGGTAACTCCTCCTCCTCCTCCTCCTCCTCCTCCTCCCCCACCCTGTTCTGGTCGGAGGCGGAGTTCCGCGGTCTTGACTTCATCGTGGCGAGTGCGGGCCAGGCGGGGGTGCGGCTGGTGCTGGCGCTGGGCAACCTGTGGCCGGCCTTCGTGGGGCCGGAGCGGTTCCTGCAGGCGGGGGCGGGGGCGGGGGGGAGCGCAGGTGGGGGCGGGGGGAGTGCGGGGGGGAAGAGGTCTTGGTTATGGGATGACAGTGGCTGCAGGAGGTGACATGCTGTAGGTGGTGGTGGTGGTGGTGGTGGGCTGTCGCGTGCATGTGCAGCCGGGGTGGCGGCAGTGGTGCGGCAATCCGAATGCATAAATCCGCGACCCCCCCGGCCTCTCCTTCCCTTCCCATCTTTTCCCTCGTCCCTCCCCAAATCCCGCCACCCCCCCACCCCCCAGCTCGTCAGTTACTTCGTCAGTGTCTCATCGTATATATTTTTTTCACCCCCCCACCCCTCCAAATAGCCGGCACGAGTACCGTCGCCGACTTCTACTCCCACCCCGGGGCCCAGGCCGCCTACCAGCGGCACATTGCGGCTGTCACGGGCCGGGTCAACAGCATCACGGGGCTGAGGTACAGGTGGGGGAGGGGGGGCGCCGGGTGACCCGTGGGTCGGGGGAGGGGATGAGGTGGAGGGAATGGGGGATGGGGTGGGGAAGGGCGGAGGGAGCGGAGGGAGTGCCAACTGGTGTTGGGTTTGGCCGTGTACCGTATGTCCTCGTATGACCAGTCCAACCCTCCTTCCCCCCCCTCCCCCCCTCCCCCCTTACCACCCTCCTCCCCCCCCAGGGACTCCCCGGCCATCATGATGTGGGACGTTATGAACGAGCCGAGGTGCCCCGGTGGGTGGGTGGAGGGTGGAGGGGTAGGGGGGGTGTATGGGGGGAAGAGAGTGAGGAGGGGGAGGGTAGGGGGGAGGGGTGGGGGACGTTCACATCATTCAGGGGAGGGATCCCCAACACCTTCAGCCCCTGCCTAATCCGTACACCCTCAACCGCCTCAACCGCCTCATCCTTGTGCCCCAACCCACCTTTCCGAGCCCCCCCCGCATGTCGGGCCCCCCTCCCCCCTCCCCTCCCCCCCTCTGCCGCCCAGGCTGCACCCCCGCCCAGCTGTCCGCCTACCGCAGCTGGATCACCTCCGTGGCCGCCTTCACGCGCCAGGCGGCTCCCAACCAGCTGCTAGCGATGGGCACGGAGGGGTTCTTCGGGGATGAAGCCAACCTGCCGTACAACCCGGGTGGGTGATGAGAGGGGGGGATGAAGCCAACCTGCCGTACAACCCGGGTGGGTGATGAGAGGGGGGGATGAAGCCAACCTGCCGTACAACCCGGGTGGGTGATGAGAGGGGGGATGAAGCCAACCTGCCGTACAACCCGGGTGGGTGATGAGAGGGGGGAGAAAAGAAGAAAGCACTGTTGCTGATGGTGGCGTGCGGTGATAGGGGAGGGGGGAGTGACTCCACCTGCCCGCGCACGTGTGACGAACCGTCCCCCCCCCCCAGGTGCTGGCAGTGTGTGCGAGGGCGAGGACTGGTTGGACACCTCCTCCCTGCCGCAGCTGCACGTGGCGGTGGCGCACACCTACTGGAGGCAGACGGAGGTGGGCGGGGGGCGGGGAGGGGGGGGTAAAAATAAAGAAAACTGACGAACTGGATGGCGGGGGGGGGGCGGGGGGGCCAGGGACCACGCCATACCATAGGAAGCCGCAGTTTAGGGCAAAGCAAGGGGGATAGGAGGCGGAAGTTGGGGCGGAGGGAGGGGGCTGTTGGTCTCAGCGCTGGCCTGGGTGGCGGTGGGGGCTGGGTACCCTGCAGGCGGTGTCCGGGATGACAGCGGCCTAGACAGCCCTGGCACTGGTTCGCTCAGACTCCCCCCCCCCCCATCCCCCATCCCCCATCCCCCATCCCCCATCCCCCGCCCCCCGCTCCCTCTCTCCCTCATTGTTTCCTCTTTACCCCGCCCACCTCCACCCCCCCCACCCCTCCAGGGTGTCCCCTCGCTGGGTTGGACCCGCATGCCCTTCCCCACCTACCTCGCCTGGTTCCTCGTCTACACGCAGCGCCACCTGGCCCTGGCAGCCGGCTGGGGGAAGCCGTTCGTGCAGGAGGAGTTCAACATACTGGCGGGGTGGGTGGGAGAGGAATTCCCAGTGGGGGGTGGGGTGGATTGGGGGGGAAATAATAAATAAGTGCAACAACACAGTCCCAATCCCGAATCCCGACTCATGCTTGCTCTGTCTTCCTCTTAATCCCTTCCCCCCCTCCCCCCCCGTCAGTTGCATCGTCTGTGTCTCATTATATGTTTTACTCCCCCCCCACCCCCTCCCCCCCCAAGTCGTTTCACCCCCACCCAGCGCCGCCAGCTCTTCGCCGCCGCGCTGGCCCAGTTGCTGGCCTCCGCGGAGGCGGGTGGGCCCTACGCGGGGGCACTGTTCTGGAGCGGCGCGCTGGGGGGGTCGGCGCATGATGAGGGGTACAACATCTACCTGGATGCGACGAGGAGGGGCGGTGGGGGCCTTACGTGGCCGCCTTGGGAGGAGGGGGCGGGGCCGGGGCCGGGCGCGAGGGATGCCCGGCTGAGGCTGCTGGTGAATGGCAGTAGCGGCGGTGGGGGTGGGGGTGGGAGTGGTGGTGGGGGCGGCAGTGGTGGCGGGGGCAGCGGTAGGCGGATGCTGCTAGCTTGGCAGCAAGAGGAGCAGGAGCAGCAGCAGGAGGGTGGGGTGCCCTCCTCCTCCTCCTTCTCCTCCTCAACAGCACCACCACCACCACCACCAGCCCCCCTGGGTGGCAGCGCCCCCCTGCGGGCCCCGGGCAGGCGGCTGCGGGGACCGGTGGACACACTGGACGAGTTCCGCAGGTGGGGGTGGGGGGCGGGGGGGCGGGGGGTGAAACATATATAATGAGACACTGACGATGCAGCTGTGGTGGGCGGGGGGAGAGGCACCGGATGGGAGGGCGGGGCGGGAGGGCTAGTTGTGCAGCTCGGAGAGGGGAAGTGCTGTGGTGTGCTGTGGTGTGCAGCGGCGGCAACAGCAGCAGGAGCCGCTAACCGCCCCTTAACTGAGCGCACGCTGTCTCACGCCTTCCCTAAGCCCACCGCTCTCCCCTCCTCCACTCCGCCTCTCCCCCCCTCCCCACCACACCCCACAGGGGCGGCCCCCGGGAGCAGTGCGCCAACGCCCGAGCCGCCTCCTGGGCCCCCATCACCCCGCCGCAGCTGCCCTTCCCCGCCTCCTCCTCCTCCTCCTCCTCCCCCACCCCCACCTCCCAGCCCTGGCCCGCCTCCCCCGCCTCCTCCTCGCTGCTCGCGATGACGGGGCTCAGCGAGGGGCGGCTGGCGGCGCTGCTGGCGGCGGCGGAGGCGGGGGGTGACGGCGGGGGGGACGGGCCGCTGCTGGACATCATTGCGGCGGCGGCGGATCGGCTGAATGCCATGTGATGCTGAACTGGGGTTTTTGGATGGATGAGTAACCCCGGAATCGGTTGGGGATTGCGGGAGCTGTCTAGCCCCTCACGCAGGGTCAGGGCTAGGCAGGGCACAAACCGTTATTTCGTCTATCGTGAGGGACAAGTCGCTTTCCTGGTAGCTGGGGAATTGTTCTGAAATGATCTGTTGAACACCGTGTTCTCTCTGTCTATCAGCTGTTCTCATGTGCCCGAGTGGCGCTACGAGTAGTGAGCTCGGAAGCGCGCGCCGTCTTGATGGGCTGGGTGGGTTGGCTTGGGAGCGCCTGCGATGCGGATGTTGCTGCTGCTGCTGCTGCTGCTGTGGAGTAAGTGTTTCCAGCCTTTTCCGAGATCCCTCATTCAGTCGTCCTGCTGCTATTTTGCAATGTGCACTTCCCAAAAATGCGTACGGTGTCTGATACCGGTGGCTGTCTGAATACTGCTGTGGTTCTCATCATCCAGGCAGGCGCGGTTTCCTTTGTTGTGTGGCCGGAGGAGTATACTTCGTTTGCCGTACTACTTCATTGCGGCGCCGTACGGCGGTAACGCCGTAATTCTACGACGACTACAGGGGTATTGCACAGTGCTTGTTGCTAGGTTGGCGTGTGGTTAAGGAGCAACCAAAGGCGTGTCGATACACAGGCACGCATGAGGTGTCGGGGTATGTTGCAGTGTGTTCGAAGCTGCTTTGACGTTGACTTTGGGTGTGTGCGGGTGTTCTCATACACCCGCGTCTTTTGCAGCCTATTGCATTTCAGTAAGGCACGTAGTGTTAATATCTGCCGTCTTGATTAGTTTGTCAACTTTGTTGAGCGGTTGCTTTCCGCGGCACTCGGTCGCTGAAACCCGCGACTGCTGCTGCTGCTGCTGGGAACGTCCCTTGGGACAGTTAGGCGTGTACCGGTATGCGCTGCAAACCTGTAACCTAGAATGCATGAACGACTTTACAACGATAACGAAACAGTTCATAGCGAATTAAACGCGCAGTACACAAATACGCCTCTAGTATTCGGTCGTATATGGCCTCATTTGAGGTCTCGAGGTGCACTCTCACAGCAATTATATCCTACACGGATTGTGCACATTCTAACTTTCAATTTTATTCCGCTTTTGTAAAAAGCGTTTGGGCCCAAATCGAAAACCCTCATAGCACCATGCTAGCGTAGTAGCACTTTGCTAAACAACATAGCCACCAAGACTATGGCTCTTACGTCTAGACAAGCTTTCTCTGGCGCTGGCGTCAGGACATGTCGCGCTGCTTTGCAACGCAGTTGTTCGCGTGCAAGCCGGGTGCAATGCGTAGCTCGCGCCGGGGTCAGAAAGCAGATACCAATCTTTCCTCTAAATATGGTCGCATTACCTTGCGCAACGGTACCTCTTATGATATTTGAAGCTCGGTGGGTGAACAGCACGTCCGAACACCACTTCAGTCATGCGCTTATCTTTTACGTCGCCGTAAAAGCCATGCGCTTTCCGTGTAGCATCATAGTTCAGCGAGTTCATACGTATCCAACGTGCAGGTATCGGGTGCTGTTCAACACTATCTTAGCGGGCGAGCCAGGGTGAGTGGCCAATGCTGCAACGCCCATCGAGTGGACTCGGTTGCGGCACCCAGCCCAGCCACACCCGCCACCATGCTTTGCCCCCCTGTCGCCCCGCCCCTCCCTTTTACCTTGAGGGCGCGCTTCAACGACAGTGCTGCAGCAACAGCCGGGGCCTGGCAGTCCGACCATGCATGGCCGCATCTAGGGCACTCGGTCCCCTGAGCGCGCTTTCCCACTCCATCCAACCACAACGCCCCTTCCATTCCCCTTTTCTCCCACACCTCCCCCCCTCCCCAACTCTCTTCCCACCTTCCCTGCCCCCTCCCAGTATCGAGGAGGGTCTGGTGCAGCGCGAGTCGCCCTTCTGCGGCAGCCGCCGCTTCGGCATGTGCTATGTGGAGGGGCGGGGCGAGGGCGGCGCGGCGCGCATGGCCTCCATCGGCACGTGTCTGGAGGTGGTGGAGTTCGCTCATGTGCAGGTGGGGGGTGGGAGGTGGGGGCGAGGGTGGGAGGTGAGGACGGGGGTGGGGGGGAAAGAGGGAGGAGGCAGCGACGGTGGCCGGTGTGCGACACGGCGCCACCAGAGGGAGCGGATGGGGAGCTAGGGGGGCAGCCCCCAGCCAGCCCACTTGGCTTCAAGCAGCCTGGGGATGCAGCCGGGTGGGGTGGGGTGGGGTGGGGGGTTGAGGGCTGCACGTGCGCGCGTGTGGATGTGACTCGACGTGGGTTGGGGGGTCCTGCACGTGGCCTCCGCTTCCTTATCAACGGCTGCCCCCCTGTCCCCGCTCCCCACCTCCGGCTCCCCCCTCCTCCAGGACGGCCGTATCTTCGTGACGTGCAAGGGTCGGGAGCGCTTCCGTGTGCTGTCTATCGTGAGAGAGCGGCCCATCATGATAGCGGAGGTGGAGGAGCTGGCGGAGGAGGCGGAAGAGGAGGGCGGGGAGGAGGTGGGGGCGGGGGAAACAAATAAGGAAAACTGACGAACTGGATGACGAACTGGATGACTGGGGGCGTGGGAGGGGAGGGGGAAGAGAGGGGGGCGGGGGAGAAGGGGGAGGAGCAGGGGGAGGAGGTGGGGGTGAGGGAAGGGAGGGAGGAGCAGGGGAAGAGAGGGGGGCGGGGGAGAAGGGGGAGGAGGTGGGGGTGAGGGGAGGGAGGGAGGAGCAGGGGGAGGAGGTGGGTGAGAAACGTGAAGCACCCGAGCCAAACCAACCCGTGCTGGCATGCAGGGCGTAGGTAGGGGTCGGGAGCCCGGGCAATGCAGCGCAGCCGAGATACGACCCCGGCAGCCGCACCAGCCGTGGCAGCAGCAGCAGCAACCGCGGCAGGCGACCCGGGACGGAGCCCCCTCCTCCGTGCTCATCACGTTCCCTCCTCCCTCCCGCTCCCTTCACTCGCCCGCCCGGCCCCGGAGTCCCTTGCTGCACCTCACCCCAGTTACTCTCACTCCCTCCCGCACATTCCGCACCTGCGCTCTTTTATGCTTTCCGTAGCCCCTGCTCCCTCAGCCTCAGAGGCTTTCACGGCGGGTTGGCACTACCGCCACCAGCGTGGCTTTGTTCCTCAAAACCCCCCTTACCTCCCGCTCCACACCCACTCCCATCCCCACTCCCATGGCAGGTATCAGCACTCGCTCGCGAGGTGTCCGACCTGCTGCGCTCCACGGTGCGACTCAACGTGAAGCTCAACAACATTGAGGCGTCGGAGGACCAGGTGGGGGGTTTAGATAAACTGAGCCGCGGAAACAATGACCCTGACCGTAGATTAGGTGGGGGAAGGGGGGGGGGTTGGGCGGGGTGGGGATCGGGGGAAGGGGGGGGGGAATAAATGATAAGTGCAGCAACTGGAGTTCCAATCCCATATCCCGACTCATGCAGTGAGCGCATTCTGAGGGGGGGAGGGGAAAGGAGGGGACCAAGGCAGATGATGACCATGCAAACCGCAGCCTCTGGCGACAAGTCCTCCATGCCCGACAAGGTCACGCTGTCATTACGCGTGCTGCCCCCCTCACCGGCACACTTGCTGGCTTACCGACATCTCGCTCCCCCCCTCGGCCCCCTCCCCTCCCCGCCCCCCCGCCCCCTCCCCGCCCCGCCCCGCCCCGCCCCAGTTGGAGCCGGAGGAGCTAGCGGGTCTGGGTCCCCGCGACCTGTCGTACTGGGTCGCCTCCTTCTTTGCCGACATACGGGTGTTGCAGCAGAGCGTGAGTGGGGGGGCGCGGGTGGAGACAGGAGTGCCGGGGACAGATAGAAACAGAAGTGCCGGGGGCAAGGGGGGCGGGATGGAGGGATGCGGCTTGGGTTGCAATGGGAAGTGAGGCAGGTGGAAGGTGTGCAGCATCTCGTGATGATGAACTCCTGCTACCTTCGTGCCTCGTTAGAAAAGTGTGACCTATGAATAGAGGTGGATGCCGCACCGCATGCCTCCTAGCCATCCCGCCCGCATGTGCTGCCCATAGCTCGTCTGCATGCTGCCGTATAAGCGATCACTGCCGCTCACCTGCCCACCCTCTCTCTCCCCCTGTTCTGTGCCTACTGCAGTTGTTGGAGGAAGACAGCACCGTGAAGCGACTTCGCAGAGAGAAGGTGCGGGGGGGCGGGCTGCTGAGGGGGGTTGAGGAGGGCGCAGCAGGGGGGTTTGCCGCTAGCTGGGGGCGGGTTTTCACGCCCGGGTATTTCAGGGCCGGCTGCCCTGCCCTCCACACTACCGGTGCGTACCCCCCCTTGCGGACGTCTTCACTCCCACTGCTGTTTCCTTCGCTCTCCCAGACCTATTCCTTCCAGCAGCTCCCTCCCCCCTGGCCCCCTGTCCCCACGCCTCCTGGCCATCCCTCCCTGCTGACCATCCCCCAACATCCCCATTGGGTCAGCCTAGGTTGCTCCTTCCTTCACACCCGCCGCCCCTACCTCCCACCGCCCCGCCCCCGCCCCCGCAGGAGATCCTTGCTGAGACGGTGCGCTACTACTCCGCCACGGTGGCCCTCAAGTCACTGGGCGCCACCGAGACCTCCTCCTCCTCCTCCGTCTCATCACCGCCCTCATCCTCTCCATCATCATCGTCCTCCTCTTCCTCACCCTCGTCGTCCTCCTCTTCATCCCCTCCGGGAGGGGACAAGGCGGGCGGGGAGGACAAGGGTAAGGACGCGTGAGCGGGTGAGGGAGCGGAGGAGGAGGTGGTGTGGGGCAGGTGGGAGGTGCGCGTGAGGAGGCGAGGGAGTGCAGCTCAGTCCGAGGGAGCCAACAGAGGGGACGGAGAGGAGAGATGCTCGAGAGAACACCGACCGTGTGAGGAGAGTGGAGGGGAGATTGAGGCGAGTTTTCCCCCGGGGCGCCTCAAGGGGGGTTGTTGTAGCTCCAGTGAGAGGGCGGGTGGGTCTGCTGGAGGGATGCGGGCCCGGACAGGCAGGGGGTAGGTCGTGTGGGGGTATGGTTGAATAGGGGTACAGTCGTTATGGGAGTATGGGGGTAGTTCCTGGGTAACTGGATACGGGTGGCTATGTGGATAGGACGGGGAGCTGCGATGCGGTGATGGGGTGGACGGGGGGAGGCGGCTGTTGCTGCGCGGCTTATCGTTGGTAGACTAGCGTTGGCGTGTCGGGTAGTGATTGTTAGTTGTCACTGACGGTAGTTGGCAGCGGGCGCGTGCAGGGGAGTAGTGTCGGTGAATGTGGATTCCCCTGAATCGCCGAGGCGACACGAAAGCGAAAAACGACGTATTGTCTCGTTCTCTACATGAACGAGGGGGGTTAGCATTACTTGCCAGGCTGTGGCAGCGTGTCGCCTAGCAGCAGCCGTGCAGGCTCGAATCCCCATCCTGTAATCGGAAACAATGGTAATTCCTCTGAACGGGGCAAGCATCCAGCCCTTTCTCTGCGCACACTCTACTTCCTGATTTCCGGAATTGCTTTTGACAGGAACAGGAGCATAGCTCAATCCTGATCCACAATCCGCAACAAACCTCAATGGTCAACTATCACTCTATAATGCATACCAGAGCTTCTACACCTGCGTCAAGCTTGCTGCTCCTCCTGCAACTACATAACGACCTAACGCAACCGCCATCCTGCAGCCCAACGGCCCCAACTGCCGAGCCCCGCAGTCCCTGTCACCGCCTGGTCCTCTCTTCCTTCCCTCCTCTCAGCTGACTGGCCCACCAGGGCACATCCGTTCTCAGCAGCCGTGTTTGCGCGGGTTCCCCCCCTCAGCTGCGGGTCTTGGCACACTTGCAGCGTTCCTTCACCTCCACACCTTCACCTGCGGCGCATACCGTTCACCACAAGGGCCACCACCACCGCCATCTGCGGGGCGGGAGGAATGTACGGCAGCAGGGCAGCATGAGGCGGGGAAAGAGATGGGAGGCGCGGAAAGGGAGGTCCTGCGCGCCTTGGCACCTCACGCTACACCTCACGGTGTGGAGCGGGCTTCACAAATGGACTGTGTACACGTAAAGAGCAAACTAATAGCTTCCTGTTTGCGCGCGACGCGCGGCGCACTTACCAGGAGCACGTGGGTGGGCTGAGGGGTGAACTTGTGCAGGGGCCCGAACACGCGTGTGAGGTAGTCCACCACACTCGTCAGCACTGTCGGAGCGTAGTCGATCACAACGCCGATAAGGTAGCGACAGGAAAGGTAAAACATGAATACCGGGGATGGTAATTAGCGCTACGAGGGGGCGGTGTCAAACCAAGGTAGGCATGCATGGGCAGGAACGCTCACCTGGTTCGATAGGTGCAAGCTGCTTCATCGATCGAACCTTGACGCTAACCATTCCCAAGATGCTCAGCAGCGCAGAAAGCTGCATCAAGGAGACAACAGACGCCAGGACATAGGCCACTGGCAGGGTAATCGCAAAGATCGGGTTGAAAACCATGTTTGCCAACGTTCCGAGAAAGCTATGTAGATCTCGCCACACGACCTAAGCGTCAAAGATAGAAGATGTTTGCAGCGTGTTGTGGCGGGTGAAGTCCGGATATTATGATCGGGACCTGGCTCCGTAGTAGCGTGATGCTGTTTCACGCGTTCAAGCAAACTCTGTACGCTGCACCGACATAAGTGCCCTTGGATGGACAGGATGATATTTTTGCTATCTGGAGCGCGCAAAAAGAAACCAGTACGACATGGGGCTTTCCCGATGAAACCACGCGGTGAATTCTCTCCGTCGCTTGGTTAGGTACGGTGCTCTCTTTGTAGCAAGCGCTATCTTGCGTACGTGTCCCAAGGGTTGGCTCATGCAAGTTCTTACTGACGCTCCAGGTATCGTTCGGCCTTGGCCCTACCAAACTTGCACGAACTGATTACCGCTCCTGCAACATAGGAATGGCAGGAAGAACATTGTCCACAGTAGCACAGAGACGGTTACAGAGTGAACTCAACGAATGGGCCCGAAGTCCACCCGAGGGCTGTTGCCTGGAATCCTGCGAGCCTATGACTACCTGGATTGTCATCATGCAGGTATACTAAGTTGCTACTTTCTCACCTACGTGTGGTCCTGTGCTGTTCGGAGGCTCTTTCCTGTCCCTTCTCTTCCTCCCAACCTACCACCCTCTACTCCCGCCCTCCCTTTCCCACGGTTTGGCTTCTCTCTGACTGCCACTCTCCCCTCATGTGTTCGGCTGCACTACCGGCAGCAACCTGCATGCAGAGGATGCACCAGCAGCGGCTTTCACCAAGAGTCGCCACTATCATTCACAGCACACTGTCTCCTTCTCAGACCCTCCATCTCGCACTATCTCCTCACGGCACACCTCCCTCCCCTCCCGCCCCTCATGCCCCGCTGGGCTGCGTATACCCAGAGTAGATAATGCGCTAATGCGCGCTCACTGCATGAGGGGCGGGGCAGGGGACTCTATTGCTTCACCTCTCCTATCCTCCCCGCCCCGACCCTTCCCCCTCACGCGCAGGGCCCCGAGGGGCAGGGGCGGCTGTACGCGGACGAGGTGTTCCGACTGCGCATCGAGTTCGGCGAGCAGTACCCGCTGGACCCGCCCGATGTCACCTTCGTGGCGCCCGCGCCGGTGCACCCGCACATATACAGGTAGGGGGGGCGGGGGAGGGGTGGAAGTGAACTGGGGAAGGCGAAGAAACCTAACCAGCGGCAGGGGGAAAAGAGTAATACCCAATGTGTTGAGTGAGGGTGGCTGGGGGAGTCAGCGGAAGCCTAACCATGTTTGGCATTGGAAGCGGTAAAGGGAAGGGGCAGGGCAGGGAGATGGCGGGGTGGGAGGAGTTAAGTCATGCCGCAAACATTGGCTAAGAGGTAGGGGGATGGTGTCTGGGAGGGGGGATGTCGATGCGTACGGCACACGGAGCGGGCGGGTATTGCGGCCTCTGTTTTTGGTTGTGTAACTTGAGGGGCAAGAGGGGGGCCACCCTTCCCTTCCTCTGCTCCACTTCATCTTTCGGCAATCACAGTACGTGGCCAGTTATCTTCACACACCCACACTCTCCGTCCCCTCCGCGCCCCCCCCCCGGCCAGCAACGGCCACATCTGCCTAGACATTCTGTACTCGGGGCACAACGGCGGCTGGTCGCCCGCACTCACCATGAGCAAGGTGGGGCGGGCGGGGGAGAGCGGGGTGTACCGGTAACGAAGAAGGAGCTGACCAACCGGGAAGGGCACGGAGGGAATGGAGGAGGGGGTCGACGGAGCTGGAGGAGGGGCCCCAGGCGGATCTCCACCAAACCCTCCTCCTGCCCCCCTCTCCAGGAGCTTGTCACCTAGTTCGCCATCCTCACTCACCAGTCACCACGTTGGGTGTCCTTCTTGAACCCCTCTCCCCGCTCGGTTTTGCTTCTCTCTAACGCCCCGTTCCCCCCGCCGCCCCACCACCCCCCCAAGGTGGTGCTGTCGCTGCGCTCCATGCTGGCCAGCGCCACGGAGAAGCGCAAGCCGCCCGGGGACGCGGAGTACTGCGCCCGGGTGGGCAACCGCTCGCCCAAGCTGTCGCGATGGGTGTTCGAGGACGATAAGGTGTAGGGCGGAGGGCAGAAAGGGGGAGGGGGAGAAGGGCGGGGGGGGGGAAAGAGGAGGAGAAGGGAGGCAGAACGCAAGGCAGGCGGGGGGGTGGGAGGCAGGGGCACGTGAGGAGAAGCCCCAGCAGCAAGGGCAGAGAGGCGTGCGAGGAGGATGGTTGCAAAGGGAGGACTTTTGGTGGGCGGGAGGGATTATATTCTTGTTGGAAAGAGGTTGGGACGTTTGTTTGTTAAAATAGCACATGAAACCTGGCTACGAATGAGGAGCCGAGGGTTGGTAGTACGTTGGTAGTGGTTATCAGCTGCGAAGGGGTTGGTGGTGTTAAGGATTTAGGAGGCGCGGTCAAGTAACCCTCAAGATGTACAGGGATGGTTGTGGAGGGTGCTTCGAATGGCGCATGCAGCTTTCTGTGTGTATTATACCAATAGCGTGTTCAAGGGAGCTATGTGTACCAGAAAAAGAGGAAGTTGCTGGTGTCGTCGGCTGAGGGCGGCTGTTCCAAAGGGGCATACATGGCGCATTTTGTAAGTCGCAATCGGGTGATGGTGAAGTCCATTCCAGGGTGCTCGTCCATTCCTGGGCTGACTCCCATTGCCAGCCTGCGGCAGTTGGTGGGGCTGGCTGGATGCAAAATGGCCAATAGGTTGGACATTGCTCAATGAAAGATAGGAAAGGCCACATTGGCCCGGGAGGAATGTGGACGTGTTCGGAAGGAGGGCTTTTGGATGGTGTTGGGTCGGAGCAATTTGGGTAGTAACCAAGGTCTTGGTAACAGTGTATATAATAATGATAGGTTTCATAACTGTGTGGACAAGCTAATAACAAAGATTAGTATTCGGAATGTTTCATGTTTATGCTAGTCCTTAGGCTATGCAATACCTTTCTGCTGCAGTCATATTGCTTATTGCGTATTTTGTTACAAGCTCGGCCTACAAATAGGCCACCAGATAGGCGGGTGTCGATTCAATTGAACCGGGGTTTTAGTGTAAAACATAAACATGAAACATATATCCAGAAAATAGCTTCACAGCTCAACACCTGCACATCGCATACAAGCAGCAAGATTGACAAAATGGCAGTGCTGGTTGCGGCTAGGGACTTGATGCCTCGTACAGGCCCCTCTCGTCCCACACCTCCAGCCTCTGCCCCAACGCACGCGCGCAAGCCGTCAATGACCCAGCCCAGCAAAACCCCCTCCCGCTACTGCGCGGGCCGAGGCGCGGAGGAAGGAACAGCGAGGCTTGGCTACGCCGCAGCCAAGACTCCCGTCACGCACAAGGCGCAAACATAGGAGCAAGCAACCACCAGAGCACCGGCGCCGCAAGGGATTGGTAATAAACCAACAACATGACTCGATTCCCAAGCCCTCATACGCAACAAGGGCGAACAACCCCCTGCGACGCAATACAGACAACGGGAATTGTTGTAAACCGGTTTATATTAAAGCGAATGTGCGACAAACGTGCGGCACCATCATACCGTTTCGTCCTGACCTATTGCAGTTCCGCCCCTGACATCGATGCCTAGTTCGGTCACTATCAGAAGGCGATCAACGTCGCTCAACCAAGAAAAATGCAATCGGGCGTTGACTCGTCACGTTAACATGCGCTCATGCCCACAAGCCTCAAGCCGCCGCAAATGGCAAACAACACCCGCACCTCAATCCGGCTATAGCCACGCAGCACGCACAAAAATGCACAACTCTGCAGGACCATTCTGCCTCCTTAAGCTGCGAACGCTGCTACACAACCGCGGCCAGAGGGAAACGGCCGCGCAAGCAACCGCCTCCTCAAACAAATTGCCAACGCCAGCAGATTTACGCCTGGACGGCAGGGGCAGCGGCCGACAGGGCGGCGAAGCCTCCCTTGGTCACCTCCTCCTCCGGCAGCGGCTTGGGGCCGCCGGTGAGAATGCGAGCTGCCATCTCGGCGCCGACGAACGAGTCGCCATCGGCAAAGTGCGAGAAGTTCTTGACGAACATGTGGCCGAGCAGGTTGAGGGTGGCGGCGAACTGGTTCTTGTCAGGCCACACGTTCTCGGGCGCCAGGATCTCAGCGGGCACACCGCTAATGGCCTTGGGCACCTGCAGGCCGAACAGCGGCGTGGTGATGTACTCGGCATTGTCGAGCTCGCCACTGTGGATGGCGTCAATGATGGCGCGGGTGTACTTGAGGCTGATGCGCTTGCCCACGCCGTACTTGCCGCCGGTCCAGCCGGTGTTGACCAGCCAGGCGGTGGTGCCGTGCTTGGACATCTTGTCGGCGAGCATGGTGGCGTACTTGTAGGGGTGGAGCATCAGGAAAGCAGAGCCGAAGCAGGCGCTGAAGGTGGCCGAGGGCTCCTTCACGCCGACCTCAGTGCCAGCAACCTTGGCGGTGTAGCCGCTGATGAAGTGGTACATGGCCTGCTCCAGGGTCAGGCGGCTGACGGGGGGCAGCACGCCGAAGGCATCGCAAGCCAGCAGCACAACGTTCTTGGGGTGGCCGCCCACGCAGGGAATGTGCGCGTTGCTAATGTACTCCACGGGGTACGAGGCGCGGGTGTTCTCAGTCAGCTTGTCCGACTCGTAGTCCACCTGGCGGGTGAGCGGGTCGTAGATGACGTTCTCCAGGACGGTGCCGAACCTGGATAAAGTAGAGGGGGGCGACAGCGGACGTGGGTCAGGAGGAGGTTAGGAATAACGGGGATAGCGAAAGGCTATTAAACTGCTTATAACGCATATACCATGCACAAGACGCGACCTGTAAGACGTTCATATGCAGTAAAGCGCTTACTTGATGGCGTTCCAAATCTCAGGCTCAGTCTCGGCCTTGAGGCCAATGCACTTGGCGTAGCAGCCGCCCTCGATGTTGAACACACCGGTGTCGGACCACACGTGCTCGTCATCACCAATCAGGGGGCGCTTGGGGTCTGTAATGGGGCAAGATGCAAAGGAGGAGTAAGTCCGTATCCAGGTTGCCGTATGCGGGGGGCAGTGGGGCCAGCTAATGGTTGCACAAATCGTCTCAGTCCGCAACAACACCCACCAGCCGACAGGGTGGTCTTGCCGGTGCCGCTCAGGCCGAAGAACAGGGTCACATCGCCGGCAGAGCCGACGTTGCAGCCGGAGTGCAGCGACAGCTTGCCCTGCATGGGCATCAGGTAGTGCATCAGCCTGCAAAGGGGGAGCAGAAGCAGGGGCAGGGGGGAGGTTTAGGTTTCCCATTTAATAGGAACGGTCCATCTTTAGCATGGCAGGGCTATGCATGACGGGCTATGCAAAACGAGCGCTGGCAAGATGACCAACAACGGTGGGTTACAAAGAGCTTTCGACTTACGTGAAGACACCCTTCTTCATCTCGCCAGCGTACATGGTGCCGAGGATGACCATCTCCTTGTGCTTCAGGCTCAGGTCGATCGAGGTCTGGCTCGTCATGTACTGCGGAAGGAAGGAGTTGGGAAAAGACCAATTAAACAAGGAACCCACCAAGGAGGCCACATGGGAAGATTTGGCATTGGGGACTGAACAGGCCACGAAGGCACAGCAGCAGGGGCACGCGAGGCCAGGATGGCAACCGCTGCGCTTTCCATTTCACTTACGTTGGTGTACTTGTTGGCGGGGAAAGCACCGGCGTTGTAGATCACAAAGTCTGTGTGGAGGGACAGGAGAAGAGCATGGGTCAGGTCAGCATCTCAGGCAATGTTATCCCAAACACACGCCGCAAAATCCGATTACCAAACAATTCCGCTGCGACGCTTCGACTACTTGGCCACACCTAGCCCAAACAAATGTATCAAAGTATAGGAGTACGGGGCGCCAAGGCCTTACCGGGCTCGCCGAAGTCCTTGAGCTCCTCCGCGGTGGGGCGGATGAGCATGTTGTGCATGAACAGCGCGTGGTAGGCGCGGCTGGTCACGACACGGACCTTGAGGCGGCTGGCGGGGTCCCAGTTCACGAAGGCGTCAACGACGAACACACGCTCCAGGGTGTTCAGGTAGTCAACGGCGCGCTCGCGGTTGGTCAGGAAAGTCCTGCATGTAGAAACATGAAAGGTCAAGAATGATAGGCCGTCTGGCAAGGGTATCAGGAAAGAGGCCGGGACTGAATACGTGAGCAGGGAACAGTAAACATCGGTCCAGAAGGCAAAATCCCAAAACCTGCCTGTCGTCCATCACGTAGTTGGGGGAGTGGGCGCCCCACCACAGGTCCTTCTCGGTCTCGGGGTCGCGCACCACACGCCTGCAGGAAGAGGAAGGAATGTGCATGAGAACCAGCACGATGAAAACAGCCTAAATAACCGCTGCAACATGTGCACCGCTATGCACGGTTTCGCAAGCAAGCTGTATAGAGTTCAACTTACTTGTCCTTAGGGCTGCGGCCCATCTTCTCGCCTGCAACGAGTTAGCGACAGCAAAAAATGGTTAATGGTCTCGGTACATGAAAAGGAACCGACGCGTGTCGGGAATAAAACTGCTACGGGCTCACCCGACATAGCGATCAGGGCACCGCTGGAGGCGATGTGGGTGCCGGGCTCGAAGGCAAGGGCCTGTGGCAGGTGGGAAAAGCGTTCGCGGGATCAGCATCGCGACGTAATGGGACCGGGGAATGACAGCCGGATTACACCGTGCAAAATACTCACCAGCTCATAAAGCTGAGCAGGGGCCAGGTTGCGGTAGATAACCTTAGGGGTCAGGCCCGACTCCTTGGTGAAGCGGCTGCCCATCAGGAACTCCTTATCGGTGCCCTGGGGCAGGTTCTCCGAGAACTGCACATGAGGGATGTTAAGCGAACGGTAACAGTTGATATAAATTAGAAGGAGAGTAAAGGAAGAGGCGGTTGCGGAAAACAAGGGGCTATAACGGCTGCGTCCCGATAGGCCCCCTTTACAAGGGCGACAACGTAAAATGGGCTAGCATAAGAGACCCAAGCTGTCTACCACAGGCTGTATGCAAAAGATTTAGAGACTAGAGAGCATTCGGAGTTAGGCGGCAGCGTGTCGCCATAAACTTCCGTAACCATCAGCACGTCTCAGAGCCCTTTAGAACAGGACAACTAAGTCATCGTAACTTACGCGCAGCATCTTTGCAAAGCTCCGAGTCCGGGGTCACGCAATCAACGAAGGAGGACGAAGTAGTGGCCTTCCGATCGGAGAGGCTGGGCGACAAGGCGCTGGGCGCAACTTGTCAGAAGGAGGAAGTGATATATAAATGACTGTTGTGCCTCAAAGCACGAAGTGACTTTTCGTGCGCAGCAATGGGTTATATATGCATCGGAGCCGTTTGGCCCCGTCAGCGTACGACACGGAATGCATCTTGCTCTTGAACGATGGTTTACGCCTTACGCTGACATGACTATAAAATCCCTTTGTAGCACGTTGACTCTCTTAGCACGTTGGGGCACGATACGGGGAGATTTTTCCGTAAACTTGCATATCGCAAACGCTAGAAACGTAAGAACTGCATCCACTGTTCAAACACGGAGTATGCAAAGGGCGCTTCCTCACACTCCTGCCAAGGAGTGTTACGCTCAGGCAACTTTGGGCAAACGTTGACCCGCGCATGGCTTGCTTACAAGTGTCCATCGACGGCAATGGACCCATCCACGGTACTTTTAAGGATACTACCGTTTTAGGAAGGCCCTTAAATTTCAGCCTCAAACCTCATACGTTGAAGTCTCTTGGTTCTTGTGCTCATGAGCATCCTAAATTATTGTCCGGGTGCTTGAGATGTTCTTCGTAGACCAAAGTACCACACGGCTGGATTTCAGCGGGCCAATACGGCTGTTGCGACGTGCGACTGTTGGTTTCCTAAGGCGTTCTCCGAGCGGTGGAAACCAACATATTGCACAAGATTCATACTGCGTTCTATGAGACTGGTTAGCGACGCACTTGCGTATGGTTCTGTCCATGGCATGTCCAGGGCGTGAATACGCGTGAACATCTACGAAATAGGGACCCCTTGTCGCTGGAACATACTCTTTATCATGCAAGTCCCGGATCTTTACGGGCGAGCAGACAATCGCCTAAAGTCCTGTGCGTTTTCCCCCCTTCCCCGCGCACGGTTTCGTACGGCCAAACCTGCCGTTAATTGTAAGCGCCAAAGCAACGTTGTCATGTATCCATGGTGCCAACATATCCCCTCGATGTTTATGCATTCCGATGCTATTTTTTTTCCTGCCGCTAAGGGAACCCTATGGCCAGCAAGGCCATGGTTCTGCAGACCCCCTTCACCTTTCCCACCGCCGTCCAAGCGGATAGCAATACCTAAACTCTTCTTAAGGTGAGCAAGCTTTGCTAAGTTGCTCACCGCACTGCCACAATACATCAAAGAAGCCAACTTAGTTGGTCATCATAACCGCAACATCAATGTACCACGTAGCTAAGAAAAAACTACTCGCCGCCAAACGCAACTCCGCTTCTTCAACCGTTCAACACGCCCTTTCCTCCACTATTGTCAGACCCAACAAACAAAAGACCTTAAACCTCACGCCACCATCCATCTACATCCCACCGCATCCCCCTCCCTCATCCTTCACGGCCCTGCCGCGGGTCCACCTCCGCCTCCCCCGCCACCGCCTCCCACCGACGAAGCCGGGGACAGCTGTCCCGAAGCAAACACGTTCCCGCCATTCCCCCTCGGGAAGGGCGGCGGCGGTGCGGGTCGCACCGGCTTCAGCACCTCACTGCCCTCGCTCGCCCGGGCCAGGCTGCCGGAGGCGAAGCTGCGGTACTGCGGTACGGCCCCTTGGAAGGAGCCGCCGGTGGGCCCCACCGTGGGGGCGGCGGTGGACTGCGGCAGGGGTGGAGTGGGCTGCTGCTGCTGCTGCTGCGAGGAGGAGGAGGGGGGCTTGAGCGCGATGGTGGCCTCGGCGGGTCGGCCGGGCGGTGCGGGGCTGGTGCCGGGGCTGGGGTTGGGCGACATCTCCACCTCGGAGCTGGCGTTACTAGGGGGCAGCAGCGTCTGCAGGGGGTGGGGGACAGGGGGGGGGAGGGAGGGGTGAAAACCAAGGGGGAGGATGGTGAAGGAGGAGGTGCATGTGCAGCAAACTGACAACCCTTGCAGACGGAACGGAACAGCACACCCCGAAATCCCGTGTCCTGAATCCCCTGATACACTAGCAGGTAGGAACAGGGGCAGGCAGGCCTCACGCCCCCTCGTCCTCCTTAAAACACCCCACTTCCCCCACATCGACCCCACGTACCTTCGCCGTGGGTCCCGCGAACCCGCCCAGCCGCACCCCCAGCAGCCCGCTGCCGAACCCGCCACCTCCTCCTCCTCCTCCGTAGCCGCTGTAGCTGCTGCTGCCGCCGTCGTGCCCTGCCCCCGCCAGGCTGCCCGGCGGAGGTGGCGAGGTGGCCCCCGCCGCCGCCACCTCCGAGCGGCCCGGCGCCCGCACCGCCAGGTCGGGCCCCATCCGCATCTCCCGCATCACCCGCCGCACGTGGCGCCGAGCCCAGCGCCGCCGCAGAGCCGCGACACCTGGTGGGGGCGCGCACGGAAGGAGGGAGGGGAAGAGGGAGAAGGGGAGGGGAAAAGGATGAGGTTATAATTGTAAGGATAGGGAGGTGGGCAGAGCGTGGGAGCATGGAGCATGCTGCATGCAACCGCCCCGCGTTCCCTAGCCGCATGCCTTCATCAGCGCCCGACTCCCCAAGCCGCCTCACCCCCACAGCTCCCCCAATACCCCCCCCCCCACCCCACCACCACCCACCCACACACCCACCTGCCACCAGCAAAATAATCCCGGGCAGGCCCACGCCCAGACCCAGACCCAATCCCAGGTTGCGCCGCCGCAGCGCCGCATCACCTCCTCCACCTCCTCCTCCACCACCTCCGCTAGGCCCCACAGCCGCCGCAGGGTCCACGGCAACTCCCTGCAGCGGACCACCGCCACCGCCAGCACCACCAGTGGCAATCTGCGCCGCCGACTGATCTCCTCCTGCTCCCCCTGCTCCCCCTCCGCTTGCAACAAGGACTCCGCTGGAGCCGTTGCCGCGGCTGCCGCCTGCCGCCCCTGCCCCCTCCTCCCCGCCGCTGCTGTCCAGCGGCGCGCAGGGCTGCAGGTCGGAGGTCAGGGTGGCGGCGGGCGCCAGGGAGCAGAACTGCAGGGTGGAGGCGGAGCCGCCGCCGGGGGTGAAGGCGGAGCCGGAGGAGGAGGAGGAGGAGGTTGGGGAGGGGGAGGAGGAGGTGTTGGCTGCCAGGGCGGCGGCGGCTACGTCGGCTGGCGGCGTGAAGCAGTCGTAGTAGGTGCTGCGAGGGGTGGGGGGGAGAAGAGGGAGGAGGGGGGACGGGGTGGGGGGCGTGAAGGCGTGAAGGGCGAAGCATTGGCGCTGCAGTCACGTCAAGAAATGGCAGGCTAGGAGGACACGAGTCCCCCAAATGACAGAGTAGCCGGCCTTTGGGTCAAGTGAACATTTCCGAATTCACATCCTGCTGTCCCTGCCCCTCCTCTCATCTCCCTCCCGCCCCAATATTACTTCCCACACACATCCCCTCGCCCTTCCCGCCCCCCCGCCCCTCCCGACCCCCCCCACATGTTTCGGAAGGTGAAGGGCAGCGCACACGCCACCCCGCCCGCCGTCTCCCGCGGCCCCGGCGCGCATTCCTCCATGCGCCCCTGCGGGCTCATGCAGCGGCCCGGCGGGGGCCCGATGCAGTCGAAGGAGGGCTGAGGACTGTCAGGAGCTCCACCCGAGGAGGAGCCGGAGGAGGAGGTGGAGGAGGAGGAGGAGGTGTTGTCGGGCGAAGCAAGCGGCGGGAAGAAGGGCAGCTGGCATGGCTGGCCGGTGACGGTGGTGCGCGGTCTGCCTCCCTGCGCCCGCGGCATGCACTGCTCCCAGCTGCCGGTGCGGCTGCGGCAGTAGCCGGGGTCGATACCCGCACCCACACAGTCCCAGCGGAGGGAGCCTGGGCAGGGGGGAGGGAGGGGGAGGGGAGGCGGAGGGGTTTTGGGGGGGAGGGGAGGCAGAGGGAAGCTGAACCGTTCTGAATATTGGTAAACGTGGGTAGGGTGTACTCGCGGTTCACATGCGAACCTATCCCAACTGCTTGCTCTTGTTCTACTCAACTACACATATCACATGTGTTAGAAGCTGCCGGTTTGAACAGACTCTGATGGTCAGAGGCGCAGGGGCGGTGAAGGGCGATGAGGGCGTGAGCTGCGCTACCGGCAATACAGGTCCTTGAAACGGCGCCTTCCGACCTCTGCCCTCCACCCCCTGCCCTCCTGCCCTCCACCCCCTGCCCCCCCCGCCCCCACCTTGGAAGTAGAAGGGCAGCGCGCAGGGTATCCCCGTGACGGTGTGTCGCGGGGTGGGCGAGGTGTTGCGCGGCGGCTCGGGGAAGCGAGTGCGGAAGAGCGGGCTGCACTCGCCCCAGCTGCCGTCGGAGGTCTGGGGGGGGTAACAGCATACCGAAACATGTGACGCCACAGGTGGGGCAAAGCAGCGGGAGTGGAGGGTGAGGAGGGAAGGTGCAGTGGGGGGTTGTATAAGAGGGAGGAGAGCAGCATGGGTGTTGCATGGCCGTGCAATGTAACCTCCTCCTCAGGCATGCTTTGGGGGCCCCCCCTGCATCCTCCCCCCCTGCTTCCCCCCGCCCCCCCCCCCCCTTACCTTGCACGCCTCCACCCCGCCCACCCACACGCAGTCGGTGCGGTTGCGCCCGCGGAACATGAAGGGGAAGGCGCAGGGTCGCGAGGGGCGGCCGGGGGCGGGCAGCGTCACTCGGTCCACCGCGGCGCACTGCAGCAGCCCGCCGCCCTCAACCTGCGGGTAGGGGGGGGGGAGGTGGGGAGGGGGGAGGGGGGAGGGGGCGGGCGAGGAGGTCACGTGACGGCTGGATCGGGGAGCAACAGGAGGGTAGAGGGACGGGGAGGAAGGCTGCTGCGCGCGCATGCCGCACGGCAGGAATGAGGAGCTGACCGATGCACCGAAGGAACGAGGCTCCCCTCCCCCCTCCCCCCTCCCACCCCCCACCTCGCATGTGAAGGTGCCGGGCGAGTTGTCCTCATCCTCCACATGCAGGTCCGCCGCGCTCCTGCTGCCCCCCGCGGGCGAGTAGTCCAGGCACTCGGACAGCGCTCCGGGGCCGGGCGGGAGGCAGCGCTGGCGGTCCACCGTGAAGCGGATGGGGAACCTGATGGGGGGGGCGGGGAAGAAGAATACCGGTACCCAATGTGTTGAATGAGAATGGCGAACCAGACGACAAGCTCCTGTTGAATGGAAACGAGTTAGCCGAGCCGAACGTGAGTCGTGTGAAGCCGAATCCAGTACGTCCCTCCTCGCCGCCAGTTG